TATTTAAATATTTAATTATATTATAAAAACTTATAAATATATTAATATTATTTTAAAAAAAAATTAACTTTATTTTTAAAAAATACTTAAATAACTTTATAATAGCTTATATTAATAATATTTTAATTTTTTTAAAAATATTAAAAAAATATAAAAAATATATTTATAAAGTATTATAAAAACTATAAAACTTTAAGCTTTTTATTAATTTAAATAAATATTAATTTTATATATAATAAATTAAGTTTTTTAAATATATTATTATATTAAAAAAAGTTTAAATAAACTTAAATAAAATTACTGCTATTTAAGATTAAAAACTTTTAAAAACCTATAAAAAATTATAAAGTTTTTTAAAACTAATTAATTATTATTAAAAATTTATTTAAAAATATAATAAAATTATAAAACTATTAATTAATATTATTTAACTTAAAGAAAATAAAAAAAGTAAAAAAAAATAAAAAAATAAAAAACTATTTTAAACTAATAAAATAAAATTAATATTTTAAAAACTTAAAAATACTATTATTAATAAACTAATATTAACTATATATAATTTAAATAAATTTATTAAAATTAAAATAAATACTTTTAACTTTACTTTAAAAAAAACCTTAAAATAATAAAATAAAAATAAAAAACTTAAATTAATAACTTTTTTTTTTAAAAAACTATATAATCTAGAATTAAAATATTTTATTTATAATAAAGAATTTTTAATAATTATTAAAGTATTTAAAAATAATAATATTATTCTTTAAAAAATAAATATAAAATTAAAGTTTATATTAATTATTAAAATATATTTTACTTTATAATTATATAATAACTTTTTATATAATAAATTTATTATTTTAAATTTTTAATAAATTTTAATTATAAAATTATTTATTATAAAAAAATAAAAAATAAAAAAGCTAATACTTTAAGTTAAAAAAAAATATTTTAAAGAAATTTTTAAATTTAAAGTATAAATTTTATATAAAAATAATTAAAAAAATTATAAATAAATTTAAATTAATATTTTATTTATTATAAAAAAATATAACTTTATTTTTAATAAAATTAAAAATTAAATTAAAGACTAATAACTAAAGCAGTTCCTTAAGGAAATAACTATAATTAATAAACTTTTAAAATAAAGTAAATAAATTTAAGTATTAAAAAAATTATAAATAAAAATAATTTAAAATATTTATTATAGTAAATATAGTTATTTATATAGGCTAATGTAGTATTTTCTTTTATATTAATATAAGGCTTTTTTATAACTTTTATTATATGCTTTAATTGACTAATCCAAGCATTCTAATAATATCTTAAGCCATAAGCCAGATAGCTAACTTCCAACCTACATTATCTATTATCAATGGCATACACAGACAGCTTCGCCCTTCCACATGGCTTACCGTCTTCTTCACAAGCCATTCCCAGCACTAAAGGAGCTGATCTTATGGTCTTAAAAGTAGCATCTGTACTCTCGACCTCCTATTCAGACAATGAATTTCGCGACGCAATATTCCTGGCCGATGAGCGACTCTCAAGAGGCAGTGCTAAAACTAGACGCCTACTCCGACTAGATCTCTTACGGGAAGCTATTGATTGTAATGGCGAAATTATCGACGAAATGGGCTGTGTTGTGGAGGTTTGTCAGACTCTGATCATTCTACTTGGTTATCCAAGCTGGTAACAAGTTATGCAGCGCTTGAAGCTTATCCGTGGCGTGGTTGAAAAAGTGAATACTCGCATCGAAGCTATCAAACGCCAAATCGATTTAGCACATAATCAAACCTCTCCTGCTCTGCGAGACATGTCATCTCTTTTCGAGCAACACAAGGAAATAGAGAAGAAGCAGGAAACTCTCAGCGCTGTTGAAGGCTACTTCATATTGACAGAAGACGAAATCGATTTGCTGACTTCAACGTTGAGACCCGTTGACGATGCCTTCTTCACCTGTCTCCAGAAAGCCAAAAGGATCACCATTGGCTGCGACATACTCTTGGGTTTTGAAAGCCAAACCCTGGGCTTAGAATTAATCGATCGAACATCCGGCCATTTAAATTTAGCTTTCCAAAAACTCTACAAATGGGTTCAGCAAGAGTTTAGGACGCTCAATTTAGAAAACCCCCATGTGAATCCGTCCATGCGGCAAGCGTTAAGAGTCCTTGCAGAACGACCTTCTCTTTTCCAGAACTGTCTTGACTTTTTTGTGGCGTCTAGAGAAAGATTTTTATCTGAGGCTTTTCACTGTGCTCTCACAGGCATTACGCCACAGGGCACAGAAGATACTTCCACCAGACCAATTGATTTAACGGCACATGATCCGCTCCGCTATGTCGGTGATATGTTTGCTTGGGTTCATTCTGCAACAGTGGGTGAGCGAGAAGCGCTTGAAACGCTATTCACCATAAAAAAGGATGATGCGCTTAATACACCAATGCCGAGCTCCAACGAAAACCTTTGGCATTTTCCCTCAGATGAAATCTCAGTCGACACTGATTCTAAGGTTCTTGAAGCTCTTAACCAAGTGATGGACCGCAATTTCTCACCGGTTGTTCGAATACTGCGCCAGCGTGTTGAGCAAGCAGTCCAGTCAAACGAAGATGTCATCCCCGCCTATAGAATCTCCACGCTTCTCAGTTTCTATCGGGCTACATTTGAGAAGCTTTTAGGCGCGGGATCCAGCCTGGAAGAATGTTCGGGGGGGTTGGAGAAAGTAGCCAAGCGACAGTTTCGATCACTTGTGAGAGATAATATTTTATCCATTCAAGGTGAATTTCAACAAGTTCCGTCAAACCTAGAACCCCCACGATTCCTCCAAGATGCTTTTAAACAGCTCAGTATTATTCTCCAAACTTATGAGTCTTCTTTGTCTGTGTCCGCAGACCCTGGAAGTGAGGTTCAGAGTATATTATCGCAAGCCTTTGAGCCATATATGTCCGGCTGCGAGGAGATAGCGAAGCCGATGACGTATCCTGAGAGTGGGATATTCATTGTCAATTGCAAACTCACGGCAGCTCTCTGCCTAGAAGGCTTCGAATGCACGGACTTCCGAGCAAAACAAATTCGAGAGAGCATATCAAAGGATGTTGTTAACTTAATTAACGACCAACATGCTCTGTTTCGCCAGAAATCAGGGTTAGATACGCTCTTGAATTGCCTAGAAGATGGCGAACTCGCTTCAGTGGCACCATCCTCTGTTATCCAAGCCAGCCAGGAGTTGGATGACTTCCTCCCCTCCGCATTAATGGATGCAATGGATAGGCTGAAGGGGCTCCAGGATTCAGAGATCGCTCGTGAGACTATAGAACAAGCTGCTGAAAAATTCTGTACTGATTTTGAGGGGTTGGAGGCGGCTGTTGCAACCCACTTTGATGATGTAACAAACACAGAGGTGGCTGTGAGGTTTTCAAGGACATCGGCCGAAATCCGTGTTCTCTTGTCTTGATACACAGCACTCACGGATACAAAGTATTCTCATTGTAGCCATATTTTACATTGCATCGGCTGATCTGAATGCGCACACTTAATTATATATTATTGCGTTCATCTTGAAGATAATAATTAATAATAATGTTTACGAACAACGGCCCGTGGAAAAGCATTGCTGTTCGCTGTACAGCATATCCTTGTTTGATCAGATCTCATCTCCTCGTTTCATTGTTGGACCGGAACGCTTCTACACTATGCCGCACGGAACTGCTCGAGCTGCGCCGACGTCGCGCTCTCTGTTCCCACGGCTCAGAGGGATGCAGTCCCGTAGATTTTGCGAATGCGTTGAGAATATCTGTGAGTGAAACAACTCCAATCAGCTTACCTGACAGCAGCGCACCAGCCATCGCGGCTGCTGGAACCGAGGCGACAGGGGCAGCAGGTGGGATCGCTCCCGGAGCAACTTCGCTCGCTGTAGAGCTCTGTGATGATACCGTTGGTATAGCGGGTGTAGGTAGAGGTGACGGTGGCGGTCCAGAGTCCACAACCCACATTCGATGCGATCTTGTTGCTACCAGTTTGGCGACAGTATGAGCCAACGTGGAATAGGGGTTTACATAGAAAACGGGATAGACATCCTGTCCCTTTTCTACGCCTCTTTCATTGAGAATAACAGAAATGAAATTCATACAAGACCCACTGAGTAGGTGTGCGCTCGAGGAACTTGTCAAGTGCCGTACGTCTTTAGTTGAAATGTTCCCCACCACATTTTGCCCATTGTCCACAATGGCCACGCTTGAGAGGCCCTCATCATACATGAGAGACAGAGCTTCTGTAAGTGGAGCATCGGCACTGTGGGCTTGTCAATTATGGTTCGCGAATATGGGGCCTTTTGTTGGAGCAAACTGTACTCACTGAACTGAAATGATGGGCTGGACGCCAATCCCCAACTCTTGCACCGTAACTGGGTAGAGCCGATCAATTGTGGGAAAATTGATTCCCTCATTCCAGAAAAATTCGACCATACGAAGCTGACTTAAAATGCCTATAACATCACCGGCTGTATCGGTGACTAGAATTCTGTGTATTCCGCTACCGAGCTTCTCAATAGCCTGAGATAGGTTGACGTTTGAGCTCAGTTTAACGATGTTTTCTCTGAAACATAGACTCTGGATCTCTCGAAGTGTTATGCGAGTTCCTCCTTGGGCTTTAACCATGATGTCGTGATTATCGGGCCGAGAAAGGCCCACGACGGTTAGGAGATAAGAGTTCAAGTCATTATAGTCAAAGCAAAATGCTGGGTTAGAGGCTGAAGATTCATCCTTCACGAGAACAACGCTAGTTGGGCTCTGTAGCAGCATCTATGAGTGCAGCGTGAGTACAAAGGACCAAGCAACAATGCAGGGGATAGCCGGTACTTACCATAGTCGCTTCCTCCACACTGCATTCGATTTTAGTCCATCTTACATCGTCGAGAGAAACAAGCTCTCCTATGGCAATATCTCCCCATTCTCGGCCAACAAACTTGGGATTTTGGTGTCTGCTGGTGGAAGGCGGGTGGTTGACGAGATCCTGAATCGCCGCTTGTGTGAGGGAAGGATGCCGATGGCGGGGCGAAGGTGGAAGATTGCGGAAGCTCTCTGTAAAGCTTTGTCGATGGGTCGCTCTGCCGGTACTCGAGCTCGAGTGTGACCTTTGTGGTGAGGGCGACGACGACGACTTGGCATCGGCTAGCTTGGTGGGCTTCTCTGTATCGGTATTGACAGACATATTAGATCTTGCTGCTATCGCATCCATATCCATTACATGTTGGCAAGATTCCATGGAGAATATCCAGCGGAGAAAAAGGTGAAAGGAGTAAAGGTAATGCGAGGTGTTCTCAGGTGATGTGACTAGGAAGAGGCGTAATCCCCCGGATATACTTTCTGCTCCATTTAACTCGTCGCATCATAGTAGAGCTCAAGTGCGGTCATAGGTACTCCGCCTAGCAAGTACTGTAGGTGGCGATTCGTTGAGAGGCTGCGTTCTACCTAGTTCAGTGGCTCCACTGATCCTAGCTACCCTGGTAGGCCGTCAAGCCGCGAACAGAATAAGCAATACAGAGTAGCGGATACCAAGTAGTAGTATCCTCATGAGTGGAAGCAAAAAGCGAGAGTTGACGCGGACAGACGTGCAGTCCTATGGATACAAATGACATATGTAGAAGCAGTGTGCCCTTGTGTTATTGAGCAGAGATATCTCTCGCAATTTATCAGATATCCCTGCCTTTTCAACAGCCAAATCACCAGTCCCGCTCATCTTGTCAACCTTACCCGCGCGAGTGGCTCATAGGACGGCAAATTCCAACTGAGATTGGATCGATCGGTGCTTGGAATGCGACAGCTTTGCGTCCCAGGGATTCTAGTGCAATTGTCGAGCCAAGCAGAAGAATTTTTATAAATACGAGGACGGTCAATATGCTCTTGTGAAGCTACCGCGACCTGTCTTATAAAGTCAGCGGGTTTAGGCGTGGGCTTCTTCCTCTGATTAGATAGGCACTATCGCGGGCTAGTTTTTTCAGCACACGCCCAAATGTACTACACACCCTTCCCCTCCCCCACCTTCCTCACCTACACCCACCACAGAACTTCGATTTCTGTATTATCTGCTTTTCTCTTTTTTTGTCCTGCCGCTAGCTCCGCGATAAGGATCTTCTTTTTTGTTCTGATTGTCAAAAATCGTCACAGACATAACTGCGCGGCGTTCTCGTCCGTTAGCCGTCGCAGCCATGTCTCTTCTCTCCCCAGAAGTGCATGCAGAGCTCACGCAGCTTTTGCAGGCGCTTCAAGCCTCCGATAACAGCATCCGATCTCAGGCTGAAGAACACCTCCAAAATAGCTGGACGAATTCGCGCCCGGAGGTTCTCTTAATGGGCCTCGTGGAACAGATACAGGGCGGTACAGATAATGCGGTAAGTCTTAACTCTCGGGTTCTAACGATTTCTTGACTGCTGGGCCGCGAACTTTTTTTTTTTGACTTCTCTGCCTAGCTTCGTTCGTTCGCGGCTGTCATATTCAGACGCATAGCCTCGAAAACTCGGAAAACCGAATCTGGAAACAACGTAGATTTATTCTATTCGCTAGCGAAAGATCAAGCCGTTGTCATTCGACAGAAACTCCTTGAGACATTAGGCTCTGAAGCCGATCGAGCAGTTCGCAACAAAATAAGTGACGCCGTCGCAGAAGTCGCGCGGCAGTATACGGACAATAGTCAGTATCCCCGGTCACCGCACCTCATACTGTGCCCAACTTCCCTCGCCTTCGATACTAATACTTCAGCTCGACAGATGACTCTTGGTCCGAACTCCTAGGAGCACTCTTCCAACTAAGCCAGGCACTGGAAGCCGAAAGGCGAGAGAATGCGTACAGAATCTTCGCTACCACCCCAGGTATTATTGAAAAACAGCACGAAGAAGCGGTTCTGCAAGCCTTCCAAAGAGGCTTCAAAGATGACGCCGTCCAGGTACAATTATTGGTTCATGGTCTGCATTGCAGCTTACTGACTAGAGCTTTTCGTAGGTTCGATTAGCAGCTATGGATGCCTTTGCCTCTTTCTTCAGGACGATTAGCAAGAAAGGGCAATCTAAATACTACGCTCTAATTCCCGATGTGCTCAACATTCTCCCCCCCATCAAGGATACTCAAGATTCGGACGACTTAAGCAAAGCCCTGGTCGCACTTATCGACCTGGCTGAGACAGCACCGAAGATGTTTAAGCCTTTGTTCCACAATCTCGTTCAGTTCAGCATTTCTGTAGTTCAAGACAAAGAATTGGACACAATTTGCCGTCAGAATGCACTGGAATTAATGGCTACCTTTGCTGATTACGCTCCATCGATGTGTCGAAAAGATGCGTCTTACACTACAGACATGATCACTCAATGCTTGAGCTTGATGACTGATCTCGGCGAGGATGATGATGATGCCGCTGAATGGTTGGCGTCTGATGATGTGAGTTGCTTATGACAATAATTCGAACCATATTTCTCTTACTAATATCATTATTTAGCTCGAAGCAGACGAGAGCGACCAGAATCATGTCGCTGGAGAACAAACCATGGACCGCCTTGCCAACAAGCTAGGAGGGCAGACAATTCTTGCTCCTACATTCAACTGGCTCCCTCGAATGATGACTTCTATGGCATGGAGGGATCGACACGCTGCTCTCATGGCTATCTCTGCCATTTCAGAAGGCTGCCGAGACCTTATGATGGGAGAACTCAGTCAAGTTCTTGATCTAGTAATCCCTGCTCTTCAAGATCCGCACCCTCGTGTGCGATGGGCTGGCTGCAATGCGCTGGGACAAATGAGTACCGATTTTGCTCCTAAAATGCAAACTGATTTTTACGACCGGATTTTGAAGGCTATTATTCCTGTCTTAAACTCGCCAGAGGCTCGGGTAAAATCCCATGCCGCAGCGGCTCTGGTCAACTTTTGTGAAGAAGCAGAGAAATCAATTCTAGAACCTTACCTGGATGAGCTTCTATCTCATTTATTTCAACTACTCCAAAGCGAGAAGCGCTTTGTTCAGGAACAAGCCTTATCCACCATCGCAACTATTGCTGATGCGGCCGAAGCGGCATTCGCCAAATACTACGATACTTTGATGCCTCTTCTTGTAAATGTGCTTCAGAATCAGAATGAGAAAGAGTACAGGCTATTGCGAGCCAAAGCAATGGAATGTGCAACACTTATCGCCCTGGCTGTCGGCAAAGAGAGGCTTGGTCAGGATGCTATGACTCTCGTGAATCTGCTGGCCCACATCCAAACAAATATCACAGATGCAGACGACCCCCAGGCTCAGTATTTGATGCACTGTTGGGGCCGCATGTGCCGTGTTCTTGGTACCGACTTCATTCCTTTCCTAGAGAACGTTATGCCACCACTTCTCGAACTCGCCATGGCTAAACCGGACATACAGCTATTGGATGACGATGAGCAAGCCGAGCAAATGCAAGGAGAGGAAGGCTGGGAGTTTGTGCCACTTAAGGGAAAAATGATTGGCATTCGTACTAGCACTATGGATGATAAGAACATGGCCATTGAACTCTTGGTTGTATACGCTCAAGTGCTTGAGGGTGCCTTTGCCCCCTTTGTTGCAAACATCATGGAGAAGATCGCATTGCCTGGCCTTTCCTTCTTCTTTCACGACCCCGTTCGCTATATCTCAGCTAAGCTGGTTCCGCAGCTGCTCAGCTCCTATAAGAAGGCTTACGGCAGCCCCTCAAACGAACTGACTGGCCTTTGGAATGCCACTGTGGACAAATTATTGGAGGTGCTTACTGCGGAGCCAGCTATCGACACACTCGCAGAAATGTACCAGTGTTTCTACGAGTCTGTGCAAGTCCTGGGTAAAGAGTGCCTTACGATAGATCACATGAATCGCTTCATCGACTCCGCTCTTTCAGCACTGGAAGACTATAAAGACCGAGTAGCAGAACGTGCCGATGCCAAGGAAGGCGCCACTGCTGATGACGTAGAGGACGAAGCAGAAGAGACTCTTATAGCAATTGAAGATGACCAAACGCTTCTGTCTGATATGAACAAAGCGTTCCATTCCATCTTCAAAAATCACGGTGTTGCGTTTCTGCCAGCATGGGAGCGTCTCATGTCCACCTATGAAGGATTCCTCGCATCACCTGATCCAACACAGCGCCAATGGGGCCTCTGCATCATGGACGATGTTTTGGAGTATTGTGGCCCACAAAGTATTCGATATGCGACATACATTCAGCAGCCCCTTATTGATGGCTGCAGAGATGCCTCTGCAGCAATTCGTCAAGCAGCTGCGTACGGTATTGGTGTTGCAGCACATAGAGGCGGCGCTGCGTGGTCTCCATTTCTAGGGGGGTCTGTCCCGTTTCTGTTCCAAGTAACGCAAGTTCCTGAAGCTCGGAACGAAGACAACGTGTATGCGACAGAAAATGCTTGCGCTGCCATTGCCAAGATTCTCCACTACAACTCCAGCAGTCTTGAGGACGTTCCAACAACTATAAACCAGTGGATCGACACGTTACCAGTTACAAATGATGAAGAGGCAGCTCCTTATGCGTATGCATATCTAGCAGAGCTGATTGATCGGTGAGTAACTTGATGAGAATTTCATGGATTCAAGCAAGATAATTGCACAAAAAAAAAAAAAACTGGCTAACTCAAATTCACAGCCAATACCCATCTGTAATGAACCAAGCTGGCAAAATTTTCGTTTTCATCGCCCAGGCCCTGGAGGCAGAGACGCTTCAAGGACAAACGGCCAGCCGTGTGGCAGCTGCAACAAAAATTCTTCTAACGGCTGCAAACGTAGACCCAATGCCATTGCTTCAGCAGTTCTCTCCAGAGTCACAACGAACGATTATGGGTTATTTCAGCTAGTAGTGGTTTGGTCGATAGAGAGCCAAGGTTCATTCCTGATTTGCACTGGCTATTAACCAGTGAAACAAATACAAAAATGGCGCGCTTGGAAATTTGAAAACGCTAAACAAAATTTGCCAATACCATGCTGCGGGCCGAGTAAATAATGAGACAAGAGGGCAGAATATCTGTCGGTAAAGAGGAATATCAACAATTTATACAGGATAGCGGATTGTACAATTTCCCAGCTATCTCAAATGTAAGGGTAAACGATTAAGCAGGTCAGTAGTTAGGAGAGTGAACGGCTATAATCAAGTCAACTACTTAAATTTAACAGAATAAATAATTTATAGTGATGTTTACTAAATAAATACTGCAGCTCTCGCTGCGGGAAGCCTCTAATTGATTTTCTATCGATATATATTAGACAAACGAAGTACGCAGATGGCGGAGCCGCCGTGGATGTTGGGCTTATCTAAGCTCTAACCAATACAGTGTATATACTAGTTACGTGGCTATCTAGACACTGTACAACCTAGCCATTTAGTCAATTTTTTTTTTTTACCATTGGCTACAATAGTCAATTCTGTCTCATCTTCTTACATAGCATCTAGATAATATCCCTTATACATTTAGGCAATGTCGTCCCCCGATCGTCGCGCTGGCATGAAACGGCCCAGTAATTATCATTCCTTCCAATACTTATCACCTTTGCGGGTGAATGGCTAATCGTGGCGATGGCCTCTGCTACAGGAACTCAGTCGCTACCACCGCCATCTCTGCCGCAACTGGTCGCGGAGCAGAAGACTCCTATCCCGGTCACTGATAAAGATACCCAGCGATTGATTGTCGTTCTATCAAATGCTAGCCTTGAGACATACAAGGCCGTTCAAGGTGGTGTCAGCCGAGCTGGTATCCACCGAGAGGAAAAATACTCGCTTCTCAACAGCGATGAGCATATAGGCGTCATGCGGAAGATGAACCGCGACATTAGCGATGCACGACCGGACATCGCGCATCAGGTTGCGTATATTTGGACCTGAAAAATCGGAAACATCGTACTAACTATCACAGTGTCTGCTGACCCTCCTGGACTCACCTATCAACAAAGCCGGCAGACTCCAGATTTACATTCATACAGCCAAAGGTGTGCTGATCGAGGTATCCCCCTCTGTCCGCATTCCCCGGACTTTTAAGCGATTCGCAGGCCTCATGGTGCAACTTCTACATCGACTCTCTATTCGCTCCACAACTTCAAACGAGAAGCTTCTACGCGTGATTCAGAATCCGATTACAGACCACTTACCACCAAATTGCCGGAAAGTAACTCTTAGTTTTGATGCTCCAGTAGTTCGCGTGCGTGAGTACATGGAGGCTTTAAACCCCAAGGAGAGCATTTGCGTTTTCGTTGGAGCTATGGCAAAAGGCGCCGACACTTTTGCCGACTCAATAGTTGATGAGAAAATTTCCATCAGCAATTATTCGCTATCAGCAAGTGTAGCATGCAGCAAGTTCTGCCATGCAGCTGAGGATGCATGGGATATCCTATAAACTTGACTAAGAGGAGTAGATTAGCTTGCTGATCGAATACAAACCGGCTTGACGTTGATACAACATCCCGTTTTGCCTAACAGCTCAAAGTCAAAATTGGGATCCTAGCAGTTGGCGCCATATACTGTTTTTACAACCAAAACATTATGGCGCTAATAGCAGCTAAGACACTACGGCTATGGCGATTAGTCATTTACGGTTTAGCAGGGAATTTTCTTATTAGAAGCCATAGAAACCAATGCAGCCTCCTCTTGGAAATACATGTAGTATAATAATTACTTTACAAGCATTGTTGTAATCAATTTTTCGGTGCATATATATTTGCTGAGTTGCTTAGCAGATATTCTGCATAATTTCAACCTTGACCTATTTACACTGATCCCTGTGTCATACGTGACGACAAAAAAATTTTTTTTTTCTTCCTGGGTTCAGGTCCTGCAAAGCTGATAACCTCATCTCTTAATCGCAACCTATCACACCATGGGAGTCGGAAACAAACGGACGCTTACGAAGACAAGGCGCAAGACGCGGTATGGTTGTCCTAAGCTACTAGATGTTATTATGCTGCCTTCTGAAACTGATTTCAAAAAGTGATCTGGATCAAATCATATCTGATCTTCGATCCGCGAAGCACCTAACGCAATACAAGAACACAAAGCTGTCTCAAGATCTCCCAGGGCTTGGTAAAAACTACTGCGTCGCCTGTTCTAGGTGGTTTGATGCCCCTTCAACTTTAACGGCCCACGAGCGAGGAAAGCCGCATAAGCGAAGGTAGATCTGCGCAAGCTTTTTTTTTTCCCGCCAGTGTCTCGCTACTTTACTAACTGACTTGTTAGACTAAAACAATTGCGAGACGAATCCGGACAGTCTAAAAGCCTCAGCACAAATAAGAGTAGCCAGATTGAAAATACCACAGTTGACAATGGTGTTGAAATGGCCCTTTAAGCTATAATCGAAATCTCATTAGGCAGTGGGGTATATGATACGGGAAAGAACTCTATGAATCAGCGCTGAACTTCACTCGAAGTCCCTTTTTATTTTATAATCCGTCCACGAGATCTTCCAAGAGCACTGGCCCGTCTAGAGCGGTGACTGTTAGCTCTGCCTCTTGTCGAACTACCTCGTGCAGATGGCAGACGAGACTGGCGCGGCGCGGGTGTACTGCGCTTTAAACTGGGCGCTATCGATTCCGGAGGGCTTTCAACAAACGATACGTCGGTCGCGGTCGTCCTGTACAGCTGTTAGCAAGGGAAGGGTTGCTTCAGTCTGTCCGAGGGAAAGAACATTGAGGGATCACGGACATATAAGTTGTTTCTCCGTCATGTGCTGGTCGTTGATCGCTGTTGGATTGAGTAGGATGTGGGCGACTTCGGCCGAATGACTGGGGGACGGGAGTCTGGGCAGAACAGAGAAGATAGATCAGAACAAGCTACGTTTAATATGATTGGAATTCTAGTAGCAATAGCACCTCGGGAAAGTCAACGCAAAAAGCGTTCATATTAAGGCCATAAAGGAAGCTGGCAAAAGATTCGCCAAATCTGGCCAAGCTTTCATCTATGAGCTGGAAGTGCATCATGTTTGCCTCGAGATCGGCCATGGCATCAGAAAGCTCGGCAAATGCCGGCTCTAGTCTCTTGAGTGGAAATGCGTTCTCTGCATTGTTTGCCGAATGAAAAGATCCACGGAACGATGACTGAGAAGGGGGGCGTAGCGGAGTGGTAGGTCGAGACGTCCATGAGCGTGAATTCGGTTTGGCACTGTCCGGATGTGACTCAGAATGCGTGGGTGGCGCCATGCTGAGAAATATTACTCGTGTGCTCTTCGCAGAGGAGTTGATGTTCAATAGAATGCAGTGACTCAACGCGCGCGCAGCTATCAAGCCGAAGCTGCAAGGGTGCACTAGGCCGATTTTATCTTTTATCTTATCTTGGTGCTGATGATACAGGGTAGTGGTTACTACTTATACATGCGTACTAAGATTTCTTTTATTTTTATTATATCAGCGTATTGCCGCCATTCACGGCAACTTATATTGATGCGCAACTCCCTGCGCTGTGAAATCCTATGCATTTACCTATAATCACTATTCCAATACAATTCATAGGTAATTACCATGGGGGCTGAACAGTCCTCAAATTCGGAATCGCGCCTTGCCGACGCTGGGGAAACTCAAAGGACATGCTACTATGAGCTTCTGGGAGTTGAAAGGACTGCAACTGATATTGAGTAAGCCCATCTGAAAATGTGATGCCGTTCACACGTTAAATGCAAGTAGAATAAAAAAAGCATATCGCAAGAAGGCCCTAGAACTACACCCGGATCGCAACTTTAACGATGTGGAGGCAGCCACTAGAAAGTTTGCCGATGTTCAGGCCGCCTATGACATTTTGTCTGACCCTCAAGAAAGAGCTTGGTACGACTCGCACCGTGAGAGCATCTTGAGTGGCCAGCATGACACTAGCGATGCTTCTTCTGCACCTGCAACGTTTCATAATGTCCGCCTCACTACCGCAGATGATATCATGCGTCTCATCTCTCGATTCAACTCCTCTGTCCCTTACACGGATGACAAAGATGGGTTCTACTGGATCGTAAGAGAAACATTCGAACACCTGGTTTTGGAGGAAGAAGCTGCCGCCGACTATGAGGGCACTGAGTGCCCTGAATATCCCACGTTTGGGTCGTCAAATAGTAGCTTCGATACTGTCGTGCGGCCGTTCTATAACGCCTGGAATGGCTTTAGTACGAGAAAGTCGTTCATGTGGGAAGATAAATATCGCCTTTCGGATGCTCCAGACCGCAGAACCAGACGTTGGATGGAGAAGGAAAACAAAAAGATTCGAGATGACGCTATTCGAGAATTTACCGATGCTGTTCGATTTCTAGTCTCGTTTGTACGAAAACGAGATCCTCGCTATACTCCAAATTCGCAGAGCGAGGCGGATCGCCACAAATCCCTTCGAACTGCTGCTGCTGCCCAAGCCGCGCGATCACGAGCCGCCAATAGTCAAAATTATTCATCATTTGAAGTGCCAGAATGGGTCCAGCCCAGCGAAGATAAGGTGGATGAGCAAGATTCTGAATCAGAGGAACCTGAAGCTGAGATTCTAGAATGTGTGGCATGTAACAAAAGATTCAAAAGCGAAAAGCAGTTTGAATCCCATGAACGTAGTAAGAAACACATCAAGGCTATTCAAGAGCTACGCCGCCAGATGAAAAAAGAAACAGCAAATCTGGACTTAGATGCATTAAGGGTCGACAATACGCCCGATACGTACTTGAAAGACGACCAGGACTTGCAAACAGTGGATATAGATGCGCAGGATCATCAGATTGACACGGACATTGAGACTACATCGCCTTTAACGGAGCAAACAAGTGCACATGATGATGAGCAAGAAGCATCTACTAAGACAGAGACATCACCAAGCCAAGATACATCAGAAGTGGACTATAGCGGAGATCACACGGACAAGGAACTTGACAAGTCGTTTCAAAAGCTAGATATCCAGTCCACTAACGGAGATTCAACATCAATTAGTCATGGAGAACAGATATCCGATTATTCATCTAAACAACCCCAGAACGATTCTGAGGACGTAAAATCGAAAAGCAAAACAGGAAAGGCCAAACTCAAACGCCAGAAAAAAGCTGCAGCTGCTCTGGCAGCCGAAAATGAGGTATCCAATACATGCAGTCCAACTGATTCGAAAACGTACTAATTATCTTGCCACAGCATCGATGCAATGTCTGCACAGCAGAGTTTGACTCTAAGACGAAGCTATTTAAACATATTCGCGATTTCGGACACGCTGCCCCCATTACGCAATCTAGAGATATCGGCAATAGGAAGAAGAGGTGAAAAATTTGTCATCCGACATATCGTATCCGTGAACCGGGGTCTTCATATGACGCCGTCTGTGAAATGCTGGAATAAAAAGTCAGGGTAGAGGAAAAATAAAGCACCCTCGCTCCAGATGCAGTCGCCGATATAAAGTCCCAAGACATAACCATCTATCCTGAGTGTGAGTGCTTGGCTATTCAAAGACGGCTCTCGATCATAACATTATGTTGCCGTCATGTCGTCATCGTCACTCAATAGCTCAACTTCATCCACCGCGCCATCTCTGCCCTCGCCGCTATACAGCACAGGCTCATGATCTGCCACATGGATGATAGTTTTCCCTTGGACATTTGCTACACACTGTCTCCATTCAGTCCAATCACTCTCAGTACGAATAAGAAAACCTATCAGCATGCTCGGATCCATTTCTTTGATGTGAATTCGACGCAGTCTAGAGGTATGGCATGACTCGATGTCTTCTTCGGTATATTTGGTTATATCGGCGTGATATGGAATGGCTTTTCGTGTATGATGAGGATCTAGGTAGAACAGGTAGCTCCCTTGGCTACCCACGAAGTAATGGGAAGATGCAGGGCGGCCGCTTGAGAACAAACGTTAGCTGCAGCACTTTCGGCGCTATGTAAAAGCATAACGTACCCAGCAATACCAACAGACTGTGGCATATGGAGAGCAGCGATCAGAGCGTCCCAGTATATTGGAGTGATTTTGTCGATGCCGAGGCGTGTCCGTATGAGAATTAATGTCGGATGGAAAGTTTGTCCATCGGGCTTTGCGATCTTCATAAAGCTATCCTCGTAAACATCCTGGCCGTCATTGGGTGAGTAGACATGAAGAGGAAGTCCTGAAGAAGTTGTGAGAGCTCTGTGTCCCAGTGTCAGCTATGTAGGCTGTTGAAAAGCTTAGGAATACTCATCGTACTGAATACACTGAGCAGTAGCAGATGGACCAAACCACTCGCCCGGAAACTTTCCACAAGCTGTGGCCCCGTGGCGTACAAAGTTATGGATTGAATATGGGGCTCTTGGATCGTCGGCAAACATGCTTATTAGCTGGCGTTCCTCTTCCTGGGATTGGCCGCGCCGCCAGTCTTGAGAGCCCCAAGTTAGATAGACTTTTCAACAAGAGGTCAGTTGTGTTGTGAGAAAACGCACCTCTACCTAATCGCAGAATGCCGACAGTTGTGGCGAGAAGGCATTGCCCAGAACGAATCATGCAACCCCAGCCACTATCGGAAGAGAAGCCAGCTGAATCTGAAAGCGTGCTCTTGATCCTCATGGAAAATGAAAGAGCAGATGCAGCTTTTGGGTCCACAGATTTTGGTATAGGTTCGAATCCGGATCTGTATGTCATCCAAAACTTGGATGCCATGTCTTCCACGAATGCTGAGGGCCATCCTCTTTCTGGAGGCGGCTCCTCGTCAGCTACCGCTGATGAGAGGCTACTCGAGGTGGACGCTGGCGGTGTTTCGAGCGCATTTACTGACGATTTGGATACTGGCGGAGGGCTTTGGGCCGGAGGCGAGGTAGCAGCGGCATCTAGTGGACTGGATTCTGGTGCATCGTGGCTAACGGAGGTTGTCTTGCCTGCAGCTCTGGAGCTGGAATCGTCTAGCTTGTAAGAGCGGCCCAGACACCAAACAGGCTGATCACTGTTCACATCGTTGGAAGGCTCGGGATCCCAAAACATTTGCATGATTCTCCGATATCGTCCGAGGTCGACAGATATATTAGATTCCATAGCTATTGATAGAGCAAGCTGCCGTTCTGACGTTCAACGAGCAAGGTTGTCACTGCATGTGCCGCTGTTGACTAACGGACCTACGAGGTATGTCATAGGGCTGCGCATGTGCAAGGCAAGGTACGTACCAGAAGCACATGCTGCGCCCCGGGTGCTCCACAGAGGCAGGTGCCTGCAATGCGGGTTGTACACGCGGGTTGTACGTTAAAATGGAATAACAAAATAGAAATAGAAAATGGCTTTGATAGGTGTTTATGTTCGATATCCTACAGCTACTCATGCTGCATTGCCATGACGACTAGGTGCTTGTGATGTAAAAATACATGTGTATCTGTTTATATTCATTTACAGATTTCATCGTGGCTACTGGTACTATGTATTCATCGCCCCACGCCGTATTTTTAGCACGCTTTATAAACGGCCAGTGACATAGTGACATTACCATTTCTCGTCATTTATCATTCTCCTAACCATAGACCATACAGCACACACCTCTATGCAGTTATTATCTATGCTTCCGTCTTGTTCACCTCCCTCTACGACACCTCTCTCTCTTCCCCTATGCGTCCATGGTTGACATTTCAGACATAAAATATATAGAACGAACTAAGACTGCTAATCAGTCAAGCAATGGCGAAGCCACACCTGATGCCTCGGACAAGCCGATAAAGCTTGGAGACTTCAGCAAGCTCTTCTCCGAGTTCCTCAAACCCGCTCCGCATAGAAATGACTCTGCTTCCGACCTGTCGGAAGAGAGCAGTTACAATGAAGACGAAAGCTTCCCACGAAGCCTAGTCTCCTCCCGGGCCAGCAGGCTGCCACCATCAGCCTCGGAACATGCTTCTGAGCAATCAGTACATGATGCCAGCCGGACGATCCGTGCCCAAGATGCCTCTGCCCATCAACCACAGCCCAACTTCATCAGATATAATCTCCGACGTGACGTGCAGTCCATCTTTGCGAACGGTTACAGTACCAGCGTTCCTTACGAGCCGGCGTCATCATCATCGTCTTCATCTTTTTCAGCGGCCTCGACGGCTGTAGAACACGGCGCATCGTGCCATACCTCCATCTGCGGCAAGGGACATCGGGTTGTCGAACAGTCAGTCTTCCTGACAAGCTCGCATGCCGAAGACCCCAAGTGTTCGGCTCAATCCAAAATTGATAAATTCCCCAGTCGCATGGGCGGGGAGCTATCATTGATTGAAGATAAACATCAGTCGCTCATGATGGGTCTTGTCCCTTACCGCATCCGAGACGCTGCCATGGCAGAAAAACACCCCGACATTACATCCCAAGGCATCCATGTTTTCGTCGATATGTCCAACATCGATATTGGGTACCAGACTACATTAAAAGAGAGTCGATCCATTCACAAAAGCTCCCGTCTCTCGCCTTTGCCCCATCTAAACTTACAGCTTCTGACCAAAATTCTTATCCGTGATCGGCCAGTGGCAGCCCTTAATGTGTGCTGTTCTACCCTCCCAGGGCGTTCAGAGCCTCGATATGTGCAGCAGCTGCGGGAGCTGGGGTACCACATTGATCTGAGAGAACGTAAAAGGGTTAACGACGGGCTTTTCTCTGCAAAGGCGCCCGAGACCCTTCGTTATGTCGAGGATCTTGTGGATGAGACGCTACAAGTTCGCATTGCCGAATCCGTAATGGAGCATTTTCTTAAACCCGGCACAATAGTCTTGGCTACCGGGGATGCGAAGCCGTCTGTACACTCGGATGGGTTTTTCTCATATATGCAGCGTGCACTACGCATGGGTTGGAATGTCGAGGTCGTCTCTTGGAGGGGCAGTCTCTCCCTAAAATGGACCGATAGACAATGGACATCTCAATGGAATGGCAAGTTTCGCGTTATCGAACTAGATGAATTCTTGGAGATATTAAAGTAGTATACACAAATATAGTAGAACATCATGATGGCTGCTCATGATGCGTAGCGCACGAATTTTCCATGTGTGCTATATATTTTCAAAGTGTACATTGTAATCGTCTATTTAAAAAGAGTGCAATGAGGTTGACTGAAAGCATGGTTGCAAATGCAGTTACAAAGTTAACTCGTGTATTCAGAATGAAAGCGGGTTCGCCGCAAGAAAGACATGTAGTATACAAGCAACATGATGTACAAGTGGTATCGTTTATATCCGCCGTTAAAGAAAACCATCCGTCTGTTCTAAAGCCTAAACTGTTCCAAAGCCCAAAAGAAAAAGAAAGTGAAAAGTCTTCGAGAGAGAATGTGAAATCATTTCATAGTCATGAAAGCTAGCCACCATTTCAAAAGATGAAAGTGAGATGAAAGTGGCCCCCCCTTCTCAACCAAATAAAGAAAAAAAAAAAAAAAAAAAAAAAAAAAAAAAATCTGGCAGCTATCATTTTCAATAGCTTGAAATAATCGTAAAAGAAAAATTTGCAGGGAGACCTAGCGTGTCAGCCCTCACGTAGAAGCGAAATTTCCGATTGAATGATAAGCCTGTCCGTCAACTCATTCAGGGAAATAGTGGTTGAGTCAAGTTGATATGCTCAATTCTGGCTACTTTCTCGCTCTTCTCGTATCGAAGCCATTCCTGAGCTGATGGTGCCAGTAGCTAAAGATGATTGGCTTGGAGGTGGCATTGCTGAGGTGGGGTGTTGTCCTGCTACTGAGCCTGTGCTGATAGGGGCTGCAGCTGCAGCCATCTTAATTGCGAGTTGCGCCGGGTCAAGGTTGCTTTCGCCGTTGCTGAGGGCCGGATTTGGAGTTTCACTCCTATGCAACGGCGAAGAGTGAATTGGGGATGTTGATTTCTTGCTCTGGGAATCAGTGTTTCCACTATGGCCACCCCGCGTAGAGTTGCGTGGGGATACCCTTCCGGTCTGGTTTTAAAGTCAATTGAAGCTCATCACATCAGATTTTGGGAGCTGGTGGTCCTCTTACCTGTTTAGCCCAGCGTAGACCGCAGCTATTGCACAGATCTCGCTGTCCACTCGGCCCCCTCCGCCATTCTGGAGTATTTCGAGTATGGCAGTTGGCGCAGTCGCGAACTACATTTCCAACCCCCTTTCTTCTCTTCCGTTTCTTTTTGTTTGATAGCAAGCCGCCAAGCTCCTCCGCCAAGATTCGATTGATTTTTTCCATTTGTCGAAGCTCAAATTGCCAGCTTGAGCATTTTGTCGTCCTCAGTTCGTCGAAGATGTTGTCGTCAGACGCAAGTGCGGCATCTTGAGATCCAGGTGGGATCGCTCCGCCTGCTGGCTGTGAAACCTGGCCGCTATGGCCCGTCCCCTGGTTGTGCAGAGGGTTGGCGACGAATAGTGAGCTGCCCGCGGTTAGAGTCGAAGGAATATGGCGAGATGATGCTTTCAGAAGCTTTGTTTGGGCCAGAAGGAAAGATGGCTTTTGACCCTCCAAAGCATCCCCGGGATATAGAGTGGTTTGAGCTTGGAGTCCCTGGCCCCGCCGATTAAGCATTTCATGCTTGCAAGTGGAAATTTTCCCTCTTCTCGCTTTTTCAATCGTGCGTCCGAATTCAGCTCGTGACTCTTTGCGCATCAATTCCTGAATGCTTGTCCCAATCAAGGACTCAGGCTGTAGGTCCAAAAGTGACCTAATATTTGTCGAAGTTGAGAGAAACATGCCAGATGTAGACAGCTTGCTCCAGAGTTCGCTGTCACCAATGCCACCATTAGCTTCCAAAATACGCCTACCAAGAGCAAAGACAGGCCGTTTCCTGCCGACCAAGATGATGCATTTGCGCCCTCTGCCCTGGTCGACGAATAGGGACCCGTGACTTTCGAACCACGTATATCCACTTTGTTTGCGCCGTATTCGGAAAACAATATTAACATGAGTGCCCGCCGTTGCGTCTTTCAGCTCCCGTGTGACGGGAACAATGTCTGAAGGATGACAAACGGAGGACAAGGAATTCCCAACCAGGTCAGCGGCATCATATTCGAGAATGCGCTTGCAAGAAGGTGATAGATAAAGGAAGAGCCCTTTAAGTGATATAACATGGACTACATCGTCGGCGTTTTCGAGAAGCATCTTATCCCATGACTGTTTATGCCAATCCGAAACGAGCCCGTTCGGGTTATACTGCTGGAGGAGGGTGGAAATATCATCCACTCCAAGTGTCTGACCGTTCTCGGGTTCCAAATGATTAGATGGCGGCGGAGTCCATATATATTGGCCAATATCGCTGTGCTTATAGTTCACCTTGACGCCTCCCATTTCTTGACCAGAGATGGCGTCAGGGCATTCAACTAGATCGATTTGAAAGCCGATGAAATATCTTATTTCATCAGTATCCCAGGGAATGGGTATCATCGTCAAAAGATTGAGAAAGGGCTTTCCTCCCTTGCGGTAGTTGATTAAGCTCTGTTGTACCTCGCGGCCCTCCTTTATCATTCTTTTGAGGTTAAATACGGCTCCGTCGTCCACAAACTCTCGCTTTGATCCCGCTTCAACCTTTCCATCGGGCGCCTGAAGGAAGCGACAGTTTTGTCCAATAATCTCATGGCGGCTGTATCCAGTGAGATTCTGGAAATTATCAGATACGTAGATAATGGGGCAATCATTCATCGTAACATCACAAACGACAAAGGCACAGGACATATCGACAGCGCCCAGGTGGATTTTAGGGTTCTTCCGAGTCGCAACTAGCCACAGCGCTTTCAGCATATCGAAACCACTCTTGGAGTAAATGGTTCTTTCTTTTGATTGGTCTCTGGGAGTCGAAATTGGCATGGGGGTTACACCGCCAGAGCTTGGCTGAGCCATGTCCATTGGCGAAGCATTTTGCTCGGTGGGTATAACTGGTAGAGGGCCAGGCAGGGAAGAGGGCATGTTTGGCGCAAACCCTCTCATGCCAGAGTCAACGTTTATGTGAGAGGGGCCAGCATCTAACGGTGCGAACTGTTGGAGGGGGGCGTTTATCATATCTTCGTCGCGCCCTACGGCCATGCCTTCGGGGCCATTATTTGAGCGAACTCCTAGCGATGCACTGTTGGGATCTCCAGTGATGGCAAAGCCATCATTGCCCGGTGCCGGCGCAAACTGCCCTGTGTTCAGCTGGGCAGCAATAGGCGAAGCAGTCAGGCCTGAAACTTGGCCGCCAGTACCAGGGAAAAGATCAATGGTCGAAGGTTCGGCTGCCATCCCTCCCATGTCCATGCTCGCGAATTGAGTTGGCATCATAGTACCCATGATATCCTGGGACATGGCCTGGAAGCTGCCGGTATCCGTCACATAACTGCCCATCTGATCTTGCATGCCGATGCTGGCGCTGACATCGGGGAAGTTGGGGGGGATTTCCGGGTCAAACTGATAGCCGCTGAAATCGGGTGCTCTGGTATCAAATCCCATCATATCCCTAGGGCCAATAGTCGACATGCGGCGAGGAGGAAGGTCCTGTGGCGCGGAGGCCATGGCGTTTCCGTGGGCCGGGGGCATGCTTCTTCGTCTCTGGATGTCGTGGTGGCGCATCGCATCGTCCATGTGGTTGATGGGTACAGCAGCCTGGTCGGCAATCATGTGGTTCCCCAGCGCGGGTTGCAGCTGCTGGGACTGCTGAAACTCTGGGATCGACATGGCTAAAACGCCGGGCTGCGGGTGCGATTGCTGCTGTTCCTCCGGGGGAGGCAGCTGGTTTGTCTGGTAGTAGCCCTCCATTGCGCCAGCATCTATCCAGGCGTCCGAGGCCTGTCGACCGTCTGGTCGCCGAGGAGAAAGAGGGCGAGGATGGCGCCGTGAGGATAGCGCCGATGATAGAGGCGAGCGCTGGCTCTGGTCTTCACGCTACTTCCGTTTCGCAGGGACGGCGAGAAATCGTTGTTTGGTCCGGCGGGAGACAGGCGTTGTTGCGCGGGGTATGGGGCGTAAGGTGAGCCTTGTGCTGCTGTGGTGGTCTTCGAGATGGAGCTCAACACGGTGCGTACTAAGCAGGTGCAAACGAAAGGCCGTCCGGCGCGGAACTCTGTGGTGGCGATTCCTTGGGAAGATGTCGATCGAGCAAACGTGTGGCAACTAGTGTAGTTCTCATGCGAGGGTTCAGATGTGCATCCCTCGAGCGGGTGCGCTGCAAGACGAGCGCAAAGCGAGTGCCAGTTCTCAGGAACGAGAGCTTTGGTTAGGTCCAAGCACCAGCGTCCATGTATCTCATGGCTCGGAAATGGGATTTTGCAGCAGAACTTGCTTGGGAAAACCACTAATAGAGGTGGTGCTATTACGGCATGTCTCTAGGATAGGCAACATCTCTGCCACGGGTTGGCATATTATGTAATCGCACTCCATGCCGCAGATCACCGATGCCTGCTACGCGCCCAAGGCAGGGAGAGCAGCAGCAATGACCAATCCTTTGCCTCTGCTCTTTCTCGGGTAATGAGAATCCAAGACAGGTGTCTGCTAAACGAAGTGTAGACGACCCAGCGATACGGGTGCTGGGGTGGACATGTAGCCAGTTTACGCTTATTCTAATAGTAGTACTAACACAGACTTGGGATAGAAGATGTTGGAGAACAAAGGTGGGTGTATAAACGCCAACATGACCAGGAATATCGGTAGTTCAAATCAAAATTCCACTCAACGCTACATATATACCGCTGATGGGACAGATACTCGACAGAAGTCAAACTGTGTCCGGCAGACTTAACAAATGCCAGCAATTTCAGATCACAGGGTAGCACATACGGATGTGAATAACTACACTAGTATAATTCACAAAAGCCGCTCCAAGCACACCACCGATTTAGACATGCTTCATGGCGTGATAAAAGAAACGGCGCCCATTCCCGATGAGTTAGTTACATTGCGACCCTGCGCTAGGTTTGTTGCGATGGATGCCGATCATGGACCCCTGCCAGATAATGCGTAGATGCGTATATTCTTTCGGGCAATCGAAGACCTGCAAGCTTTAGGCATATGATTGTGCCAGGTAACGCGCACTCGGAAACAAAGTCTGGCTTTCCTCTCGCTCCTAGGTGTTCGCAACAGCCTACTCCCCTTCCTGTAGCTGTATTGGGCGGTGCGACTGTCGCAGCTTCAATCAAGACTAACCTCCGCAAATACGCAAGCGGACCCATGTGCGTGCTGTACAATGTGCTCACCACCGGCCTCATTTGAAGATATACCCACGCCATGGCGGCTGTTGCTTGCCATTTCATCGCGCCCGGGTTGGTAGGTGATAGACACGCTGTAGACGCTCTCATAGCCCTGGTTCTCACATTGGCTTCTCGTACGCAAGAAAGAGACGCTCCTCGCAGAGAAGCACATAACGAAGTCTATATTGTGCTCATCTGGCCCTCGACTACGCTCCCCTCAGTCACTGGCCGTGATACTGTTAGTCATTGTCAAGACCGTCCCAACTGAAAGACCTAGTCGATGGCGTGAAACCATCTAGTGTCCCGAATAAAGCTCTACCGTTCGGTATCGACCCAGCAACAATACGAGACAATTTCTTTGGAAGTTAGAGGGGGAATATGAATACTATCCGACAGCGAGTTCTTTGAGAGAAGTTGTGTATATTTTTGTTCTGGGTGGCCACCCAATAACGGAGCAGACTTGTGGAGCACGGAACTGGATCTGCGCTCATCACTGAAGATGATATTGATTAGGATGTCCATCTATGTATAATACCAGATTCGCCGATTGCCCGCGGCACCCGCCAAATTTTGCGTGAACCTTCAACACTACCTCACACACCCCCTAGGAGATGACTGGGACATCCTATGGCTAGGATACTGCAGTGAGTCATTTCTAGAGACAGTAGAGGAGAATGTTGGCCTTTTCGGCCAAAAATTCGGCTCAAATGTCGGCGAAGAATATTATTCATGATATGACGGTGCCGCCATATAGCAAGGTATCGCTATTGGTAGCCTGGAGCAAATATCGGCTGCACACAAGGAATTGTTCACGCATCTGCAGCTCCTATTCGTGCGTATGCGTATGCTATTTCTCAAAGAGGAGCGAGGAAAATTCTCTTTGCATTAAGCGTGGATGGCCTTCACATGGCATTTGTCAATTCACTAGCACAGCTTTGCAGAGACGCAATGCGTGAAATGGGAAGCGCAAAGCAATGGATACAGCACGAAGGGCCCCAGTGTTAATTCCACAATTATGTTCCGCTGTATAGGAAAAGGACTGGTGGCCGCCAGCAGCGACATCCAGGACCTTGGTGATGATGGCAGTATTCGCCAAACGGGCGTGGCAGAGTCTATCATATGAGTATGAGACTGATGTGAAGAACATACTGACCAGTAAAACGCTAGAAGCACAATTTTGAAAGCTATTATAAACCACAATGAGGCAGGTAGCTGGAGAGATACCTAGATATTATAATAGTAGCAGATGAAGACTATTATTAACATACCAAGTTGTTAACTCTTCCCTAGCCTGACAACCTTTGTAGCTCTTATAATTAAATCACCCCCTGCTACTGTTTCTATTCTTAATATCCGCCTCTTCCCAATACCTTAATAGGCGGTATAGCAAAACAATCTATATCTAAGCCATTTACATACTGCACCTATAGATCTTTTTGGATGTTTTCGTTACCCTCTGCTCATTTCAAATCTATGGCAACATTCTATCGATCAAATGGAGCTAAACCTGCTCAAAATTTTTGAACAGTTTTATCCCTGGTAATGCGATTTCTACGAATTGCCTTGATGTTTCCCATCATAAACGCAACGATTCCATCCGCTTTTTTATGGCATCCGGCGTACGGCAAATTGGTTTCGGTAATTGTTGCTGATAAGCAACTCGCAGCTCTAACGATATTGGAAACCGGAAGCATAAGATCATGAACATTGTGTGATCGCACAGTGATGCTAATAATTCCCGCTGAAATGGGACCGTAGCAGCAACATTATCGAGTTCAGGTTCAGCGCCGCGTAGGATCATCTGGCTACAGGCACGGTGGATCTATTGCGGTATCATCTGATGCGTCAGATGCTAATGATATGACTATTGTGCTAGCAAATACAAATCACAATATCGGTTGATACAAAAACTTTGGTGCTTAGAGGTTGAGAGTTTTTGACACCCCGGTCGCTAGAGTAGCGGGAACAGAAACAGCAAGGGAAGGGGTAGGAATCGCGCGGTTAACAGTATAATTGATGTCTGATGCAGCAAGATGGGGCGTATATGGCTCTGCTAATTTCACGACATTCCACTCGTGTAAGCAGTACCGTCCATCACTACTATTCGAGTTCTGAATTACATGCTTTTCAATTTTCATGTAGCCTACTATTATAGCGTGAACCAGGGACTCCCAAACTCCATCCATCCCAATATTTGCGGACCGAAGTGACTATTACGTATAACTCATTCCAATAAGCATGGTCTAAACTTCTAATCCAATGTCACCCTTTAACTGTTCAGTTTCCTGATTGAGTTGTTCAAAGAATATCTCGACTGCGCGAGTAGCTTGTGAGACGACAGGAGATTCGTCAGGCCGTTGTTCGATACGCAGTACTTTTTCTCGCAAGCCATGTAAAACCTCATCCCGATCTTTTCGCTTCTTTTCGCGCTCGGCTAACCACATCTCCCGCCCAGCAAGGTATTTGGCGCTATGCCCAAGTCCCGCGCTTTCTGGTGACAGGCCGCCGCATGAGCGATCAAGAGGAGCAGCCGAAAAGAATAAGACTCTTCCGGCATCGTCGTGTTGGAATTGACGCCGTATCGTCTCGGGCAAGCCTTCATTGACGTTATCTGGTAACGTATAAACCTCAGGGGGCCGTGGCGGATTATACATGTTAGCATGTGCCTGAACGGCCCCAGGTGTACCTATTCCTGGTGGCCTGGGCACTGTGGTAGCATGGCCTTGCATGTACCCTGTAGGCCGAGTATTTGGCATTTGTTGATGATGCATAGGGATTACCGGTGATTGAGCGAAGCCTGGATTATAATTTTGCATATATGCAGGCTGAGGCTGATATTGATACTGCACTGAGCGCATTGACATATGTGAAGGAGGAGTCTGTTGCGGTGGATGGGGAATAGGTACAGGCGTTTGCGGTATATTTGATCCGGCAGCCTGAGGAACTGGCTGGAAATGTTGTGGGAGATGCCCGTAATACTGATTCGGGGCTGGTACTGCGCCAACCATGGAGTAAGGGACAGCTCCGTTTCTCGCTGCTTCACTTGTACTGTCCTTAACCCCAGGATTTATTGGGAGGCGTTGAGCTGGTTCCGTAGGAATCTTGGAAATGACAGGCATCGCAGGCAACATCATATCTGGAGGTGGTGATTCCTAGAATGAGCGAAACCGCGTTAGTCATGGCATAGGGGGTCATATCGTAATACTGAAACTTACATTCGGCCCTGGTTGTCGACGATGGACGGCGCCAATTATAGGTGGAGCATTCGGGCTTCCCCATGTAGGCCGCGGAAGTTCATCAGTTTCCTTGGCATCGTCACGCAGAAGGTGCTTGATTGGGCTGGGTATCTTCTTCATCTGATGGGGGATATCGAACAAGTCCATCTCATAGTCTTTATCTCGTACTTCATCTGGAACACAGCTCGCCCACGTTTTAATCTTGTTGAAGTAGAATTTTTCTTCGTTGTATCGAGACTCGCAGACGTAAACATCTTTGTCTGGGGAAAGTCCCCGGGGACGGCCTTTATTAAACCGCGTGACAAACATAACGTAGCAGCGGTCAATGACATCTGCGATCGGATGGTCGCGGTATTGGCCTGTCTTCACCACTTCGCGCTCGTAAAAGTGTTTTTCATATCGATGGACCGTTTGCTCAGGTCTATAATACCAACAGGCATTAATCCACTTTTGGCCCTCGCGATCCTGCCATGTGCGGAATATTTGAGCAACAATAGGCTTTGCCAAGTCATTGGGATTGCGAATGTGTACCCAGTCGCCTGTTTAAAATCACACAAAGTAAGCCAAAGTTGCCAAGGCGCGAAGAAAAGGAGAGCACACAACGAAGGAACGGCACTTACCAACTTTCCAGACTTCTCCGCCGTAGTCAATGCTTGCTAGAGGAAGTCTGCCGTCCTCGTCCCGGAAATCATCATCTGGTTTCAACTTTTCCTGTTCTGCCAGCACCCGAGCTTGTTGCTGCAGACTCACGGCAGCCTCGAATACTTCGCTATCATCTTCGTTATAAAGCTTTGCATTCTCAAACATCAGTTCCAGATCTGATAGCGCCTGGTCAACGGTTTGATATTTTTTTCGCTTCGCCTTCGTTTTGATGCTGTCCAACGCGATGGGATTTGTGATTATTTGGTAATAGTCTGGGACTACCATCTTATCCGGCAGCCTCTCGAATGGTGCGACGAGAGAATTCCCATCTTTATCCTTGACTTTCCTAAGGTCTTTGAGGATGGAAAAGATTCTGGCTTCCGTCGGGGTCAAAACCATCGGAGGCCGGCGGTTCTTTTGCTGGAAACTCGAGTCTTTATCAGTGCTGCGGTTGCCTCGCCTGGACCGTCTTCTACGCCCCCCGCCGTAGTCTTCATCGTCGGAGTCTTCGTCCGTATCCTCATCTTCCTCGTCGTCCTCGTCGTCGTCATCGTCATCTTGATTGCCCATGCGTCTCTCGGTTCTTTTCGGTCTTTCGTCGTCTTCGTCCTCAGCCTCAGATTCCAGCGACGGTGATGATTCGACTGGAGGCAGCTCTCCCAAATCTGGCAAACGCGCATCGTCCTCTGTGATATCTCCACTTTCAACGAGTTTTTGAAGTTCTATTTTAAAAACTTCTCGTAGTCGTTCAGCAGCGCCAAAAATAGGTGCTGAGGGGCGATTGTAAACCTGAGCATTGTGGCATATTTGGGCGACGTCTCTAACAAACTCGGGGAAGGCAGAATACTGCTTTTTTTGTATTTTACTCTACCATTACGTTAGCAACTTCGCTGTTGCGCAATTGGTAAGCCATAAAACGTACCCGTATAGTACTGAAAGCGATAGGTTCGGCAATGATATCGAAATAGTCGGGCAGGAGGCGTCTGTTGGGGATACGTTGAAACCCAGCTGCGAGCTCTTCACCACTGGAAATTGTTAAAATGGAGGCGCGTATCTCGCATTGCTTATGGAGCAACTCACCCTTCTTCGATGCTACATAAATATTTCGAAAGATCATGGATTAGCTGGAATAAATCGTGAGGTTCATCTTGAGCCGAGTTGTCTTCCATATCTACGCTAAATTCATTGGGGCTTTCTTTCATGTCGACATCGCCATCGACGGCCTCTTTGGCGTGCTCCTGGTCCATCTCAAGCTACGATTTGTCTCTGGATTGGGCCAGAAAAGGGCGTTTGGACGAATGGCACGGGTTATCTTGATTGTAGAAATGGTCTCCTCCACCGGCGCCCCATGTGTTTTTTTTTTCTCGTAGAATTCGCGATGACCTGGGATGGTCTCGCGAAGCATCAATACACTACATACATGGCGATAACCGGAACAAAGTTCTTCCCGTTCGTGTTTGCCGCTAACTGGTTAAGGAAATGCCTTAAAAGGCGACTCGACGTCTTGACACGAGCTGTTGTTTTTTAGGCTAACCTGGCAGCCGAGGTACCTACAAGTAGGTATTCTGCACAGCAGGGCGCCTCCGCTGTCTAAAGCTATACAGCAACAAATGGATGCCAGTTGAATCATCGATATGTCAGTATTGGGATTTACTGACAAACCAGAGCTCAATTGATGCTCTGGGGGGTCAAGACGAGAGAAAAACTGGTTACTTGTAGGCGTAGGGTATGAAATGCTACGTTGAAGTTGCTCCACCGCGGTGCAAGGTAGCGCCCAAGGCTGATACGTTAGTGCTACTCCATGCCGGAGCTACTGTGGCTATGACGCCCAGACGCGTATTAGATTTTTTTCCCGCTTGCGTCTGCGCACTGCATTTGGCCACTGAAACGCACTGTACGGACATGAGTGGCTTACACTGTCCGCGATGTACCCACCATGTCCGTTCCTTGCATTATATTTCCGATGGCCTGTCCGAAACCCCCCTGACCCAATCCGTCTGGTGGAATCGCAGCTAAAATTTTGGTGGCCAAGGGGCAGGGCAGGGGAATGCTCGAGACGCGAAAGGCTAACGGTCCTTAATGCTACGGCATCTGCCACTGCGGACTCCGCATCGTGTCAAATCCTAAGATTGTGCTTTGGCGTTCGATTCTGGCTTCCGCCAGTCCCGTAGCCAGGCTGTGTGGTAATAATAGCAGCAGTACGAGGTACCTCTGATTGGCCGTAGCCCGCGCCTGCATGCATGTACTCCATGCTCCGCAACTAGTCCTAACTTGAGCTGTTTGCCATCCAAGCGTGTGTGCCCCCCTTTCCTAGCATCCCCACTTCTCTTTTCCAGCACTGATACACACGATACCTCCGTACTCCGTGCAAGTGTAAAGGGGGAGGGCGCCCCTTAATGGCAGCTCAGTATGATTTCACGTGATCTCCCGTCACTTTTGTAGAGGTTTCCTGTTTCCCGCCAGCTTGCTTGTCCTTGGCAGTCTTTCTTTCTGACGCTGATCTTTCTTGTCTCTTCATAGTGTCCTTACGTCTCTCGTTTGCTGTCTTGTTGTTGCTGTGATTTTTTTTTTCTATTCTCACAAGTGCTTCTCGTGCACATCACGTCGTTGCTTATTGAAACAAAAGTGTCCACTCTTGAATTGCAGTCAAGCGTTTCTCGTCACTAGGTCACACTGCTAGGCCTCTGTTCGTGCGAGCTACCGCTAGCTGTCCCATTTGCATTCCATCACTCGTTTTATTCTGTTTGCAACACAGCCCAATTCATGATCCCCAACATCTAGGTAAGGATTATCATCTACATTGTCCTGCCGTCATCACAGATCATTAATCTCGAGCTGTGTCTGCAGGTAACATTTGCTCAAGATGTCGGGGTATCCGGCCGGTCATCATGACCAGTACGACCAAAACAATCAAACCGATTCATACTACCAGGATGACCAGTACTATGATCACAATTACGACGCCCATGGAGGGCACGGTGGTGGTCACCAAGGAGGAGATGGTTACTATGACGAATCGTATGACCTTTCGAACGCGACATTTCTTATGAATGTGTAAAGCTGACTGTGAAGCAGAGGATACTACAATGCAGACCCCAACAATCCCTACCATCACGATGGCGGGTATTACGAGGGCGACGATCAGTATCATGACGATTACCAGAACCATGGAGGCTATTATGATCAAAATTACAACCAAGGCGCTCGCCACGGCTCTGAAGAAGACTCTGAAACTTTCAGCGATTTTACAATGAGGTCGGATATGGCCAGGGCTGCCGAGATGGACTATTATGGCCGCGGAGATGAGCGATACAACAGCTATGACGACCCTCAGGGCGGCAACAGAGGATACAGGCCTCCGTCTTCCCAAGTTTCTTATGGAGGCAACAGGTCATCAGGAGCATCAACACCTAACTACGGCATGGATTATGGCAATGTTCTGCCAGCTGGGCAGCGCTCGCGTGAGCCGTATCCAGCGTGGACCTCCGATGCCCAAATCCCTCTCTCCAAAGAGGAGATTGAAGACATTTTCCTCGACCTAACGTCAAAGTTCGGGTTCCAGAGAGACAGCATGCGTAATATGTATGATCATTTTATGACACTGCTGGACTCGAGAGCCTCGCGAATGACGCCCAATCAAGCCCTTCTCTCATTACACAGCGATTACATAGGAGGTGATAATGCCAACTACCGCAAGTGGTATTTTGCGGCCCACCTTGATCTCGATGATTCGGTTGGGTTTGCCAATCGATCCAAGGGATTGAAGCGCAAAGCCAAGAATAAGAAGAAGAAGGGGGATGACCCAGCAAACGAAGCGGAAACGCTGCAGGATCTTGAAGGTGATGATAGTCTTGAGGCTGCTGAGTATCGCTGGAAGACCCGGATGAATCGCATGTCCCAGCACGACCGAGTTCGTCAGATTGCCCTTTACTTGCTTTGCTGGGGAGAGGCAAACCAAGTTCGATTCATGCCAGAATTACTCTGCTTCATCTTCAAATGCGCGCATGATTACCTGAACTCTCCTGCATGCCAAGCGCTGGTTGAGCCGGTTGACGAGTTCACGTTTCTCAACAACGTCATTACTCCCCTTTACCAGTATTGTCGAGACCAAGGTTACGAAATCCTGGACGGCGTTTATGTCAGACGAGAGCGAGACCACAAGAACATTATTGGTTACGATGACTGCAACCAGCTATTCTGGTATCCCGAAGGCATTGAGCGCATTGTTCTGCAAGACAAGAGCAAGTTGGTTGATGTTCCTCCCGCCGAACGTTACCTTAAGTTAAAGGATGTCAACTGGAAGAAATGTTTCTTCAAGACATACAGAGAATCACGTTCTTGGTTCCATCTCCTGACCAACTTCAACCGCATTTGGATTATCCATCTCACAATGTTCTGGTTCTATACCTCTCATAACGCCCCTACCTTGTTGGTCAAGAACTACGAGCAGCAAGTCAACCAGTCTCCCTCCGCAGCTAAGCAATTTTCTATTGTTGGTTTCGGAGGTGCTGTTGCTTCGCTGATCCAGGTTCTTGCAACTCTAGCGGAATGGGCTTATGTCCCAAGAAGATGGGCCGGCGCGCAACATCTGACCAAAAGGCTATTTTTCCTGCTTTTTGTGCTCGTTCTCAATGTTGCTCCAGGTGTCAAAGTTTTCATGTTTCCCGCCAAAGATGAGAATTCCCCAATCGACCACGCTATCGGCATTGTGCATTTCATCATCGCTGTCATAAGTTTCCTCTTTTTCGCCGTTATGCCTCTGGGAGGCTTGTTTGGCAGCTACTTGCTAACCAACTCTCGACGATACGTAGCTAGTCAGACATTTACAGCTGCCTGGCCCACATTGGCGTTTAATGACATGGCGGTCTCATACTTCTTATGGCTAGTAGTATTCGGAGTCAAATTTGGAGAGTCGTATGTATTTTTGGCTCTATCATTCAAAGATCCGGTTCGATATCTTTCGATCATGCATTTGGAATGCCAGGGTGATCAGCTTTTCAAAGACATTCTGTGCAAGAATCAGCCGAAAATCACTCTGGGTCTCATGATGTTCACTGACTTGATTTTCTTCTTCCTGGATACATATTTGTTCTATGTTTTGGTCAATGCACTCTTCTCAATCGCACGATCGTTCTACATCGGTTCGTCCATCTGGACTCCCTGGAGAAACATTTTCTCTCGTCTGCCGAAACGCATTTACTCAAAGGTCTTGGCAACGACCGACATGGAAATTAAATATAAACCCAAGGTCCTGATTTCTCAGGTTTGGAATGCTATTGTTATTTCCATGTACAGAGAACATCTTCTCGCTATCGATCACGTACAGAAGCTGCTGTATCATCAGGTCCCATCAGAACAAGAAGGCAAGAGAACACTGCGGGCTCCTACTTTCTTTGTCTCCCAAGAAGATCATTCTTTCAAGACAGAGTTCTTTCCTAGCAACAGCGAAGCAGAACGCCGAATTTCTTTCTTTGCCCAATCTCTCTCTACGCCCATTCCCGAGCCGCTGCCTGTAGATAACATGCCAACATTTACTGTTATGATCCCTCATTACGGAGAGAAGATCCTTCTTTCTCTGCGAGAAATTATTCGTGAAGATGAGCCATATTCTAGGGTGACACTTCTAGAATATCTCAAGCAACTTCATCCACACGAATGGGACTGCTTCGTTAAAGACACCAAAATCTTGGCTGACGAGACATCTCAAATGAGCGGCGAGGAGGAAAAGAATGAGAAAGACACGGTGAAAAGCAAAATCGACGACCTCCCGTTCTACTGTATCGGATTCAAGTCTTCTGCTCCTGAATACACCCTTCGAACACGAATCTGGGCTTCCCTACGCTTCCAAACTCTTTACAGAACAATCTCTGGTTTCATGAACTATAGCCGAGCTATCAAGCTATTGTACAGAGTCGAAAATCCCGAAGTCGTCCAGATGTTTGGTGGTAACACTGATAAGCTTGAGCGAGAGCTTGAGCGTATGGCCCGCCGTAAATTCAGAATTTGTGTGGCCATGCAGCGTTATTCCAAGTTCAAGAAAGAAGAAATGGAGAATGCCGAATTCCTACTTCGCGCTTATCCCGACTTGCAGATTGCCTATTTGGATGAAGAGCCACCTGTTGCCGAGGGTGAAGAACCTCGACTGTATTCCGCCCTTATTGACGGCCACTCGGAAATCATGGAAAATGGTATGCGGCGCCCGAAGTTCCGTATCCAACTTTCTGGTAACCCAATTCTTGGCGACGGAAAATCCGACAACCAAAATCATTCCCTGATTTTCTACCGTGGTGAATACATCCAGCTTATCGATGCCAACCAAGACAACTACCTGGAAGAATGCCTGAAAATCCGAAGCGTGCTCGCTGAGTTCGAGGAGATGAAGACAGAAAATGTATCTCCATATACCCCTGGTGTTAAAAATAACTCTCCTGCTCCCGTTGCTATTCTTGGTGCACGCGAGTATATTTTCTCAGAAAACATTGGTATTCTTGGTGACGTTGCTGCTGGAAAGGAACAAACTTTCGGTACTCTCTTCGCACGTACTATGGCTCAAATCGGAGGCAAGCTTCACTATGGTCATCCTGATTTCCTCAATGGTATTTTCATGACAACTCGCGGCGGTGTTTCTAAAGCTCAGAAGGGACTGCACCTGAACGAAGATATTTTCGCTGGTATGAATGCCATGTTACGTGGTGGTCGAATCAAGCACTGTGAATATTATCAATGCGGTAAAGGTCGTGATCTTGGTTTTGGTTCTATCTTGAACTTTACCACCAAGATCGGTACCGGTATGGGCGAGCAGCTTCTTTCTCGAGAGTACCATTACCTGGGAACTCAACTTCCATTGGACCGATTCCTGTCATTCTATTATGCTCATGCCGGCTTTCACGTCAACAACATGTTCATTATGCTGTCTATCCAAATGTTTATGATCTCGCTGATGAACATCGGAGCTCTGCGACACGAGACGGTCAAATGCAAGTACAACCGACAAGTGCCCATCACTGATCCTTTGTTTCCTACTGGTTGTCAAAACACGGACGCATTGATGGATTGGGTTCAACGCTGTGTTTTCTCAATTTTCTTCGTCTTCTTCTTGTCATTCGTTCCTCTTATCGTGCAGGAACTGACTGAGCGTGGTATTTGGAGAGCTCTTAGTCGATTCTTGAAACAATTCTTCTCACTTTCACCGTTCTTTGAAATTTTCGTCACTCAGATCTACGCGAACTCTGTGCAACAGAACATTTCGTTTGGCGGTGCACGATATATTGGAACAGGTCGTGGTTTCGCCACAGCTCGCATTCCATTTGGTGTTTTGTATTCTCGATTTGCTGCACCATCAATCTATTTCGGTGCGAGATTATTGATGATGCTGCTATTCGCCACCGTCACCGCTTGGCAGCCTGCACTCGCGTACTTCTGGATTACCTTGATGGGATTGGTTATCTCGCCCTTCTTATACAACCCCCATCAGTTTGCATGGACCGACTTTTTCATCGACTATCGTGACTATCTTCGCTGGCTGTCGCGTGGTAACTCGCGATCGCATGCTTCTTCGTGGATTGCGTTTTGTCGACTGTCCCGTATACGAGTTACTGGCTACAAGCGTAAGAATTTGGGCGACAAATCTGCTAAAATGTCAGGTGATGTTCCTAGAGCAGCCATTGCCAATATTTTCTTCACCGAAATATTTACGCCGCTCTTGCTCGCTGTCGTAACGGTCATCCCGTACTTGTTCATCAACGCGCAAACTGGTGTCCTAGCAGACAAACAGACTGTTGCCAAGGGTGCAAACCCGCCAAAGATTCAGCCTACAGCCTCCCTTGTCCGTATTCTGATTGTCGCTTTTGGCCCGGTGGCCATCAATGCTGGCGTGTTGATGGTTATGTTTGCCATGGCATGTTTTATGGGTCCTCTCTTGAGTATGTGCTGCAAAAAGTTCGGTAGTGTTTTGGCTGCTATTGCGCATGCTTTGGCTGTCATCTTCATGTTGGTATTCTTTGAGGTACTGTTCTTGCTCGAAGGATTCAACTTTGCCCGTACAATGGCTGGTATGATTGCGGTGGTATCGCTCCAGCGATTCCTGTTCAAACTGATTGTCTCATTGACTCTGACGCGAGAGTTTAAAACCGACCAGTCTAACATTGCTTTCTGGACTGGAAAATGGTACTCTATGGGCTGGCACTCCGTCTCACAGCCTGCTCGTGAGTTCCTTTGCAAAATTACGGAACTTAGCATGTTTGCAGCTGATTTCATTCTCGGACACTGGTTGTTGATGTTCATGCTTCCGGTCATTCTCATTCCTCGTGTTGATACACTGCACTCAATGATGCTCTTCTGGCTTTTGCCCAGGTAAGTAACTGAATCAGCGAAATCAAGCAATCGCACATTGTACTAACATTCTTTGTAGTCAACAAATCCGCCCTCCGATTTACTCTTTGAAGCAGTCAAAACTTAGACGTCGTCGTGTCATCCGTTTTGCTATCCTCTATTTCGTTCTCGCTGTTGTTATGATTGCCCTGATTGTTGGACCAGTTTATGGTGGCAAGGCAGTTCCGGCCTCATTAAACAACCAGTTGTCTGATATTGCTGGTTTCCGATTGTTACAGCCAAACCACCAAAACCATGATAACACGAACGGAACCCAGCAAACTGGTACAGGGGCGCCAAACTATACCGGCGCTGGCAGAAAAACGACAAGCACAGGCGCGGGTGCTGGTGTCACTGGCAAGATCAGACTATTTTGATTACAGAGGTATACATTTTATCCAACTTAATGGCCCGTTCATTATGGAGCAAGTCTTCTAGCTCTCGAATATCTATTGTTACACCTATAGTTGCTTGATCTTTAAGGGATAGGTAGTATATGCTTGCTCCTCATTCATTGAGCAATGGCCCTTTATGAATTATCATAGTATTTTTTTTTTATATCTATTCCATAACGATGCTTGCCTAAATAGACTTTGTTTTCTTAAAAATATCCACTTAAAATGTCGTAAACATATTATAGTGACATGTGCGGAACCTAGTTGGTATTGAAGCGATAAGTGGCTGCGGTGAGACACTTAATACATGCATGCGAATACTAGTCCTTTTATAACTCGTCCTTCGTATGTGTCCCATCGCTTTCTAGTCTCCGACTTTTAGTGTTTTTGTCTTCTGCCCCGACTTCAGCTGTTTCTTCTCCACCTTCAGAAAGCCTCTCTTTGCCAGGAGTTACCGCCGCCTCCCCTTTGTAGATCTGGTGCAACGCGGCAATTTCTTCATCATAAGCAACCCACTCGGGAATCTGCCTTCTTGCTCGATCAAGCTTGGGCTCCTTTGTAAGCGGATTATTGCATAGATCAATGGTGCGAGCTTCGACGAGGCTTTCGTCACTACACCATGTCTCGCACCATAGCCACTCTTGAGGTAAGCTATGGATGGGGATATTGAACTGCATATGATTCGGCAAGTCTTGATCCAGATTGGCAAGGCTATTTGGATCCGCTGAAAGTGAGTGGTACTGTTGTCGAAGACGGTCACCGGCAGCTAACTCTCGGAAGCGTCGCAAGTCAACAACATAAAGGGCGGAAATATGGTAAGGGCGCCCACGAAGGTAGTTTGCCCAGTACCCCTGTTTCCAGAACCGGAATCCCTCCATTTCAACGCGGGAATCACACATGGGTGTAAATCCATATGGAGCTCCTTCTAGATCGAGATTCATTAGGTTGATCATGTCCGTGCGGACGACTTGATCGGCATCGACAAATATGACCTTGTCTAAAGACAGGGGGAAAAGGACGTCTAAAAATAGAATTTTGTAGCCCCAGATTTCTCGTTGCTTCTCCTTCTGCTGCCGTAGCCAGTGAGGCCACTTGTACGAGATCATTTCATATTTGAAGCCGTACTTCTCTGCCATGTGGGGTATGAATTCTTTGAAGGAAGGAGAAAGGAATTGTTCGATGAACCAAAACTTGACGGTGTGATTTGTATGGCGCATAACCGAGACTATCATGATGTTCAACATGCGCTCGTAGAGGTGGCCACTGGCTACGGAGAAGATGTTGATCTCTGCGTGTTCTCGTTCAGATAGCGACTTCGTCTTAGATTTTCCGCCAAAGAGACTTTCTGCCAGCTTAATACCCTTGGAGATGATATTGTTGTCCTGGGTGTCCTTTTCTTGGAGGATATCTTCCGCTTCCATGCCACTTCGCCTTCGGAGACGTGGATATAATGTCACGCCTTGGAAATCAATCAATGCGAGCTCAGTACCGTTATCGCCAGGAACGGGATTCCATCCCTGAGCGCCAATGCTCTCAATCTCATATATCTCGGAGCTGCGGCCTTCCTTCAATCGGATAGAATAAACTCCAGGATTTGCCTTAAACTGGAAAAAGCCGATATTCGCCATGACTATGGTATCTGTGATAAGGGGCTCTTTCTCGGTGGCGAGAATTAGCTGGGCTCCTCGCGGTGCTGATGCTTTGCCCTCTCTAGAATGTCCTTCAATAAGGATGTGCTTCAACTCATATGTGGCATGAACGTCGGTCTTCACTGCGCTTAATTTTATGTTGTCGAGATCGTGAATCGAATCTAGAGGTGCTACAAGCCATGCAGGCGGAACATCAACAGCAGTTGTCAACAAAGCCTCGGAGGGCAGACCATTGAAGGTAGCTTGTAGTCCTTTAACCTCGCCTTCATCATTGAAGGTCGGTTGAGACTTCAAGACATACCTGAAGAAACGCTTGACTGGAAGCTCCTCAATTTTTTCTGGAGGGTTGATGAAAAGCTTCAAGTGAACTCCCTCTAGCTCAGACAATACCTTCAAAATAGGAGCCCATCTTTGACCTTGCTCACTTACTGGGTTTATGAGCCCAACTATGTGAACGCTCGCAGCTTCCGGGTCACCCTTTTCAATTGTATGCGTTGAGGGCCATTTGTCATAAAGGCTGGTTCGAGCAGACGTTGCTGACTCAAAAATTCCCTCAGGCAGGTCAGAAATTGTAGATAGGGCAGCGATGGACGTTATTTTAGCTGCGTCCAGGGGAGTGGAGAGTTTATCGACCAAGCCAAGTTCTTCAACTGCTTTAAGAATTGGGAGTATGCGCCTCGCTTGCTCGACTTCCAAAAATTGTTGAAAGTCATCGACATCAAATTCGGAGTCCTCCGAAATGGGTCCAATCATTCTGCCGTTCAGCATAATCATTTGGGCTCCCAAGGGCACTTTCGAAGCTCCCAAGAATCTCTGTAAAGCCTCAAAATAACCATCTTTGTTTTTATCTTCAATTGGTGTTTGCATTAAATCGGAAAGTTCGCTGATGTCCTGAATGTCGCCCAGTGACCCTAGGTTCGCCATGAGTGCAGCATTTATCGAGGCAGCACCGTCGGATGATACAGGATTGTGAACGATCTCGATTCTGGCACCTGAGTTGCGGCGTTTGAACTCGAGAGCGGATAGAACTAGACCCTTGCCACTTGTCGTTGTCAGGTCAGCAATGACAGTCGCTGCCGACCAATCTTCCTTTAGTGACTCGGAAGCAAACTCGAGGACGGGGATATTGCTAAAAAGATCTGCATGCTCAATATAAATCTTGTTTATGTTAAGCACAGTGAGGCCTTTCCCTTCATCGTCGGGTGTTATATAGTCATTTCTCCTGGAGAGTGCCTTATTGAGGAAAATCCCAGGGGCCCAGTCGTCATCAGTAAGCATTCCGAGAAAAACTCCCTTTTGCACTACTCGAAGATCTTCCCCGATTTGCATTCCCAACTCTTGAATCCAATTCTCATCGCGGATAATTGGGAGGCCATTGAGAAACACTGGTCGAATCGGCGTGTCCACCTTTAGTCGCTTGATCCATTGCTGAGCGAATCCGAGCTGTTGCTCGTAGGTGTCTGCTTCAAGAACTTCAGCAAGACTCATTTTGTCCGAGTCCACAAGTGGTGCATGGTCTCCGGTTATTCTGGCAAAGAGCTCTTCGTTGGTCAATTTAGTGGCGTCTTCGAGCTGCCCTAGATAAGTAAAAAGGCCGTTGATACCATAATTCTCGAATAGGTGGTAAACTATCTTGGCTTTAACAATGGCCTCAGGAGTTGAAATTAGAGGAACAAGGCCAAATCTTATAGAGATACCCCGAGAAATGAAAGAAATCAATTGCATGATGTATGAAACATCTTCTGGGTTTGAGAAATCGACAGGTGCGATGAGAGTAAAGATATTCTTCCCAATGGGCGGCAGTTGTCCAGGATATGACGGTTGCAGTAGCTGGAGATGTTAGCACTGAGGCTTCCTGAGCAGGGTTTCCCCCCATTTTGTTACGACTTACTGATGTCAAGCTCTTTGGGTAATCCTCATAAACGTCGTCGCTTTCGATGTCGTTTAACCATATGATAACTCGCCCATCTTCAAGCCGATCTGTCCAATCATATCTCAGTGCCTCGCCGCCTTCCTTCGCGGTAGAAACATCTTGATGGCCGAGAATAGATACCGCTTGCTTTCCGTTCAGTCCAAGAGCACGAAAGCCATCGATTAGTTTTCGTTCTTGGCGCAGTCTCTCAATAAGAGCGAATGGCTCAATCTGACGCTCAATTAATTGAACACCATTTAGCCATAGCAAGTTTAGACCCCCCGGTACTCCTTTTAAGCTGTTAAGTTTAAACTCTTTTTCGAATCGAGTAGAAACATTGTGGGCAACAATTGAAGTTAGAAACTTGGGCAGATCCTGAGTCAACTTTACTAGTGTCTCCAACGGGTCATCACTTTGCAATATGAAGGATGTCGCTTTCAATCCAAGCGACGAGAGATCTGATGCTGTCAAAGGCTTGATATCGGCCACATCTTCACTGTCATCGAGACCGGCACCGGCACCAATATTCTGATGATGAGATTCTTCGTCTTGTAGTCGATCATCGATGACGATATAGTCCGTCTTCTTTAATGCCAGCTCAACACCATAACCACTCATGTGAAGAGTTGCTCTGGGCGTTGTTTGAGTGCGGTGATATCTAATTCGATAGCTCAGAGAGCCTTCTGCTGCGGCCTTTGAAAGAGCTTTATGGTATTCTCCAAACGTTTCCGAAGTTATGTCAGCATAGAGGATGGCTTCTCTGCCCGCGCCTAATACTCGATCAAATGGCAAATGCTTGTTTTGCCTATAGAGTATGTCAGAATTTGCAATGCTTTCAAGGCGAGGCATACATACAAGGACAGTAGACCATCTTTGATAACTTCCTCTAGTTCGGGTTTGCAATACTGCTTCCCATCCAACAGCACCCAATTGAAGCATTCTGATTCAGGTCCTTCGCCAAGAGTAGGGGAAACAACAGTGGAATAGTATTGGTAATGAGCTTCTACTCGAGGCGCTGCAGATCGCAAAGACAATGCCAGTTTGAATGTGGACAGACCCTCGGCGCTAGACAGGCAGCCATCTTCTTGCAAGACTTGAAGGAATTTCTCATATAAAGCAGCGTCTGTTGATGCAGAGGCGAAATATCCAGTAGCAATTCGGTCCAGGAGCGGAAAATAGGATGATGAATTCTCTGCTGCCGCGGTTTCTCTGCCAGCGTTGTTTAGTTATTTGTCTTACGGCGGAAGGGCTTTGGATAAATAATCACAAGAGTTCGAGCAAGTATGGACCTGCAGGAAAAGCTGCATTCATGCCCACATTCACAGAGGGAGCGCTATGGGCCTGCAGAGCAAGCATAGATCCGACAATCAAGTTCCATGGTCGCCAGCGATGCCGTGTCATGATAGGTGAGGGCCCGCAGAGTATATATGGAGGCGTTGAATGCCAGATTAAGTCAGTCCCTCACTAAATGATGCCAAACACCATTGACTGGTAGGACAAACGAGCAGCTTGGGACTGCAGAATAACTACGTTTGGATGACAAAATTCCTCGAAGGGTGCGATATAAGAAGGTCGGCGGTCTAATCCTCTATTGAGAGCTGTCCAAAACGGTACAGCTAAACGTAAATGGCCATGCACGCACCTAACGTTAGCAAATCAGCGCCACGTCTGGCGCTGCCGCCACATATGCCAAAGCAGCTCCCCCACTATCAGTATTAAAGGGGCAGCGGGGAGAGGCTATATGGAATATGCATCTAAGCAGTGACATGGCTTTACCAAGAAGATACATATATATCTCACTTACCTAGTATTTAGAAGGATATCATCAATTATAAACGCTATGCATAATTAAATTCTCATGATTCCTTCTTTTAAAAATTGATCAGCATTTATTCAAACTTTTTTTGTATTTATTTTACTCTCAAACACTCGTTATGTATCAAACGGATCGTGGATTGTACCCGGTATAAGAGGGGTGAGGCGCCTAAGGCGGTGAGAACGTCACGTCCAATGATATTGCGGGGCTGAGATTGGCTCAGTACCCACAATTGGAGATGGACACGATACTCAATTGGAAGCTGTTGCCAATACGACGCACTGTTCTATCTCGCTCCTTTTTACGCTGATTCCCTGGCCAGGCCTGAGCAGCTACTGTGGCCAGCAAAGATCTATCGAGCCGCTCAGCTACACCTCTCTGACGCATCTATACTCATCTAATCGCTCCTTTCCCTTGATGTGCGAGGCTCCGACCTCACCTCCCCGCCACAATGCAGTCTTCCCCAGGAATGTTGACAAAGGTATGCTATTCACGGATTGCCCAGCCCGGCGTGTCGACTAATGGCCCTCCAGTTTGAATCGAAATCATCAAGAGCCAAGGGAATCGCGTTCCACCCGAAAAGGTAGCTGCGCCTCTCCTATCAAGCGTTAGACTTTGGAAAGCTGATCTGGTGTATTAGGCCATGGATCCTCGTGGCGCTTCACTCCTCCACAATCCAGCTCTGGGATTATCGGATGGGCACGTTGATAGATCGATTTGAGGAGCACGATGGCCCAGTCCGTGGCGTCGACTTTCACAAAACACAGCCGCTCTTCGTATCGGGCGGCGATGATTACAAGATCAAAGTCTGGTCGTACCAGACTCGACGATGCCTCTTTACGCTGAACGGCCATCTTGATTACGTTCGAACTGTTTTCTTCCATCATGAACTGCCTTGGATTCTCTCTGCCTCCGACGACCAAACAATTCGAATCTGGAACTGGCAGAATCGAAGTTTGAGTACGTTGCTGATTTTTCTGAGCTCTGGTCCGCCACGGTGATGCTAATTATGCTCTAGTTTGTACCATGACCGGGCATAATCACTATGCCATGTGCGCCCAATTCCACCCCAAGGAAGATCTCGTCGTTTCAGCCTCCCTTGATCAATCAGTCCGAGTTTGGGATATTTCGGGACTTCGAAAGAAGCACTCAGCACCGACTTCGATGAGCTACGAAGATCAAATTGCGCGAGCAAACCAAAACCAAACCGACATGTTTGGTAATACAGATGCAGTTGTCAAGTTTGTCTTGGAAGGCCATGATCGTGGTGTCAACTGGGTGGCTTTCCATCCTACTATGCCTCTGATTGTTTCAGCAGGCGATGATCGCCTGGTGAAGCTCTGGCGCATGAGCGAGACTAAGGCTTGGGAGGTTGACACCTGCCGCGGCCATTTCCAGAATGCCTCAGGTTGTCTTTTCCACCCACACCAGGATCTCATTTTGTCGGCCGGAGAAGACAAGACCATTCGAGTCTGGGATCTCAATAAGAGGACCGCTGTGCAGTCTTTTAAGAGAGAAAACGACCGCTTTTGGGTTATCGCAGCTCATCCTGAAATCAATTTGTTCGCAGCTGGCCATGATAATGGTGTCATGGTTTTCAAGCTGGAACGCGAGCGTCCCGCTTCAGCTGTCCACCAAAATACCCTCTTCTACATCACCAAGGAGAAGCATGTCAGGTCGTACGATTTCCAGAAGGATGTGGAAAGCCCAACTTTGCTGTCTTTGAAGAAACTAGGCAGCCCCTGGGTTTCACCACGCACTTTGTCGTACAACCCTGCCGAGAGATCTATTCTTGTCACCACTCCTGCTGATGGTGGCTCTTATGAACTTCTGAGCCTACCTAGAGACGGATCTGGCGTAATCGAACCGACAGAATCCAAGCGAGGATCGGGCAACTCTGCTATTTTTGTTGCCAGAAATCGCTTCGCCGTGCTAAACACTGCCAACCAAACAATTGATATCAAGGATCTGTCGAACAATACAGCTCGTTCGTTCAAGCCTCCAGCGGGAACTACTGATATTTACTTTGGAGGAACTGGCAACCTCCTTATTATTACGCCGACGACAGTCTATCTTTACGACATTCAGCAGAAAAAGACCACCGCCGAGCTTGCAATCACCGGCGTTAAATACATTGTGTGGTCAAATGATGGTCTATACGCTGCTCTACTGAGCAAACACAATGTGACTATTGTAACAAAGACTCTGGAGCAAATCAGTACATTGCATGAGACAATTCGCATCAAGAGCGCCACTTGGGATGATGCGGGCATTCTTTTATATTCAACCCTGAATCATGTCAAGTATGCCCTACTGAACGGCGACAATGGTATTGTTCGTACCCTCGACCAAACGGTTTACTTAGTACGCGTTAAGGGGCGGAATGTCTACTGCTTAGATCGAGCGGCTAAGCCTCGAATTCTGCGCATTGACCCAACAGAGTATCGTTTCAAAATGGCGCTGGTCAAGCGGAACTATGAAGAAATGCTTCACATTATCCGTACTTCCAGTCTTGTCGGCCAGTCTATTATCTCATACCTGCAGAAGAAAGGCTATCCTGAGATTGCGCTGCAGTTTGTACAGGATCCAACTACTCGTTTTGACCTGGCAATTGAATGCGGCAACTTAGATGTTGCTGTAGAGATGGCCAAGGAGCTAGATAAGCCAAAATTCTGGACTCGACTGGGCACTGAAGCACTTGCCCATGGCAACCACCAGATTGTGGAGATGTGCTACCAGAAGTTGAAGCAGTTTGACAAATTATCATTCCTCTACTTGGCGACTGGTGACCATTCGAAGCTTGCGCGAATGGCCAAAATTGCGGAGCATCGTGGAGATTTCACTGCCCGATTTCAAAACGCCGTGTATCTTGGAGATGTCGAAGATCGCATTCAGATGTTGAAAGAGATTGATCTGTGTAAGTAATACGGCTAACCCTCAACGCCCTCTTCTTCTACTGCAGCGCTAACTGTATCATAGATCCTCTTGCGTATGCAACAGCTAAATCCCATGGGCTAGAAGAAGAATGCGAGGCTATTCTTGAGGCTTCTGGTCTCACTGAAGATCAGCTAACTCTGCCTACAATGGGCAAGCCGTTGGCACCGCCAAAGCCAGTCGTATCCACGTTCAAGAGCAACTGGCCCAACAAGGCTAGCTCTCAGTCGTACTTTGAGAGTGCTCTTCTGGGCCAGGTAGAAGGCTTGTCTCTCGAGGACGAATCGAACACCGCCAATGGAATAGAAGCTGAGCATGCTACAAAGGAGGAAACCGCAGATAAGCTCATTGCTACTGCTGGCGAAGACGACGATGATGCGGCAGGCTGGGATATGGGCGACGACGATGTGCCCGAAATTGACAATGACTTTGTGAACGTCGATAGTGCAGAGGCAGGCGGTGCTGGAAGCTGCGAGGCTGATATTTGGGCACGAAATTCACCTCTGGCAGTTGACCATGTTGCTGGAGGCTCATTTGAAACGGCCATGCAGCTTCTGAACCGACAGGTCGGCGCAGTCCAGTTTGCCCCTCTAAAGCCTCGATTCTTGGAGGTCTATCAATCTTCCAAGACCTTCCTCCCGGCGTTGGCTAACTTGCCCACCCTTCTTAATTATGTCCGCCGTACTGTTGATGAAACGGATCTTCGAAAAGTTCTGCCCATTATCCCACGCGATCTAGAACATTTGGCCTCCAACGATTTACAAAAGGGCTACGATTCTATGAAAGCTAACAAGCTGGAAGATGGCGCCAGCATCTTCAAGGGAATTCTACATGCAATCCTTGTCAATGCTGTTTCTAGCGAGAGCGAAGTGGCGGAGGCTAAGAAACTAATTGTTTCAGCAAGGGAGTACAGCATTGCCATGGATATCGAGCTGGCGAGGAGAAACCTTGGCTCGATCGATGAGATTGCACAAGACCCCGCTAAAGTGAAGAGGAGTCTGGAGTTATCCGCCTACTTTACTATTCCGAAGATCGAGGTGCCTCACAGACAAATTGCGTTGCTGAGCGCCATCAAAGTGGCGATAAAGAGCAAAAATTACAACTCCGCTTTGGGCTTCGCAAACCGCATTATTGCCAATGGAGGTTCTAGCAAAATCGTCGAAAACGTAAGTTATCAACTGTTTCCTTTTTCCATTCTAGATTATATACTTATCCCAATATAGGCCAAGAAGACAAAGGCTCAGTGTGAGCGCAATCCAAACGACAGCATTGAGATCGAATTCGACCAGTTTGCAGAATTTGAGATTTGTGCTGCCAGCCACACTCCGATCTATAGCGGAGCTCCGTTCGAAGAGTGTGCATTTGATGGATCAAAGTACCACTCTAGCTACAAGGGATCGATCTGTAAGGTGTGCGAAGTTTGCGAGATTGGCAAACACGGTAGCGGTTTGAGGCTGTTTTCATAGATACTTAATTTGGACTTAGAACTGTACAAGGGGGGTTAAAAGGACGTAGCTATATCCTAGTCATGGAATTCAACTAAATATTGAACAAATGAGCTGGTTACTAGATTCCATGCCTGAGAGCGATGATATAATTGAGTTTAAATAAAAAAAAAAATTACATATTCATGAACCATAAAACGCTCCCTATTATTAGTGCTTTAGATTCCATGATACCAGGCTTTGTCACAGCATATGCTGATACACATTGTGAGGTATCCCGTATAATGTAACATGAACCGTGTCTAATTCGATAATCTTTACACAATAGTTTCTAACTCGCGAGCATAGCCCAAGGTATTTTCCATGATCATTTGGCTCATGTCTTTGGCACTAGCCCCGTCTTCACCGTCAGCGGCAGCACTGGGGAAGTATATGTGACCCTCCTTCACAATCCATCCGCGGTGCTTGGCAAACTGAATAACCTCTCCTTCTGAGTTGAGGAATAACAAGGACTTGGTGGAGCTTATGGGAAGGCTAGGATAGGCCCGCTCGCTGCTGCTGGCGATTTCGGAGCGTATTTGGTTCTTGAGAATCTGTTCAATTCTCCAAGTTAGCACGCTGTAGAAAAGGCAACACGAAGCAATCATTCATGTACGTACCTCTGAGAAAACACTATACTCGTCGCAGGGCACCTCACTGCTCTTCATTGCCTTCCATACACGGTCGTAGCTTCCCTCCATTAGCCACCTCTCCAGACGAACAGGATATCCCAGGTAACGATCGCCTTCGACATCGGTTCCGCCACCGTCTCGATTTGCCAGACTTTCCAGCTCTGAGTGAAACTCGGCATAGCGGCCTTGGGTGAGGAGCAGCAGCAAGCTTAATCCTGTAACCTTGTTGCGTTCGGGGAGATTAGGAGACAGGGTAGCCGATGGCAACTCGTAAAAGGGCTGGAGCTGCTGGACGTAGCGCGTGAAGGCATCTGCGTTCTTGGCGCGGATGGAGAATAGGGCACCTTGCTCGTATGTCTCCCGGGCAAGGGCGAGGAGGTTCGAGGGCGCTGAGGGATTCGGAGTGAGGGCGTTTACGCTGAGAAGGAGAAGCTTGGCCTTGGAGAGGAGGGCGCTGGCCTCAGGATAGCTCATCTGAGGAGACTGCTTAAGCTGGGCGAGAATCGGGGAGAGGCTCCGTTCAGCCATGGTTGCGGCGAATTTGCGATCTTGAGAGATGAAGTCGGAGTAGTGATTGGAAATGAGAAGGCGAAGTACGGTAGAGGGAATGCCGTCGAGTCGGTCGTTGAGAGCTAAGTCAATGAAGCCGTAGGGGTGGCTGCAGGACTCGGGTGTTGATTATGTGTCGGTTTGGTGGTATAAAGCGTATTCTAGGCTGAACGATGACGAAGAGGTGTTAGATGGGTACCTCTAGGTGTTAGTGGGCAGTGTGTGCGAATCCTGACTAAGACGTCTAATCTGAGGGTGCCTCCGGGTGCCAATTCGAATGCCGCTGTCGAATGCTCTCAACATCTGGCATGCACGACCGTACACGAAATTATGAATCCAACTATGGCTTGGTATTTTCATATATTATTTGTTTTATTTGGCATACATTTGCGTCAGCACCACGAGTTGCTGGATCTAATAATTGTGTGCTATCAGTAGTAGTATTGGTTGGGTACTGACGCATTTAGAGCTCTAGTAGCCGGCTTAGGGGCCAGGGCCAGGGTGCTCATTATTATCCCCCAGGTACTAATTTATTCGCTGCCACAGCTACGGCCCAGAGCTGCTGTACTAACACCTTGGAAGCGCTTAATGACACAGAATAAGCCAACAATCTTATAAAAGCAATGGCTATGAATAAAAACTGCTGTATAAACATACGCAATTAATCTCTAATCTTACAGCAGCTATTTCTACTAAGAATAAACGGCGGGCGTCGAAGCGTTTTTAGATAATAGTATTGAATTACTTCCTAGATTTGGTATTAGGTGTTACAAGAGATCTATCTGCGGAGCACAAATGCGCTTGCGGCTTTCCCTTCAGCTTACAAACGCTTGGAGAGAGTGTAATCCCTCATATTAACTTGTTTTGTCGGAAGGCGGTGCCAAGTAGAAGTGGGTGAGTAAATCTATGCCGTCGCTAAGCTACTGACGTAGATAAGTTCATAAAATGCATCTCTTCCATATCAATCTTCGCGGCCTAGGGAAACTCGTCTCTGTATTGGTATGAAGTTACGCGCTCGCTATCAGATTCGATTTCCCTCCTCGCCTTCTCCAAGTCAGCGGCCCACATGGCTGAGCCTGCTGCCGTAGTTAGTAGAAAGAAGAAAGATAGCACCGGAACTAGCTCAAGGATCATGGCCATGGTTCCAAAGAAAACGCAATCCCATTCGAGCCTCTTGATCTCATCTTTTTGTGCTGCCTTTGATAAGCCTCGGAGCTGGAACCAGCGATGATGCGATAGTTTACCGAGCCGAGTTCCAGTGATGACAATAAATGCGATAGTTCCAACATAGGGGATGAGATTGAGGGGAAGGAAGAACACAAGCTCTACAATCTGGATGGTACTCCAAGGGTTGAAGCATGCTGGACTTGTCGGCTTTCCCAGCATTTTGACAGAATTAGGCGCATCGTCAAACAGGATGCGATGGGGGGCTATCAGATCCTTCAACGAGAGGTCGATGAGCGTTGCCTGAGAAAAATATTAGTCGGTAAATGAATAGCTGAACCTTCTTGTGTCTTAAGCTTACGTCGAAAACATCCACCCGGCATTCATCAACAAAGAATCCCTCGAATAAGCCCTGCACTATCACCAGACCTTCACCCAATACGAGCACAACAGCGTTAAACCAGGCGCCCCAGCCATGGAAGATGGCCAGAAATAAGAATTGCGGAAGGAAAGCGAATGAGAATAGTACGAAGTATACGAAGAACGATATTAAAGATAGAGGCACTAGCCGTCCAAGAAAGAGAGGCCAAAACTCCCTCCTCCGCGAAAAGTACCAGATACCACGAATGGGATAGCTTAACGCGATGGCTGCGCGCTTGAGGTAGATGAACGGTCGACTGCTATAGCATCTAGAAAAAACTTGTTCTCTGAAAGGTGGCAGCGTGCTGCTGGATAGGCCGTGAGCAGACATGATTTGATTTCACCGCATGGCGCAGTGAAGGACAATGAGATCGGGACAGCGAAGGTGTCCACGACGGCCAAATGATGTTGACGTTGACGTTGCGTGAAACACCTACTATAGTAGACTTAGTACCTTGGTAGCTGACGCATTGGATTATTGGAGCATGTGCCCATTCGTCACCACTAATAAGTTCCAGGCTTTTCCTTATGAGGTGAGACACACACGTACTAAAATCCTATGCATGCGGGCATAGGCCAATTAAAACTACGTTACAGATATTGCAATAGCTTCACTCGACTTGGTGCTGAATTGTCAAAATACATTGGTGTATTTTCGAAGATAGCATATATATACTCTACATGCCGTTTCTCACGGCACATTTCAGATCCCTGTCTATAATTCTTGAAAGATTTTAATCGTGATCGGACTGTAAATGTTTATATGGGGCACTCCGGCAGAGGCTCATTGCAGCTGTTTCTACCTCCCATCAAACACTTGGATCATTATTGCGAATTTTCTTCGCAGGCCCTTTTACGCAGCCCTACACTTCGGACATGGTCTGTCCAGCTAAAGAAATGCGCCCTACTACGGCTGCAGTCACGACTGCGAATAAGAAAAGGAATGCGAGGGCGGTGACATAGTTACAGAGACATTTAGCGAAATACCAGTGTTCTTTCCGCAGAATTTCCCATTCACCGACTGCAGATGAAGCCATTACGTCAAAATTTCGGTTATTTGGCTGCTCTTACCTTCTTTTGCGCCTCGATAAGATCTCCGTTGTGGCAGGATCGATTCTTCAGAAACGAAGATACGTCAATGTGGTGCCATCTCAGCCGAAAAAAGGTCGTGCCTTCCTCACTTACACCGACGCTCTTATGACCACCTCAGAGATGATGGACGCTCCTTCTCTTATGCCCTCAGGCAATTCGGCTCTCAATACATTTCTCCCCGCGGCAAGATATTTTCCTTCCTCCCCCCCTCTCCCTCTTCTTCTTCCTCTTCTACTTAACCTCGATTCTCTCGTTTCAACTTTTGTCTTTTCGGTCATTCATTGTTTCTCACTCATTTGCATCCACCTCTGTTGCATCCGCCTCTCTCATTAGTCTACAGATTGTTCGCATTACGCCAGTTTTGCGAGTCTTGACTTCGGCCACAATGCGGGTCTTTACGTCTTTGACAGTCTTGATAGCTGGCGCCGTCGTGCAACACGCAAGTGCTCAAGCTGATTACGGGTATGTGCTGATACACACTCCTATTTACTCACAATTCCTAACGATGTACATAGAACGCACAATGGCAACAACAATGGCAACCCTGGTGGTGATTTTGGCGGCAACTCAGGCGGCTCTCCCAGCAGTAGTGTTAACGATGACCCTAACGGTATCTCCTATGGAAATCCAAGTGGACTTCCAAATGGTGCTCCCGCTGGATTGACTGGAAACTCCCCTGGTTCTGCTCTTAGCATGCCCACTTGTGCCCTGCAAGGTATTACAACAGTTTTTGTCACTGTATACCCTACCAGCCATGTTACTCCCTCTGGTCTTGCCCCCTCTGGTGCTGCTCAGTCCAATGACTTTGATCCCAACCAGACGATCCAGCAATCTACTTTCCCTGATTCAACTGTCTTGATTTCCCCTGTTCAGTCTGCTCAAGCCGCACATACCAGTGTGAAACCTTTCACTACCGTCACAATCGATGTCTGGGGTAGCGATGGTGATCCATCAGATGCGTTTACATCCAATATTTCACCTTTTCCCGTTTCTACTGATGGTGCTTCTGACCCTGTTGAGACATCCGCGGGCTTTCCTGATGGATCATCTGCACAAACACAAGAGCCTGGTTCATTCAATTCCAATCTTGGAGACCATTCCACACTATCAAGCGGTCAAGCTACTGCTGGTGGGCCAGTTCCCGAATCCCTTTCTACCATCACCCCTGAGAATCCAGCATACGGTAGTGCGGATGGCCTCAATAGCATCCCCAATACTTTCGATCAGCAGCCATCAGGCTACTCTTCGCCCACTGCTACAGGCGCTGGTATTGGCGGAAGCCAGCCTGCTCAAATAACGGTTATTGGCCCAGATGGCAAACCGACAATTATACAATTCCCTGGTACCCAGATTGGCAATGGAAATGGTGCTGCTCAACCCATTGTTACCGCTGCCCCGTTCCCTGGATCTACTCCAGGTGTTCCTGCGGCTTCAGAAGTTCTTGCGACAGCTGGAGAGACTCTTTGCACAAGCTACACCATTATGGGACCCAACGGAATCCCCACTGTCGTTCACTCTACTTGGGTCGACTTGCCAACAACTGCAGCTTCTCTTCCTTCTTCATTTCCCTCTGGGCTTTCGTTAAACCCTAGCGTTATCACTGGCTTGCCTGGCGGGCCTGTCATTGCAACACACACCACATTCACCGTTCTTGGCCCCGATGGACTGCCAACTGTGGTGGAATCGTCTTGGCTAATGCCTGCACCAACAAACACGCCAGCAGGAATCCCTGGTCCTGCTTCTGTTAATGGCTTCCCAAATCAAGTCACTGGAACAGCCGCTGGCGTGGGAGAAGGCGGCAGTACAACATGTGCAAGCTACACAGTACTTGGATTGGATGGTCTTCCAACAGTAATTGATACAACTTGGGTCATTTCTAGTCCTACCGCAAATGCAATTCCCGCAGCCCTTGTCACAGGAGTGCCAACTCAGGCAGGAGGAGTTTCTGATAATTTGCCTCAAATCACAACAGATCTTGGTGTGAATGCCATCACCTCATGCACAAGTTACACAGTCTTTGGTGCTGATGGTGCTCCCACGGTCGTTGAATCTACTTTTGTCGTACCTGCAAGCAACGTCCTTCCTACTGTTACTAGCGGAATGCCTTTGCCGCCAGCTCAAACCGCAGGTTTTCCTGAAGGCATCTCAAATCTCCCTGAGGCAAGTAGCCTGGCCACAACTTGCATCACCGTTGGCGTTGTAGGACCAAATGGCCTTACTACACCGGTTATTCAAACCGTTCTCATCCCTACTGGTGGTTTGAGCAATGCTTTGCCTGCACAAACTAGTGTTGGCTACCCTTCTCTAGCACCGGCTCAAACCGGTCTTCCTGAAGGTGGTCTTCCTCAAGGCGGCCTTTCTATTCCTCCTGGCAGTGACGTGTTTACAACCTGTATCACAGTGACTACAGTTGGACCAGATGGCAGGGCTACACCAGTTGTCCAAACTGTGATTGGCATACCAAGCGGCGCAGAGCTGGGGACCGCAATATTACCCCTGTCAACTGGTGCACCATCTTTCCCCAACCCAAATTTCTCGAGCGGCACTCTTAACGATCTCCCTAATCTTACTCCGTATGGGACCTTTGGAGCTAGCCTACCAAGTGTGCTGCCACCATCTGCAGTGGTTTCTGGAGTTGTGGAACCAACAGGGACTGTGACTGGCACTCGCACCTCGACTCTTACCGTCACTAATGGCCCTAATGGGCAATCCCCAAGTCTCGTTCCATACGATGATCAGTGGGAAAATCAAGCACCAGTATTAGGATCTGAGCCGCTGTCTTAGAACGCCTACGGCTCACTTCCGACTGACGCTGCGGAATTGACTTCATCGCCAGCATATGGTCTCCCGGGACCATCACGTCTTGCCACCGCTCTCCAAACTAGCACTTGGACCAATGTTATACCAGAGCAAACCACCACATACACTATCAACTTCCCACTTACTACCATGGCCACCGTTACTCTGCCCAATCTGCGGGTCTTCCGTCGCCAACAAGAGTAAGTCAAAGATGACCTCCCTGCATACAGTCTCTAACTTCGTATAGATCAATATCGTCAGAATTTGTATGGGATAACTCTAGCTCTACACTTAGCAGCGTGCTCTCGGAGAACAATACACTGAGCGTGAGCTCAACCTCAGTATCAAACAGCCAGAGTGATCTTTCCCCTGCTCTACCTTCTCCAACGTCTTCTCTACCACCCCCAGTTGACCCTTCTCCTATGTGTCCGACTGGTGGGAAGATCGGCAATCTTACATTAGACGTTCGTACCCCTCATATTCTTCTCATGGTCCGTTTCTAACTCGATTTGTAGTTTGATGATGTTAAAGCTGGCCCCCTTTTCAACCCTGCTCATGATATTTGGTTCTCTGAAGGATTCCTTATTGCTCCTCCGTCGTCTCAAACATCTCAAACCTACATTCCTTCATCCGGTGGCCAGCTTGTCGAATTCGTGCCACCCTCTTTACCATCTATGGGCCGTTCTAATGTAGGAGATACTGCTGAGATTGGTGTTGGTCCAAACGCTCCAAATCCCTGTTTCAGATTCGACTTTCAAGGCGCAAGTCTTGGCTGCGCGGCAGATGGTGCCGAGAAATGGTGTGAATTTGAGTTATCGGCGTATCGATACAACGAAATTTTGGGAACAGAGGAGTCAATAGCCTGGTCTGAGACAAGGCGTATTCCAGCATGCCCCAGCTTTCCTCATGGGAACTGTCGACTGACGTCGGTATCGTTTGACGGCTACACAAATATCACATCTGTTTTGATTACTCTACGTGTTGGCACTGAGTTGCGCGTCTGGTGGGGAGACGACTTCAAGTTTGGCTGGAGTGACAACACTTGTGAAGCCGCTGCCTGCCGCGCAGGTGTTGCTCCTCAGTCAGTCAAGCGTGAGACTATTGAATCAGTTGCTCGCCGAGGCGTCTGGCACTGGACTGCACGCGGACTGAAACGACTGGATGATGAATACATCTGGGAATCGGTATAATAGGCCATCATTTGAGGATTTCGGGAGGTAATTAGGTGCGATGAATCGCAAGGAGAGAATATTTTGCAGTTTGTTTGTTTGTTTGTTGATGGAAGCAATTTGAACCTAGATTTCTTGGCAAGCAGCATAATGTGGTTGTAGCTGCAGCACTAGATGTAATGGTAAATGGCCGTGGAACAAGAGTGAGGTCATGTAAATCATTACATTGTTATAATACAATCAATGGACATTTCCGATAAACTCCACGCCATTTAGAATTATCTCACCGCTATGTGAGCATGGATTTGGAACACGTAGTGAAGGGAAGCGTAAATCTAACTTGTGCTAAAGTGAGACGACCTCTCATTATTTATAACACGCCGAGAGGAGACATCCTACGCCAAATGCGCTCCTCTCCATTAAACCAAGAAGCGGCAGCCTGAGCATCGACATCACCAGTGATATTGGCATTGGTAAGAGAGCAGGAAGTATCCCAAGGACCACACTCTATGTTACATGTTGATACATCAGCAGGGATAATGCCGGATTCGAAGTAGTCAGCTACAACATTCTTGGTACAACTGCTGGGGGCAGAAGCCACAGCACAGTGGCCCATGGCCTCTTGAATGATGACACGGGCGCCGGGATGCTTTGCAGCCATGGCTTGAGCAGCCCTCAGAGGTGTGACAGGATCAAGTCGATTCGAGAGGAAGAGAATAGGGGCTGCTGGATGGCCCGATTTCAGGGATGGGTCGGGCTTTGGCGTGGTAAATGGGCCTTTGAACTGCCACTTGGGACGAAATCGCCAGCTGGAGCAGGGCAGGCGGATAGTAGCCCATGTGGCACCAAAGAGGCTAGATGTGCTCATTTGACGATTCACGTACTTGCGCCACCAAGAAACGTCCTTGTCAGTAATGTCGTCGCCGTCAACGCAAACGACAGCGCTTTGCGATTCTATTTTCCAAACAAGCTGGGGGTTAGTGAAGTTGGCGATAGGACATGCGTCTTTCATGACCGGCATCAAGCCCGAGCTCAAAGCCAGGATAGCCATATCACTAATGTTGCCGGATATGAAGCTGTCCAACTGCTTGGCAAGTACCTTGAACCCCTTCAAAGGGGTGTAAAGTATCGAGCCAATGAGGGAGCGGACGTCCGACCCGGTGACGATGACGACGTCGCCGGAGTCTAGCAGCACGGGCTTGGGCCTCTGGTCCAGGTCTAAAAAGAAGCGGTCGAGGCGACGGCGTATATCGGATGCCCTATGGGTGTCTGATTCGCGGGCCAAGGCGCAGACTTCGGGGCCGGCAGCGGCACAACCCTCTAAGAAGGTGTCAAAGATCTCATCGGTGTCAACGGTGTTTGTGAGCCAGCCCTAATAGAAGTACAAAGAGAAATTTTGTCAGCGGAGCCTTTTGAGAGCACGGGAATACCATTGTCCTTGTTGGTAACGTACCGGACCGGTCGAATAATCCTCGACATCGCATACTCCGTCAAGAATGAGACGGCCAACTCGGCCAGGAAACATGGAAGCAAAATAATTGCCAAGAATGGTTCCATAGGAAAAGCCAATATACTGGAGACGTGGAACATCTCCAGGCTCATCACGAAGCTCAGCTGGCGTCCTTTTGCGAGCAGATCGCTTCTTAAGCTCTTCTCGCATATCGTCAGGGTCCTGAGCTTCCGGGGCCTCTCCATTTTCGTTTTGCTTCTGAGCAGCAGCGTCCCTCTTACGCAGATCATCAATTTTGTCGACCATCTCGACCATATCGCGGGCAACATTCGGAGTCCCGGCAAAGGCCATGGCGTCGCCGGCCTGAACGCAGCGCTGGCCAAAAGCGTCCATGATGGCAAGGCTGTAAGCAATAGAGTTGTCGCCGTTGGTGAGGGGCCCATTGCCGCGGGCTTCTAGGATGAAAGCATCTCGCGACACGACGCTGCCGTCGAAGCAGTCGGAAGTGGGGAGCGTGTAGCCGATGCCGCGAGGGTCAAAGCTGAGGATTTCATAATGGCGACGGCCTGGTTTGTCGACCGTGTTGCGAAGATAGTGGCCCATCGAGAGCATGACCGTGACGCCTGAGCCACCAGGCCCTCCGGGGTTGAAGAAGATGGAGCCGCCAAACGTCGGGTCGTCGTCTGGGACGACTGCGGGCAGCTTGATCATGGCAATCGTGGCTACTCTTGTGTCTGTCTCGTTGAGCCAGTCGAGGGGCACTTGCAAGCGAGCGCATTTGAACTGCTCATAGCAGTCATGATACTCAAGATCGTCACTGGGCGTGATTGTGTCCCAATCAAAAGGGTCAAAGGGAGCCGCCAGTGGTGAAACCCCGATTCCAGCGATGGCTAGAGTAGAGTAGCATCCTGCAAGCAGGAGCCGAAAGCAGAGTCTCATGGTGGTGATTTGAAGCCCTCACTCTCTCTGCGTAGCTATGCTCGCCGTGCCTTTTAGTCAGTCAGCCTTTGAAAGGTTGGAAAAGAAGATGGAGAAATACCCTACGGAAAAGAAGAAAACAAAAGACAAAAGCGCAAACACCAACGAACGGGAAGTTCAAACACAGCCGCAGCGATATTTGCTTGTTATACAACTATGCCCGTGACACCAACAAGCCGGCCGTGAGGAGGAAAAAAGAGTTGGCCATGCCATGGTATTTATCCTACCAACCGTTCCACGAGACGAGATATGGAAATAGGACCGAGGGGAGGGGGATACGCAATCCGCGATGCCTCGTACTACTGCACTCCTTCGGCGCAGAGAATACTATTCAAGTCGTAAACTTCGTAAACTTTCAGCAGGATGAGGGGGACGGCAGGCGGCTCTAGTACCCGGCTGTGCATGGGGCGCTTGCAATAGTTCCACTGAGCTTCCGAATAGAGTATGATACAGCGCTGCAGCGAAACGAATGGCCAATGGTTTATCATGGATATTTGTGGAGGAATAGGAGGGGGAAGACGCAGCCTTCATATTGATTTGTTCTTTGGTAGGATTCGTGCGATAAACAGTTTCTAGGGATGTAACTATGCAGTCAGCAGCTCGAAAGGTTGCCTAGAGATTGATCAAGTGTCACCCAAAAACCACTTGACGCGCTGTCAAGTACAATCCTGAGTTAACAAGATGGACCAGCGGCATTGGGCAGAGCGACCATGGCAGTATTAAGCATTAGTACAATAGATAGGGAGTCAGCGGTTTGCCAACTTCAGCCTAAAAGGGCATTGCTAATTACTGCTACCGTATTGGCATTGCCAAGGATCGATTACTACCTAGTATCCAATGATTCGCTAACGAGATCTTGTAAAAGAAGTGCATTATCGGGGCAATATAATTTTTTTTCCAAGAAAATTAATACAGAGATGAAATATATACAATTCACCCTCAACGACTCATCGCCAAGGGAAAAGTTGAAAAATAGCCTGATCAGCTCGTAACATGTACAAGATCACTTTCGCATTTTTTTTCTTAAAAAAAAAAAAGAAAAAAACAAACAAAAAAGATATCGTATGATTCCAGCGCCGTGATGTAAGTTTTTTTCAAGTATCATCCAACCAACCAACCAACCTCCCTCCCCTCTCTCTCTAACCGCTCGCCGCCCCCTCATATCTCTTCACTCTATCCCGTCTTCAATGGTCTCCAAGATCTTCGCTTTGATGGATTAAGAAGAGAGTCCAAGTCAAGTTCGTAAGCAAAATAAAAAGCAAAATGAAGTAGATGTACGCTCTGAAATGCTCCTTGCTTGACAAGTACACGCTGTAGTATCTTGTGTTGAAGTTCTCTATGTGCAAATTGGCTGACCCCCTCCTGTTATTATCTTCGTATATTCGGGTACATGCTCTAGGACATGTAAAAATAGAGCACGGTCGTTTACATGACAACCTAGAGAATCAATGTTAGCCTTTCTCATGCACCTAGACGTTATGAATTTAGAACTACTCACGCAATCACCATCCTGTTTGCCCTGTGGGATACCCATATCTTCGAACGTTGCGGGGCCTTGTTTGCTCGGTGCTTTACTAGGCTTGCTCGGTGCTGAAGCCGCGCTTGGTACAGGACTTGGGCTGTGAACATCAGGACGTGGAGGACCTTGTCCTGGAGGAGCAGTGCCGGCTCTACCAGGACCCGGCATACCGGGACTGGGCATGCCAGGACTTGGCATACCGGGACCTGGCCGCGGCCCGTTTCCAAAGCCTTGGGGACCTGCGGGACCTCCGGTATTCACTCTTCCTGGGTGTCCTCCAGCTTGTGGGGGGAGAGAACCCACTCTCTCTGGGTAGTGCCCTCCGGGGCCGCCGGGACCGCCAGGGCCGCTGTTATGAGGATCGGCATATCCATCCGGCCCTGGCCGTGATGACGTCCGAGGACCGTATTGACCTGGCGGCGGTCCACCGTATCCTTGAGGCGGCTGACCTCGTCCATTCGAGTGGGCGCTTCCGGGACGGCTGTCTCCTCCGTATGGGCGTCCCGGGCCTGGGCCCGGGCCAGGCCCGGGTCCACCTCTGCCACGGCCAGCTCCAAGAGGAGGCTGGTTAGATGGGTACAAGTTGCCAGCCGACTGTGAGCCTGGCATCGGCCTTGGGCCGGGACCACCAGGGCCGCCACCTGTCGATGGCCTGATACCGAATGCGCTGCTTGGTCGGTCGGCCGCGGGGCCTTGATTAGGGGGGTAGTTATTATAGCGGCCCGGGTTTGGTCGACCATCGTCGTCTGGATATGGCGCTCCTCCACCAGGGCGGGCGTTCATCGGCTGTGCCCGATCATCTACGGGATAAGGCGCGGCAGACTGAGAGCGCATAGGTGGGGCGTTGGAATCCACGCGGATATTAAAGGCTGGCTGTCGATCAGAGCTATCAACGAACGACGCTCTGGATGGCTCAGCAAAGTTATTATTTTCCACAATCGTAGGACGCATGCCGGGTGAAGGCACGGGCGAGGGTCGGGAAGAGCCAACTGACGTGACAAGTTTGGGCAGCGGTGGTGGACCGCCATCGGCGCCCTCGCTAACCGTGGGCATTGGGTTTGCTTGCTTGAATCGTTCGGGACGCTTGCCTCTCATTGAACCGTGCTGTGATTTGATTCGTGTTAATGTTGTGGTCTCGTGATCTGCTTTTGAAAGACTCTTATCCTGGCTGAGGGACTCTAGTCGACCAACGGCATCCTTGTTCCCATGATCGGCCGCGAGTTGATACCATTTCTGGGCTTCGACAACGTCCTTGCTAACGTGGATACCGATTTCGTGGTAGTAGCCCATGGCGAACTCGCCAGTGGGTAGCTTCGCAGACGCCGCCTCGTGGGCATATTTGAAGGCCAGCTCTTCATTCTTCTTGAAGACGCCCTCATAACCAAAGAGGAACCATCGGCTGACACCAAGAGCAGCCTCTGGGATTCCTTGCTTGGCGGCCAATCCGTAGTAGTGTAAAGAGTAGGACGGATTAAAGTCGCACCCCAGCTGACATAACTCATATGCCTGACCCATTTTGAGCTGAGCCTTGGCAAAGCCAAGATACGCCGCCTTTTCGACATACATCTTTGCCGTCTCGACGGCGTAAGGCAATAGTCCTTCGGGTATGGTAATGTCAGGCAGGTCTCGTCCGATAAGCATGCCGTACACGTATGCTCCCTGGGGCGCATCTTCGTCTGCACAGTCGGCCGCGTTTCGGATGCGCTCCAATCCCCCCTGATAATCCTTTGTCTCGCCATGCTGGCCAAGCAGACTCATCATGCCCATGCGGTAAAGGGCGGCCGAGTCCTTCAAGCTAAGGCCCTTGTAATAGTACTCCTTTGCTTTGGACATGTCATTGGACTGCTCGAACAGCATGCCCATCCTGTATACTGACCGCGTGTTGCCGAGATCGCTCGCCTTCTTGTACCCCGCGTAGGCTTCGCGCTTGTCGACACGATCCCCAAACTTGCCAAACTCAAGCCATTTGGCGCGAATGTAAAGGGCATCTGGGTGCTCCTGCTCGGCCAGGTATCGGATAATATTGACGGCGTCGTTGCGCAGTTCATGCTCCTTGCGCGGAGTTGGGGGGCGATTGCCGCTCTCAGCTGCCTCTCTGGCAGCGGCGTCCATGGAAATCTCGGCCCAGTTGAGCACATCGCGAGCCCAGGTGATTTGCATGTTGACATTCTGCGAGTGCAAGACATGGTTTCGGGCCTTCCACAGTATTTTCTCCTTCTCCTCGTCCGCCGGTGGCACGTTGTCGCCGACCACCTTGGGGAAGGGCGAGAATGACGGGGCGTCGTCGTCCATGGTGTCGGGCTGCCGTGTCCGACCGCCGCTGTTCTGGCCGTAGGCTCTGTTGTCGGGCTGGGCGGCGTTGGTTAAGGGTTTGCCGGGCGAGTTCTGGCCGGTGTAGGTCGACAGAGAGGGCTCGCGGGCTCTATTGTAGGATCCTGCGTCGTGGCTTCTCGGCTCAATTTCACGGGCTTCGAGCTCCATGCGCTGCAGGTCCTCCTGCATGTTCTGCGGCACCTGAGGGGTCACCCTAATCGAAAGGATCAAGAAGAGAACGTCAGCAGCAGCCCCACCTTGAATGGCTGAAGGGCTCCATTCAGCCTCTGACAGGGTCCAGCCTCGTCAACCAGGCGAGATGGAAGATAGGAGGACAACAGGACCAAGGAGGCTTGGGAGACAGGGGTTCGAAATAAAATGGAAAACGCATACCGCTGAGGGGACGGAGCCACGACCTCTGGCATAAAGTAATCATCGTCGCTGCCAGGGACGAAGGTGGCGCCAAGTTGGGGGGCCATGGCTTCTGGATGGGATATAGATAGGAGCCTCCCGTTGCAGGCTATCTCGCTGTTCGCTTCCTTTTCTCTCTACTTGGATGACTGCAGCTGCTCCTAGATGTCAGCGCAGCACAGCGCAGCACAGCACAGCCGGAGCGCAGGCAACAAACGGCAGAAAATGGGCCACAAACCCTGGTGCGACTTCAACACCACTAGGCAGCACCTAGCAGCAGGATGGATATTGCTAGTGGTAATAAGAGATGGCAAGTATTGGATGCGAATGTGCCGCAACTCCGTACTTGTGTTTGTACAAGATCCAGTATGCGCGCGGGAAGCCTGGAATTATGTATGGAGCACCCACGTCGTTGGGGCGGTGCACGGGCTAAAAAAGGGCCAAGCGAAGGCGAATTTTTCTTCTTCTCTTGCTGTTCCTGGTCCAGGAGAAGAGTCGCGGAGGAGCTTTCGGCTGATGGCGCACCGCTAGCTGGCGACGGTCTGCAGGCAGAATATTAATGCAAATCAAAAGGGACAGAAGAGCGCCAGGACAGGCAGAGGGACCGCGACGTTAATATTGAGGCTGAGGCTGCAGTAAGGGCTCTCTTTCTGGAACAAGAGGCGTGCTATAATTAAACCCACGACTAATACAGTGTGGCGATGCGCGCTCAAGAAGTCTGGCATGCGAGATAATCTGTAGGCGTCTGCTGACACGGGGGGATGAGTTGATGGCCGTTGCGCCGCCTGCCAGGCTTAGACAGTGGCTTGAGTGGGCTTCGCAGTGGTAGTCTGGATAGAGCGTGTTAGTGGCGGTGGTTGTGCGCAAGGGGAGAAGCTTGGCGCTGGATGCCGATGTTTGGGGAGATGGCAGAGCGCCAAACAAAGCCCTTTTTGTACATGCGCTGACCACACAGGTGCAAATAAGGCAACGTATGCTTTAGTGCTTGCAGCAACCTCTTTATAGCGTCCGCCTGGGCGTGGAGCTGATAGCCGACTCCTGCTTGCTAAACGCTATGCGAGCGAGCATGTGGTCTACGACTCTGTTTGTACGATTAACCGCAGATCGATTTCCCGTCCCAAAGGCGGCGGGGTTCATCGACTCTCAACGGGTAGGCATCGACCTAAAAATATCCAGCACCACTATAACGTTTGTACCTGAAGAAAGCGCCCGAGAAAGCGCCACAGTCTGAGCCCTTGCTGGGATTTACGACATTGCGTATACTGGACTGTACGCTCCGTCTATACAACGGTTACATTCTGTGCCAAAATCCTCCTCCTGGCGGACGCATGCTGGGGACGCATATTCGGCATCTGCTTTATCTATCTGATACCTCTAAATGTATATCAGGATCTACTCCGTATCATCGTCTCATGTTCGCTTTGGCCCCCCTCTAGAAAGTCAGTGTGCATAATGATGTTATGGCGTGAAAAGTCTTTATCCACGACCTTTTCTTTTCTTTTTTTTTAAACAAAGAAAAAAAAAATTAAGAAAAGAAAACATAATCAAAATCGTTCTCTTACTTGAGAGGCAGCGGCGGCTCAACTTGAGGCGCTACCAACGCGTCAACTAACACCGTAAATAGTGGTGCAGCTGCGGCCCTACCAGTTAATATGGAGCAATATTCCCACAGGCGCCATTTTAGTCCCCCAGAGCTGCTCCCCTCCAATCTACTATGTAGGAGAGACGAGGCACGCTCTCGTGCAATTGATGCTTCCTCCACCAAGCCGCTTGAAGCAACATGGCAGCGCTACCAGACCCTCAGGCTATTGAAGAGCCATCCTACATCGATTACGAGACATTCCTTGCTCCCGACTTCTCGCCCGCCGCGTTTGCCAATTCACTCGTCCTTTCCACCAACAATCCTGACGACTCCCCGCTTGATCTCTCAACACCCTTGTCGCGAGTCCTCTTTGACGCTCAAGAGATTGACTCTCACATTGACCTCCTCACCACCCGTTCCGCCGTTCCTTTGCTCCAATATACCCAATCGCAGACCCAAGCCAGCAAAGCCATTGTTGCGCAGCTCGAAGCTCAGATCGCAAGCCTGAATGACAGCTATAAGCAACTCGAGAAGGAGGTAATCGATAAGCATGCCGAGGCTGAGGAGATCCGCCAGGTCGCCTTGCGCCTTTGGGAGACGCTGAGGCTGGGGAGGTCAATGGGGAGGTGCCTGCAGCTTGGGAGACAGCTCGAGGCACAGTTCTCTGAGCTGGGCAACCCCGGTGCCGGAAAAGGCGACTACGGAGCGCTCGTTCGATGCTCATACACCATCCTCTCGCTGCGCGAAGTTCTGGACAGCAAGGCACCGGGCGAGGAAGGCCATGGGCTCGAGAAGCTCAACGCCATCAAGAGCCTGCGGGACGCCATCATCATACCGATCGAACGACGGATTACCGAGATGTCTGAGCGGCAGATTCGCGAATTTGCTACGCCGAACAACATCACTTTTGCACAGAGCGAGGAGGCACGATCACGATTGGTATCTGCCATGTCTGCACTATATTTGCTGTCGCCGATCAGCGGAATTCAATTGGAGAAATGGACTCCAAAGTTACTTGTACAAGCCCTGGATTCCTATGTCCGCTCTGCTCTGCAAGCAAGCACCGCAGCTCTCTCACGATCTCTCGGACAGCTTCCTACTCTAGACAAATCTCTTGTCGAAGTCGTATCCCACTGCCAGAACATTGCTTCGCTTGAGTTGATTCTCGAAACTACTGAGGCTCCCACCCACCCCTTGGTTCCAGCTTCTGCGAAGAAGAAGCAGCAAAACCTCGTCCGATTACTGCTGTCTCGATTTGAAACGAGCTCTTTGATTTCCTACTTTTGGCGCAGCATGGCGAGTAATATTTCCGCTCGCGTTCAGGAGATAGCTACCAGAGGAGGCATTGTTGCTCGTACACTACGCACGAATAAGAACGTTGTCGGGGACGCTATTCGACAGGCCGTTATCAAGGGGAGTCAAACACCGAATGTCTTTTCCAGCAGCAAAAAGAAGCCCGGCGTCGAAGCAAGCTGGGACCGAGAAATAGCCGTTATGACGGGAAGTGTGTTGAATAACATAGGGCGATGATTTTCAGAGCCTGTGTATGACACATTGTGCCGAGATCTATCAATTGTTCGTTCAGCGTGTTTTACGTGCTTTTGGTAAATTAGAAGGGATATCATGCCGCTAGATTTGGACACTGACTCCCTATGTATTTGTATACATGAAGATGGAAAAAAAAAGTTGAAAAGCTTGAATGATAGCTCAGTAATAAGATGAGAAAATCGAACCCCTGATAGACTATAAATGCACAGAGATATTCTCTTTCTTCTCAAATGGCCGCATAGTCCAGCTCTTCCCCCCGCCCCCCGTTTGCCTCTGTACTCAACCAGTTTTTCTATTCATTATTAGTACTTGGAAGGTATTCATGAAGGTAGCTGTCATTGGCATAACTAATGCATTATTCTTGCGCTCATCAATATTGATCGGGAGGCCCAGAGTAACTACCTTCCGGCACCGGTACTCTGGCTGTTCTTGTGTAGATGTGTCTTGCAGCTTCGAGGCTCAAGTTTTCCATACAACCTCCCTTGACAGTCAATATCTGCGAAGATGTTCCATCTGGCAGCAGACCCCGATGGATCAAGCGAACCCCACATGTCTTGCAAAAATAACACTCCAGCGTGCGTCCCGAATCAGTCTTGCGTGTCCACATCCCGACGCGAGGCTGTAAGTCCTCGGCCAAGGGAAGCATGCCCTCAACAGGGAAGACGGCCGAGACGCCAAATGCCGACGAGGATTGTCTCTGGCACTCCAGACAGTGGCATACGTCAACTGTGAGAGGCTTGGGGAGCACGACCCGGAAAGACACGGCGCCGCAGTGACAGCGGACCATGGGATTGGTATCCATGTTCGCTGTCAAAGCGCAACCGGTAACCCGTTCTATGGCTTTGATCGGACGGGGGAAATTATAAATATGTACGGGTGCCCTGTAGATGAGACCAAGATGCTGTATCAGGAATGCAGACTTCAAAGTTGCTTCGTTGACAGGCAGACCTCTGAGTCGTGAAGGTTGGCGGAGATGCAGGCTAAAGGCGCACTATGCGTTTAAGCATTTGGCGCTAAAACGCACTTTAAATCGGCCACCCAAAGCACATGGCACGTATGAGTCGCAAAGCCCAAAGATTTTTACCAGTGATGCTGTATCATTTGTATCTTGGTATTTTGATGTTGAATTGTCACGGTTAATGGGATAGGCGGAACGCAGTAATCGTAGAGCGCCGACAGACGTGCTTTCCAGCCAAACTCGCAAATATCGTTGTAGCGAAGACCCAAGACTTACTAGCACCGCTCGTCCTTGCTAGAGCTTTGACTTGACGGCGTGCGCGGCTTTTCGGCGGCGGCGGCACCACCGGCAGCAGCCATTCATCGGCCCTTGTAGCCAAACCCGCCGCGCCCCAATTGCTCGTTCTCCAATGCACATCTTGCATTCTCTCCTGCGCAAATGCTTTGGCTCTAGCTAAGCTTCCCCCCCTTTTCTCTTTTTTGCCCTTTGCCATTTATGCTTTGCTCGTGAATTCCACTCAGCCAACGACGAGAGATTCGCCGACCTTGAGACAGTCTCTCGCCACTGATGACGGCATTGAACAATCGCGGCGCATCTCTATAGAGAATACAGAGGACCGAGCAGAGCACTCCAACACACATTCGTCGGCGGCCGAGGCCCTGCGTTTAGACGTCATGGTCCGCTACGAAGTCTTCGACGCTCGGGAGCTGCTGTCATTTCCCGACGGCGACAACAGCACGGATACCGTCTTCGGGGGCATCCATTTCAACCTCACGACGCTGAAGCACTGGAACTACACCTACTACAGCAATGGCACCTTATCCAACAACTCCAAGTGCTATCTGACGTATGAGCCGTACCAGCCCGTTCTGCTTTACACCAATGGAAGCTTCATCAACGCCACCAAATGCTACAGCGCCGTGGACCCAATCGGTGTCCGAGGCTACGTGGGAATTGGCTTTGCGGCCATGTTTGCCATTGCTCTGATGCTTACGCTCACTACCCTGGCCAAGCATGGCAAGATGTACCTACCCAAGGAGAAGCGCTTCTATCCCATAGGTCGACGTTGGCAGTGGTATTGGGGGTGCTTTGTCTGCGCATGCGCTCTGGTCAGCTTGTTCACAAATATCGACATCGATCGTTATCACGTCCAGGAACTGCCAATCGTTGTCACGTCATTCTTCTGGTTCCTCATTTGCCAAGGAACAGTAGCACTGGTCTGGGAGTCGGTCAGACATTGGGGGAGCTGGCAAGAGAGGCAATTCGTTGACCCCAACCCCTTCGTATATCGAACCGACGACCGGCGCGCCAAAGTAGAGTTTTATCTGCCATTATGGGTTTATTTCTGGATATGGATGGTGAGTCTCCTTTATGGATATAGTGCCCCCCTTTTTTAAGCTCGCGACTTACATACGTCTACTGTAGAATTTCTTCCTCGTTGTGCCTCGCAGCTGGACGTTCGTGGAAATGCAGCGATCCCCTGAACAAACTCTAGCCAAGGCCATCCCTACTGCCACAGGAGCACGATTCAAAGCTGGAGCCTTTTGTCTAGTTATTGCTTCACTTACCATCATCTACTCGTTGCGCCACTCCATCTATCACTACAAGCCACGGAACCGTGGAATATTCAACCGAACATGGGGCTTCATCAAGGCAGTTCCGCTACGTTTTGTCCTCACCATCCCTCTTTGCTTTGCCCTCGTCGCCTACCAGGTACTTATTTCGTTTGATTGGACATTCTCGGTTATGCGATACGGTGGAATTGTACCCGTCATATTTGCCTGGGGCTATGGCCCCTCTCTGCTTATCCTCTTTGTGCAAATTATATATGGTTTCGCGAGCCCCAACGAAGATAAAGCCCTCATCTCGCAGAGGCGTCAGCGAGGTGAGGTCATCGACCAGGAGCTTGGCATCGTTAAGAAGCCAGCATGGTGGAGGCGTGTTCGAGGCGAACATCTTTACACCCTGCGAGACAAGATTTCACAAAATGTCAACGAAATTGGAGGCAAACGTGGACTCAAAGCCCGGTTTGAAGACGGCGAGAGAGAGCCACCTCTAGGAGGTGATTTTGTCACTCACCCAAGTGATAACACCACCATCGAGATGAATAGTTTGTCTCACAACCCTCGGGTTGATAGGGCTGGCGTAGGGAATTTGTCATCCACAAGCGAGTCGCATCGCTATACGGGAAAATCTGATCGCCGACACAACGAGCGGATTGTTGAAGGCTTTTCCGACGTGATTTTCCCCAACAGTGCAGAAGCTGAGAGACAGGCTCAGAGGGCACGGTGGATTCACGAGATATCGCAAGATGGTCCTCCGTCCTATAGCGATACAGATCGGGGCCGCCCTACCCGACATGATGGGCCAAATAATGCGCAAAGGAACGACAGTACAGATACTACCAACTCCACTGCCGCTCCACCACAGCAAGTTAGAAGCATGCTAGATGTTTAACGACCACGACCCATTACTGCATAATTAATCCTGTTTATGAGTACTTTCGAAAGATGACTAGAGTGATGTATGACGATAAATGAACGGTCTGACGATACGAATACGGCATATCGGACTAGGTGTTAGGGGAACTATGCGTTATTTGAGCTAGGAAATGGACCCTTTAACATTATATTTGTATGAAAGCCGTAGATTAGATCTCACGGAATGAAACCTTGAATCAAATACTACTGCGAGTGCCTGAGCAGGGGTCTGGGATTTACTACAAGTCCCATATTCGCATCTTAAACAAAGCAGTCGAAACGATAGTACACTCAAGATAAGCTATCCACATGGATGAAGTAAGGGGCTCTATATTCATTCTGGGTAGTGGCATTCTCTATAGACCCATATGACAATGCGTCTAGACGGCACCTGAGTTCGGCAGAACCCGAGCAAATCGAGCTTTCCACGAACAAACTAATACAGGCTAATACTCCATTCACATTCTCCGCTATCTAGAAACCAATGTGTCTAATCTAGTTTTGAGCTGCTACTGTATACTAGACATGCATGGGGCGGGATGTACCACTAGTATTACCCGCCTTCGAGTCCCCATATCGGCTACGGGAACGATGGAGCTGGCATCATTCTCACTAAGGTGGCAAGTAATGCATGTGACCCAGCAGGTGTGGTGGTTATGTTGATTTATACAGGCAGGTCTGGGCAATAGGATTAATACATGGATCAGGCAAAAGGATAGGGCCGGTAGAACTGCTGAAGATGAGGAGCGAGGTATCAAGGCACGGCCGGCTGATTATACGCGGGTACTCAATACAAAGAGGTATAACGGACGTACATCAGGGACCATCTGCTTTTCAGGCCGCTGACGGTTTGTTTAGTACCTACCCATGTCACATTACCTTGGACATTCTGCCGTGGACTACTAAGGTATTGCACTTTTGTAGGAACTTATCCGTCTGCGTACAACCATAAGCGGGCGCTGTTTGTGGCACAGCCGCTTGAAGGAGGTAGGATTATTAGAGAGAGATGGGTGCCACAGTGACGGGCGATGAGAGCTTGACATGGCATGGGATCGTCTACCTTGGTACTCGATGAATGCTGCCAAGTAAAGTACCTTAGTAGCAGGCAGTACGCAGTACATGCGTGTAGTAGGTTATGATACCTCGGGTTTCGTGAGAATGCTCATGCAGTGGCTCTAATGCGTGTTTCCCTCTCGGGTTAGGTCAAGTCATAGCACCCAAAGATTATGCAGGCAACGGGTTCCAGACACTCGGTCGAGATCCTTGCTATTAATACATACTTGCCTTGCTGGACAACCTACTGAACATAGTATCACCTGTTACACATCCAATTAGATCAGACGGAGCCGGAGGAAATGGAGCGAGTCGCAATCTATGAGTACCTAGGTACTTGGGCGCTACTCGAGTGGTTGATACTACTTGTAGGTAGGATTGCTCGATACGGAGTAAGCCGTTAGGAACAGCGGGCGAATATTTTGCCAGGCGAGTGGGCTTTGCGGGGATTCGAGGCCGTACATGGGATGAGAAGGGGGTGGTTGGGCCGCTGAGGCTCTGAGACAGCCATGTGAGCGCCTACGATGATGCAGCTTCGTTGACTTATATCTGGATTTGCACAAGGGGGAGTGAAAAAAGAAAAATGGCATACTCAGTGCCTACCTCCCTTTTTTTTCTTCCACCGCAGAGCGCTGTGTCCAGCATTGCTCGTTTCAAACAAACACCGGGGCAGATAGGGAACTGCTCAGCTTTCTGGCGGGTGCAACTTTAAAAAAGGGCAACTCGTGCATTGTCAATGCCTTGAAAGTCGATATATCACTTGCATTATATAATTGTGGGCACCTGAAGTGTTGCGTTTTAGGCGCCCACGACTAGGCAGTTGTTAGCGCCCCGTGCGTGGTGGCAGGCATCGAGCATTTGTGGAGTCCTGGCGGTACACGCAGGCAGATGGGAGCTGCTAAAGTTTGCACTACGAAGAGCGAGGCCACTTTTTTTTTTTTTTAGGCCGCTTGTTCGACTCTTGGATGCAATGAGGATAATGCTCGAGGCACAAGTCGTGAATCCTACGGTACGGTACGGGATTCCCACGCATCAGCAGCTGGTGCCAGTGTGGTGGCTCCATCAGCCTTTGCTGTGCGTATATATTGGATATACACCACCATCAGGGCATGATATGATGCGGCTGCAGCTTGATGGTGTTGGGTTGGGCGGCAAAAACCATGGCTCCATCCCCATCGATGGCTCTACCGCTGCCTCATATATAGAAGCCATGGATTACATGTGAAGAAGTCGTGTGTTGTGCATCTTGACGCAGGCAAATGGCGGTACAGTAAGCAGAGCAAGGCAGAACAAGAACGCTTTTGAGGTATCAACGACCTCAAGTTGCCAGCGGCGTCTGCCGCAAACAGAGTTCTCTCCCGGCCATGCTCGGCCCAGATTTCGTCATGCTCTCGTCGTGTCGTCTCTCGTCTCTCGTCTCCGTCGCTCTCTTTTATGTTTTTCTTCTTCTCCCAGGCTCAGGCTCAGACTCGCACTCAGGCTCCGGCCCAGGCCCTGAGAAGCGGGCGTCCGCTAGCCATGCGTTGGTCCCACGCCATCGTCCAGCAAAAGAGGCTTGCCCACTGGATTGCCGTGGATGTACCTGGGCCGCGCACGCTAAGGTGTGCGCAGATGACCTGTACCTTACGTCGGCCCCTCTTTACTACGTCAGTAACGCTCGCTAGCAGGGACAGGTATCCTTGCCAGTCATGCCTAGTGTCGCGGTACATCTTTTTTTAGGCGCCCGCGCAAGGTCGCTCGCTCGCTCGCTCGCAGCCAGCAAAGGCGAAACTTTGTGGTGGCATGCCAACCAGCCATTGCTTGCTGAGTTTCTTGCTTCCTTTGCCCTACCCCTTTGGCATTTCAGGAGCCATGCTTCCCCGCGCGTGGAGCTTATTGAGGCGGAAAAGTAACTCCATCTTAGTTTGCTGTCGCCGTCCCGCCCTCTCCGGTGGCCCCCTCCCCAGTCGGTCGGGCTGGCTGTGACGCTGCCCGCTTTGTTCGTCATGCTGCCTCTGGTGCGTTTCAAGCAGCCAGCGCTCGTATCGGTTCAGCCCAGAGTCAGCGGCTTCTACCTGTTCACGTCTTCCCTTGGCCGCAAAAAGCACGCATCAATACGACTTGCCCGGACCAGGGATGTATACAAGGGCAAAAGGGTGTCACATGAATGCGTATTCTGTGCTGTCCGCCAGTAGCGCGCTGCGATCTGGCCTTGCAGTCTTCCGCCTCATACATGGGATTCCGTCCTTCCCGAAGAGGAGAGACGAAGCCAAAAAAGCCAAGCCCCTACATACAGCACAGAACAAGTACGAGTTTCTGCTCAGGGTGGTAGGTTCAGCGCAAAGCTGATAGGTACTACGGAACCTTGCCACGGGGCTGATGGGCAGGTATTGCAAAAGTAGAGGCTACTGCTCTGTTCTGACTTGACACTTGCCATCATCTGCTTCCAATTCCGTTCCATACCTTGGTACCTATATAAGTGGCAGCCCGAAGCCGGCAGGGCATTACTTACAGGTAGGTACCCAGGCCGCTGCGGCAAAATCTGGAGGGGGATCGTCATAATCACAAAGGCACCGCCCGAGTCTGCCCGCAGCTGCTATCAAGATGTCCCGTTTCGTCCAGGCACATTCGGCCAGCGTGTGATTTCTGCCGAGCACTAGCGATTCCTAGCTGGCTTACTCGTAGGCAAACAAGTAGAGTTGTTTCTGTGCATCTCGTGAGTGCGACCAGCAGGTACCCGCTACGCACCGCATACTTGTCCACCCAGCACTGCTCCATAAAATGGGTGCCCATCGCTACGAGGCCTGGTTGGCGCCTCTGCCCTGCCAGTCCGGATCCGGACTCCACCCGTGGGAGGCGCCGTCTGGGGGAGAACGAAGAGGAAGAGGAAGAAGCAGAAGAGACGGCCTGGAAGAACATCGCCACACACGCTGCCCCTTGCTTTGTGGACGATTTCGCCTTCGCGCCGCCTCGGGCTTGCTGAACTCTCTGCCGCCGTAGGGGCCGACAGCAGCTTGCTCGCTAGCCAGCACTGCACTAGGCCAACCCAGGCACGCATCGTTGTGTCACCGATCGCAGGGTCCGGCAGCCCCCCTGCTTGGGCTCGTCGATGCTGCTGTCGCTGCTTCGCTCAGCTGCGCTGCGTCTTTGAGTTTCCGATTCTGATCCTGGCGATCGTCCAATGGCACGGCCGCAGTGCAGTCGTTAGGTTGGTGCGAACCTGGCCACCGTTGCTGCTAGCGGGGCCCAGCGCTAGATCCTTAGAGCGCCTTTGCCCACCCACCACCATCACCTCCACCTCGCACTACTACAAGTATGTACATACTTACGTGCTACTGTACGTGCGCTAGACTGCGGTACACACTTTTTTTTTTTTTTTTTTTTTTTTTTTTTAACCCTCCATACCACTAACCTACCCATTCCCTGCGCTGCTGTCCGCAGCCAGTCAACTGGCGCTCCGACTTTGGGCAGCGCCTCAGTGCACCTCCCTGTAGTACCTCCCCCGTAGCACTGCACTAACCCACGACACAGTTCCTTAGCTGGACCGCTAGCCGACACTTCCAGCTTGACGGTGCTAGTGCCTGCCGACCTGACTCTCTGACTTTCTGCCGGCCCAGGCCAGGTACATACAGACCAGACACCTCCCAGCCTCCCGTGCCTGGAACGCAGCACCGTCTCACGCAAGCACCCATTCACACGCCCATTCCCGCGCCATCCTCAAGCTTTGGCTGCGCTTTTTGCCTTTGCCTTTCTGCTGCTCCAGGCTCCAAAAGCTACAGCCCACAAGCTTTCTGGCCAGTCTCCCTTGCAACCTTAGCTGGCCCCTTGTCCTTCCTGACCTTCCGCCTCCGCCTCCCTTGCTGACCTCAAACAACCACCCCCACCACCTTTTTTTCCCCTCCCCCTCGGCCCTACTTCAGCCTTCTGCCCATGACCTTGGCTCTCCGCAGCATCTTACAACTACATACCACATACCGCTACAAACACCAAGAAACATCCTCTGTCGATTCTCGCCGGCCCGGATCGATCTATATGCTCGCTGCTGCCCAGATCACCCGCCAAGCTGCCATCTCGTCCGGCTTCTTCCTCGCCGGATGCTGGTCGCCGTTTCAGCAGCCGCGCTTTGCCTCTCTGCCCTGACGGTACCCGCCGAAACTCCATAGCCCGGCCTCTTGCGTAATCGGTCTGTGTTGGATCGCCTCCTCCTGCAACCTCCCCTCCCTTCCAACATCAAGGCACGGCACGGCACTGCGGACGACTTTGCACATCTGCCGACGCTCTGTGACCACCATCGACATCCCTTGGACGCCTCGCTGCGCCCATCATGGCGGCTGCCTTTCGCCCCGTCAACACCCCACTCGCAGCGGAAATTTCCAGGCAAGACATCATGCCTCTGAAGAACTCATCTCCCCGTCCTAGCACGGCGCCGCAGGCACAGCTGCAGCCTTCACACTCGTCTGACGATGGCAAGACGCCCACTCGGGCCACCTTCAGCAGCATCAACATGACGAGCCAGAGACCCCTGCCAGCAAGCCCGTTTCCTCAAGCGGCATCGGCTACCGAATCTACCGAGAACGGTCTACACCGAGATGGCTCTCAGCGCTCTACCAGGTCACCCAAACGGAACTCGTTGGATGTAGACATGGAAGAGTCTGATGGAGAGACTGGAACTATTGATGATGGCGCCGGCTCCGATGCCGAGAGTGTGAATGCGGATGGAACAAGGTCAAGCAAGAAGAAGAAGTCTCAGCGGTTTTATTGCACTGATTATCCCCCCTGCAACCTAAGCTTTACACGAAGCGAGCACTTGGCAAGGCACATCCGGTGAGTTTATGGACGCCGAAAGCCTCTTTTCTTCTTCTCTTTCTTTAGATCACCAGGTTGGCTAACGATTTTCACAGAAAGCATACTGGCGAGCGTCCTTTCCAGTGCCACTGTTCCAGGCGATTCTCAAGATTGGACAATCTGAGGCAGCATGCCCAGACTGTTCACGTCAACGAAGATATTCCGATCGATTCTCTTGCGGCTACTGGATCAAGATTTCAGCGCCAGATCAGGACCGACAGAGTTCGCCAAGCTGGTAACAGGGCGAGAGCCTCTACTGGTGGCAGTGCTGGCGGCCCAGTCCGAGGACATTCCAAGTCTCTTTCGACCTCGAGTATCTCTAGCATAGCATCCGTGGGATCGGCCTACAGCGCCCAGAACGATCCTCGGCGACGCCCACCCCCGCTTGTTATGGCTGTTGATTCCCGCTCAAGGCTTTCGCTCGAATCCTATCGCAGTAGCACCGATAGCACCTTTTCATACCGACCTCAGTCGCCGGGCGATTTTAGCACGCCCACGTCTGCTACTTTCTCAACGGCCCAGAGCAGCCCACGATGGAGCGCTGGCGTAGTTTCTCCGTCATCCTCACACTCGCGATCTCAGAGCATGTATTCCATGGGTACACGGACTCCTGGCCGCCGGCTGAGCGTTCCATCAGGCACCACTCCCTTCCAGTTTGGTCAGGCTCAGATACCGGGACGCGGGCCGGGACCGATGCTTGTCAATAGCTCCAATGCCGGGGCTCTCTCGTCTCCGAATCAAAATTTGGTTTCCTCACCAACCAGTTCAACATCCGGGTTTTCTGGCCGTAGAGACTCGGTGGCGAGCAGCACTGGCGACGACTCATGGCGACGGCGAACCTGGCATCCTGATAGCCGTAGCTTCAGCGGCACTGCCCAGCTGAATGCTGTCCTTAGCCAATCAGTGCGGCCAAACCCGCCGCCACCTATTGCGAACCCCAGCAACCCTCAATCTAACCTTCGCCTCCCTGGTATCGAGTCTTTTGATCCTCTCCCTCGGTCAGCTACTCCACCAAGGCGTAACGGGTCACCAATGGCTGTCGACTCCGAGCTTGCTCATCGACCTCCGGTAATGGAGGCTATTCAGCCGGACGAGAGGCGAAACCTCAACATGTACGACGTTAGCCTTCAGCGTGGCCTCGGCCGTCTTGACATAGGGCACAAGACTCCCCCTCGTGACAGCGCGGGAATGTGGGCGTCCGAGGTCCATAAAGCGGTTCAAAACCAAATGGATCATGCACGTTTGAACCAGCCAACCGTTCGATTCGAAGAGCAGCCACGGCCAAGCCACCAGGTACCGCCATCAGCCGTGCCGAGCAGATCCTTTCATCAGCATACCATGTCAGCTCCCGCCCTAGCCTCGGTCCGAGAAGGTAAGGGACACGGCTGGTATCAAGGATCTTCTGCGGCTACCCATGGAGCCGGAGCCAACCAAGATGCGCGAAACCCTCATGTCGATCGAATGGTTCACCCCAACTTCACTGGCTTTGCTGGATTTCCCGCGCGGGAACAGGCTCAAGAGCAGCGGCAGCCACAGCCACAGGTCCATTACCATCAGCAACCGCCGCCGCTTCAGCAGCAGTCGCAGCACCAGCAACAGCAATCCCATTATCAGCAGCAACAACGCCAACAACAAGATCGCTCTAACAACCCCGACTCGTTGAGGCGGCTCGAGGCCTTGGTGGCCGTTGCCACCAGCGAGGGCTCTAATACTGCTGCTGCCTATTAAACCAGCTTGTCTCTCTTTATGGCCCTTGATAGAGGGATAAATAGCTTGGCATTTGACATGCTTCTGCTGCTTCCCACATCATTTATCACGCTGGAAGTCTTTACCGTCTTTGACTGTGCGCTTTTTTATCTAAACCAAGGCTTTGAGCAGTGACTTCCGATGTTACTAAGCACTCGTTGCTATGTCTTTTCTACTCCATGATATCCCCTTTAACCTGCTTGTCCATCTCTGGAGAGAATCATTTGAGAATGACCATGGTGTAAGTTGCCGCTGGCTACTTTGCATTTTGTTTTGTCCATCACTCAGTCTCTGCTCAAGCATTGACTTTTGATTTATTTATTTTTTATCGCCGTATTTCCTGAATTACGAATGTCCCATGATGGAACTTGGGCCGCAGCACACAGCATGCTATTTACTTTTTGTCTTTTTCTTTCTCTTCTTTTTGCTCTCTGCCAGTTGCTTCAGTCTCCTGCTCAATACCGCCACTCTCTCGTCTTGTCTCAACTCCTTGCAGTTTCTCTTTAGGGGCGTTTATCTGCGAATTTGTGGCGAACACGGGTGTATTTTTTTTTTCTTTCCCCTTTTCCTTATCACGGGAGGAACTTTGCTCAACGATATGATAACCTTTGTCTGTTTACGAAATGGATTGGATAAGGCGTCTATGCACAGCCAATGCCAATTGAGTTGCACACGCGAATCTGACTGGGAGGCAACAAGTCTTCACAGCGCTAGGCTACGGCCACATTAACACCAGGAGATCTGGGTTTGACGAATTGATACCCTTTAGCTTTGACTGGGTTTGGAACAGTGCCGCATCTTCTTCTTTTTTTACAATACTTTCTTTTTTTGTTTTGTCGTCCTCTTAGTGATACTCGGTGTCTCTGGATAGTCGTAACTTTGTGTTTAGATTCAATGCATGTTAGGTGTACTGGATATCAAATCGGATTTATAACATGACAAAAATTGCACAGTGTTTTGAGAGATGGTGACAATGTAGAGTAAGAAGGTACTGACGATATCATTTTACTTGCAGTTATTCCGCCTTTGATATCTTATTATACAAGCTGGTACTGCGAAGCAGGAGCACTTCACTCACTCACGCCATGCCAGCTTCAAAATTATTCTTTACTCACTTTATAGAGGTTCTTGATGGTGACATCGAATTCCTCTGGCCGACGCCCCAGCAACTGCTCCAAAGAAGACGATACATAGGATGCCTCTCCAGCACGAATGGCATCCCACGCAGTTGCCCAAGTCTGTGCAAGAGGTTTAGATCCAAACTTTGCAACGACCTGCGGCTGCGTGGCATATTCATCCACAGTAACGTCCCGAATTTGCAAATCTCTCCCAGCCACAGTGGAGAGGAATTTGACGGTATCAGCGAGAGACCATTCACGAGGTCCGGTCAGGGCTATAAGCCTGTTCTTCCAGGAGAAAGCGGTTGGGTCCTGAACGTACTGAGCAATCAGATTTGCCGAGGCTTCGCCCAGCTCATCTCGCTTCGCCCAACTTATACCAGGACCAGAGCCATCGTGGGGAATACGGATTTCAGTGGTCGCCGGATCATTCAGATCCAGGAAAGCGGTATAAATGGGGAATGACTCATGGTAGAGACCCTCACGGATGGCAGTCCAGGAGAAACCAGGATCCAAGGCAGCTAATTTGCGCAGATGCGCCTCCGAGTCGAGGTGGGCACCCATTACCTCTGCGAGCGTGGCATCCTTGTCTGGCAGGGCAAAAGCGAGGGACGAGTAGAAGATATGCTTGACGCCGGCTCTGTAAGCGGCATCAAGAGCTGGAATTTGCAGTGATGTGCGGTACTCGTGGACATGGCTGGGGTAGGATATGAGGAACAGGACGTCGATGTCTTTAAAGGCGGCTTCTAGCTCTGAAGGCGATGCCTCGTATGAAGCTTGACGAAGCTGGACGCCCTGGCCTTGGTAGATATGGGGAGTCTTGTCTGGGTGGCGGCTGATGAGGACGGTGTTGGAAGGGGACACTTTGTTGAAGAGATGGGTGTAAGTGCTGGTGCCGAGGCCGCCTGAGGCGGGGAAGACGCCGATGGTTGGCATGGTTTTGATCTCTGGTTTGGAAGGCTATGAACGGATAATTGGGGTTTGATTTATTGAGAGAGCAAAATTATTTAATGTTTTTTTTCTGCTCATTCTCAGATGTTATCAAGGTGCTATTATAAATTATCTACGTGGGTTATGATATACTCCGTCCACTTGATCGGATTTAATCACTGTGGAGCTGACAGAATAGCCAGACTCCATTGGTTCAAAGCACAATGACGTATGGATATACCGGAATTTAGCAATTCATCAATCTACGATAAGATAAAACATAATATACATACTATACGATTAAAGAAGGGAAATGGAGATTGCGAGTTGTGACGGGCAGTGGCTTAATAGTAGTAAATACTAAATACCTCTGCTCTGTTTCTGTACTATTGAATACTAAAAACACTCCCCCTGGTCTAATTATAGGCCGTAGATACCAGTAGCTAGGAACCTGTTTCAGTGGCTTGCGTGCCTCCGGAGCTCGCGGGACGTAAACGCGTTTGTTTCAGCCCCTCGAGCCGAAGATTAGGCGCGAAGGGGCCTCTATGTGGCAGACTGACTTCAACTTCTATTATAATTTCAAACCAATCTATCTGGCCTTTTTTTTATTGCTTTGCTTATGATTGTACACGGAGGCTAACTTTTAGCACTACCACGTATCATTTGACGTTTCCACTATCCGATGCTCTAGTGGGGGTCTTGGTTCGAAGCGTTGACTTTCCAAAGACACTTGGATATGGATGGCGTCGCCGGCGAGGTGATGGCGAGAGGTAAGGAGGCATTCAACCGGTCTCCAGGCTGGACGTGGCAATAGCTGATGCGATAGGCTTTGCTCTGTGACAGATGCCTGGGCGTCAATTCCTTCAAGCCTGCTGCGTGCTGAACTTCAGAGACGACAAAACGACGGCGAGAAGCCCCAATGTGGCGGACACAACTCGGGATGGTACGACACGGCCGCGCACGTCTTTGCGCTGCTCCTGATACTTGTCCTTAGCACGCTTGGTAAGATGGCCTGTGGCGATTTGAGAATCGCCGTAAGTTGGAGGTCTGGGTGAGGCTTTGCTAATCAAGTTCTACTACCCAGCTTGCGGCCTCCCTCTGTTCTCACGGCGAGCAACGACGGGACATCGACAAAAGGAGATATTGTTCTACAGCCAGCATATCGGCACTGGTGTCCTCATTGCCACGGCTTTTGTACACCTCCTTCCGACTGCCTTCTCATCCCTGACCGACCCATGTCTGCCGTATTTCTTCAGCAAGGGATACACTCCTTTGCCAGGACTCATTGCCATGATCTCCGCCCTGGTCGTCGTGGGAGTCGAGTCGTATTTGACGGCTCGAGGCGCAGGCCATTCGCATTCGCATGCGCACGACTTCTGGGACGAGAACGACGAGGCCGAGGGCGATGCACAGGAGCTGCATTTATCCAGAGAGAATCTAGCCGACAGACGAGCGCGTATGACTGGACGACGAGCAGCGGACATGGATATTTCTTTAGGTGATTTGGAGGCATCAGAAGGCCTTGTCGCCGGCGTTTCTCCCTTGCCGGAGTCGAGCCCGGTGGTGCCACGGCGCAAATCCACCGAACATGCGGACGACGATGATCGAGACTCCGATCTCGACTTGGATCTAGGGGAACTTGACCCTGCTCCGGCTGGCGGCAGCGCACAGAATGGCCAGTACTCTTCGCTTGCGAAGCCCAACGGCGCCTCAGGCCGCCGACACTCCCTAGACGGTAACCAGCTACAGTCCCCAGAGGAGCAAAAGCGTCGGATGTTGCAGTGTCTGTTACTGGAGGCGGGCATCCTGTTCCACAGCGTTTTCATAGGAATGGCCATCTCTGTGGCTACGGGCCCCGCATTTATCGTGTTCCTGGTTGCCATCAGCTTCCACCAGTCGTTTGAAGGCATGGCCCTGGGAAGCCGAATCGCAACGATCCAGTTCCCCAAAGGATCCATCCGTCCTTGGCTGATGGTTCTCGCCTACGGGACTACCACTCCCATAGGCCAGGCCATCGGCCTAGTTCTGCAGAAGAAATGGGATCCGAGCAGCGCTACCGGCCTGGTGGTTGTGGGCACTACTAACGCCATCTCCTCAGGCCTGCTGGTCTATGCTGGTCTGGTCCAGTTGCTGGCCGAGGATTTCTTGACGGAGAAGAGCTATCGCATTTTAAAAGGCAAGAGGCGCGTACAGGCCTACTTTTCAGTCGTGGCTGGCGCGGCGCTCATGGCAGCAGTGGGAGCGTTTGCTTAAAGACTTTTGGTAGCGTCGTGTTTTACTCGTATGTATTATATATGCATGCTTCTGCCAAGAAAAAAAAGCGGCTGAGGGGCCTATTCCTTTCAAATGTTACGGCGAACATAAATTGGTCTTGTTTAAATCGGATTTTCTATGAAATGTGTACACTATCGTGTTTAGGCGCTGGTGGAATAGGATAGGCAAGCTTTCATATAGACTCTTTGTTTTTTCTCTTGGCATCTAGTTAGTTTTAGAAAGGGGGCCTTGTTGGAACTTTGCAGGCAATATTTTTTGCGTTTCCTGATTTAACCATTATTCGCCTACTCTCTTGTGCATCTTTACACTTGGTCGTCGTGTCTTTTGTATATCTATCTCAGTGCTGTGTCCATGTACAGAACTGTGTTTCTCCTTTTGCGCCATTTTGGGGTGTCCAAACACGATACAAAGCACTGCATTGGTGACAACAAGAGAGAGGGAGAAGAAGGTGAACAAAGTCCATGTTGTAACTGACATTTAATCATTAAGACATATCGGCCATGTAACGAACCTGCTTTGATGGCTGCTTGATAGCTGCCTTTTAGCAACAGCGGAACAGAAATTCGATTGCTCTTTCCCTGTCTATTCTTTCGCTCTCGGTTGAACAAAATTTTTGCCATCTGTTTAATAAAGCTAAAGAAAGAAAAAAAAAAAAATCACCATGGTTTATTTATTCTATGAAGAAACAGTTGTGATTGAGAGAGAGCCTTTGTTCTTTAAGAAAGCTCCCCTGACTAACTGCCAGGCGAAAGATTAACCTCCTCTCAATCAAAGATGGTATTGATAGCTATATAACTTCGAGGCAGTCACTTTGGTTTTTCCAATTTCCTAACAGTATGCTTTACTTCCACTTAAAGAGAGAGATACAGCGAGTTTTCAACTTTATTGTTTTCAAAACGATCAGAGATGGGTGGTTGTTTTTCGACGCCCTCAAAGTCTTCAAGACGGCGACGACGTTCCAAACCGTAAGTGCTTATCCCTTGTGTCAATACATGATGTTTTTTTTTAAGTGAAAATACATAAACTTAAATCAGAAATACACAGAAAATATAGATGTGCTCCGGCTCGATACGACTATTCCTACTCGGTAAGAGAGGGCGAGCCAGTCTTGGTGAGGCGCAGAGTTGGGGGGTCTCAACGCCGTCGGACCGAGGACTCTGATTCAATTGATGTGAACGTTGCACCGGCCCATCGTAGCCGTCACCATCAGTCAAGCAGTCAGCGAAAACACAAAAAGAAGAGAAAGAGCGGATCTAGTGGCCATCATCACAAAAGCAGAAGTGGGAGGAGTGGGCGACATGGCGGCGGGAGTCATCGAAGCCATGGTAAGCAGTTAAACATGAACAATGAAACAGAAGGACGTGAAGCTAATAGATAACATCATAAAGGGACTAGAAGTGGGCATGAAGACGGGGAGTGGAATGATGAAGATCATCAAAATCAAGTCGCCTTTTGGGCTAGAGAATCAACCTGGGCACATGATAGGACAAGCTCTCACGGAGGTGGTCGTCAACAGTATCGTCTAGAAAGCTCTAGAGGCGGAGAGAGTCCGCATGAAAGTGTCTTGCCTCTTGACGAAAATAATGACAATGAGCCCGAACCCCCATCGCCGCCGAAGAAGAGTTGAGACAGCCGACAACGTCATAGTTCTTTGGACAGCCTCCAAAAAGGTCTAACAACGGAGTCTGTCGAGAATGGTAAGACTCGGTTTGAATGAAATGTCGGTGAGAACTAGAATTCACCAAGCTACAGAAGAGATGTCGGTATAAAGGCTAACATTGTAACCAGATACACGCGTACAGAAGTGAAGATGCCGAAGTCTTACAAATCTTTCGTTTTCCCACTCGGTGCTACGAAAAGAAGAACTAGAAGCGACTGGAATACGGGAAGAGTCTTCTCCTTCTCCGGCCACGAGGAGAAACAAGCAGCAATCCCGGACACACAAAGCTTTGGCTGCCGAAGCGGGGATGGCCTGATCGGAACTTTTTTCTTTCTCCTTCTACGGGTTCTAGGATGAGGGAGAGAAATAGCCTCTGGGCGGGAATACGGGTCACACGGGTTGCGGGTGGTGATGGCACGGCACATGAACGGTTGTTTGACTGCATGAGTAACATGGCAATAGCGGATATGGATGGGATTGTGAACATGCGTTCAAGCAGTGATGGGAGCAGTTGGGCAGCTTTGTAGCGTTATTGAATTGAATAGCCGAATGAATGACTTGCATTGTTGCAGCAGCAGCAGCAGCAGCAGCGGTGACTCACGGAGATATAGATAGGGAGGCAGCAGTGAGTAACGAGCACACATAGAGAAGCAAAATATAGCGAGGAGTCACATCTGCGGACCAGGAACAACAATCGTGAACGAGTTCTTGGCTTTGGCAGCCCATTCATTCACTTCAAATGGGGGGAAACAGCTTTCATTGTAGTCAGTGAGTCAGTCACTGGGCCACCTGCGCCTCTGTGCATGTGTACCATGAATCGGATGAAAAAAAGGAGAGAGAGAGAAAGGGTCAATAGCATGCCGCAGAAGATGCGGAATAGAGGCAAATAGGGAGCCCTCTTGGTGATTCTCTATTGTCGACCATGCATCATCGGCCATGACAGCTGCTGGCAGTTTTGGCAGAGTAGCACAACTTGGCTATTGTTGTTTGTTTGTCTGTTGTCTACGCTTAATTTTCTCCCGCTCAATCGCGTGCTGAGCTGGCTGGTTTATTTTTTGAAGAGAAAGGAAAAAAAGAAACGTAGAACTGTGTTGGAAGAGCCATCCTTTGACCTACACGCCAGCAAAAGGGGATGACATCGCAGCAGCACCGTCAAAGCATTCGTCACATCTGCCTACTGTAAACTTTTTTCTGACAATTTTACTGGCTTCTTTTCTATATCTACTGGTTAGTATCTGAAATGGGCTGCTGCTTCTCCAGCCAGGCATCAAATGCCAGTTCCCATCACGAGCAGGGGCAGGATACAGCTCCGCCACAACAGTAAGTCTCGTTTTCTCTCTCTCTTTTCGTTACGCTCTCCCATCTCTTCTCTTATTTGCTGGGTAGCAGCATGATATTGACTGCACGAATCGCGAATAGGAACCCACACGCCCAGACCAACGCCAACGCCATCCCTGAAGGCCTCTTTGCGGCCCCTGTGAGAGCGCCATTCGCCGAGCCAGCTGTGATACCTGGAAACGATGTCGCCACCAGCAACGAGGCCATAACCCCCAACGAGGCGGTTGAACAAAGATCACCTGAGTTTCCCGCTGTGGAGTCGTCTTCGTCGGCGACGTCTGACCAGCATGTGATCCTGGAGCCAACTGTCTATGTGCCTCCCCCTCGACCAAGTGTCGCTACAGAGCTGGAGGAGGCCATTGTCGAACCGCTATCCGAACCTGCTGAAGCTCGATCCAGGTCTTCATCTTCGTCAAGCTCGAGCTCGAGCTCAAGCTGATATTTTTGACTCGGCGGAACCACATGGAGGATCATGATATCTGATGCACTCGTTCAGTCCGGATCACGGCCATGTTACGAGAGACACTATTTGGAAAGGCTGTTATAACAATGCACGCAAATAAGGCAAGAAGAGAGCAGGTTTCTGCAAACGTTCCCCTCCTTTTTTTTACAATCGAAGGGAGGAAAATGTGGTGGCACAATGGAATGGTTGGTGTTGGATGGGACATGGCAGCCCATGTCTTAGTTGGTGCCATGGCGATGGTGAAAACGGCTCGATTTGTGGCTTACATGGAGTCCCCCTTGGAAGCTTCCTATTTAGGCGGTTGATGTGAAGATTGAATAAAAAAAAAGCATCTCGAGAAATTAAAAACAGTAGCATCCGGTAGATGATCCAATATGGAGAGAGAGATTGAGAAGGAAAAAGAAAAGAAAAAGAAAAATAAGAGCAAAAACAAGCATCAGACCAAACTTTGGCGAGGCGACAGCAAAGAAGAGGCCCCAGCTTGGCTCCTTCTCTGCCAATCCGGCGACTTTGCGAAACTTGCTCAAACGCTCTCACGGGCTGCATCCAGGAGCCTTTCTTTGAGCCTGCTCGCTACCAAAGCCAGCCGCCGGTGGGTACGCCGAGAACCTTGCGCTGCCACTAGATTCAGCTGCAAGTCACTTGCTTTTCTTAATGTTTTTTTTTTTTTTTTTTTCCTTTTTCTTTATATATATAAAAGCCAGCACAGTACAGTTTCCCCCCCAAACAGCAACGCCCATCTTTGGCAGTTCGTCCCCTGCTTTGTCCTTCTCGACCCTGCGCTGTGTTTCCACTGTAAGCGGTGTGCCACTCGTTCGTCGTCGAGCCAGGCCAGCGTCCGTGCATGCTCAGCTCAGGCCCCAGGTATAAATAAGTACTGATGCAGCAGCAGTTCCCATCTGCCGAGATCTGAAAGGAACCTCTTCTTCTTCTTCCTTCTTCACTCTCCACGTCTTCATCGCCGCCTCTCTCTCAAGCTTACGCTTTCTCTCTCTCTCTCTTCTCATCTCGTCCAACGCACACGAGATCTCTTCCATCTCCCGTCTCAAAACCAAAAGGCGTTGCTTCGACTCAAATCAGCCATCATGAACATGGGCATGCCCACTGGCACCACGGCTGCGGGCTCCAGTCCCACCGGCAGCGCCATGAACAGCTCCATGGGCGACATGGGCGACATGATGGGCATGGGAGGCTCATGCCAGATCTCTGTGAGAATATGCCCCATTCGTCTCCCGCAATGAGAAAAGCAACAAAAGTCAAGCTGACCGCGCCGCAGATGCTCTGGAACTGGAACGTCATTGATGCCTGCTTCATCTCCGAGACCTGGCAAATCAAGTCCAAGGGCATGTTTGCGGGCTCCTGCATCGGCGTCATCCTCCTCGTCATGGCTCTGGAGTTCCTCCGCCGCCTGTCCAAGGAGTACGACCGCTTCCTCATCAAGCAGCACACCGACAAGTTCCAGGAATCGCCCGCTCCCACCACCACCGCTGCGGCCAAGCCTGCTGCTGCAGCCGATGCCACCAAGACGGGACTCGAGTCTGTCAACAGCAGAGAGGTGGCTTGCCCTGTCGCCACTGCCATGCCTCCCTTCCGCCCAAGCGTGTTCCAGCAGGCCATCCGTGCGTTGATACACATGGTTCAGTTTGCTGTTGCGTACTTTGTCATGCTGCTGGCCATGTACTACAACGGTTACTTCATCATCTGCATCTTCATCGGTGCTTACCTTGGCTCCTTCATCTTTGGATGGGAGACGCTGAGCGTGGGGTCAGTCTTCAGCCGTCCCAGTCCCCATTCACAACTCGTCTGCTAACTCACTCAACAGCCCGAAGCAAACCAGTGCTGCCAACGAGGCTACCGTCTGCTGCGGCTAGGTGCAATTTCGGCACTCCTAGATACCGAGTGAAACAAAGAGCCGACCCCGATGCCACGCAGATTTCGCGTGCAGTGTTACCGTGATGCATCAGGGTGACACAATGCTTGAGCACAAGCAAGATTTGTGGCGGCATAGAGTCGCATCGTTTTCGGTCAATGGCCATGTAACGAATGAATGAAAAGGGTTTTCAGGGGAAAATAATATGGGTAGCTTATATTTGCGCAATGATGGTTAATGACAGCTAATAGCTAGTTAAAGGGATAAAGGTCAAGGTTAAAGGATAAATTAATGGAATTCCGGGTCGCAAAATCTTATAAAAACGACGTCCAGATCTATCATCTAAACACGTACATTTTTTGAGTAGATAACGATCTCATCGTGTTTAACATCCAAGCCGAAGAATAAGTTGAAAAAAAAAAAAATCCGGATAAGATGAAAACGCCCGTTGGTGGCCCCAGAAAACCTCAAGTCATGAAAACCAGCGGTATGTCTGGAAGGGTATCATAGCAACACAACTCCGTGGCCCAGAATGTTCATGCACTGGGCAACATCCCAGCTCTCGTCCAGAGGTCGCATTGCCCAAACTTGCTCCATGATGTTCATGGCTTCCCTAAGCGTTCCAAACAACTGCAGCCCGCCGAGTCGAGCCACCAGACTCTTGTATTTGAATTCATCTTCCGGAGGTGCTAAGCAGCCGGCAACACACAGAGGCCAGGCCACAGCCCCCAAGCAGGTTCCCCTTGGGAGATTGTACAACAGTTCTGTTGTAGTAGACACGACCGTGCTGATTTCTGGGCACGCGGGCTGCCAGCCCGAGGTCACCGTGTTCAAATAAATCAAGGCCGCGTGCAGCCAGATGATGTTGTGTATAGCGTACGAAGGCTGCTCACCTAGGACCGGTACCGAGATGACGGTGACTTGCGAATCGGCCGTTGGGCATGTTGTTTGAATGGCCAAGATGCCCCCCTTGATTGCTTCGCCCAGGATCTGGCCTCGTGACAAGAGCTCATTGACGGACAACGAGCCAGCCTGGCTTTGTGCCTTTTTCCACGAGTGCAGTGACGCGATGTCGCCAATGACCTGGATGACCCAGTTGTGCAGTCCACGAAACTCTTCCATGCGAAGAGTACCTTCTCCCAGGGTGCAAGGGCTCCATTCTGTGGTGGCACATGAGGGTATAATGAAGTTCTGATAGTTGTATAGCCGAGGCGGGCATCCAAGCGACACGCTCGACAGCACATCAATGTAGAGCAGATTGGCCGTGAAGAATCTACAGGCGGCCTGGCTGGTGCTCCATGGCCGCTTCATGCACATTTCTGCCGGTGGCCAGTGCACATTTATGAGGCCGTTTAGCAATGCTTCCCAGCCATCTGGGCTTGGGAGGACCTGCCGGAACAGCGCAATGGCGGCATCGAGATGCAGCTTCCAGTTTTCGCGATTGCCCGTGGCGACCTCGAAGATGAGCAGCTGGATGATGCTCTCCATGACGACCAGGCCCTCTTTCGCGTCCAGCTTGCGGCTGTGGAGCGAGCTGACCTCCTTTTGCAGCTCTCGCAGGCCCAGCTCCATCTGGTTCTGCAGGTTTGAATTCATCTGTCTCAAGCATTCCCCGTGCTCCGGTTCGCCGTTATTCAAGATCAGTGCGAAGTAGTATGATGCGATTGACACGGTGATATGGTATAGCGATTTGTTGGTCGACTGCAGCACGTCCAAAATCCACCCGCGGCCGCCCACGAGGATGTGAGGCCGGTAATGGGGGAATAGATGCGGGAAAACGTAATCCAGATACATGCAGGCGAAGTGAATGTCTGCTGACCGGTCAAACCGGCTAAGGCTATTCTCATCCGACCCCACGAAGAAGGACTGCGAGTGCCAGGGGACTTCTGGCGGAGAAGTAGCGGCCGTGCTGCCGGATCCATGGCTGTTGGGCGACTCCTTGGACGACGGCGCCGACGTGCTTGTATAGCCGCGCTCTGAGTCGCCGCCGGTTTTCCCTGCTGCTGCTGCTGCTCCATCATCCGCACCGTCGGTGATGCTGACCTGCCGAGTGCCCGTCTCCAGCATCTCCAGATACTTGCGATCGCGCCGCTGACTGGCCTGCTTCTTGACCTGCGACTTGACGAACTCGGTCATCTCCTTCTGCTTGACGCCGCCGTCCATCCAGTCGGGCTTCTCTCCGAAATGACAGGTGATCTCCAGGGCATCGCAGCCAGAGCAAATCGGCTTGCGCTCATCGCACTTCTTGCGGCGCAGCCGGCAGGTGTAGCAACCAGACTGCGACCGCACCTTGGACGACAGTAGATGCTTTAGGGAGGACATTGTCTCGCCTTGCCTTGCCTCGCCTTCTTGGACTTGTCTGTGGTCTCTTTCTCTTGCAGGTGCGCAGTATTTCCGTTCCTCCGTCCAACTTAAACGCCGATTGGGCCGCACTGTGATGACGATGAAGCAAATGGTGCGGTGTCCGTGCTCCAGAGGCGCGATAACTGAATAAATGGTGCGTGCTGTATTGCCTTGAATTGTCCTGCTGTCGCGCAATCCAGACTTGTACCGCACGGGACGTCCAGCTGCCTTGAGTAGAGGTTGGATGAAGATGCAGTGGTTACTAATGCGAGATACGGGGGTTTCAGCTACTGAGCTAGCAGAGCGTTAGCACTGTGGACTAGCCGGCGCCATTGCACGGAGCACGGGGAACCTGCCCATTACTTACACGGGTGGCGCGGAGAATATGTCAGGCGAACAATAGGAGAGGCTGTAAGGGAGCGCATAAGGCTGAGGGTGCGCTGCGCCACTCGCACAGTGTGGAGGCAATGAATTTCCCGATTGAGATGCTACCCTAAGAATAAGCCTCGGATGGCTGTTGAGGCTGATGATGATGGCTATTTCCAGTGATTGCTTGTTGATATGATGAATGTATAACCCAGTTAAGCAATAAAATCTACCATCTCAAAGGAGAACTAATTTATTAATTATGTGCAATTGACTGCGTTTGTTTCTATTTTCTTGATTTTTCCATTTTCCCGATACGAAGGATTCCAGTTTCCCGAAAAGCAAATAACCTCCTGACAACCTGCGTTTGATCCACACGATCTTTCGTGCGTACTGTAGTATAATTGTAAGAACAAAAAAAAAAAAAAAAAAAAAAAAAAAAGGATTTCCAAAACTAGTCCTCCATCAAACATTAAGTCTTAATTGCATCTCAATTCATCGCATTTTTTTTTATAACAAAAACAAAAGAAAAGTCATCCAGATTTCGATGCTCCAAACAGCGTCTGTCTCCTCTCCAGCAATCCCAGGTCCCACCAGCCTTCTATCCGCTGGAGAAGCGTCTTGCGCTTCGTCTTTCCAGTTACCGATATTGGGCTCGCAGGAGGTAGGCTCAATTTTGAAGATGACAGCGGAGATGGAGGAATAGGCGGTGGTTTATGAGCTGCGAAAGCTGGTGGTATTGGTGGCAACGGCGGCATCTCCTCAACTGGACGTTTCATGCTCTGCACGCGAGGCCGCCTCGTCTTCTTTGCTGCCGTGGGTAAAGGGGGGAAGTAAGGATGGGAGTCGTTGAGGACCTGAACGGGGATGTTCATGTCGAGATCCTCATCAGTGCTATCATACAGCGACCTCCTCTCCTGGTGCTGTGCGTTTGCCATGGCCATCGTCCCAAGGCTCCGGGCCTTGCGCAGCACATTTGGAGTCGGAGGCACCCCCGAGAAACCGTCACGGCAGCTATACCCTCATTCAAAGTCTGTGGTTTTGCGAGGCCGGTCTGCACCTCCCTTGATGCGCTTCCACAGGCACATGGCCACGACGGCGGACATGAAGAACAGGACGGAGGTTGCGATGGACAAGCCCCAGACGGCCTTGATTTCGTAGCACGATGCCTTGCTGGGGTCAGCCCACTGGAAGACATCGGATGACGAATGCTTGACGTTGGCAAAGAGCGAGTAGATGAAGTCGCCAGTGTTTCCCTTCTGGGGGAAAGCACTGCAGTTGAGGTAGCTTACAGGCCTGCCAACGACACAAGCCACGACGATGGACGCGATGAAGCATAGCCCGTCTGCAGCAGTAGCAATGAGGAGGGGGAGCATATGATCCCAGTAAAGGATATAAGAGATGATAATGTACACCATTGCCAGACATGCCTATTGGAGATAGATGGTCAGCCTTCACCATCAACTAGGTACCCACGTCACAGGGACATGGTAAAAAAAAAGGAACAAGAACTCACCACAACCAGTGTGCCAATCAGGGCGGATGGGGTAGAAAAAGAGGTAGAGACCAGCTCTGCAACAAAATTTCCAGCAAGACCGATGATTGTGATGAGACACACTGCCTGCAGAAGCCTCATTGCCGTAAACATTGCGCCCAGGGCGCCCAGGGCCGGCGGAGAACCCATGTTGACACGAGGGAGAGTTTGAAGCGAGAGCTTGGGCCGTGTGCACTTTGCCGTCCTCAGAGGGAAATGCTTAGAGTATTGTGGGATGGGAGACGTTGAAGCTGAGAAGGATGAAATTTTGCCGATGGGATATTTCGACCAATAATAGGTCGAAAGAAAAGAGAAGAAAGAGAAAAGAGAAAGAGACCAAAAAAAAGGAAGGGAGGGTTTAAAAGATTTGGGAATGTAATTCTCTTCTAGAGAACTTTATAGAGAGGTGGTTGAAGCTTGAAGCTTGAGAAAGATGTTTGAAGTTGCACCAATACTACCTATGAGGAAGAAGGGCGTTAAAATTCGATAACAGACAAATAATATCGTGGACCGTGAACCGATAAAGAAAAAGCCAGAAATCGTAACAAAGGAAATGAGAAAAAGGAAATAGTAAGCTTGTGATTCTTGATTATGCAGAGGAAAGAGAGATCTAAACGCTCAAAGGAGGCTTAAGGGGACTCTTATATACATCTCCCCATCTCGCAAGTTACACACACTAGTGTAGTCTTTTGTCACTCTACAGACGCTACACACGCGCGAAATTGGCCCTAGATCAAAGGCCGTCAATCTGGTCCGATGGCCTTTTTGCCGCAGTCAAGCGAGACAAATAAGCGCGCCGCGTTTCAGGTCCATCCATCCAGATTTGCCAGATTCTTCTTCGCAAACCTGGTCCCCAGAAAATCAGAATCAGAATAGAAACTTGCTCCACCAACCTTTTATGTATCTAACTTTAAACAAATACATAAAAAAATACAAAATGCCTTATCAAGTTTCACGGTGAGCCCATTCAGCCGCCCAGTCAGCCAATAACAACACAGAACCTGACTCTCATTCTCACAGGCCATTTCTGTAATCGCTCATGGATCTCACCATATTTTAAGCGCCGGCAGCCAGTTCGGTGAGCCGGAGGATCGAGCCCCACCAGCCGGACGATTGGATCGGAGCGCTCCGCTGAGCAGGATTCGCTCGGCACCCCCCTGTTCCCGGAATTGGGTTCCTGCATTCGCGCAGACAAGAGAAATTGAGGCTCAGCTCGATGGCTTTGTTTTCACTTTACGAGGCGGCTGCATGGTCGGCCGCATGTTTTACTGAGGCGGAATAAAAGGAGGCAACGGTCTTGGGCCAATCAACGACTGTTGTCGGCACAGCTGGCCGGGTTCACGGTGTAGCATGAAACGCGAACAGCTAGACGATGCGCCGCGAAAACCTGCTTTTGCTCCCGCCTTAATGTACACGAAGCACTCTGGTTTTTCACGGCTACACCTTTGTTTAGTTGGACTTGTCCCAGAATATTGCTCTCGAATTCATCAACACGTGCGCCGTAAACGCCTATCTAAAATCCCAACTTCAGAAATGCTGCATCTCCATCGCTCGCGTTTGGGATGGTCTCGAACGCTGCTTTTTTACCGACATGTTCCAGCCACCACACCTCATATTATTTTATAGCTTATTCCTCACCACCTCTCTCCATCGCCTCTGCTTATTTACCCAAGCAAATCTCCAGAGGCGGAACCCCCCTGTGGTGCTGAAGAGGGGTTTGCTGCGGGTGCTCCCCAGATGCTAGCGCTGCTCTTCTCCTTAGCCAGTTGGCCCAGTGCTGGCCCAGTGGTGGGAGTGCTAGGCTTCTTGATGCCGACACTGGCTTTGCCCCAGAGAGCACCAAATGCATCTCCGCCGCCAGAGGCAGCTGCTTTGCCGTTGGACTTGTTGGCGGGTTGCAGACCGGCAGTTGGAGTCATGGATGAAACAGATCCTCCGGTAGGTTGAGCCTGTACAGTACCAAAGTAATTGGGCCCTGTGGGTTGGAAGCCCGCAGGCTTGGCAGGCTGCACTGGAATGCTGAATCCTGAGCTTGCAGCAGCAGGCGTGGCATTGGCGCTGCCGGCTGGTGAGATGGAAGCGATGTTGACCATCTGACTGATGCCAGCTTGCTGCGGAGCCGACAGGGGCTTTGGAGCAGCGAATTGGGTGTTTGAATACGTAGGCGAGGTTGGCGACGTTGGGGATAGGGGCTGTGAGAAGCCAGCTGAGGGAGCTAAAGGCTGAGCCGCAGGCGCTGTGGGAGCTGCCGATTGAAAGTCGTCGAACTCGTCATCGTCATCGTTGGCGGGAGCGGCGGCGGTGTTGAGGGGAGCGAATCCGCCCAATCCAGAGCTGCTTGATGCAGCTGCTCCGGCAGCTGTAACAGGTTCGTCAAATGAGAAGAGGTCCACCTCAGGCTCTTTCTGCTTGGGAGGCGGCGCCGTTGCCTTTTTGGCTGGAGAGCGTTCTGCACTTCTCGTGGGACGAGAAGAACTGGCCGCGGGTCGCGCTCCGTCGTCATACTCGTCATACTCTTCGAATCTTTCTGATCGGTTTTGGGTGTCACGGAAATCGCTCGTTTGGCCACCGAAGCCGCCACCGTCGCCATATACACCACCAGAGTATCCGCCATACTCGCCAGAGCCACCACCACCGCCATAGCTAGACTCATTGCCGAAGCCGCCAAAGCGACCGCTGCCGCCGCTCGAGAAACCGCCCAAACCCATACCTCCCTCAGAGCCAGTATACTTGTTCTTCGTTACTCGAGCCTTTTTGCGCTCGGCCCGAATCCGCTCAACGTCGCCCAGCAGCTCGGCAAGTTCCTTGGCTCGGTTTCGTACGTTGATACCTTGATCTTTGCCATTCTGGTCGATGAAATGGAACTGGCGCAGCATTTTCAGAAGCGTGATATGTCCGCGCGCATCATCAACGACGCGCTCCGAGCCATGCTTGATGAGGAATTCGAGGAGTTGTAAGCTTTTGTAGATTTGGCGCCACTCCTCTGCAGACTTCTCCGTAAATCGACGATAGATCATTGGCATAATCTCATTGAGTTGTTGACTGCACCGGCGTTAGAATCCAGCAGATATGCATCCATATGGGTGCAACGCCTGCTTGCGTACGTACTAGTTGAATGTGCCGTTGGCAATCTCCTGCATCAGAGTGGACGATGCTCCCCATGGCTCGTTATTTGTCGCCTCTCGTACCTAACGCGCCGCATTCTTAGCAATCATATTCCGTCGCAATGCCATTGCTAAAGCAAACCTTTGCTTCCATCTCGGTATAATTCATGACAGCTAATCGATCACCGGCGTTAGCCTGAATCCCCTTTAATTTCCATTGGGCTGCGAAGAGAGCGCCATACCATTCTGCGCCTTCCGGAACCCGGCCTTGAGATCGTACAAGGTCAGGTTCGAGACGGTATTCTTCAAGTCGTTAAAATCCATTTTGGATAGACCCAATCAGCAGGAAAAAACGCGGGAGAGATGGCCAAGAGAAAGTTAAAGGCAGAGCCGGATGGTGACGAGACTGTCGATGATGGTTGGAGCTACACGGTGTCGCCGAGCCTGGACACTTGGACACAAGCGCTAGGTCCACTACTCGGGCTGCTAACACGTTACGAAGATACCGGGCGTCACGTGATGTAAGCTAGGTACTTTGCTGTTCATTGAGGCTGTCCAGTTGTTCAAGACTAAGGAGCTGGTGAGTGCTATTCGATTAAAGACTAGCATATCGGCCAAAGACTGTGATACATTGAATGACAATTTCCGTGTGCTCTACGGGCATAGAGACCCCTTGGCTGGACATGCAGTCTATCAAGTGTACCAAATGGCTACCCGCTTGGCCGACTTCCCCAGTCTCTAGACCTGCCCATGGATTATTAACATCGACCTGCGCCGGATCCGCGTAAGAGCCTGAGACTTCAGGCAATAATAGCAGCAGTGCGCACTGGCTACTGACATCACCCACAACTCTTCACCTTTCTGCGAAGCTGTCCCATCAACCCCGGTACCCAGGCTACGTCTTTTGCTTGGATCCTATTGTGTAGAATCATCATTGTAATACGTTTGACCTCCAAGGTATGCTTCTCTTTTTTTACCTCCTCTTCGTGTTCCTCTCCCGCATCCCTAGCACCCGCAACCCATTATCCCGCCTATGCAAATGGACCAGCGGCCATGGACATGCTCCAAGCAACATGGAAAACAAAGAAAAATCTGCTCTTGTTGGGACGGTTTCAGCCAATTGCCCGCCCCTCAGGAATTGCACCGCCTGGCGGGCTTGCCTCGGGGCCTTTGAACCGGTTTTGGCCATCCATTTGCTGGGAGCTGCGCAAAATTCCAAACAACCAGCTTTCCTCTGGGCATGGGCCAAATGATAGGCGGAGCAGCTCCGCCCGCAGGAATAGGTTGGAAGGGCTTCATGCTTGGCCGTCCAATCATGGCGCGCCTCTGCCCACCGCCCACCTGCAGCACGGCGCACACCAAGTCACGTCAGCTCTCGGAGAGCCAACGGTCCAATTGAGCAGAACCGCGTCGAATCCAGCCATTCCGACGGCTGCTGGGCTGTTCCGGGCCTCCAGCGCGAGCCTGGCGATGGCTGGGCCATGGCAGATGCGAGGGTCGAGCAATTGCTGCGCCAGAGCCGGCGACGAGGCCGTGATCGAGCTCTGAAAGCTTGGGAGCTCCGAGCTTTGCCGCCCGCTAATTTGGCGGCGACGTCAAGCTGCCGCATACCCTGGCCGAAAACACGTGATCGGCTCCTCTCGTCGCACCCCACCGTCTCCCTTGTCTGCTGCTCTGGTTGGCTGTTTCCGGTTACTAATCCGCTACCCCTCCAGCACAATTCAAAATGAGATCAGCTTTCTTCCAACCCCTCCTACCCCGCCAAACCTTTTGCTCCCCCGGCTTAAGAACTTTCTCTCTCCCTCAACGCATTGCTACTTCATCCACCTTTGCGACCACTCGATTCTATTCACAGCCAGCCAAAATGTCTGCCAACCGATCCCGAGTGTAAGTGCTGTGTGAGCTCCCCCAAGGACATCGCCATCCTCTGACTCTACCACTGCAGTTTCTTCGACATCACCTGGAAGGGACCCGTCTTCAAGGACGGCAAGCCTACCACTGAGATCAAGGGTGAGTCTATTCTCTATTCTTCCGAAACCCCAATTCGTTAGCGCTGTCAATGGCAAGCCGCGAAGAGAAGCGAAGCTGCTGCAAGTTGAATCTCGACATGCTACTCGTTTCTCTTTGTTTAATCCCTTTGTTTAATCCCTTTACCGCTTTGGTCAAGTCTGCTCCGGCACTGACTGGCTGCTTCTCCCCCATTCTTCCAATTATCACCTCACCTTGCCGTGGCCATTCCTGGAGCTTGCAACTAATACGTCTATGACAATAGAGCAGCAAGGTCGCATCAACTTCACCCTGTACGACGACGTTGTCCCCAAGACCGCCGAGAACTTCCGTGCTCTCTGCACCGGTGAGAAGGGCTTCGGCTACCAGGGCTCATCTTTCCACCGTATCATCCCCAACTTCATGCTCCAGGGTGGTGACTTCACCCGCGGTAACGTATGGATTACTCGCCCCAAGAAAGCAATTGGTAAAAGGCAGTTGACTAACACATCCCCAGGGTACCGGTGGCAAGTCCATCTACGGCGAGAAGTTTGCCGATGAGAACTTCCAGCTGAAGCACGACCGCCCCGGTCTGCTGTCTATGGCCAACGCTGGCCCCAACACGTGAGTCCACCTCAATCAAGCATCTTGGTGCGACATTATTGGCTAATCCGCGATCCAAATAGCAACGGCTCCCAGTTCTTCATCACCACCGTCGTCACCTCTTGGCTGAACGGCCGCCACGTCGTTTTCGGCGAGGTCGACGCTGACTGCATGCCCATTGTCTCTGCCCTTGAGGCCACTGGCCGTGACGACGGCAAGGTCAAGTATGAGCCTCGCCCCACCATCGTCGCCAGCGGTGTCCTGTAAGCTTGTGTAGTACGGCTACATGCTCTGCATGTCCACTTGGCGGCAGTCTGAGACCATGATGTTTGTTGTGGCGGATAAAAAGAGGCTCAAAAGAGCGACTACATCGCTATATCCTTTAGCTAGTCATTAGGGTGCTGCAAAGCAGAACAAAAATACAAATTCATCGCATCGAAGAAAATGATCATTCATGGTTCAAAAGTCTGCTGAAATCATCAACTTGATCCAAAAAAAAGACAATGTAAATGTAAAGGGCATCTTATAGAGGAAAGGAATGTCAGCGTGTCAGGACCCTTGTCTATAAGAATATGCGCTTTAGGAGGATTCTCCCGAGGCTTGTGAGAAGTCAAGTGTTTTTTATGAGTCTCAATACAACATGTATTTTACGCTCAATCTTCTGCAATAGCCTATCTGCTGACCCATTATGCGCCAAGTGCCAAGTATAGAGAGATATATACACATTCCCAACAGACTGTTGCGAGGAATATCCCATGCCAAAAATAAACTCCAAACAATGCAAATTGATATCTGATAATTTTTTCCCCTCTCCCCCTCCCTCTCCCTCTCCCTCTCCTTCTCGTCATCTCTTCAAAAGATCTCATCCTTGCCCAGCCATTTTTTGAAATATTCACAATTGCTGGGCCCTACAGGACCACCATCCTCACATAAATCGAACACGGGGCACCGTCCACACGGCACCTCCGCCAACGGGCTGACGTATAGCTCCGGGCCGCCGTCACGGCCCGAAGGGTCCTCGCGGCCGGCCCAGCTCTCGACCGACTGTTTGGCAATGCGCGAGACGCGGTAGCCGACTTTTCCCGCAATACGGACGGGCTCGACGAGGTTGTCCCAGACAAGGACGTCGACGAGCTTCTTGACATCGCCCTCGGACAGGATGGTGTTGTTGGTGATGCCGCTGGAGGAGAGGAGGCGGGCGATGTCGCGGACGGTTGGGTAGGCTGTGTAGCCGGCTGGTAAGGGCAGGAGGGCGGGTTCTCTGCGGGAAGATGGGGTGGGCTTGGGGGCAGCGGCTTTGCCTTCCATCTCGGAGGCGTCGCGCTTCTTGCCCTTGATCGCATCTGCTGCTGCTGCTGCTGCTGCGAGTCCGCCCTTGATGACGCCCTTTTTGGGGGCTTGTGTGCCGCCGGCGGCTGCTGCTGCTCTTGCGGCGGCACCGCCATGAGTGCTGTGGTAGCTGCTCTGGCGCTTGATAAAGTCGAAGACGACACGCTGCAGGTCTTCGATGAAAGCCTCGTCTAGGTCCTGATCGGTGTACCACGGCCCTCCGGTGGCGCGGTCGCTGGGCCGGATGGAGGCCTTGATGTACATCTTCTTGTTGGGGTGCTCGACGTTCTTGAAGGGCGCGATGAGGCCCTTTGCCTGCAGCTGCTTGATGGCGTTCTTGAGGACCGAGTCGTGCATGTTGAGGCGCTTCTGCAGCGTCTGCGTCCAGATGCCATCGCCGCCGGAGTCGTCGATAAGGGAGTATACCATGACTTGCTCATCGGTCGTACATTGCTTATACCTGTAGTTTGAGAACACATGGTTAGCAAAGGCTTTTTTTTCCACCAAAGAGAGATACGCAGATTTGAATCCATGTATTGGGGAGGGGAATGTATCCTCACTTATGCGCCTCCTGCTTGTCTCGCCACTTCCACAGCACCTGTCCGGACGCCTCCCTCATCGTGATGAACAGCTTGTCATCGCTGAGCGACTGCACGACCCGCGCCAGCAGCAGCAGGTCCCGATTGGGTATCACCTCCATGCGGAGGAGGTCGTCCTGCGAGAACATGTCGCCTTCTTCCCTGCACCGGTCGTAGAGCAGCTCCTTCAGGACGGCCAGTTTCGCGGAGTCGGCATCGCTGCCATTGGCCCTCGAGGAGCCAGCAGCGACGGGGGCCGACATTGCGACGCTGCGAAGAGAGGATCTGTGAGCCTGCTGGAGGCTAGAGTGGTGGTTGAAATTTCGAGATGCTAGTACGGCTGCCGAAGGGAAAAGCTGATGTGGATGGTGGCGATGCAAAAGAAAATAAAAAGAAAAAAAAAATAAAAATACAAAAGTGACAGTCGTTTATGAGTCACCAGGCTGCCTCCCTTCTTCCCTTCTTTTCTTCTTCTTCTTCTTCTTCGTCTTCGTCGTCTTCTCCCTCGCAATGAGGCGTAGTCGATGGATTTGTTAGCGCTACATTGACTTGGGCGTCTTTGGACGATAGACTCCCTCTCTTCACTTTTCTTATCAGGTCGGAGCGATAGGCCCAAATTGTGTACAGGTTCTATGGTGGGACACGAGCATGCTACTTTTTTTTTTTTTTTTTTTTAGCCATCAGTAGGTACCAAGGTAGTGAGAGGCCTAGTGGGTACCTTACAGCAGCCTTGCATGCCGGAAGAATTTCGGTATTTGCTGGATTGTGGAGCAAGGTGCACCATGTATTCAGACAGACAGCATTCTTCGTGGAGTACGATAGAAGACAATTGGTTTTAGCAACGTTTGCAATTAGATCACGACAATGGCTTTTCCAAGACGTATTTTATTGAATTTGTTATAGAATTACTCTTTTGTACGCTACTGATATAGACTCCAAGCAAATAAGAAATAATAATAATGAAAAAATCAGCCAAACTTAATAAAGAATCGAACAAGACATTAGCCTGGCGCTCAACAGATGGCTCGATATTGCCATCTGCTTTTATGTGGCCCGCCAGTATCCCTTGCGCCGGAAACGCCTCTCTCGCCTACCCACTGATCTACAACGTGAACTGCATCAACGTGATTTGGAGTTCTCTTGCTCCATATAAGCCAAGCCGAGGGTCTTGCTGCTTGGGGATGCTCAAGCAGACGGTGTGCTGGCCTTCTTAGGCTCAGCTTCCTCCTTTTCTTGATCAACCTCCATCGCGTCTGCGGACTGTTCAGCCTTCTCTTTCACATCAGATGATGCTTCGGGAGATTTTTCAGGTTCGGCTTCTGAAGGCTTTGATTCTTCTGCGGCAGCTGGTTTTTCAGCAACAGCAGCTTCGGTAGCTTCAGCAGCAACTTCGGTGGCAGTTTCAGCTTCAGCCTCAGCAGTAGCAGCAGCTTCGGTAGTGGCGTCGGCAGCTGGCTCAGAATTCTCTTTTGAACTCTCTTTTGGCTTTTCTTCCGCTACGGGGCTCTTGCTGGGAACTCGTTCGGGGGCTGATTCAGGTTCATCCTGCTCTTCCTTGATGATTTTTTCTTCCTTAGGCTCCGAATCGTCGGCCATGCCAACGTCGCCATCGTCATCGACCTTGTCCTTTTCTTTGCCGCTCTCCTTTTCTTGTTCGCTTTCTTTCTCCGCTTCCTTGTCCTTTTCAGGTTCAGCGGGCTCAGCCTCTTTATCCACGGCCATCTTCTCTTGCTCGGCAGCAAAATCCTCGATGGTGTCGTCGTTAACATCGTGGGATTCTTCTGCGGCTGGCGCTTCAGGAGCACCGCCATTGGTGGCAGCGGCGGGGGAAGCGCGTTCGCTGTTATCTTCCTTGTCGCTTTTACGGTAATCGTTAAAGCTTCTCTTGTTGCCGTTAGCACGAGTGGCTCCATTTGCGCGGGCCATTTCATCATCGTCGCTGGGTTCAAATTCATTCTCGTGCTCAACACGCTTGTCCCAGCGATGTTCAGTCATTCGGACGTCTTTATTTTCATCTTCGTCCATGTCATCTAGCTCAGCCTCCTCCTCATCGGTCATGCCACCAAAGGGTTTCCGAGGAACATCTTGCATCTGAACCGATGGGGCCGGGCCGGTGTGGCGGAGGTTATCAATGACGGCAGCAGTAATCTTCTCCAGATACTCTCTGCTGTTAGAATTCTCCATGTTAGAGGACCTAACATTGAGCTCAAAATCGGGAGCATAATACTGGTAATCGCATTAGCACAAGACGCTCTAAGTAATGACAAGAGGATAACATATGGACCAACCTCGTAATACTCGTTGTATGGAAGGGTCCGGTCCATCTCTTGGCCAACCAGGACACCTGTCTCAAATGCCCACGTTCGGGCAACATTACGCATGGTGTAGCCGCCTCCGCCAAGAACTAAAGTAGGCAAGTTGAAGCTCTTGACAAAGTTGACACAGTTGGCGTGACCATCCATGCTCAGGTTGAAGGCACCCAAACGATCTCCAGAGAGACTGTCTCCACCACACTGTAAGACGACAGCCTCGGGCTGGAAGTATTTCATGACGTTCTCAATGACAGGTTCGAAAATGGATTTATACGAATCGTCGGTGATACCATCGCGGAGAGGGAAGTTGACGGCGTAGTTCTTGCCTTGCCCAATGCCAATGTCGCGAAGCTCACCGGTACCGGGAAAGTATTCACCATATTTGTGAAATGAAACGGTCATGACACGATCGGTGGTGTAGAAAGCCTCCTCAACACCGTCACCGTGGTGGACGTCAATATCGATGTAGAGCACACGCTTCATAAATCGAAGGAGTTCGAGGATTCCGAGGACGATGTCTGCCAGCCAGTGATTAGATGATATAAATTACACAATGATATGGGTTCCATTTGTATGGCAATGTATAGGAATGTATAAAACAACGCACCATTCACGTAGCAGAAGCCACTGGCTTCGCACTTTTTCGCGTGGTGTAGACCGCCAGCCCAGTTGATAGCGATATCGCACTTTTGCCGATTGAGACGCGCTGCACCCTCCATGCTGCCGCCGGCACTGATGCCGCAGAATTCGAAAAGGCCGTCGAAAACGGGGCAATCGTCGCCGACATTGTATTTCCCCTGTTCTCGCATGTAGCTATCCATGTTGTCGGGGGTGACCTTTTGCAGGAAATCGATGTAATCGTCGGTATGGAACTGGGTCATTTCGCCGCGAGTAGCCGGTTTAGCGCGCTGTTGCATTGTCAGTATCCCATCAAAAATCGCATTTGGTACCTTTATTGTGCCGAGGAGTCGCAATAACAAGAGGCCCATGGTTCACATACGTAAATCTCCATCTTCTGGTACAGATTGTACTGCATAATCAGACTGTGGGCCAATCGAATTCGATGAGGCTTCATAGGATGACCGGTGACGTAGGCATAGTTTCCAATGTCAGAATCGTAAAAGTAGGCGACTTTCTTCGGTGATGACCCATTAAGGGCCACCGAACCGAGTCCCGACATGGTGGTGTCGCCCATGTGGAAAAGTTGCAACGCTGAGCTGCTTTGCTTGTAAGAGTTCGAGAGGCGCCGGTTGGCAGGCTGTGGTTGATGCTACTCTGTATTGGGGGGGGAAAAAAGAAGTAAAAGAGAAAGAGAAAAATCCAAAATCGGATGGAGCAGCAATGCGAGTGATTCGGTCAAAAGGATTTTCGCATAGCTGCGTTGGCGGCGAAGATGTGAAGGAAAGTTGAGTATATCGTAGTAGCGGAAAGCCGATTAACTTTCGGCAAGGGAAGCGCGGCGGCCAAGCAGAGAGGCTGCTGCGGCAGCTGGCGAACACACGCGGATAAATATTGGGGCGGCAAGGCTGCAAATCTCGGTCTGGTCCGCCAAAATTGCTGGGAAAAGTTTGTCATCCACGGCAGTGGCATCTGATTGGCCTGTCTATTGCCGAAAAAAAGGTAGCTGGGCAAGGCTTGCTGGTTACTAGTCCGTACTAACGTAAGCGTGGCCAATTGATCGGAACGCTTTGCACGTGACTTGATTATTCAGCCACCAACCCTTGTAGCAGGCTGCCGGACAACTGCGTCAACGGTCATTGATATCAGCAGCTAGCTGCTAGAGGGGCCCAAACACCAAGTTAGGAACACGCAAACACGCACACATATTCTTCTCCCTGCCACTTCTACAGCTCTCCAATTGCGACTTTCGTTTGAAATCTTTCGTTTATTTCATCTACACCGTCAAACACAGCACATTTCATTACTTTGAGCATGGAGCGATTTAGGAATCTGTTGGGCGGAGGTGGCATGGGGTTGGGAGGAGTTACTCCAGGCACGGTAAGCTTTGGATCTGCTGGAATTGCATTGCTTGGACGCAGCTATATTCCCTCCAGCTGGAGCAAGCTGCATGTCCGAGATTAGCTGCGGCGATTTGTGGCTAACGGGCGTCGTCATTACAGGATAACATTAGCCTGATCGATAACTCCGAAACGGTCTACATCTCATCCCTAGCCCTGCTGAAGATGCTCCGGCACGGCCGAGCAGGCGTGCCGATGGAAGTCATGGGTCTCATGCTGGGCGAATTCGTCGACGATTTCACAGTCAAGGTCATGGACGTGTTTGCCATGCCCCAGAGCGGAACAGGAGTCAGTGTTGAAGCTGTCGATCCTGTATTTCAGACCAAGATGATGGATATGCTGCGGCAGACTGGAAGGTAAGCTGCTACGAACCGTACATGGCTGGCCTGGAAGGAGAAAGGAGAAAGGAGAAAGCCAAATTATGCAATGACTGTAGCTAACGGAGACGCATAGACCGGAAGCTGTCGTCGGATGGTATCACTCGCACCCTGGATTTGGCTGCTGGCTTTCTTCTGTTGACATAAATACTCAGCAGTCGTTTGAGCAGCTAAACCCCCGTGCAGTGGCAGTTGTTGTCGATCCTATACAGTCAGTCAAAGGCAAGGTCGTCATCGATGCTTTCCGACTTATCAACCCACAACTACTCATGATGGGCCAGGAGCCTCGACAGAGCACAAGTAACCTGGGACACTTGAACAAGCCATCCATCCAGGCTTTGATCCATGGACTCAACCGACACTACTACTCGATTGGCATCAACTACCGCAAGACGGCACTAGAAGAGAATATGCTCATGAATCTCCACAAGCACGTATGGACGGAAGCTCTAGAAATGGATGATTTCCGGACGGAGGGACAGAAGAACAAGGAGCGTCTGGAAAGACTAGTCAGCCTGGCAGATGGCTACGAGAAGAGAGTCAAGGAGGAGACTGAGCTGACTAAGGAGCAGCTCAAGACCCGTTACGTTGGCAAGCTGGACCCCAAGAAGCACTTGGAGGACGTGGGCCAGGAGCTGATTGAAGACAACATCGTGTCGGTGTCGAGGCAAATGATTGACAAGGAGGCGACGATGCCAAAGAAGAACGGGGCATTGGGAGCGGCTGCCCAATCAAATGAAGACCAGATGGAGACAGAGGAGGAGTTATAAGGGAGGAGCAAGCCAGGGAGAGCAACCATTACCACGACTCTTTTCGCACTACTTTAAGCCACTACTACTACATACAAAAAAAGGTGGTGGTAGTTGGGCAGCACTTGAGAAATACTTAGGAACAGGACCATAATTTTTTTTTTATAAACTGCTGCTAAAAAGAAGCTTGTAATGACACGGACGGGTCTTTAGGGCGGTGACCGTATATCAGACAACATGTTGCTATATGTTGTTGGGGCGGTGGCCGGTCATATGGTGGTTTTTGCGTGACCATGAGCGAATAGTAGTGTCCGCGTGCGTGTGGTATTACTAGTAGCTGGTTCGTTGTCGTTGTCACTCTGGAGGAATGCTTGGGCCCCCCCTGCACCTGGGAGCATGAAGCCGTAGTCGGGCAGCACGATTCATGACATGTCACTATTTTATGGGAAACGTGTTGGTCTCTATGCCGCCTTTTGCGTCTTGGTAGAATTTTTTGGTATTGATGTGCTGTGAGGACAGAGAACTGCAGTAGCTGTAAACACGAAGAGAGCGAAAATGCTTGGCGTACGAAGTGCATACTGAGGTAGCGGATGTGAAAATTAAAATGGCAAGGATAGGACGATAGCCTGTCCAGGGTTATTCACATAAACGCAGCTGCTTCCAAAGGCAGCATGATGCTGTTGATCCATTCCGTATAAGTCGGTGTATCCCGCGGCATCGTGTGTGCTTTGCGCAATGCTTACATACAGTATGCCTGCCTACGTGCCTATTCACTCGTCCACACACTCAATCTTGCACATGTTGAACACCCCAACAAACGCCATACCAGCAACTCGAAGGAAGAAGCAAATAGCCTAGTACCACAGTACCACCTCGAAAAATAATAAGACATATTACGTTTTCGTTTTGCCACTTACCCAAGACCAGGCAGGAAAATCCCACGCCATCTGTGGTCTCGCTTGGGCACTGGGATCCAGCTTGGCAGCAGTCACACGGCGGTTTTTGGCATCAGCCGGTGCTGGTTCGATTGGCGGCGACGCTCTAAGCGGTCTCAGCCCTCCAGTCAACCCCTCGGGCTCGACCCCTCCTCTCTTCACTTGTCCTCCCCTGAAGCAGAGACGCGCATGAGCCCTGGTAAACACGCAGAGACCGGGGCCCCCAATCAGTGGACAGACGGTGTGTCTCGCAGGGCCCGTGGAGAGCCACAGGGATTGCGGCCTGGGAAAAAAAAAAAGAGGCGACGAGGCCCCACGGCGGCGCCCAAGCAGCGACAGGCCACAGTCTCAGATGACGGGCTGGTGGGCGCTGATTCATCCTGGCCGCTGGGTGGATGCTGCGGTGGATATGCTGCTGGGAGAAGAGGGTGCTGCGGAGGGAGAGCCCCAGCTTGCTGCAGACTGGCTCTTCTGGTGAGGCCGCTGCAGCCACTAACTGCGAGCAGCAGAGCTAGCAGTGGAACTAGCAGCGCTGAGGGCTGCGACAGATGCAGATGCAGATGCAGATGCAGCCTGAGGAAAAAGAAGAAGAAAGAAGAAGACGCAGACGCAGACGCAGGGAAGCTCGAAACGAGAGACATGCTAGAGATGAGGCCGTTGGTTGCGACGACCAAGTACAGTACACATGGTATATGCGGTGACGACGTTACGGCACTTATGTATAAAGATGGGCTGGATGCGAGTACTAATGCCCAGCCAAAGCATTTACAGGGACTCGCAGAGGAGCAGGCTGTGGGACGCCAAAGTGGCTTGCAGCAGCGGCAGCCATCCCCGTCTCCATCTGCTGCTCTCTAGCGGTTGCAGCAGCAGGCATTTGCTGCCAGCCAGCGCCTGCCAGTGGACGCCGCGGCGGAGCCACTCCCCAGCAGACGCATGAGCAGCGACGCACCAACAACAATCCAGAAATTGGACGTCGAATTAATATCATCAGCTGCGGCGGCAACACCAACACCAGACAAGCGATCGCGGTGGCGGTACCTGTACATGCGTTGCGCGGATTGGACGCGTTCACCAGCCGTGGCACTGGAGACGGCGAGCAGTATTCGAGCAGCCTTCGTGTCTATAAGCACCATTGGGGCCGTTAAAACGACGGCGAGCGACTCCATCGCGCGAATCGCAAGTCTGGGCCCGGGAGTACCTGTACCCGTAAACCCGTGCTCGGGTACTTTGCACAGTGTCTGTCAGTGGCTGCAGCTGCAGGGGTCGCGGCGCAGCATTCACGCTTTTCTTCAGCATCGACGTCCACTTCGATTCTGCGTCCTTCTCCCATGAATTGCGCTGCCGGCGATACCTGCCAGAGCATCCCATCGTCGCCCGCTGCGCCCTCTATGGGCGACGGCCACCCCCATGCGTGTACCTGGCACTCACCCATCCCGCCATCGTCCATCCCGTCCGGGTCCTCGAATCCATCATTTACACGATAGCGCTGTGGCCGCGGCGTCGGTTAACCTCGCAGGAGATCCGCCCGCGAGCCCCTGTTTGCCGCCGCTGCTGTCATCGCCGTTGCCATTACCTGCACCTGCAGGAGCCACCACAACAAAGAAAAAAAATTATAGCATCGCATCATCGCCTGTCCTCCCCTGCTCCGCAGTCTGGGGCGCCGGCATCTCGTGCGTCGGCTGATGCGAATACCTCCAACACCACCGTTACGACACACACCAGAACTGTGCTGTTCACGGGTGGGCAGCAGAGGAGCTGTTGGCGGTCCCAACGTCCACGACCACTGTAGCTCGTAGTGGCACTACACTGCCGGCATCCACGAATACCGACCTACTTGTATATCTGCGGGTGCGTCTTCGACTTCCTCGACTTCCACCACCACCACCACCGTTACCACCACAATTACCAACAGACGTCGTGGTGGCCGCGGTGGTGCTGGCAGTGGACGGTAGCCAGAGGCTCTTACGCCAGCATTGTCGCCAGAAGTAGCAACCAGCACCCGCGTTAATTGAAGTCGCAAACGCAGTCGCAGTCGAACCCCGAACCCGAACTTCAACGTCATCGCCATGATGGACGTCGACACCGTCAACGAGGTCATTGAGTGCGTCGGCCGCCTCTTCGACCACATTCCCTACGCCGTCTGCGGCACCGCCGCCCTCATCTACTACGGCTACCGCTCCTACTTCCCCGATCACATCAGTATTACCTGTCCCGAAGAGTCTAAGGAAGCCATTCGCTGCTGGGCGCTGGCCAAGGGCATGACACCGTTGCCCGACAACCCCGATGGCTTCAGCGTGCGCGTTGCCAGCGGCCGCACTTGTCCCGTATGCATCAAGTTTATGAAGAACGGCTTCGAGGCGCTGGAGCGAGTCCGGGTTGGCCCAGGCCAGGCAAGCATGGTGACGTTGCCTAGTATCGCCAACACCATCGCCCGTAGCTACGTCTCTCGCCTGCACAACTCGTCTACGGAGCGCCAGGCCCTCTATGCGCGGTACTTGGCCTGGATCTTGAAACGCATGGCTGAGGTCCCGCCAACAGATCCGATACAGCGCTTTACTCCAGAACGTGCCAAAGACATTATAAATCGATCTTTTTGGATCCCCTTCACTCTCTCTTATCCCGAGACTGTGCCTCTATTTACGGCTGCCGGTCTTGAGATCCAGGGCGATGGTGGGCTAATGGACTGGCCGCAGATTGACGCCCCAAGCGTGCCGGCCCAACGGCCAAGGGCTAGGACATCCACCAGCCGTTATAGCCTCAACAATAGCCATGGCCGCAGCCAGAGCCATAACTTTGCCAATACCTACAACTACAACTATAGCCAGAGCCAGACTCGTCACAGCCTTCACGACTCGGATCTCTCAGAGTCTGAGAATAGCACAACACCACCATCTCTCCGTAGGGTTACCAAGCGGATACCGAGCTTCCGCCCACTAATGGTGCCTTCATTCAACTCGCCGGCGACTTCCGACTCAGGATTCTCCCATTCCACTGACGGCATGTCACCGCAGTTCCTTCTTGCTTCTCCATTCATGTCACCCACCACATTTATGTCGCCCACCACAGCCATGGCGCCACCGCCTTTTACAAGCTATCATCAGAACTATCATCAGAACTTTCATCAGAACTTTCATCAGAATTTTCATCACTTTATGCCCCTCTCTCCTTCAGACTCTACACCCTTTATCCAACCATTAGGCCCTCCACCAGCACCAAGGAGATCACTATCAACTCGTTCCCGTGATGTGAGGCCGTGGATATGAATCGAATGAACCACGAATTTCCTTGATTATGCGCCACTTTAGCGCTTGAGAGCTTGGGGCTCAGCATCCAAATGCACACACTCGCACAAACACGGCTGTTTAACAGCGTTCTGATTTCAACTTTATACCAACTTAACGTCTGCTTTATCGGCCACAACACGAACCAACGAGCCAAACAAAACAAACAAACAAACAAACCAAATTTACTGATTCTGGCAATCTAATTCTGTTCTTTTTGTCGTTTTTATCTATTGGGGGCTATCATCTAAATTGACGAGATATCAACTTGACCAGGTTATTTTGTTTGTCCTTTTACCTTGTTCTTTTTCTTTCGGCCATGTTAGGTTTTACCCTTTCTTTTGCTATCTTTACATTTCTTCTCATTCCATTTCTCTCTCTATTCTTCTTACACGACGGAGTTTTTTTTTTTTTTTTTTTTTTTTTTTTTTTTTTTTTTTTTTGTGCCAAGAATGACACGATTTGATGGATACCGGATATGGCAGGCAGGGGGATTATGCACGACATACATGACGCAAGGGGCCTCCTTTTTTTCCCTTTTTTCTTTTTTTAATACTTAATGACATCGAATGGAGGAAAGGAAGGAAGACAGAATAATGATGTCATGGTAATTGAAGAAGAAGAGTAAAAAAAAGTCAACAGGACTCAACAAATATTGAAACAACAAACACACCAGGATTTTTTTTTTCTTTTTTCTTTTTTTAAGACCCTTGAAAAGCCAAAGGCTCAACACATCCATACCCCATAGATTGATAGTTTACTGTACAATAGAAAAAAAAGGGGTGGGAGTGCATTGCTAGACTCAATGCCCAACTACCCACCTATTTGATGAAACTGTGTTTCTTTCCTCTCTCCTTTCTTCCCCTAAGCTGAGACTTGAGTAAACGAATAGGATAGGAGCTCCACACATGCAGCGATATCAACACAATCAGAAAGAAAATAGGATACAGAAACGTGAAGAAAAATTTTTTAGCCATGTCGTACCGTTCGTCTGTACGAAAACCCTAGTATTGGCAGCAAGTAGCAACGAATGAAGAAAAACAAAATCATGCTCACATCATACCAAAAACTCCCTTATCCATGTATCAGCCATGATTCCTCCTTATACTGCCCCGCAATACTATTGTTCTTCAGGCTTCTCAATTCTTTGTTCTACAAGATGAAGGAAGCTGGATACAAGATAAAACAATAAAAAAAAACCGCTCAGAACATTTCCGTCCCATTCCCTCATTACTCCAATACGCCTCCTATATTGGCATCAAGCCCGTGTGCGTCTTTATCTGATCCGACAAGCACATATTTATTGTCGTAAATTGCGCTCGCCATGCTTGGTTGTAAAATGTCGCGTATAAAGGACTCATCCACGCGAGGCGGTGACTCGCTTGTGGGTGAGAAGTCAATGGCAAAGATGCCATCGACGGCAGCTTTATCTTCCGGTGTCGCGGGCTTTGATTGCTCATCCACATTGAGCTTCTACGCTCCCATGACGGGAATCTTTTTGCCTCGCTTCCCCAGCAGTGTTGCGTTGTCAAGATTGAGCTCAAATGCGCCCTTTTGTCGCTGTCGTTCGCGCACTTGCTGTCGTGCAGCAGCGGTCACGGCCGCGGAATGCTGCCCATAGCCTCTCTCACCGGCTCGCTCTCGCTCGCGACCACGAGTATGAGTATTGTCATGGTCTTGGATATTGGCCCTTTGCATCCTCTGCTCTAGAGCCTGAGTTTTGCTGTTGGTGTCCTTGTCGATATCCATGTTATCAGCATCGCTGTCTTCCTCCTCCTCCTCTTCGTCTTCTTCATTGAGACCACCAAGAGGTCTTCCAGCACCTCCAGCTCTTGCTCCAATCTGGGCCCTTCTCATTTCTTCCTCTCCTTGACGATGAACAGCATAACTGACATCGAAAACCTCACGGAGATTAACAGCTGCAGGGGATCGGAAATCGTATCGCTTTCCGGAATCCTCGAATTGGGCGGTTGCAAATGGCTTGATCGGCACAACCTCGGGTCTCTTTTCATTTTTAGGGGTTGGTCCTACTTCTTGGATCCATGGGTGGGCAAGAAACTCTCGGATGGTGTAACGCTTTTCGGGATCCACCGTCAAAAGATGGCTGATCAGATCCTTGGCAGACTTGGAGATGTCGTCCCACCAAGGCGACAGGAAGGTGTACTGGCCCTTGGCAACCTTTTCCGTCAAGACTTCGATACTTTCGTCATAGAAAGGCGGGAAGCCACATAGTAATGTGTAGAGAACACAACCAAGTGCCCACATATCAACCGACTTGGAATATCTCTCATCCTTGACGATCTCGGGTGCAGTGTAGCCAACGGTGCCGCAGGGTGTCATGGTTTGTGTTTCCCACACAATCTTGGAGAGGCCGAAGTCGGCAATCTTGATTTCGCCAATGCCGCCTCCTCCATATCCAGGGATGAACTCGCCCTCATCGACCTTATCCTCATCTCCTGGCTGCTTGGGTTTTGGGTGCTTGGACGGAATGACGGGTATCGGGTTGAAGAGGATGTTTTCAGGCTTGATGTCGCTGCAATGCATGTGTCAGCAAAAGCCTGTTTAGGCAAGGGCGGATATGACGTCAAGGTGGGACTACCCCTGTCCCACCCACCATAGCTTTGCTTAGAAATGGGAATAGAGGACTGCTAAACAAGACTTACCGATGGACAACACCCTTCTCTTCGTGCAGGTACTCCAGCGCCCTGGCCACTCGGACAATGACATGGCGAGACAGCTCCTCGCTGAAGTACGTCAGTCGTACGATCTGGTGGAACAACTCGCCACCGGGAGCCAGCTCCAGCACGATGTAGTAGTACTGCTTGGATTCGGAAAATTCAATGAGCTTGACGATGTTGGGGTGGTCAAGCTGACGCATGATCTGAACTTCTTTCAAAATATTCGAGCGCTAGGCTAGACGTTAGCATCAGTGAATTTCCAAGCATTCTCTCCTTGTATTCGATGCCACAACTACTGGCATCGTTACACTGTGCACCCTAGATACGGGGCTAAAAGTGTGACTATAGGAAATAAGATTTCGCACCTCTGCAGCTTTTGGAATCTTTTGAAAGTCTGGATGTAAATGTTTGTTTCCCTATTTTTGGGGGAAACCCCTCTCCGTGGTTGGTAAAAGCGGGATGAAGACGCAAGAAACGACATTGATGGAGCGAGAGAGCTAAGGGAATAGGATATCATGACGGCAAAAAAACAACACCAAGGATGAAAATGAAGAATTGCCTCAACTTACTTGCATACGATTCATCTCATACTTGCGAACGACCTTGATGGCAACCTCGCCATGCTCTCCGGTCAGGTCGCGCGCACGATAAACATTGCTGAAAGCACCATCGCCCATTTTTTCTAGGAGCTCCCATCGATCCAAATCAGGGTATTTCGGGAACTTTCCCTTGCTGGCATTTTCTTCAGCAACAATTTGAGCCAGGTTCGCCTCATCTACCCTCCTGCCCTTGGTACCATTGGCCTGAGCCGGCTCGACATGGTGGGCTGCGGCATTGCCTGCCTGCGCAGCTCGGTTCTGCTGATCGTTGGGAGCTTCTGAGTACGCTGACAGGGGCTCCTGGTTTCCGGCGGGTATGCCATATACAGGACCTGTTGCTGCAGTTTTCTCCGGGGGTGGCTGTGGTATCGGCTGGGGGGCTTCATTCTTTTGCGGCTCTTCGTTAAAATTACCAACACGAGCTTGTTTGCCTAGGATTCAAGTTTTGTTAGCTAGGCCAATTCGCTACTTTTTGGCAATTTTGAGCGACAGTCATCCGATCATATTAACGGAGGGGATGCCGAAAACGCTGATGGAACTGGGTCATACCGTGGCGGATGAAGTTTTTGATCTGTTGAATAGTAGACATGGCTGCCGAGAGACGCCGCTATCGAGCGACGGCGTGGTGAAAGACACAGGTAGGAATGTTCGATTATTCTATGCTGCTTAATTCAAGAGTCTTGTTCCTCTGTGTGCCTTTTTATAACCAGGATTTTTTTGGGGGGGAAACGGAAAAGAGGGAGCCTCAGATTGTATGGTGGAAGCAGCACAAGTGAAGAGAGGAATAGAAAATGCAACGCAGTGTCTAATAGCAACACGCTGCCGAGAATGACGAGCGTATGTTCGGCGCGGAGGTGCGATGATGCGGGGTTTTGAAATAAGTTTGCGAGCAGCAAGTAGTGGGCTTCTTTTTTTTTTTTTCTCCTTCGCTGGGTGGGTAAAGTCTCTACTTCGGAGAGGTGACGCTGGGCTGAAGCAGACGAATGTGTTTGAATCGAGAAAACGGAAAATGTATTCGCTGGCGAAGGTACAAGTAAATGAAAATGGAAGAGAAGGAAGAAGAGAGAGTAGCTGGGGCGGCAAACAAATGGGAACAAGGTCAGGTAGGCGTGTAGCGACTTATTAGCGATGGTTCTGGGAGGACAAAGGCGGCCGGCACGGTAAATTCAAGTGGATGAAAGTGACGTACGGCCCTGGAAGAAGCTAGAAGGGAGAGTGGTGGGGAATTTTCTTAGTGCTTGTCCCTGTATTTTTGTCGGCAGCTGTTTTTGCTGAAGGGAGGGAAAAAAACAAGGTGAGGAGGAGGAGGAGAACGGAGAAGAAGAGAAAGAGGAGAGAGGAAAGAAAAAAAGAATTAGGAAAAAAATGTGCGCAAGGCTGCGCATAAGCATACCATGGTTTTATTTTTGTATCTATTTCCATAATTTAATTTCCTCTTATTTTTGACTTTGACTTCGCCTTGCTGCCTGCACTGATGACGATGTTCCCTGCTACCGCGCGCTGCTGGACAGCACATGTCGACATAATACTGTACCATGGCTTTGCTTTACACTACGAGAAACCTTGGCAGTGCTACTATTGGAAGAAGCCAGAAGCAGAGAGCTGGGGGTTACATTCAATTTCCCATGTCCACGCAGAATGAGAAGAAGAAAACAAGATACATGCGACACTGACGCGAAGTTGACAGGACTATTCATGTGCCTAAACATGCATGCCGTATTCCTGCTGCGGCACTGGCGCGCGCAGCGGCTACCAGGTGCTGGCTGGGAGTGGCTGCTGGCGCTGCAGCCAGGTCCGCTGCATTGCCTATTAGGCATTGCCAGGTATTGAAAAGCAGAGACGGGTGGGCACGCCATGACAGGCATACGGGTCGAGACCCGGGCGGATGGCGCAGAGGCTTGCAGATTCAAACGCCGGGCTGACAGCTAAACATCCAGCCACCGGAGTACTCCGTGCTAAATGAGATGAATGAGATCAATTACCTGGCAATGGCGATGCTGCTGCGGGCCGGCTTGGGGTTTAGCAGCCGCCCTGCTAAGGAACGCGCGGGACAAAATAAATTGAACGCGGTGGCAACGCCAGAGCACGAGATAGGAGAGAAAAAAAAGTCGCCTGCTGCTACTACTGCATACATACGCCCAGGTACCTGACTGAATTACTTCATACGAGTACATGGTGTCATGCACGGGCAGTCGATCATCTGCTTCGTACAGTACCTAGGTAATCACTTTGGGATGACTCCCCATCAAAACAGGTATACCTTGGCACCCAGCCTGCAGAGCGGGAGCTTGAGGTACCTCCAGATGAGGATGAGGCAACTCCGAGGCCAAGGAACACGCAAAAGCAGGGAACCCGCTTTTCCCGGGCCTCCAACTCCAGCTGCCAGGCACTATCACTCAGCCTGGGCCTCTCTATCATGCGCCCCATGCCAGCCGCGTGCGTTTGTTGCTGGTGGCTCGAGCCCTTGGCAACCTGGCCTGGCTCGACGGCCGCAGGCTTGGCGTTGCGCTTTTTCCAGATGCGCGTTTGTTTTGCGTTGACGCACGAGACCAGTTGGCTGGGCGGTCCAGATCGCAGGTCCAGTGCTGTCTGGTATGCACGACGCAATAATACATGCACTAATCGGGACGGATACCGCACGGCGGCATTCTGAAGAAGAGGACGAAGAGTCTGGAAAACAAAGACTATGTGCTCCGTACAGGCGAATGAATCCTTCGAAATTGCTTGAGCATCACCTGAATAAGCTTCCTTGGTTGCTTGGCTGGGGGATGCGCGCCTGTCGATCTTCTCACCTGCGCAGCTCGCTTACGTTACAGATACGTAGGTGTGCATCAACGGCAGAGCTTATCCATATTGAACAAGCAAATACATAGATAAAGCAGAGAAGGCAGAGAGTCTCTTCTCACGGTTGCTTCCATCTGGTCCGCTTAACTCGGCCAAGCATTTTAGCTACTTTACTGCCAATAGCATGTGTCCCTATGCTAGAGCTAGTCGCCGTCCGTCTACGTCACAGCGGGCCTCCAAGTCTAAGCCATCATATACACCCAATGCATTAAACGTCTTTTCACATGTGCTCCATACACGCAGACGCTATTGATGGCCCTGCAGCAGCGCGATCAATGGAGATGTTGTTTTACCAATCCCTGGACCAAGCTACTGCTTGCTATTACTACCTCGATATTGATTTTGCTTTTAGCTTCCAGACTATTTAGAGCAAAATTTTCCAAGCCGTTCAACTCGGGACATATTAGTGTTACGCACACTTGGTCATGATAACACGTATATAATAACGGCTCATAACAGACAAAGGCCATGTCCTGCATCATCTGTTGCATCGACCAAAGCCAGCATCGCTTTACATCTCCTGGGCTGAGGCGTTGCCATTCCTATGATCACGGCATAGCCCATAGCCGCAGCCGTTTAGATGTCAGACAACCAGTAGCCTACGACCAAGTTACATCGTGACGTCACATGGCATTGCAGCATTTGTTGCCCTTCAAGAAGCTCTACGTCATTGCCTCTAGATAGACAACATGACTACTGTCTTCAGCAACCTGAGGCTTTGGAATAGACACTACGTGATGCACAATCGGCTGCATACATGTACGGTACTACGGTTACAGCTACATTCACACAATCAGAGCGAAACAGACCACCGTCTGCCAGTGGAAATGGGCCAATACAGAAGAAAAACGAGGAATGCTGCTACATACATTCAGATGGATATAGCTGAAACGTACCCACGAGGCCTGATGAGAGGCGATGCTATCATTCGCCACTTGTGATCTGCATTGTGCATTGTCAGAGACCGTGCGGCCAGACGGGACTTGTTTCCGTAGAAGCCAGTAAACTTAGCATCTAAGAAATATAGGTGTGCTGCGAGATCTCCATCTCCGCCGGAGCTTCTGTGCCGGAGGTGGTCCATTTTAGGAATCTCCAATGCTGAACTTTCATATATCCAGCAGCTGGATGCATCCCCAAGTAGGAACATACTCACGCACTGGTGATGTTAGCTACCTATCTTGTACAGTGAAGCAGATGGCCTCATAGAGTCGTGCTTGATACTTGCAGATCGATAAAGGCTTTAAGAGTGGCGTATTTGTAAGCATAACAAATGTTCACTTTGACCGGGTTGGGAGATTACAAAGGGAGAAAACGATATCGTGCGTACCAAGAAATCGTATGTAGGTTACTGCTTGGAACGCCTTGGTGAGTATCATGCGAGTAGCCATCGCCAAATTACAAAAATAGTACACGAATATCAAGATAAAATGAGGTTGTCTTGATAATTCAATTTATCTATTTACATTATAGTGTCCAGCAAGATTACGGTCGTTTGTTGAATAAGTGGTAACTCCAGGATGAATGTCATCTGGTTCAATGGGGGGCGATCTAGATATAACAACTCAACTGATCGCTCATGCTATCTTGAACATAAATGACAGAATATAAGATGTTCTTGGATTAACAAATCAGAGTGGTCCGCATTTACTCCACGATCTTTTCACGGCATTTTTAATCCTGCACGAGGCGTTGACACCTGTCCCTCCGGGGTATCAGAAGTAGGACCTCTTCACAGCATTTTTAACGCTGCGTGAGGCCTCAACACTGTTCCGTCTAAAAGTGGATATTTCACAGCATTTTTAACCCTGCATGAGGCCTTGGTACGCCTATACAGATCATACACGAGAAAAGATTTCTCACTTTTTATCGGGCTATAAGAGGTCTAATCCATATAGTCGTGCCAAGGCTCACGTAGGGTTGAAAATGCTGTGAAATGTTGCCGGTTTAGTACATTAGTGGTAAATTTCAAGGCCTCGCTTGCGGTTAAAAAGATGCCTGGAGGGTTCATCCCACTTTTCCTTCGGTTATCCGAGATCTAGCTGTTAAAATATAAGTGCAACGGTAAATGTGAAACAAAATGATCCTTCATGACTTGTTCGCTATTGATTCAAGCCCTCATCTCGCTCACATATCTGTCCTGGCTAAGCTACAGCATCATATTCTCATTATCTTCAGATGATCCCCATTTGCCATCAGCCCCCCCTTAAGAGACGCCATCCTATTTCACAGTTTGTAGAGTCTAACGGACACGCCTTCTCGCTCTCCATGAGCGACCAAGGCCTTGTTCTTACGCCCGTAAAACACTCTTAGCCCAAGACACACAATCGTGAGGAAAAGTAAGAAGCCTGCATTCGTCCAGTGGCCAGTGGGATAACCCTTCTTTGCCTCGTCTGCTTTGTAAATCCATACACCGGGAATCTGTCCCATTCCTCCACCGATACTAACGTTGATGGCAATTGCCAGCCCTACAGATGCGGTGCTGACAACGTTCGAGGTGAGCCAGCCCAGCATCGGGGGAATAGATGAGAATGAACCTGCCGTGGCGAGGATGAGGCCGCCATAACGAGCTTGGTAGGAATCTGCCGGCAGAGCGGCGGAAACAATGAAGCCAATAGCACCCACCAAGGCAGAACCCGCGGCATGCAATCCACGAGCATTGAAGCGGTCAGCTGATATGGCGACAAGGATTTGGCAGACTGTTGAACCGACGATTGTTAGCACTCCATATTCTCTCTTTTGTTATCAAAATAAAACCAGAAAGAAAAGATCCAAGAGGCTTACCGTAGGCAACAACCCAAGGAGGTACAGTCATGAGCTGCGCCTTGAGATCAACGTATCCAAGACCGCTAGTAATAGATGGCGAAAAGAGGCTGAGACTGGCAAACGGCGGGCTAACAGCAAAGTACATGATGTAGTGAGCATACAGGCGCCAGTCAGTAAGCGTAGATTTGGCATCTTGCCATGTCATGCTAGGATGGTGGCCCTTGCTGCCCTCGTGGTATAGACGTTGGACCGCGAGATCTTTCTCCGACTCAGTGAGCCAACCCGCACTCTCTGGGTAGTCGGGCAGGAAGAAGAAGACGAGAAAAGCAGATAGGCAGGATGGGATGCCCTCGAGGATGAAAAGCCAACGCCAGCCGGCCAAGCCTCCTGTTTGATCCATATGACCAATACCGTAGGCAATAGCACCACCAAACTACATGAGTTTTAGTATATACACAAATCATTGTATAAAATGAAGCAATTTTTTTTGGTACTTACCGCTCCTGCCAATGTCGAAGAGGCGAGAATAAAGGCAACTCTATCAAAATCATCATATTAGCAGCTAATTAGAAGACGAAAAGGTTTTGGAATAATCGGATTGTCCTCTGCTTACCGCACACTACGTTCGTCGTGTCTGTACCAGAATGTCAAGTAATACACCAGCCCCGGGAATAAACCCGCCTCAAACACTCCAAGCAAGAACCGCACACCCGTCACAGTAGCAAAGTTATGCGTGGCGCCCATACACATGGTGGTAACGCCCCAGCAAAACATCAAAAAGGCAAGCCACCTGCTGGGCCGCAGCTTTTTGAGAAGGATGTTGCTGGGAACCTCGAACACGGCGTATGCGACAAGGAACACCATGAGCGCGACGTTGAACTGTTTGTTGCTCATATTGGCCGTCTGTTGCAGGTCGTGGTTGGCCGACACGTTGAGGACCTTGGCATTGCCGATGTTGGAGCGGTCGAGGAAGCAGAGGAAGTAGATGCCTGCTGAGATGGGAATGATGCGGAGATCTTGTTTCCGAAGAAGCTTCTTCTCTGCTTCGGTCATGGGCCCCGCCTGGGACGGTGGGATGTCCTTGAAGCTGAAGTTAGCTTTGGAGCCTTTACGACTGATACGGTGAGTGGCAGAGGATAAAAAAACGAAGCTTGCCATACATCTTTGAGGATGCCGACATCAATGTCTATTTGCTGAGCTGTCGCCCCTTCTTCGACCTTGGAATCCATCTTGAGATGCGTTGGGGAGGAACACCAAGCTAGTCAAGAGGTTCAATTGATAGAAGACGAATTGAAAAAGAAAACACGACGAGAAAAAAATTGATGCCGGGACTGAGACTGGCGATATTCTCTTTGTTGGAAGCAAGAGACACCAAGGGAAAACCAGATGATCGCGCTGCCGCTCAATCTCGCAACACGGGCCAACATATATTTAAATAAAAAGACAAGTCCCAGATCCGAATATCTCGGAGCCGATGGGGATTATCAATTTTCGGCATATTTACATGTACAGTCGCTATCAGGAGGAATGCGGGGGAGCATGGACAAACTCTTGTTTGTCTAGGGTTTTTGCCTTCAACGCAGGGTTCAACTACCGAGCCCGGCAAATTTGATAGCCGAACGAATGAAGTCGGGTTCTTGAGAAAGTCGCGAGTGGAGATTTGGGGGGTCTTGGGGGGTTTTTCAACGGGAAGCGAACAGCTCCTAGCTCTTATACGGCCCTGTTCGGCCGTTTCGTGGACGCGTTTGCAGGGTCACATCGGGTGTTTTTTTCTGGGGGAAATGGGTGTTGATGCTTGGAGGAGCTTGGCCGACCAGCAACTAGCAGAAATGACAAATGAGCAAAGAGAGTCCGCCCGAAGGGAGCATAATCGAGGGCAAGAGCTCGAACGAAGCCGTGACGGCGTTCAGCGATGCTTATAAGTGCTCTGGTGGAACGGGGGGGCCCAGCAGAGGGATCTGGCGGTGTCGGTAATCGGTGTGCGGAGAAGTCGCAGATTAGCTCACGAATACGACTCTTTACCCCGGATTCTTAGTCTCGGTGGGTTACATGATGAGGAGCAATGGCTTGGTTTAGGCGTCTTACGTTGCAAGGTACGCGGGCATATCGTGCACTTTGCCGGGGGGGAAGAGGGGGCATAATGATCTAATCAATCTTGCTGGAATTGAAGATGGTTCGGCAAAATGGCCACCGAAAGCTGGTACTTAGCAGGCTATATGTAACCACATGGAGTTTCTTGGCAGAGATGCTGAAGGTTGTAATGATGAGCAAGTAACTCGAAAGACAACTGCTCCGCCAAATTGATTGAGAATGCGCCGGCACAAATAAGTCAACGACGCCGTCTCTGCAAGTCCTCTTTATCAGTTTCAAGTTCATTTATTGTCGCAATTTCATTTCTATACTATCTCTGGGCCTGTAAATAGACTCTTTCTATGTATACGACAGCCCTCGGGCCGATGTTTAGTAAGTGTCTTGGCAGCATGATTCCATCCATCTTGCACCCATCTTGGCATAAGTGGGATTGGTCACATACCACTGACTTTGGTATTACTAGTAGGGGAATAGTTTTGATTGGAATTCCAGTATTACGGAGCGGGGGTAATTGAATCTGTGGATTGCATTTGTTTTGCCAATGTAGACATATGACTAACATACTATGTACCGTAGCTGTGATGCACATCTCCCATTCTCACAACTACTCCTGGCGATCAAGACCAATATGCTTCACTGATTAGTATCAACTATTGCCTGTTAATTTACTGCCATTTAGACCGTAAGTCTCCAGAAATGAAAACGGGGCTATTAATTATGAGTAAACAGCTAAATCGTAACCACCATCCCCGCGAACCGCCCGCACTCAGCCGTTTGCAGCTGTGTAGATCCCATTTGGCGGCATCTCTTGGCAGCGTAGTATTTTGTGGGCCACTTGTACTATTAGTTCGGTCGGCGTCTTGAAATACAAGCCGAGTGGATGAAGCTGTAGCTTTTTTGATGAGAAATACTAGCAGAGCAATAAGTGTCATTTCCGATATTTCGCGGATAGGTATAAGCGGCTATCGCGGACTACATGCTTGTCTTCACCAGCCATGAGAATATTGGAAACGACCGGCATCTTAACAATGGTCTCAGAAACGGCGATTCTTGTGACGCTAGACTTCATAGAGAGGCCAAAATTTCTCAATGCTGCTGCAATGATGATGAATGTTTCCAATGATATATGTACCTGTTCATGCCTTTTATGCCTCATACCCCATGCTATGCTCCACCCAATCATACCGGAAATGAAATGAAATAAGATGAAAATACAATTACCCTTGCCCAGTTATTGGCGCCATTAACAGCTGCCAATGTCTATTCCTCATCGTCTGAAGGCTCAGCAGGCCAGAAAAACCAGGTGATAACCATGATGGCCTTGAGAGCAGCAGCAGTCCACAACGCGCCTGCAATGCCCAGAGAGCTGTGAGAGAAGATGCCACCCAAGACAGCGCCGATCAGTAACAGCGTAGGCGCAGCGGCGCGACGGTTCCTCTCGGCGTTCTGAAACGCAAAGAGATCCTGGTCTGAGAAGAGGTCGCAGTAGATGCTGGTCAGGACAACGCTGGTGAGAGCGTTATACTTGAGCGCGCGGCTTGTGACGGCCTGGCCGCAGCTCTGGAAAGCGACGAGCGCAAGGGGTGCGAGGACAGTCCAGCCGACGTGGTCCTTGTCTTCAGATGGAGTGGTGAGGGTGACGATGAGTGCGGCCGCAACGATAAACAGCGTCTGGGCAGCAAAGGACACGCAGAGAACCCATCTCCTCTTGGGCGAAAAGTAACGGTGGAAGCGGGCGAATAGGAGCGATCCAATGCAGAAGCAGGCCAGCGAGATTCCGGATTTGTAGAGACGGGCATTGGTGGGAGGATAAATGAGAGAAGCGATGCCCAGTCCAACATAGACGGTGTTTCCTAGTGAGCATCATGGTTAGTTACCGGCTCCAGTCTCATGATCTCTTTCTTGCGCTGCCGTAAGATGAGGCACGCGACGAGATTCCTGTTTCATGCTTCGACATGACCAACCTGTTTGCATGGACACGAATGCGCCCCAGACCTGAGTGGAAGCGCTGTCCAGCAGCCCTGTCACCACGTAGCACAGCAGCAGCACGATATCAGCCCATGATCGCGACACCTCGGCTGTCATCTGCTTTCGAAATCTGGACACCAAGGATCGGGCAACGGGCTTGCTGCGCAGCAATGGCTGCTCTTCATCGCCGCCGGTGGCGCCGTTTGCCACGGACGAACCGTTGGCGGATGTGCCGTATGTAGTCATTGCTGCGGCTGCACGAGGGTATATAAATTCTCAAGAAGTGGAAGACGTTAAAAAAAAGAAAAAAGAGATAGAGAGCGCCAAAAAAAAAAAAAAAGTATCAACCCAGGTAGGAGTCTTTGCTCCCCGTTGATGGGAGAGCCGCGGCTTGATATTGTATGTGCAGGGGGATGCCCGTCCGTGGCCTGCGATAATACTATCTGGGATGCGCAGAGCGTTTGGCGCCGAAAACCGGCTATTGCGCAATGAGCTAAAAAGCTAAAGAGTTAAACAGAGCTTGGCTTCCTGCAGCGCAACGACGGCTAATGCTTCAGATGCCCCCCCGTCGGTCTCAGCTAAGTGAGAGTTAGTCTCAGCTATTCTCCTAATCGAGAGTCGGAGCCTACTTCTGCGCGGCCCGTTGAGCAGCCTTGGCAGCCTCGCTCAGGCACGGCCATGAAACCCGGCCGGTGCGGAGCGCTGCATCAGCAATTGCGAGCTCGCCGTTGGTGGGATCCAGATCTGCGCCCGAATCTCGCCTCGCTCCAAGCTTTGCTCCGGTCGCCAGAGCGGACTTGATTCGGAATCGGCCAGGGCCTCGAGATCCTGGACGGTAGCGGGCGGCGGCTGGAATACCACGCGCTGCTGCGATTACTGGCTGCAGGCTGAGGTATCCGGCAACCCGAGAGTACATGCGATGCTGCTGCCGGTCCCGCTGGCGCATCACCAGTGGGTTTCGTCGCAAAGGTGTCGCGACCTGGTGAATACAAGCATGTGACGCAAGAGTAAGGAGCGAAAGCAGAGCAGAGCTTGTACTCTGGAGGTACAGCTTGCAATTCGCAACGGAGGCACAATTGTCATACGAGAAGGCCGGCGCACTGCTTTATAAACCTCCCGGCCCTCCCACCAGCCTGTCGAGCTTCATATTCATCTTTTTTCCCAAGCTGCGCGTTGACTGAGCTGCTCCAGCGCATACCCCAGACTTGTACAGTATCCCCGTCGTCTAAACAGCAAAAATGAAGCTCTCAGCAGCTCAATTGCTCCTTGCCGGAGCTGGTCTGACGTCGGCGCTGCCTCATCTCGACAGCCCGCGCCAGCGACTTCTCAATGGCATGGATCTGCCCTCCTCACTGGGCGAGAAGAGCGGCCCTTATACTCCCGGCCACCGCGATGAGAACGACAACTACGTCGATGCCATTGGCAAGAAGCTTGACCCCAAGCCATGGCGAAACGGCTTCGGAGCTTCAGTCCTCGGCCCGTACAACCGCGATCGATCGCGTCAGAGCCCCGACATGATCCGCCCGCCCAGCACCGATCACGGCAACATCGCCAACATGCGATGGAGTTTCACGGATTCTCACGTGCGAATTGAGGTAAGAAAAAGATGCGCGCTTGTAAATGCGCAAAACCGCGCCGGAAGTAATGGGATTCTTCTTTACTGACACGACAATTGAACTGTAGGAAGGAGGATGGACTCGACAGACCACCGTCCGTGAGCTTCCCACCAGCGTTGAGCTCGCTGGCGTCAACATGAGGCTCGACAAGGGCGTCATTCGTGAGCTTCACTGGCACAAGGAGGCCGAGTGGGCATACGTTCTTGACGGTGAGGTCCGTGTCACTGCTCTCGACTATGAGGGCGGCAACTTCATCGACGACCTGAAGAAGGGCGACCTGTGGTACTTCCCCAGCGGTGTCCCTCACTCTCTGCAGGGTCTTGGTGAGAACGGAACTGAGTTCCTCCTCATTTTCGATGACGGCAACTTCTCTGAGGAGTCGACCTTTATCCTGTCCGACTGGCTTGGTACGTATATACATTGAATTACGATGAGATGAGACATGCATGGTGTGATGAGACAAACGGGAAAGCTAACGATAAGCCTTGTAGCGCACACCCCCAAGTCTGTCATTGCCGAAAACTTCCACCTCGCCCCCGAGGTGTTTGACCACCTCCCCGCCGGCGAGAAGTACATTTTCCAGGGCTCCGTGCCTGGCTCCATCGAGGATGAGGCCCCCAAGGGCAAGCACGTCAAGGAGTCCAAGTACCAGTTCACCCACAAGATGCTCGACCAGGAGCCCAAGAAGACCACCGGAGGCCATGTGCGCATCACCGACTCCAAGAACTTCCCCATCTCCAAGACCGTGGCTGCCGCCCACGCCGTCATCGAGCCCGGTGCGATCCGTGAGATGCACTGGCACCCCAACGCCGACGAGTGGTCCTTCTTCATTGGTGGACGCGCTCGTGTCACCATCTTCGCCGCCGAGGGCACCGCCCGCACTTTCGACTACGTCGCCGGCGACGTCGGCATTGTCCCCCGCAACATGGGCCACTTTGTCCAGAACATTGGCGACGAGCCCGTCGAGATGCTCGAAATCTTCCGCGCCGACGAGTTCCGAGACTTTTCTCTCTTCCAGTGGATGGGCGAGACTCCCCAGCGACTGGTCTTGGACCACCTGTTTGCCGGCGACAAGGAGGCTGGTGAGAAGTTCTGGGAGCAGGTCAAGGATGCGAAGAAGGACGAGATTACGAAATAAGTGACTGCATGTCGAAAGCTGCTAAAAGTTACGAGGAACAAATTTGTTTATTATATGTGTATCAATCGTGGGACTACATTTTAAGGGTCAATTCATATAGGGGCGTTTCTTAATTATTAAATTAATTGATTTTTTTATCTTACCGTTTGCATTGCCTTCAATCTAAAGCCGCTATAACTTTGATACCGATCTATGAATTTTAGGAAGCCCTCCCCTCTGTCATGCCAATTACTCTAATAGAAAGAAGCTCTCTAAGGTTGCGTCTGGATGGTTTTTGAACGATATGATTGACGGGAGCGAGAGGAAAAGGGCGATATGACAGAAGCCTTGGCGCATATAGGATGCGTTGCCTTACCGAGGTATTCTGTCTAAAATAGTAATCAGCTTTTGTGGCATTCACTTATAGCAGTTGAGCTGAAGCTTACTAGCTACACTGCCGCCGTTTCCACTTTGACGATTCATAGGATCTTTGTAGAACAACTCATTATGATGTCCAAAAGTACCTATTTCTGAATTGGGGTAAGCTTTAATCGCCGCAAGTGACTCGGGGAAAGACGGGAAAAATCTGTAAACAGTGTCACCGCGCTGGAACTACTCCATGGTGTCAAGAATAAAGAATAATCTGCCGTCTGGTGGTATTTGGACTTGCAGATAAGCTTGCACTGTATTTTTCTCGTCATTCTTCTTTGGGTCTTCTAGGCTGTTCCATCACCACCGGGGAAGTGCGGCCCTGCGTTTTGCCAACTACATGCAGCTCGGCTGCTGTAATACGTCCCGAGTCGATATTGAGAGAGTCAAAAGAACCGTTCCATTGAAGCGGTGGCTTCTCGCGGTTAGGAAATCATGCTTGACGGATAGAGTTATGTATTGCCAATGAAATTTCCGAGCCTAACACCATTAAACTTGTTCTTGAGATAAGGCATGTTGGACGTACGGACGTTGACCCGTTTGGGCAGCTGGTAAATGACTAAGAGGAAAATCAGATGCGATTAGGTATGTCATCTGCACGCTACCCACCAGGTATGAGTCCTTTCTATTGTAAGGCATGCCGAGCTCTGCATATAGTGGCTCGTGCTTGTGGTGGCGAGTTTATTGATAGTCTGTATATCGGAGTGTTAGCCGGGTGGAGGAGGTTGATACGGCGCAAAGGAATATCAAAGCTGGGTAAGGGCTCAACACAGATGGACTGTCTATATAAATGGCTGCCCAATGGACCTAGCACTGACGGCTAAAGATGTGTTGCGCCATAGGCCCCACAATAGTATCAAGACGGGTCGAGCCAGGCACTCGGATGTGATTTCGAGATAGCGGCCAAAACAATCACAAAGGAAGTCACGTAGAGAATTCGAGTTTGATTGATATACAGCTTAAAGATAACTACGGTTGATTGAATATTAATCTCTAAATAGACGCGAGTGCAACGGCATCTTCCAACTAAGCTAAACCTTTTGAAATTTGAAAGAAATATCAAGCAAACTCGCGAAGAAGTGTAAATCGAAGGACTTTGGAAATACCTTCCGCTCGGGATAAAGATTTATATACTGAACGACTCCTAGATTGCCTCGGATCTTTGTTTGTATTAGGAAACTGCAGCGTTCGAAATGTTATAGGACTCTTGAAAAGGGGGGATTAGAAAGGTAGGAGGGCTGGAAGGGGCAAATCTGAGGTGAGAATGTTTTAGGCTGTTGAAGGGATCAAATGAAGCCTGAGCGTATTTACTCTTGAAATCACAGCAACGTAAAAGATATCACGACTTGGTTACAGCCGGACGAAAATCGGCTTCGAGCAGTTACCGACATGACCGACGCATTAGATCTTCTAATGTCGCACAGACGGAGATGCCCGTTGGCATTACTGACTATGTCGGCGAAATTGGTGATCCTGTACGACATTGTTGGCATAGGAAGGATCTACGACAGCTGTAAGAGAGCAAAGACGGGACAGGGGTGAGTTGCAGTGTCAGGTTTCCAAGTTTGATGAGATAATCTTGTAGTGCGGCCTGGTGTTTGCAATAGTATTCTGCCTATATTCTTGCTATAGCCACGGATATGGGAAGCCGAAGGCGACTTTACCGGCCAGACGTCAAATTGTGTCGCAGAGCCTGAGGATGGCGATCATTGCTGATTGTAGATGAGCGAATTGGGAATACTACATGTGTACATACATGTAGTATGGTGCTCCGTATTCCATGTTACCATATCTCATAGCCTATACCTTTGTGCCCTGTTAGTGATATCGATGGATTACTTGGCGTTTCCTGTGTGACGTGACACAGCAGCCTGGGCATCTGAGAAACGCGCAGATTCTGAGGCTTGGCGATGAGTCCTTTTATGTAAGCCCTTGACTGCGAATCGGATCTCGGCTTTGTGATACGGTGAGTCTCATATTTCGTGAGTGTCTAAGACCTCGACTTGGAACCCCCTTGCCAATGCGTATGCTGCTGTAGAGTACTTGTAGTACTCGCGTAGGTACAAGGATAAGGTACATGTAAACGATACATTCCCTGGGAGCCCCGTAATTGATGCTTCTTCTTTTAAAATTTAGTATTATCTTATTACAAGACCCAGGCCTAGTGCTTGCAGTTTCTGCATTCTGTTCGGCAGATTTCCTCAACCCATGTCTATGATCGGGGCCATTGTGTGCCGTGCCGTCGAGGCTGCATACGTACGCCATTTCTTTTCTCCCTTTTTTCATGTCGAGCCAGTTTGACGTTACATGGGCTCATATGTGATATCTAGAATCACCAATAGGAACAGAATATCGACTTTTATGCAGAGAAGACTGCTGTTAGACAGAACAATTGTGTGATGAAGACTGCTGTTCATCACATAAGTGCATGGTTTTCGTACTAAAAATAGTCGCTGCGAGTACTAGCTCGTGCCTTGAATTTTAGTGGATGTTTTCGCTGGTCCTGCCGCTTCTAGCTTCACAAAACCTCTCCACTTCATCTCCATTTCCCCGCAAAGAGGCGCCCAACTAATGCTGCAAAGTTTCGTGCTTGGCCAACAACTAGCGAGATTCGAGAAAATGCAGAAGCCATCTGAATGGCGTTGTTTGCCCTCCCAGTTCCAAGTCAGCTCCATGGCAGCATCGCTGGTATCGCTTAGCAGCCGGTTGTATTTCTGACAGCCCTCTTAGTTAGGTTCTTCTCGGTCTGGCTGATGTAACTCTAGCTGGAGTTACACGTCTGTTTCTAAAAAGGGACCGACAAATGCAGCCTCAGCGTTACATTGCTCGCCAAAATCGCCCCCAGTGTTCCCAAGCGGGACATTCTGCCTAAGACGGGCTGCAGGGCCGCCGAGCCCAATCACCCCAGATGGCGGAATCGGTACAGATAGGGCAAGTCAATGTTTGGAGCCGGAAGCTAAACCGACGAGGAGATGGCATCCAGCTGTTTGAGAATTGGAGATTTCCACGAACCAGAGGACAAGGCCCGGGATCAAGAAGTGGTCTCCGCCCTAGCCGCCTGGACTAAATTCATCTGCCGGAGTGCTCGTTCCAACCACTCACGGAGAGCCATTGCTATCAGATGCCTCGCGATATGCAGCTTCGTCACCTTCATTTGAAGTCCGGACAGAAGCTCTGAGAGATCTCCTTGCCAGGAACAGGGGCCGGCTGGAAGACACGCCCCCAAGCCCCAGCAGTGACGACATACCCTCCTTTCGTTTTGCAGTGAAGCTACCCAGCGAGCTATTCGCCAGAGCGAGATGTCGCTAACAGAGAGAAGATCTCATGCAGCACATTCAATTTCACACACATGACGGGTACCAACTAAAGAATTCTCTTTTTTCTGGGCATACGCTGTATGCTGGTCTTGGCTCGCATTCACTGCAACGTCAGCGCCGCCAACTCGGAAAACCGGCACGGCTGGGGGACCTGCTTTGATAATCTGCCATTGACTTACTCCCTTGGAGCTCAGAGAGGCCCTGAATCCTTACATACCTTGACAATCGGATGTACTAGGTATTACGGAACACAGGGCTGGTATCGCCCGTTCCTAGTCGCTTGTGTGTTTGATGCCATCTCTTGATGAAATCGTAGCTCGGTGGGTTCTCTCAACCCCGCCTGTCCCTCGCAATGTGGAGACCCGACGACAGATCAGTCATTTTAGGACAGGCCTTTTTCACGAAGAGTGACATTTCAGGCTCGTGGAGCAGGTTGGATGGCCAACTCGGGCGCGAAGAAAAAAAGTAGATTGAACGCGTACAAGGGCAAAACATGGCCAACCCCCCCAACTAAAGTGCTTGAAGGAATAAGATGCCTCCACTCCTGGCAGCGTCTTTGCTAGTCAGCCGCTAAATGTGTCTAGCCTCGCTCCCCGGGGGGGTTGATTTGGAGCTATCACCAAAAAACGCCACTGAGGGGGTCAGCTATTACAGCAGCTGGACTAAATACTTTTAACAGCTCGCTACTGTGAGAGATGTGATGCCATGCTTGTCCCCTCTTCAATAGCCCTCGGCTAGTTTTCATCAGCTTTTGGCTCCTCGTACAACCTAGAGAAGCTTGTTAGCCAACATATTTCATAAACTTGGAGAGCGTTTGCCAGACTGATAGCCCTTTCTGTCTGGTCAGAATTAAAAGTCATTGTTTATGCATATGTAGTGCTGAAGCAGGCAGAAAGGGGGGAAAGGGAAGGGACCCTTGAGCTACATGGAGGCCTGTATAGAGCTACCCTCCTTGTCAATCTCATGGATCTCGAGAGCCCGGCCATAAGCGTAACTCAGTATGCGGCCGCTTGTCCATGGCACACTAGTACCGTATGAGCATATACTTGTACGAAGTACGAAGCACATACAGTTATTTTGTACACGGGGAGATAGTGATGGGACAATGCTTGTCGGCGTTGTATGCACCGGAGTAGTTGCTCGTTTATTCTGATGAGACGCACTGGGGAATTGAACGACATGCGGCATGCCGCCGCTCTCAACCTAGGAACGTTGAAAATTTGCCGAGCCAGGAAGTCGTTTGTCTCTAGAGTCGCGCTGGCTGCCGTCGAGGCAATTCTTAGCTCCCAATGCTACCCCTCTCGGTGAACCGTTGACAATTGGATTAAGGTTGGTGTGACTCGTCTTCGCCTTCTGCTGTGCCTAGGGAGAGTGGTTGTTCGGATAAAGTTGGTGTGCTGCATCCAACAGCTTCGGGGCTTGGTCACATCTACGGACCGGTACCTTTAGAGGGCACCATCCATCCGCGTCGAGTTCTTGAGGCCGAATACTGCATAGTCGTTCAGATTGGAGCAGCTGCTTTCTCCAACTTTGTCTGGGCATTGTCAATCATCGCCATAAGAGAGGTCCCAAGGTTAGAGTTCTCAACTCACACCTATATAGAGTCAAAGAGCCCCCCTCTTTGCTCCGACCCCTGAGTTCTGAGCATTGGTCTCTGGTTCGATCTATATCATCAGGATTGGCCTTAGCTCTAATTTATATATACGCTTGCACTCAGGTTTGTTGAGTTGCCGCAACTCCGAGACCTTTCCGAACCTCCAGACCGGTTGGCTCTAACGGACATATCCCGAGCCTCTCCGATCGTCACAATGGATAAGGTTTCCAAAAAGCTGTCACAGGCCAAAGAAGATGCTGTCACGGCCTATCGAACAGATGCTAATGTCAATAGAGCCAAGCGCTGGGCTGGGCCTATTGCTCGCCGCGTCCCATCTGCCGCGGCTGAGTATCTCTATGAGAAGTTTCCCATAATCCAGTGGCTGCCTCGATACAACCCCAAATGGCTTTTGAACGACTTTGTCGCTGGGATCACCGTTGGTGTGATGTTCGTGCCACAGGGTATTTCCTATGCTAAGATAGCAACCATCCCTGTGGTGCATGGCCTCTACTCTGCTTGGATTCCGTCTTTACTTTACCTTTTCATGGGGACTTCAAAAGGTGAGCTGTCCCCCCTTTAATACTCGCGAAAAATGATGACTATAAATCTGTTTGTTTCAGATTGGCTGACATGAATTTTTTTCTTTTCGATTTATTAGAGATATCCGCTGGCCCGACATCTGTCCTTGGTCTCCTTACAGCAGAGGCAGTTGCCTCCTTACCTGATGAAGACCCAGCTACGGTTGCCTCAGCCGTGGCATTCATGGTTGGCGTCTACGCTCTTATTGTTGGAGCCCTCAAACTTGGATTCCTCCTCGATTTCGTCAGCGGCCCTGTCTTAACTGGATGGATCTCAGCTGTTGCTTTGGTCATCTTGCTTGGACAAGTCGGCTCCCTGGTTGGCTTGACGGTCGGTTCTACAACTGTGGAGATTATTCGCGGTGTTCTTGGTCACCTAGATAAGATCCAAGGAATGACAGCGTGCATTGGTCTAACGGGCATTGCGATGCTCTTAGTCTTCGAGCATGTTGGCAAGACCATAGGTAAGAAGAACAAGTGGATCAAGTTTGTTTGCACCAGTCGAGCTGCGGTTGTTCTTATCATCTACACTCTGATCTCCTGGGGTGTTAACAAGGACCGTGGTGAGAAAAACTATATGTGGGCTGTGACTGAGATCAATGCCAATGGACTCGCCAAGGCCAAGAGCCATGATACCAACCTACTTGCCAAGGTGGCCGGTCGATCTGTGGCTCCATTTATTGCCATGTCTATTGAACATCTTGGAGTTGGGAAGGCTTTTGGTCTAAGAAATGGATATGACATTGATCGTTCTCAAGAGCTGTTGTTCCTCGGAACTGCCAATATGGTTGCTAGCATCCAAGGTTCGATGGCGTCTGGAGGTGCCATGAGTCGTACGGCTGTTTCCAGCGAAGCTGGGTCTAGATCTCCGTTGAACTTTATCTTTACTGCTGGATTTGTTCTCTTGACCCTTTACGAACTTGCTCCGGCCCTGTACTGGATCCCCAAGGCCACCCTTTCCGCTATCATTGTAAGTTTACATACAATCTCATTTCGCTGGTACACGCTCAATATACTAACATGTTTTCCTTCCTTTCTAGATTATGGCTGTCGCTCATCTCGTTTCCCCCCCCAAGCTCTTTTATCGGTACTGGAGAATCAGCTTCATCGACTTTGTCGCTTCCATGCTAGGATTCTGGGTCACTCTTTTCACTACAACAGAAATTGGTCTCGCTGTATCTGTCGGCTTCAGTATTGTCTACACTCTCCTCAGACTGGCGTTCCCGCGTTTAGTCAAGATTTCTCATTCACAGGCGGAGAATAACCACTGGTCACTCTCAAAGAGCCGTCCCAATGACGCAGAGATCGACGTTCCCTCGGAGGCATATCTAGTCAGATTTACTAGCGATATGCTGTTCCCCAACGCCGAAAGACTCAAGAATTCGATTGTTGACGATATCAAGGTTCGTTACGAAGCTTCTTCAGCAATGGTACAAGTGGCCGAAGAAAACCGAGTCTGGAACGACTCGACGAAGAGACGAGTCGCTAAGATCCGCCACCGTGAACAAATCACGCCCATCTCAACTGACGCCTATCCTTTGCGCTACATTGTCCTTGATTTTGGAATGATTTCATTTATTGATACAACTGCCGTTCTACTACTCATAGAATTAAAGATGTCTCTGCGTAAATACTTGGGCAAAGAGTTGCAATTCCGCTTCGTCAACATGGCCCCCCAAGTTCTGGAGAGGTTTACCCGCTCAGAGTGGGAATTCGTTCGCGAGGGCGAAGAGCGGACTGGAAATGACGACGTCATCTTCTCTTCCTTTGAAGTGGCTCTCTTGCACCGCGATGGAGACGAGAAAGCTGAAAAGGTGGAGTACGTAGAGAAGGCGGTCGATGTTTAGGGGCCTGAATAAGGTATATATGATGTAGCAATAACTGCTCAGATTGCTTTTTTGCAATTTGAACATTGGGAAAATATGGACAGGGATTAGAACCCCTGGAGGAGTTAGGCTATGGGATCTTTCTTGTGATGGAATATGGGTTACTTTACGATTATGAAACGATATCAGAATGCTTAGGACGGCCTGAGCAGCGCAACAGTTTAGCTTCAGTATTTACACTTTATCTATTGAATTCTTTATTTTTACTTGCCAAAAGTAGAAGGTCTTCAACGTTCTATGATATTTAGCAATGAGATAATAATCACTCTAAAATTGGCCGAACGCCCCCAACTCTTCGGTCGAGGCAAGCTGGCCAGCCTCCGAGAAAGACGACCAAAGAAGTCCAAATTAGACTGTAGGAAGAACGGGTTTAGGCTTGAAATGCACGTCAGACTGATGGCGTCAAGTCTTCCCCCTCATTCTGATAGTTTTCGTAACCGGACGAATCTCGGTATCGGGGGAAGTCGTCCAAAGCCTCCATGTTGGCGCTAAGAATACACTGCCTCCCCCCCATTGACATGATTTGAAGATGTAAGTCAAACTATTTGTTTTTTACCCCTCTCAGCTCTCATGTAAAGACGAAGTTGGGGTACAACTTCGATACCTTTAGCTGAATCTGGAATGGAGACTCTTTGTTTTTAGAATGATTTACAAGTCGAAGGGGAGAAGAAGGGGGGTGAAGGGGGGTGAGAGAGTTGAGAAGGAAAAGAAAGCTAAGAAGCAGTAGAAATTGAGGAGAAGGAACTTTTTGTTGGAGGCAAAAAGCACGGCTTGGCAGCTGTCTGTTTTGGGGGCGTTATGGAGATGGGCTGGGTTAGTAGGGTGTGTGTGTAAGTAAATGTAGATGGAGATGGGGCGTGTAAGGGATGTGCAAGGGGCGTATATGAGACTCATGTATTATTGTATTATGCCATCATTGGGTAATAGAAGGGGGTGAGGGCTCTTATTACCATTTGGAGAGGAGTCCTGCTAATGGATTAGTTGTAGTCAGGCGGCCAAAAAAAGAGGCTGATATGTAATCTAGTGATCTTTTTCTTGCCTCCTTGTACTGTAGCCCCGGGTATAAATCCGGTAGTTTAGCTTGGAATAAGATAATAGATGAGGAGGCAAAATCTGGAGGCCGTGTGTATGGGGTTATCGGAGTATTCATCAGTGGATCAAGTCCAGGTGGCGATAGGCGAGGTTGGAGTAGCGGTAGGTCACATGGAAGCCCTCATATTGACTTTTCTTGATATGGCGTTTGAAATGCCTAATTGAGGTGGATATATTTGCATGTGTTATTATTGATACGTATACTACATAGCTCACTCTCTAGGCATGAACGGGATAGATGGCCACCTGATTAACTGCCCATTCTGTGTCTCCATACTCATTTCTCACTTTTAGTTGCAATAATGCCATTAATTTTCTTCATATGCCTTTCAAGTAGAGTACATCACATTATCAACTCCATACAAATATCTCTTACAACCTTTTCCCAAATCGAAACCAAAATCACTCTAGTTCAACTTTTCCAAGATATACTATTCCAGTAAAACCAGTCACCATCCTTTTATTCTAGGCATTTAAGACGCCAGCATAAGCCAGGCTAGAATAGCACGCCTCATTCCTTATCATCCGCATCCTCCGCCCAATCTTCCTCCTCTGTCTCTACCCATTCTTCATTCTCTAGCTCTTCAGCGCCTTCATCCTCTGGAAAGGCTGTGAGAATCGTAGTCGCTACATGCGTATTTCGTGCAAAAAACGGGTGATCTTTAGCTGGGGTCCTGCCAAGACAGATGTACCCAATCGGAGTGTGAAGTACATCGTTTGCCCGGCAGCGGACACCAAGCCATTCCAACAAAAACGTAGAGCTAATTGGAGTATCTGCTTGAGAAGCCATCATATAGGCGTTTACGAGATTCCACTCTTCGTAGTCCGTGTAGAGGCGGCCTGCCAAAATGCCAAGCTCCACTTTGAACCATGAAGGGAACTCAGTGTTGGTGGGAATTGGGGGCAATGTATAATAATCAAGCCGATTAAAAGGCGTCATAGCTCGTGTAATAGGAGGAGCATAGGCAATTAGGTGTACATCTGATTCGATACCGACATGCCGAAGCCTCGGAATAAGCAGCTCAACCTCTTCGGGAATGATGATTAGGGCGGTCTGAGTTGAAACGCTCCAGAGAATCCATTCTACGGGACGCTATAAACGATGTCAATGATTAGCATCACATAACTAGAGGGAATTCACAATCAATATTACGGCGAATTAGACTTACTAGGAACCGATCCCCCACATTTTGGTTTTTTTGATAGAGCACAATTGTCCGACCAAATTCTCTTGAGACAAAGAATCTCGATCCAGTGCTACAAATCCGGTGCTTTTTGCCAGTTTCCGTCTGGCCAATGTAGTCAAAAGCATGATCGACTTCTCCAGCGGCAATGTCTAGTTCCCCGGTCTCTAAGAAGCTCAAGATAGTTGAGCTCAGACCTGGAAAGTGGAATGCCTCGTAGTGAACGGGTCTTTCTGTATGACGTTGTGTCTCAAGCTGTACTTCAAGCTCACGTTCTTGCTCCACCTCTCCAAATGCATCTTGTTGCCAAGCGTCTGTACTATCGTGTTGAGATAGCTTGTCTACAAATCCTTGAAGGCGAGATGAGCTCATTTCCCCAAGGCCTTGTAATGGGTCGTGAGATGAGCCGCTGTAGAGCTGCTCCAGAGTCTGATGCTCTTGCTGTTGCAATACTTTGACTAGGCTAGATTCAGAAGACTTTGAAGTAAGAAAGTCGGGATATTGCAGGACTGCATTTGCACGCCGGCAGAAATCGGTACCCTGAGCCCGGAATAGAGGATGTAAGTCTTCATTTGCCCTACAGGTTTGCTCTAGAAGCCAGAAAATGACGTGAGGAGACTCTATGCGGCTTTTAATAGGAAAACGCCGGCCGCAAATATCCCTGATGCTCATATCGACTTCTGGCGGGGCGAAGAAGGTCACGGACTGAGTTGTACGTAATTGTCTAAGGCGCATGGCCGCTGCAGTGAAATCCGATCGTTAGTACTTATTTCTACCATCTCATCATGCTTGAATCATCCTATTGATGGTTCGTGCGATCAACTGTAGGTAGATATGGAGTGGTAAAGAAGATACTTACCTTGCATTGTGTTGTCTTTCGTCTGCTTGAGTGCTAGAGTTAGTGCCGCCCGTGCATCTGCTGGTAATTTGAGGTCAACTCCTCTGGTATGAGCCTCATCGAAATAGACGATGCAATCTTTCAGGTCATTCGCTAGCCGTGTGGCCAGCAGCGGTGCATCTCGCTTCGCCGGATCTCTGAAGGTAACCCAAGCACTGTTGTCAGCACGAAAGTAAACAGCTGCGTCCGACTTCTTCTTCTTGTCGACTTCAAGCCACAGCCTAGCCAAGTCCCGGTTTCCCATCTCAAGGATATATGCACCAGCATCTATTAGAACCATGATATCTCGCTTTGATAGCTCTGCCAGCATGTTACGCTCACTGAGACGTCGCCGGTTGCGGTCCACCATGACAGCATATCTCCTGTTGCGAGGCTGCAGCAGATACGATAAGACCTCAGCATTTGTCTGAAGGAGATCGGGGAGATCTTCTTGCTGAATTGTCATCGGTAGTAAATACCTGTTATCATTGGTGCCACTGAAACCTGTCGTTCGTGCACGGCGAGTTGTTTCTGGTTTGGTATCCTGAGGAATATCCCACGCAGAAGCTTGCAATTTTATAGTATATTGCCGGGCGTGGAGTGGGAAGACGAAATTGTTCATGTAATAGTCAGTGACAACTTGGGTTCGCAACAGGTGTTCCCAAAGAAGCTTCATCTGAGACTCATCGTCTAGATTTATAAAGTTCCAATGCTGTAGAGAAGGGGGTAAAATTGATCCCGAAGTCAACTTCTCATACTCAAATGCTGCGTCTTCTGAATCCAATACATGCTTTATGGCTTCTCGGAACTGCGCAAATGACAGTCCAGCCGAGTAAAAGCTTAGGCATGTCAACATGATGGCAACATCCGGATGGCCGTACTCGGATAACTCCGAAGGTACGCCTTTAGCCATATAGGGGACTGCGACGGGAGGCCGGTGTGGATGTAGGCCGTATTGCACATTCCATCGCTTTGCTAGGCAGAGCACTAATATCTTGCAGGTAACTAACCCTCGAACAGTGAGTAGTGTTATTTCTGCGCTCTCAGGGCGCGAGAAAGAATTGACTGCTTTCTTGAACGCCTCTTTATCAAGGGTCTTCTCAGAAAGCACCCGCTTGATAGCTGTTCGCGTGTCTTCATCAGCTATTCCCTCTCTGTAGAGAAAAGGAGCTTTGCCGGCAGCGACATCTTCTACTATGAGCCGGTGAAGCTCATCTTCGACATCAGTTCGTAGAAATTGAACAGTAGGAAGCCAGCTAGATGTTGCCGATACCTCTATACTATGTGGAAAGTCTGCCTGTAGTCGCGGCAAATACTCGGACACCATAGATAGAAGACCCTGTACAACCCGCCATCGAAATGGATGTCCGTCGACTGCCATCTCTGATCCACTAGGATAATTGAGCTGAGTTTTCGGGGACAAGGTAAAATCTGATTCATCTAAAATATCTCGACAATGAGTGTCAAGCCAATTTTGGAAATTGATCATTGATTTGGCTTCTTTGAACTTATTATCCGCAAGGCGCTGTAGCCCTGATAGTCTGAACGACAGCACATGTTCATGGCTCGTCAAGATTAAACCTCTAGATCCTTGGATATCATGGTGCAAATCTTTGTATAATTGAATTATATGATCTGCAGTCGATGTTTGGCGTGAGAATGGTATATGGCATATTTCTCTTCCAACGAGGCCGCCTAGTCGTGCATGTATCATATAGGCTGTCTGCATTACAAGAGACCTGGGGACTATAAGACGGGAAACATCCATCCCATTTGCCAACGTAGCTGCAGCCATGGGCATGATACAGGATGTTTTACCTGCGGCCTAAATGTTAGTATTTATCTCCAATCTAAAATCATCATCACGGCTTACCTCTCCCCATATTCATTTGTAGAACGCTATTCTCGCCCGATGTGGGATTAATGATTGCTCGGGCAACATCAACTTGATCCGTACGAATCAGCATGTTGCTGTCAATCTCCAATAGCAGCCAATCAGAATCTTCTTGCGCGGGATCCCAGTTCTCATGGCCGACATTGTGAAGCTCTTCATACATAGCTCGCTGATCACCACAAAGTATAGCAGTTCTCAGACGGTTTAATCTCTGGGTTTCTGCAATTGCGCAGCCATAATGTATAAGAGCTTCCTTCATGCCAATGCCAAAATGATGATTAGCGCGAGATTGCAAAAGCTCGAGCATCTCAATAGGAGTTTTGCATGGCAGAAGATCTCCTAAAGCGAGCCACGTGAATCGAGTATCGCTTGACCAAAGTGCAGTTTTGATCAATTGCAGATATGTGGATGCAGCGACCTGGGTATCTTCGATGGCATAAGTTATCTCCATTATATCAGGAATGAAATCCAACGAATCGGCACCTCTTATGTGGTTATTCTGCTCCAAAGCTTCCAAACTGCGAAGAAGGTCGCCACTATAATTATGACGCAGGGTGTTTGCTGAATTAGAAAAGGAATCTAGTATTTGGCCTAATTCGACGAGTTCAAGTGGCGCTTGTTGAAGTTTGCTGGTTTGTGATTTTGGCTTAGTAGATTTGAAATGGCTGTCGATTCGAAGAAGTTCTGGGCCAGCTTTGATCACAAGATCTTGCGAAACAGATGGAACAGGTTCTTGATAATTGGCACTGAGAAGATTGAAGTTTCTCGGCTGCCACTGTCCCGGTTTCTTTGAGAAGCAGCTAGAGCTATTGAATAGACCTTGATATTGCAAGATAATATTGTCAACTTGACCAATATAAGCTGCCAACAGATCATTTTGTCGTCTACGATCCCAGTCTGGCTGAATAGTGTGTAATGCAGTGGAAATATTGATATGGGGCAGGATATGGACCTCGCTGGGACTAGGACTGCTTGGAAGTTTAGGCCAAAGTTTAAGAAGCGCTTTAGCGAATAATTTCCCTTGGCTCTCACATTCTTTTTCGTGGCTTTCCTCTGTTCTCTGCTGTTCCTTACCATTATTAGACACCGAGGGGCACGGTATGAATCCTTCGGCAATGAACTTCTGAAGGATCTCAATTGTAGGAGGTCCGCGGTCTTTGAAGCGCGAAAAATCAGAGTACATTGGACGCTCTAAGTCCCTGAGTTCTTTGATACAGCAAAATGCCGTCAAAAAGTTGATAACGTCCATATCGGCCTTGGGGCGAAACAAGATTAAACTTAGCTGGAAGATTGACGAGAATACATTTTTCTCATCACAACAGAAGTTTATAAGCGAGCCAAAGCGTTGGTTGATTGGGTCATCCATTTGCTTTAGGAGAGGTTCTGTACTCAATAAAGAACTATTATGGAAGCCATCGATATAGTCCCAAGTTTCAAGAATTTCTTGCAGACTGCGCTTTATCTCGATATGCGGTGATCCTGAGTGTATCATGTTGGCAATTCTGTATACCTTGCTACTATTGGCATCCAGTGATCTATCACGAGGAACGTATATCTTATCAGATTGCCGTAGATATGCAGTGTCCTCGTTTGTTCGCTCATATAGCGAGCGACGAGTTATTGCGCGGAGCCGTAGTTGAGTTTCTTTCCTAGAAGGCATCGTGTGAATTTCCGTTCCTTGAGAAAATTTAGCTAGCTTGGCTGCCTTCTCCTCAATTTTTCGAATTAGAGTCTCGAATTGGTCACTTTGGATGGTCACCGTAAGAGACTTATTCCATTCTACCCTCTGTAAGCGTCTGAGATCTGCAGGATAATAATCTCGCTGAGGGAGCAAAGATATAAATTCCTGAAGGTTTGGAGAAGAAGTGGGTGACCATGGCTGGGCTGTACCGGATTTCAGAATGCGGATTGCTTCCTCCGTTCCGGTTACTCCTGTTAGAGGATCCGGTATACAGAAAGATGTGACAGCGTGGTATAGAGCTTTCTTGTATAACAAAATTGGTTCTGCCGGTGCAGATAAACGGCCAAGAGCCTCGTCAATGTCGAATCGAAAGTACCCATCAGAGTCCTTTGAGAAGGAGCATACATGTATGCCGCTGTGGTGACGTGCCCACGTCAATTTTCCATTGGGCACAATTATGCTTCTCTTTGTCTCGTCTTGCATGTCTCGTAACACGATTTTACTGGCAAGCCCATACCATGTTCCAGCGTCTTGATTGAGGTCTATAGATGCTTTGAGCTGCCTGCAGTCAAGTAAGCCGATATCATTGACGCAGAACTCAAGGTCTAGATGACGTAGTTCAACTGAGAGTGTGCCCCTTCGTGCTACCGGTTGGAAGACTGTTAGCTTTTGTGGCGTTTCAAAATGTCGGAATATACTGGCCACTTGTTGAAACTCAGCAGATCGTGGATCAACTAGGTTAACATTTCCGCCACGAGTTGCTGTCCCCTTAAAAAAATCCAACCTCCAGTCGCGAGGCCGGCTCCACCAAGCTGAATTATGCCGCCGAATTTCCAGAATACCAGTTTGCAGGTCTAGCCAATGGTAGCAGGAATCTACTAGACTCATAGGTAGATCAAATGTCATGGGGTTATGTAGATTGAAAATGGCGCTGGGAATGAATTCGTAAATTACATCTCCTTTTTGTGCTCGTACAACGACCCGAGATTGGCGTTGGGCAAAATGAATGATCTGATCTTGAAAACATCGGTCAAGTCTATAGTCCATACCGCACATGGACGAAGGATAGACGTATAAACTGTGGTCTCCGAATAACAGCTGGATAGTGGGATCGTTAAGCATAGCTGGCGGGAGACTCCCTCGTCGCTTTCCGTTGACGAGGTAATGACCTTCCAAAATATGTAAATGGAAAACCTGTTTGCTTTGAAAGCGCTCAAAATTTTCGTCCACAACGAACCGAATCCAATTCTCGTGTGGATAGGGAAGAAACGTCCATGATTCAGACTGGGCCGTGCTATTGGTACTATTCTGCCAGTTAATGTCAATAGCCTCTCCAATGATCTTTGAATGAGCTTCAACTGCATTGTGAATCAAAGAGCTAAGGCGAAAAGTCATCTTTGCATCATGGATAAACATGGTTTTGACCAGATCTGGCAGACTGTTGATGCCAACCACTTGAGTTTCTTGAAGGGCCATTGAAGCTCGAATCCAAGAAGAAAGATCAGTTGAAAAAAGCGCCGTCTCGTGTCTAATATAGATCTCGAAAGTCCTACGACATAGCAAAGCCGCCTTTAGGCTATAAATGGAGATTCTATGAGCATCCTTTTTGTCTTGAGCCTTCCTAGATTCTTCTTGAGATGCATTGATCCATTCTAGAGCAGTAGCCCTAGCTAATTTGAGAAGATGTTCAAACTCGCTGCGCATTTTGCCATCAGGTAGTAAAGAGAAAGCTCGCAAACTCAGGCTGATAAGTAGTTCCATGCCGCTTGATTCTCTCCAATTTGTACGGATAGAATCCAACCGATTTTTAATCTGCTCTTTCAGGCCCCTGGTAAAATGCGCATCTGTCATAATTGAATGCACTTTACGTAGAGCACCTGAATCCCCAAGAAGACGAGGACCGGCCTGGACAGTCAACTGAGTAAGCAAAGAGGTTGTGTCTTCACTGCTGAAATCGAGGTTAGAAGAGCCAAGTTCCACAAGGATTTTTAGCCAGCGGCGAGATTTTCCAGCAAGGAGCTTCTGATATGTCGAAAATTCTGCCAGAGACATGGTGGATGGGCATCTGGTGATATTGGCTTGGGTCTCATAAGAGGATGGACCGTCAACATCCTCAGCTGGATGTTGTTGTGGTATCAAAACGGTGCTGGAAAGTCCTCTTGGAACTCGAATTCCGCAAATATGATACAGCGTGGGAACTTTAGCAAGATCGCTCGCCCACATTTTGGCCCCATGGTCGTATAAACGAAAGTCTGCTGCAAACGGCAAGATGATTTTATTCATCGGCACCAATCCCTCACTGAAACTGTAATGTGTTTCTATGAAGCATTTCTTTCGTGATGCGAGCGAAATATTCGTGCCATCTGCCGTCATAAAGTTCGACAGTAGGGGACATGAAGCTAACGAAGTAAAAGGTGGTTTTGATCGCAGGCGGCCAGGGTGCGCTAAATCTCTGAGGATCTTCCATGTTGCATTGCGGTAAGCAGACAGATATTTGGGAATTAGCAATTCAAAAACGATTTGACACTTTTTGGCTTCGCCATCTGGAAGAAAATCTTCGTGGTGTTGCACTCGGAGCCGATTACGGCACCTCCAGTGCCAGCATCTCGTGCAGCCTTGAATATTTCGAACACCATGTTTAAATGTGCAGGAACAACCCGTTGTATTAATATTTTGAGTACGTTCTTCATACTCAGATGTAACCTTTTCCCAATTTTCAATCTTAGCTTCACGGTTTGCCTGCGCTGCGTCTTCGATAGTTGCCATATCTTTCTTCATCTGCTCTGATTGCTTCACATATTGTTTGGCGAAACTGACCGTATACGAATCTTCAAGAATGTGGCCATGTTGAGCTTTTGCGTGGCGATTATCAAGATAATCCTGAATTGCCAAGAGTCGCTTCATATCAGACAGGGAGGGCAGTTGAAGGACATCGAGGAGTTCAGGCTTGAAGACCGGGCGATAGTTGCCCAACAGAGGACAGCATATGAGGGCAGATTTGTCCATCCGCATCCAGAGTTCAAATATCGCGAGCGCCTTGGAACTCTGAAGAATTGGGTCGCCATCATAGGCTTTTCCAATCTCCTGAAAGACCTTGTGAATTTGGTCAGCAAGTCTCTGGCAGTGACTTTCACTACCGTCGACAGTGCTCGAGGCAAGCCGACTATCGAGCTCAATTTTCTGCTCCAGCTGACTTAATACGTATATTCGATTGAAAAAATTATGAGTTTCCCCAATTTGCTCAACCAAATGCCGGGGAAGATCCGATGACACATTGCTTAGGGGCTGAGGAGCTTGCTTGTCAGCCAAAAGCTTGTCGAGGTGATCGCGGCTATTCATCAGTGACAACCGCAAAGACTTTTCAGGCACTCGTTGGGGAAGTCGTCTGATGGATCGTTCTGTTTCTTTCTTTATATCATTCCATAGAGATTCGACAGAGCTGTTTGCAAATTCAATTGAACTTTTAATTGTCGGCGCAGCGTTGTTGAAGAAACTCTCAAAGGCGTCTTTGTGCGTTTGTAGGTGAGTTTTCTCCCGGTCAATCTTGATCATTCGACGACATAGCTTTGTTCGAAGAGTGACGACAAGCTCAGGCTCAGGCTCAAGCTTATTGACCTCATTGATGAGACGAATATTTTTGACTCCATCTTCCACGGTGGCAAGCAGTGATGTGGTAGCGTCTTGGAGTAAATTGGCAAAGAAAATACTCATTAATAACTTGTAACAAGCTCGTCCACTTTGACCAAGAGAAATACTAAGCTGTCTTTGGGCTGCAACCCTCAAGACCAGCCAGAAAGGGAGTCTTCTCCATGGCAATGATGCCGCCTCTAAGAGGTTAACATCGTCTCTAATTCTCTTTCTGAGAGTTGGAACTGCAGCAAAGTCGCCGATAGCCTCAAGGATAGCCATTAGCATCTGCGTTATCAAAGCCGGATCGGACGTGTCTCGAAGCTCTGACACGGCTCTCCCAGCCTTTCGAGCTTGAGCTTGGAGGCTATGAATTGACTCCATGCTAGCTCGCTCGAGAAATGATGCAAGCGCTTCCTGAAGGTTCTTATCATTGAACTCTGCAAGAGACAAACGGACAGAGCGTCCTGGGAAATCCCATTGAAGGGCATTATCGGCAGCAAGTACGTGTTCAGTCGTCGGAGATGTTTCGAAAGACTCTATGATAATTGAGTCTTGCCCGTTCCTATCACGACTTCATTAGCGAGATTAAAGATATGTTACCACACTGGGTCCAAGCGCTTACTCATTGGTCTCATGCCTTATGAGGATGGCGGCGTTTTGTTCAATCACATAGAGGATCAGAACATCCTGTGGCTTGATTTGCGCAAAGTATCGCAGCATAGTTTCTTTGTCGAGTCTTCCACGATTCAACTCGCGGCATGCTTGAAGTGATTCGCTCAAGGAGCAGATAGCATTAGAGAAAGGCTGACCTGCCAGGCCTTCCGCCTGTTTGCAAGCTCGCTGCAATCTGGTGAGAAGATCGTCGGATATTTCCTCATAACTCTCTTCTTTTTCTCTTTTCCCAGGCACGTTTGGGGGTAATACGGCGTGATCCAGGACAGATCGAAGGAGAGCCATGACGATAGTTTGGGGGGATGATCAGTAAAACGCAGCAAGAATTGTCAAAATCGGGAGTCATGTGTGTGGAAGAAGTTTTTGAGAAGAGCATTTTGGAAATGAAGGCCATCGTAATAAATAAATACAGAAATAATTTTCACGTTTGTGCGCCAGCTGCCTCAATTGAATGAAGATTCCGCCAGCTGCCGTTTGGTGACGGCCAGCAGCAGCAGCAGCAGCAGACCTGCAGCCAGCCGATATTGAGGGATGCCATTCGTCGGATACGTACATCATGCTGTAAATTCTATGCTCTTGCCCCTTTACACTGCAAGTCACTGTATGCGGGAGGCCCTCAAGACGAAACAACGGCTGGCTGCTGCCGCGAGTTTGTCTTCAAGCACTGCTAGCAAATCCAAGTGGCGAGATCAAACACTGATCCCAGGTAGGCATTGGTACGTAGAAAACAGACGACAGTGCTTTAATTATGCTTGTATATCTCATGTGGCTCTCTTTACTCCGCTAGTAGATAGCTGCAAATAACAGAGAGAGACAGGATGAACAAACGCTTGATAGACAGATTTTTGAGAGTGTAGTTGCTTTTGTCATATCTACCAAATGCCCCTGAAGCAAGACTCAGAGTCTCTCTATTCCACGCACGGGGCATGACCTGCGCATCGTCATTCTTAGAAGGTCTGCGCTCTCGCATCTCTCTTCAGATGGCTAACCGAGATTATTTGAGGGTAGCAGCATTGGGGAAGCGCAAACAAGGCCGCCATCGCCTCTTACATTCACGTGAAAATTTGTTGGTCGTTTGCGTCTCATTAATCACTGTTATGCCGAAAGGAAGTCCGCTCAGGAGATGTTTCACGGTGCATCGCGGCTAGCAGAGATATTGATGCCAAGTATCTTGGTGGCTTTCCCATTGCCTCAAAAAGCTAAGGCTAAGACTAATGGCGACCAGAATCAAGCAAGATACAGTATATGACTAAGCCAAACGCACCAGAAATAAACTAAAGACGGCGGAGTATAGGGCTGAAATGATGTGTTCCCAGAGTACGTCCTCTAAAGAAACTTGTTTGGACACAAACGGCTTGAGTCCATTCGTTTTTGAGAGGAGGATCGGAGGCGGCGGCACACGATGCATCTTTTGGCCTAGCACCGCGCCCGCAAGGCTGCCTATTGGATCGCAAGGCGTGGGGTTTTTAAGTCATGAGGCACACGTTTGAGGCATGTCTTCAACATTTCAGTGACTCCCCGCACAATGCGCGAATATAAATGTGCGTTTGAGGCTGTGCTATCAAGCAGCCAGCCAAGCCGGAGTGCAGGACTCGCCTGCTTTCATCTGCGTCTGCTTTTCACTGGCTTCTTTTCACCTCTTCCTCCCGCCATTCTCAGACATCCATCTTGACCAACAGAAATAAAAATAGTAAAAAAATTCAACACATGAATGTATCTTTATTTACCTAAATAGAAACAATGATGACTGCTTGGGGTTGGCAGATTTCGCCCTTCAGTTGGCTTACTACCACCGCACTAACACTCTTGACTGTATGGGCCCAACACACAAAGTCCAAATCATGTGCTAACAACATTTCAGTATGCCGCACTTCGAATTATTTTTAATCTATTTCTACATCCTTTATCCAATATCCCAGGTCCAGTTACATGGAAAGTATCTCGCCTGCCTTTCATCTGGGGTCTTCTAAGGGGGACTCTTGTTCATGATATTGAGCGCCTGCACCGCAAGTACGGCCCCATCCTACGAATTTCGCCAAACGATGTCACCTTTGCCCACGAAGATGCCACAAGGGACATCTTGGCTTTTCGTAAAGACCGCCAACCATTTTTGAAGGATCCCACCTGGTGGAAAGCCAACCCTGGAATGCCGGACTCCATGATTAGCATCATTGAACCAAAGCAGCATGCACGCATTCGCAATCTCCTGGCGCCTGGATTCACACAGCGCGCCTTGAAGGAGCAAGAAGATATTTTACATTTTTATGTCAATCTTTTAGTAGAGCGCATACGGGAACTCGTGACCAAAGAGCCAGAAACTGGCGCCGTCATCGATGTTGTGCGCTGGTTTAACTTTACCACCTTTGATATCTTTGGAGATCTTGGTTATGGAGAATCATTCAACTGCCTCCAAGATTCCAAGTATCATCCTTGGGTTGCTCTTCTCTTCAATAGTGTCAAAGCAGTGTCTTTCGTGGCAGCAGCACGATTATACCCCGTAGTCGAACGCATACTTTTCATGTGTATCCCGCCCTCGTTGAGAGAGATGCAAAGGAACCACTGCCAGCTGATTTCTGACAAGGTGAACAGGCGGATGAACTTTGAGCTTGAGCGACCTGATATTATGTCTCATGTGATACAAGGCGCAGAACGCCAAAGGCTACCGCAAACTACCGTTGATACCACATTTATGGTGCTGACAATCGCCGGCAGTGAGACGACAGCAACAGCGCTTAGTGGCACCCTCAACTATCTTGTCAACAACACAGACAAGCTCGATATTTTGAAAAGAGAAATCCGTCAGGCTTTCCCGGAAGAGAATGACATTAATCTCGACGCCCTACGCAAGCTGCCATATCTTAACGCTGTGATTAACGAAGGACTCAGACTCTGCCCTCCCGTCCCTTGGATCATCCCAAGGAAAGTGCCTGAGGGAGGGGGAACAGTTTGTGGAACATGGCTTCCTGCAAGGGTATGTCAAAATCTCAGTAGTAACCTGTTGTATCACCTTTCTCTCGCATGTCTGTCATTGCGTTGTCCGTCATTGCGTTGTCCGTCATTGCGTTGTCCGTTAACAAGTTGTGAAATAGACTTCAGTCTCGATACAGGCATATACGCTGAACCGTGACCCGGAACATTTCCACTTGGCTACGTCATTTATTCCAGAGCGTTGGCTACCTGATGCTCGTACAGATACCGAGTCTCCCTTCTTCCATGACCGGCTACAGGCGGTGCAACCCTTCAGTGAAGGACCAGTTTCTTGCATGGGACAACACCTGGCGCTGGCAGAAATTCGCCTCATCTTTTCCAAGCTGCTTTGGTCGTTTGACTTTGAGGTACTAGAGGATCGGAAGAAAAAGTGGGAGGATATGAGGACATTTCTTATAGTTGAAAAGAAGCCAATTGAGATGAGAGCGAAACTGAGAGCTACAGCTTAGGTCGCATGGCATATTCTGTTTCCCCACCACTGATAAGAAAGGGAGTTATACACTTGGCGAGAGACCTATTAGTTAGATACCCCGAGCAAGCAATACAAGGGGACGGTATGATACCGCTGGTTAGCAGAATACATGTCTTTGCCACTGCCATAAATTATGGCGCGCATATGCTCTCAAAACCTACATCACCTCGTAGGTTTGACCCCAGCGATATAAGAACTTTAAAACCTTAGGTGCGTCTATATATATTAATATGTATGCAACCTCTGCATACATGCACGCTATTTCCCACCCTTTCAACATTGGAGTCGAACCGTATCGGCAACATATGCTTGCTGTTTTAGCTATACGATATCGTGTGTCACACATCCTGCATTTGTGTTCCCTCCGCGAAAAAATCTCGGGGAGTTAATGCTTTCCCGATACGCCGGCGTAACTACTAAGATGACGCCAGCTAAACTCCGAGTCTGTTGACTATGCGGGCGGACATTCCGACAGAAGGCTGCAGTGCACGAAAAGGTCTTCATTGAAGGACATTTGATAATCTGCTGCTCTGTTGATATAAATAGGCATTAGACAATTAGTTACCACTCATTAAATTACCGAAAAAGATTCCAGGCCATTGACCAATATTAAAGTTATGTACATGTTGCTAGCAGCACATGAAGAGACTCTTCCCGTGACATAAGCTTCAATGCCGATATGCTATATGTGGTTGGCTTCATCTAGACAGCGTCATCAAGTTCGAATGAGAGTTTAATGACTCAAAAAATGACCTCTCTTTTGCACTCCCTGCAATGTTCAGGCGCAGGCCTCACGCAACTAAACAAACTCCCCCCGCAATCCCTCATGCCCGACTCAGTGCAGGGGGATACTGCCGGGTCGGATATAAGAACGTGTTGTTGGTCGCTGTTCACTGGAGAAAGGATTTCAGAGGTTTCCCGCTTTCGTTGACTCAATATCTATTTTCTCTCGTATTCATTGCAAATATTGGACTGCAAGTTTGCGTAGGCCTTCTATTCGCTTTTTGTCGCCATGGGGTCCCAGTGGTCGCAATTCTTCCCTCCAAAGCCAACATTCACGGAATCCGATTTAGCCTCGTTGGACGGCAAGGTCGTCATTATTACGGGCGGTTCCTCAGGAATTGGCTTTGAGCTTGCTAGAATTTTGTATCGAAAAAATGCAAAAGTTTTCATCGCTGCACGTTCTGAAGAAAAGGCTCGCAAAGCAATTCAGAGCATCCAAGCCTTTGAGGCTACAGGAGGTAGCCTCGAATTCTTGTCTCTCAAATTGGACGACTTGAGCAGCATTAAAGCTACAGTGCAGGAGTTCAAGGCAAAGGAATCGAAGCTTCATGTGCTCTGGAACAATGCCGGTGTCTCTCAGCCTCCTCTGGGCAGCGTGTCATCCCAAGGAATCGAGCTGCAGTTTGCTACAAATTGTCTTGGCCCATTCGTTTTCACCCAGCTACTGCTGCCTCTGCTTGAATCTACAGCCGCAGACGAATCAACGCCTCGAGACTCAGTTCGCGTTGTATGGACCAGCAGTCAAGTTATGGAGCTTTCATCTCCTCCCGATGGCATCATACTGGATGAGCTTCGTACACCCCCCGAAGACCGCACTCGCAACTATACCAATTCAAAGACTGGCAACTATTTTTTAGCCACAGAGCTTGCTCGAAGGGCGGCATCGTCCAATATTGTAAGCGTGTCTATGAATCCAGGCGCCGCCACCACAAATCTCTTCCGTCACACGCCATATCTCAAATATCTGGCGTATCCACTGCTTTATAAGCCTGAGCTTGCGGCTCTAACCGAGCTTTACGCTGGATTCTCTTCGGATATTAGCATTCGGAATAACGGATGCTATGTCATCCCATGGGGTAGGATTTCGAATAACCTCAGGGAAGACTTGATCAGTGCAGCAAAGACCGCCGAGGAAGGCGGTTCAGGAAAAGCAGAGGAATTTTGGGAGCTATGTGCAGAGATGACAAAGGATTACATGTGAATGTTGATGGCTCCAAGTCAGATCTTCATAGCGGCGACGGGCTTGTGGATCCAAGTCAGCTATGACGCATTTCCAACAATTGATATACTGCCCATCGGTGGCATCACAAGTAGGCAGCATGATTTTCTCTGTTGGATTAGCTTAGCTGGTGCGTTTACATACTATACTATCTATCTCAGCGACAGATGGAATTACATACAGAGCGCGCGCCTCATATTATCTATGCTACATGCATGTTACTCTTTAAGTGCCCCGTCAGTGTCCCATCAAACATGAGGCTTCTCCGCCCCCGCAGGCTCTATGGGTACTGCTCCCGATTAGTGGCTGCAGCGATGCCTGACTAGGGAAAAGGTTTCATGATAGATTCAGAACCAGAACCCCAAGATGCACAAGTAACGGATAATGATACGAAACCCAACTGCAAGGGATAACATGTACAAGATGGGTGATGAGATGTCTGATAGGGAACGTATCCTCTGTGCTCTGTAATTTACAATCAAGTATGGGTACCGTATCTAGACTTTGTTACCATTGAATGCCTCCTGAAGTACCAAGACCCTGCTAGTGTGCTCACTAAACGGCTGATCGTGCCGTGCCGCCCACCAAGAATTGGCCCCCCCAGTGGCTGTTACGCGTCCGTGGGTACCTTTGCCCGCATAAAACCAATCGGGGGCCCCAACGGAGCTTCTTTGAGGCAGCTTGCTACTTCACAGAACTTCTTCGGTGAAGATGGAGAAGACAGCCTTGCTAACGGATGGCGATTCTGCGCCGCAAAGCGCAAACAAGAAGCGCGCCTCGCGCCTCAGAGTAGCTTGCATCAGTCTTGCATGCTTGCTTATCTTCTATCTTCACTTGCCTTTCTTTAGACCTCATCATCCTCCTCCTCCTCCTCCTCACCATCATCATCCTCATCCGCCGCCTCCTCCTCCTCCTCACCATCACCCTGACCACGACCACGACCACGACCATGACCCCGATCATGGCCGTGGTCCCTGGAGAGGACCGTCTCCCTATGGAAACTTCCCAAAAGCTAATGATCCTTTCCACTTCATCCCCTGCACACATGCGACTGTGCCTCCCGCTCTTGATGACCGCCATGCAAAGAGAAGCTGGTCGAGGCTCTTTGACCCAAATCCCAGACACTGGAGCTGGGGCAACAAGACCGAACAAGACGGACACGCCATCTCAAAGCATGACCCCTACTCTGGCCGCGGCATCTACCTCTGCGGCTGGCTCGACGTTCCTCTGGACTACACCAATGCGTCTGATCCCCGTATCGCTCGCCTTGCCGTGACAAAGTATCAGGTCTCAGGGCTCGCTCCTGTTCATGGCCGCTCCCAACCGTCTGCTGGCCATAAAAGCGAGCGGACTCTTGTTGTTGAACCTGGCGGCCCCGGTGGCAGCGGAACGTCTCTTGTCTGGCGTTCTGCCGAAGCCTTCACGGAGCGTCTGAGCGGTGGCGCATACGATGTGCTGGGCTGGGATCCCCGTGGCGTCAACACGTCCCTCCCTGCCCTCTCTTGCTTCCCATTTGATGCCGACAGAGATCACTGGTCAATGATGAGCGGACAGTACCGCGAGGTTCTTGGCTCGCCTAGGGCTCATCTTGAGGTCGCGGATGCCTTGAACCAGGCAATCTTCAGCGCCTGCTACGAAAGACACGGTGATCTACCTCGCTTTGTGAGCACAGCATTCGTAGCTCGCGACCTCGAGGAAATTCGCAAGGCCCTAGGAGAAGATGAGCTGACGGCGCACATGATCTCATACGGCACCGGAATTGGACAGACATATGCCAACATGTTTCCATCGAGTGTAGGAAGGATGATCCTGGACGGCACTGAGTATGTCAGAGATCATCGTCTCTTGGGAGGCTTTGGCTGGACTGCCTTGGATAATGCGACTAATGCCTGGCATGATGGCTTTCTTGGAGAGTGCATCAACGCCGGACCAGAGCATTGTGATTTAGCGAAGCCGGTCGATGGCCACGCTGTTACTCTGGAAAGCCTAGAAACTCGCATGGAGACGCTCATTACTTCGCTTATTGCGCGACCCGTAGTAGGCTATACAAAGTCCAACGGCCCATCTATCATCACGTACTCTGGCTTGGTGGGAGCCATTTATGGATCTCTTTATAACGCATTCTCTTGGCCCGCACTGGCAACGCTCCTCTACGAGCTTGAGGCAGGAAACTCTACGCTCGCTGCAGCCATGCTTGAGCGCACAGCCTGGGAATATGACCCTGCTCTGCCCTCTATTCCCAATAGAAAACCCTCTACCGATGAGTTAGCGGACTTGGTCATATGCTCAGATGGCTATGATGCCGCGCTGCCAGAGAATGGCCTCGACTGGTGGGAATCGCTATGGGCGAACATGACTGCCAAATCGTGGATCTCGGGCAACTCGCGCTTCTTTAACGTATTCCCTTGCCAGCGATTTACAGAGTACTGGCCTACGCCGGCGGAGGTATACCGTGGCGATTTGAATACAACGCTCAAGCATCCGCTTCTGCTGATTGCCGAGACATACGATCCTGCTACGCCATTGAGAAATGGTCGAAGGCTGCTCGAGGAGATGGGAAGCAACGCGCGACTTATTGCGCACCATGGCTACGGCCATTCGTCGCGAGACAAGTCCGATTGCACGGACGCCATTGCAAAGAATTTCATCTTGAATGGAGAACTGCCTGATGAGCAAGAGACGGCTTGCTACGCAAATGAGAAGCCATATCTCTATGGCGTTGAGAAGGGCAAGGCGAGCAAGAAGACAGATCCTTTGGTCATTTGGAGCGAGCATATCAAGGAGCTGCCGTATCTCAATCCGCGGCTGCTTTAGAAAGATGTAGCATAGTATACTCGCAAAATCTCTTTTCCCTTGTCGCGTGCTTTTTTATTCATATTCTAGAGAAGGAGAAGTCGATATAGGAGATATATTGCAGCGCAATTTATTCCATTGTATTGTTTTTGTGTATTAACTATGGGTATCGCATTTTCACAAACGAAAGTCACATATTTAAGCAAAACTCACCTTTCAATCTGTTTTCGTGACGCAAAGTATAGCTCATCAAAAAAAAAAATTATGAGCCCCGTATGTATGCCAGAGATATGGGCGGCGGATTTCCAATACGAAGCCCAAGATAAAAGAGTCCAAAGTGGTATTAAAAGGGCCCGAGTGATGCGGTTAGTATTACACGTGGCACCTCCGCCAAACACAATACCCGCCCGCCATGAAAGAGAACCCCCGAAAACAATGCGCAACATCAAGCCAAACAAAATTCACAATTCAAAGTGTTAAAAAAAATCAGAAGGAAAAGAGAAGATTCATGACGTCATTCACATGCAAAAAAGAAAGAAAGAAAGAAAGAAAGAGGGCTGCTCCTGGTTCCTGGATTCCATGTGACCCACGATGCAAGTGATGCTGTGATCACAGGTTCCGAGAACCGTGATAGGAGCCGCTCACTCGACCCAGGGAAAAGGCGAAGCCAGCTGAAACAAGAGCATTAAAAGAGCGTTTAACTTACCAAACGGATGGAAAATACTAAAGCAATATTAATAGCAATCGCGGTAGCGTACGAGGTCATACTCAAACAATGACATCATCCCACACGCGTCAAGTCTGTGTTTTGAGGTTTTGAAATCATTAGTGTCATAAGACGCAATATATGTACAGGCTTCATCATCATATATATACAAATGCTGCGCGCTGCGCATGCTCGACTCGTCGAGTCAAGCCCCCCATCTCCTGTTCTTAGGCCTCCTCCGTATGGACTCTCCCAAGGGTTGCTTTTGTATTTTACTAAGCGCCTCCTCCGGACTCCTCCGAATGTCGTGGGCAGGACTCCCCTCTCTACGCCGACCCAGTAGTGATACTGGTGATAGTGAGCGGCGGTAGGATGGGCGTTGACATGGTGTAGGTGATTTGCGGGAAACCACTGATTTATAGTCTAGGTAGCAGGTGGATTCGGTAGCCTGCCTGGGGGTAGGGGTGTCGGATTCAAGGGTATCATAGGTGGTGGTGTTGAAAGAGTTTTGGGTATCGAAAGAGTCAAAAGTGCAGAAATCGTCTTCAGGAAGCTGGGCGGTGGGAAGGTCCTCATCTTCCTCCTCGCCGTCTACAATGTGTACAGGTAGTTCTTTGTCGTCGACCTCATCGGCAGGGTCAAAAGATGATCGAGTTTCTGTTGAATCACAAACAGAGGTCACTGCCGTGTCGCAGTCGTCGGATTGAGACGTATCGTCATCGTCGTGAATTGAAGGCCGTCGAACAAAGCGAGAACTTAGTCGTTCAGAGTCCGGGCCCGAAAAGGACATAGATCGCGAAGGTGGATCTGTGGATGTGAATGTCGGCGAGTCAGCCGATTCAGCTGGGGAACCTTGAGATTCGGGCGATAGGGGTATATCTGCGGTATTCAAAACACCAGGCTCAGCGGTAATTAAGGAGCCATGAGGAAAGAAATCGTCGTCGAGGAAGGAAGAAGCATCGGAGGCGCTGCTGGCCTTTGTGCTGGTGGTGCGAATGGAGTCGGTTTCGGAGAAGGACGATGACGTAGACGGCACGGAACAGGGTCCATGGCGGTCCAGGTAGTTGTCGGGGAGGTAGCTTGCAAAATATCTAACGAGGGAGTCGAACGACTTGGTTCGAAAGAGCTGAAGGGCGTGCTGCCACTGGTCAGAACCTATCAACTTCGGGTTGGCAATGATCTCTACAGCGAGCGATTCAAGAGACTCCTGAAGTTCGGAGAGCCGCTGCCGCTGCCGAGCCGCCATGAAGCGATGGAACTCTTCGGCCGTGTCTGCATGGTTGGAGATTTCGTAGACGTCGTGGTGGAAGGCTTCGGGGTCTTGGAGGGTGTAGGTAAAGGTGTTGTACTGGTCGTGGAGCGTGGTGAAAAGGTCGTCTCTCTTCATGCCAAACTTCCAGGCCGGCCATGATAGATCGGGATCGTCCATCGTGGGCGGACCGGCGCTGTCTGAGGGTCTCGAGAGACGATTGATTATAAGGGGAAGGCGTGGTAAAACGGTTGTGGATAACTGAATGACTGAAATGGAAATGCGTGTCGATATCGGAGCCCTGGTGTCGTCGAAACACGGCTCGCCTAGAGCAAAGTACTTGAAATCATGGCCATGGCGAAACAATCACTGACGAGTACTACTGGCAATAACGTGCTGCTGTAATTGCTCGTGTCTTTGTGATGATTGCGTGGAGTATACAGGCTGTGTGTCCTAGATTGTTGTCGCCGGGGCCCTTGGGAATATCTCCCACAGCCGCTGGGGGAGTCGCGCGTATACCCATTGCCCCAAGCACCGGATCGCTGAGGCATTGCGGCCTGAGGCACAAATATGCCCATCCACTTGCGCAGCCGTGGTTGGCTGATGAGCTCGGCTGCAGCACGAGCTAGAGCCGATCAAGATTAGGTGGGTTTTAGCGTTGCGGGAGGCTACGCCGAAAATCTCCTAGCGCCGTGAATAGCCCACCGCAAGTGCCAATCACCGTGCAGTGGCGGACTCCTGTGAGGATGGGCTGTGTGCGCTAATGCGAGTCCGTTCCGTTCACGTCATGCTGAGAATGGCTTTGTCCTGCCGTTCCTGCCTTGCGCTGCGCTGCCTTGTTTTTGTCTTTGTTTTGTTCTACGCAACTGAAGATAAGTGGTGGAGAGCACCTACATATTGCCCGATTTACAGATCTTCACCTCTGTATAGTAGCGAAAATATGCCTCGCTTCTTCGATGTTCAATTTCCCGTTGTATCTTTTTCTCCTCCTAACCAAGATGCCAGCTCTACTGCAACGTGCATCTGCACACCCTCTTGTTCTTGAACACTCCCTCGCTCCACCGACGAGCAATCCACTCTTGCGCAGCCTGCACCACATGGATTCCCCCCTTGCTGATATCGTGGCCTGCTAGCATCCCTGCTTCTTCCAATAGTGTTTGCTACAGTGGCCTTCTTTCACACCACACTGTCCAGCCAGTGCGGCCGTTGGCGGGAGGTACAAAGGCCTCGACCCTGGTCGGGAGAAGAAAATTCTGCGCAAGGGATGACACAAGTACCAACTGCCAGCCCACCACTTCCGGAGGCTGTGGCTAGTGTTCTATTTTGCTATCGCTCTGCGCCACCATGCTAGACGCTCACAGAATTTGGGCGGCAAGTGACCTCCTACTTAGGTACCTAGTCACCCTCCAGCTGGGCAGCAGCGACATCCAGCGTGACAGCTTCACGCCGAAAGAATGGAGGGAGAGCGTGAGAATGCGAGAATTCCTCTAGGCAGCTGAGACAATTCTCACACTAGATGAGCTGGCATCGTACTGATCAGGAGAGCGCCGTGAGATGCCTACGCAGCTCGACTCAATTAGTTACTGACGGCCAAATGATTATCTACGGTCATTCGCGCTGGCCCTGCTGCTCTCTTCTCATCTCTTCTTCTGCTATTTTGCTTCTCCAACAATCACGTGCAGATGAGTCAGCGTAGCTATGCTTGCAGCAGCGAGGAGCTCCCGCACAAGAATCATCCCTTCCAGGAAGGTTTGCAATACGAGCACGAGGCATCTGTGAGACGCAAGCATGCCATCTGCTCTCATCGTCGCAGGCTAGGTACGAACCTTGCCTGACTGCTGATATCCTTGGCCGCGGTCGCAGACGTGCAGCAGAAATGGTTTTCATCGAAGATTTTACTCTACATCTCGGCAAGAGGTCACTGCAAAGCAAGTGCTGGTGCAGATGATACCCTCGACCTCATGTCGTTATCACAGCTAGATCTCTGGCGGCATGGCCTAATGAGCTTGAAATAGATCTCCCGGGGTGCTGCGGGCCTGCTGGAAGGAAGCAATGGGGCGCGGCCAAATAGAACGATGGCCGCTCCGCCTCATCCCCCCCCGTTCCGGCTCTAGCTCTTATTCGCCAGGGCTTCCTCGCCGCCAATCCTGGCATGTCGTGCTCTCAGCGTGTGGCTTCTCGCAGCGAGCACTCGCATAATCCTCTTGCACATGCTCTGCTCTGGGGCTAGACCAGCACCAGCTGCTCTTGTGCCAGTGCCTAGTTCCCTCCCGCCTGTCGTTGCTCGCTCGTCTGTAGCGTCTGGTCCGCGGTCCGCAAGGCACCCAGGCGTCCGCCGGTCTGATGGTTGGTTGCCTTCTTTCTGGCGTTTGGTATTTGTACCTTTGCAGTGACTGCCCGTAGCGCAGGCTGAGACTCCATCACCAGGCCCGCAACCTCGTCTTGCTCTCTGGCCATCTGACACTCGCTGTACGGCCGCTATATAGCGCTTCAGCTGCTCGTTTCTGCATTTATTGTGCGTCTGGCCAAATTCTGGCCACTTTACTCTCTTTTCCCCCCAGCTTGAATCAACCTACGCTGCGTTCTATTGCTTGCTGCTGCTTGTTATACACAACTCTCATCAGTGCCTGTCTGTGACCCCGCCGCAGCTTATCTGCCTCTTCCCCCAGCTGTTCTTCTGAGCTGGCTTCTGCCTGGGCGAGTGCCTGCTGAGCTCGACAGGCTTTGGAGTATCACAACCAACTCCAGATACCCACCCTGTCAATCTGCCTGCTTCCCCTCCACTCTAAATCTGCTTGCAAGTCTCTTACTGCCTATTGCTTTTCTGCCCATCCATCTCTTCGGTGCTGCGTTGGAGAGACGCTCACATCACTACCGGCACATGGGCCTTTGCGAAGGCACCGCCAGCCGTCCTTATGCTTGACCCCCGGGCCGAGCCCTCGGAAGGGTTCTCAGAGGAGAAAACCGAGCCCTTCTCTCAGTCAGAGATTGAAGCCCGATTCCCTGGCGTCGGGGTTGAGGAGCCAGTCATCCCCACCGACCCAGAGGCCGTTCCGCTCGACGTCTTGCAGGTCGAAGATCACCACCACAAGCAAGGCATCCGAATCCTCGTGCGGCCTCTCACCAAGCTGCCCGGCTCTCGTTCAGTGAGCCCCGGTAGCGACAATTGTCAGTGGTTAGCTCTCCGCGCCGAGGTGGCTACCTCGGACAAGCCTGAACACAAAGTCCTTGCTGTGACTCAGACCTCCAAGGACATCAAGTTCTCAGTCAGGATACCCGGATCCGCGGAAGAAGACTTGTCACGACCGCCACTATGGTGTGAACTCTATTACGATCCTGCCAGCGACGAGGTTATCTTCTTGAACAAGTCGGATGTGCCCATCTTGCTTGGCCAGATATCTCGTAGCGCCGTCGCCAGCACTCCACCAAGCGAGCGCCACGTTATCAACCCAGGCTTTGCCAAAGGCCTGAGGCCGGGAACTTTTAGAATCAAAGTGAGAGATATTGCAGTATTAGATTTTCGCATTCTAGAAAAGCGACCAGTCGTCATCTATGAGCCGCCACTCTCTCCAGTAGTGCCCGAAGACTCGCCGCCATCGTCGCCATCATTCATCACAACTGACCAACTCAATACGAGTCTGAAAAGAGCCCTCACTCCAGATGAAGATGTCAAAAGGGCAAAACGACGTATTTCTGATGCCAGCGAGGGACCAGACGATGGCGTCATCATGTTCTTTGGACCGGCCGAGCCTTTAGTCTTCCCTCTTCCGAATGCGAGAGAGGGAAAGGAACTAGCATCAGCCAATGGCCACGCACTCCTAGACGCAGAGCAGGGCGATATGGTCGCCGTACCGGGCGTCTGCGAACTCGACCAATACCAGTTGACTAAACGTGACCCGATTGCGTCTACGGCTCTGTCAGCAGTCTTCACTGCATCACATTCGCAGGTGCCGAACAACATTGTCACTGTCAAAGTTCTCAAGACGAGAGTTGCAAACCCAGACAATAAGCCACTGGTACATGAACGGAATGTCATCCGCCAGGCAGATATGTGGCTACGAGAATGCCAAAGCCAACAAGACCTGCAACATGAATCTATTGTACGCTATTATGGAGGAGATGCCAGATTCCTCAGTCTATATATGGAGCATATCGACGCAAAGGATCTCACTTCTCCTGCCCACTGGAGAAACAAGAGCAATGATGAATTTACGGGAACTCGGGAAGATTCCATTCGAATCCTACGTGATATTTCGAATGCACTCAGCTACCTCCATAGCCGCAAACTAGTACACAACGACATCAAGCCTGCCAATATCCTATATTCGCCTGAGCGCGGCGCTGTGCTCTGTGACTTTGGACTAACCACGCTGGCGTCAAGTACTCCTTCTGGAGGTGGAACTCCGTACTATATCCCACCTGAGTTTATCGCGCGCAAAACCCGTGGCCCTGAATCGGACGTCTGGGCTTTAGGCGTTACAATGCTATACACAATGCGAGTCATTAAATTTCCTGATTCGCGTGCACGAAGGCAACATCCCAAACCACTGTACTGGCAAATCGCGCAGATCCACGGCCAACCAGCATCACCCTACGCCTATAAACAATATGGCAACGGCCAGCCAGCTGTGAACCAGATGCGGGACTGGCTCGCAGAAATTTATGAAGCAAGGGAGAGATTGACCTCCAAAGACCGGTTAGAGCGTTTGGTAAAGGACATGTTGGCGCCGAACCCAGCCCACCGCATCACAATGGACAAGATTGTCAGAGAGCTCTCCATTGAGCAAGCGGTTGCAGCATGATAAAAGAGTCGAAGATTACATTTTCTTTCCTATACATCTCTAAAAGAGGAGTTTCTCCGCATCTTTTTCCTTTTTTTTCAAGCTGTTTTCACCTTGACCATCCAGTGTTTTGTTCAGTTTTTTTTTTTTTTTTTTCTCAACTTTGAAATCACCATTGGAGTTTATTTCGGAAACATATTCGACATGTGCTGAGTAAATGGCAAGCATATTTGATTGGCATCAGATGGGGCATTAAATGGAGTAAGCAGCATGCAGATATACCGACTTTGGCAATGACTGACTGACGCAGGGGAGAAGAAATCGACAGCCGTTCTTTTTTCTTTTTCCTACCTGCATGCTTTTCGTGATTTCTTTTCTTTTCTTTTCTTTTTTTTTTTTTTTCTTCTTTCAAGACGTTTAAATCATGATACCAGAAAGCTGGCGATACCACATGTACATATAAACTTTTACATTCTTGTACTATTATATTTGACCTTCGCATGGCAGCATTAAGAGACGGCATACGCATCAGGAGTTAGATCATCTCGCTACTTGCATTAATATCATTATATTTCAATTCATGAGCCATAGCCTTGCTTTTTCATTATGAAATTCGTGTCTCCCATATTCGCTCTCGGCGAACCACTCTAGATTAGATGCCCAGTCCCAAAGAAAATCCAACAGCTAGGAAAACTACCGTTGCCAAAACAACCGATTTATCGGTATTCAGTGGGCTTGCAGCATTCTTCTTATCATCTGTACCGGTGCTATTGCCACCACTAGAACTGTTCTGAGCAGAATCAGTGCCATTCCCATTTTGCTCCTTGATAGCCTGCACAACCATGCCATCCGAGTCGGTGCAGTTCTTCAGCTGCGTAGCATTCTTTGTGAATCGAATATCGGCACAGTTATAGAGCGCGTTTCCAGACTCCCCGCTGGTAACGACTTGTAATGACGCGAGAGTGCCGTCCTTGATATCGTCCACCGGTACGGGAAGCTCCTTGACGCAGAACGTGCCGCGGCCGGTGACGTTGAGGAACTCTGGCGTGAGGGAGACGTTGAAGTTTGTGGTGTTGGCGCCGAGGCCGAGGTTGATGTAGACATAGGTCCAGGGGTGGTGGAGCTCAAGGGAGAGGGAGCCTCCGCCGATGGGCCAGTCTGTGATGTTGCCGGCTTTGTAGGGAACACCACCGCCTAGAATTGTGCTTTTGTTAGCGAACATATGGCTCTTTCATGGCGATGATACAAAGTCGTAGGACTTGGTTGTGGAGGAGGAGGAGGAGGAGGAGAGGCGTACATGGATAGTTCCATTGGCTGTACTTGTCGTCGTTTTCGGCGGCGAGGGTATCAGCTCGCCATTCGGGGTACGCGAGTTTGAAGTGCGCGTTGACGGCTTGCGAAGCAGCCAGAGCCAGAATGATGGACTTGAACGCCATTGTGTTTGTCTGTCTTTCTTTTTCCTTCCTTTTCAGCTGTGTAATCTGTGGCCTTTTTTTTTCTTCTTCTTTTTTTTTTTTTTTTAGGGCTATAGGATGAATTGAGAGCAGAAGCAGAAAAGAGGAATGAGGAGGAGGGAGAGGAAATGAGGAGAAAGCATTGTTGGACAAGATTGCATGTTGGCTCTTATATAGCAAATGAAGAACGAAGAGTAGTACGGACTTACATCAGGACCTTGTGGAACGTAGCTCCAGGATAGTACCAGGATACTAGGATAAGCTTGTTTTGAGCGTAATAGGTGCAGCGAATAGGGAATAAGAGGATCCGTTTTAGCTTCATATAGCTCTTCATAGACTGGAGTTGTTGTTTCTTGTGCCTCTTTAGTGTGAGCAAGTAAATCAGGTAGCGTCCGTTGGTGGTGGTTGGGGCTAGTAGCCTGGTGTTAATATTCGCACCCAGTATGTCTCTTGTAAGGTGAATCGGTTTTTGCCCATGCACTATACAAATATACATTCGCTAGTCGCTTTTAATTGATTATTTAGTAAATGATTCATCATTTAGATACATGGCTTCTTGATTTAGTATGTAGTTAAATTATTACCATTGCGTACTGTATTAGCTGCCCTAGCTCTGATACTACTAACTGTATGAGTCTATCTCTTGAAAACGCCATCTACAATAATCTACTCCGTATAGATCTCAAACCATTTCACGGTTTAATTTTTCGTCGCTTTTCTTAGAGCAGCTTTGTTCCGTTCCCTCATCTCCTTCATAGCTCTTGTATTCTCCTCGGTCGCTCGTGTGTTCTCCTTGACTGCTTTTGTATTTTCATTGATGGCACTCATGAACTTTTCCAGAATGTCCACTGTGTCATCTTGCTTTTCATTTGGCCTTTCTCCTACCTCTCCAGAGCGAGGAGATTCACCTAGAGTGTCTCTGGCCGCATGGCGCGGCCTCTTGCTGCGTCTGTCGCGTGGATCAACTCCGGCTGCCTTCGGTATATTGTTGGCGGTGGCTTGTTTTCTCGATGCTGCATGTCGAGTAGGCCGCCGTTTCTTCCTCTTAGATGAACGCCACTTAAGAAGTTCGTCGTCAGAAGAATTTCCTTCGCTCAGGAATTCAACGGTCCCTGTACTCATCTCACGGTGGTTATTCGGAGGTGTTTTAGTGAGCGGTAGACCTCCATTGCCCTGATGTCTTTGTAGACTGTCCTCCTCAGCTGGAGATTTTGGGACAGCAGGCTCTTGTGCTTCTCTGGCTCTGGCGTTTTCGGATTTGAAGGAGAGCGTGTAATCCTCGCTGTAACCAAATGATTCAAAACTTGCATTTGGATATCTGTCTCTAACGAGTCGCGTAATCTTTTTGCTCTTGTAGAGCTGCTTGTCATAGATGATTCGAAGCGCAACAACATGGGCCCATGTCACGCCGTTAGTCACCATGTGTCTCGTGATATAATGATTCGTAATTTTGCCAATTGTTGAGGGCGCCAGCGATGCATGTTCAACAATGACTGGCCATGCATCAAGTGCTTCGGCATCCCAAGTGTGGCAATGCTCTTCATACACATCTCGAAGACGTTTGTATAAATCTTGTTCTGCTTGTGTGTTGAAGAGGCATGGCGGATATGATCGTGTGCCTTGTAGATTCAATTTTGCTGACAGTGGAGATTGAGGAATGGTTACTGGTTGGTGAAGAAAGGAGAAAAGACTTTCGTATGAAAGAGGTGGAAGTGGAAGGAAGGGGAGGGAGGAGAATAAATGAATGAGGAGGAAGAAGAGAGAGGAAGGGAGTGGAAGAAAAGGAATCTATTAAATAAAGGAAGGAAAGGAATCGATATCAAGAGATACCACAGGAAATTGCGATTACCTCAGGCATTTGCAGCTCTTCAGTGCCTTGAATGAATTTCTTAAGCAATTCGAAGAAAGTTCTATTATTACACAAAACTACAGAAGTTGAAATACTAAAAATACGTTCTTTAATTAGTACAACTGCTTAGCTCGCATTATCCCACGAAGATTATCCCAAGATAATGAGGGCATTATGCCATAAAAAAAGGATATCAACGCATCGGTAAGAGAATTAAAAGAAAAGAAAAAGAAAAAAAAAAAAAAAAAATATCCTCTCGCCATATAATTCCAACAATCATCTTCAGCTACGCGTATAAAAGAAATTAGAGAGAGTAAATCAAGTTTCCCAAGTTACCTCTAAGGAACCATACCTGTGGTAGTAATAGGTTAGGTGCCTACCATGACCAGTGCTTGTGCCCACTTCGCACAGTACCGCGGATAATGGCAACACAACCACAAACTGTAGACATTAGTTCAAGACCGAGGCAACAAAGGCGATAGCATGATGGTACAAGTTCACATCCTAGGACCCTATTTCGACTTACACGCGATGCCTGAACATACTGTAGGAACCAAATAGGAAAAAAAGCCACCCAATGGCCATGTGGGCGCGCCAAGCCAATGGTTCTTTGTTTTCTCAGCCTATCCATTCCACGCTTGCGTGTGTTTGAGCAAGTTTTTCCCCCCGTCCAAGGCACAAACTAGCGGTATGGACATTCTGCGTCGATAGAATGAAGAAAGCGGCATAACAGCATGTGTCAACTTCTGCTGCAATTGGTGCAAATATGGCGTAGCAGCGTCGAGTAAAATATACAGCCGCGGCGACTACCTCTCGCTGACTTGAACCTCCATTACACGCAGCATCTTTTCTATCTCTAGCATGAGCGACGTAAAATTAGTTTTTATATACAAGCCGCCATACGCTTCATGTATCTAAAAGCAACATCCTTAATCTCATAGCTTTGACCCTCCCGAGGCAGACTCTTTCTCCTCCGCGAGCACATCTTCCCTCAGCCGCACCTCTACCTGAGAAGGCCCAGCCTTGCCAAAGCTCACCAGGACGACTCTTTCCCAATCACCGCCCCTATCCGAGTCCTTGAGCTCGAGGCCTGGCTTCTCCAAGCCCAGAACGACTCTCTTATCGCTCTTCCTAACGAACAGGTGATATGGGCTAATCACCTTATCGGCCCACGGTATGCCCGACGTGACGTGGTCTTTGGCCTTTTCCGTATCTACCGTCGGGGTGGTCTTTAAGAATTTGAGGAGCTGTTTGCGCTGCCTTGTATAATAGATGGGCCCTTCTTCGACTGATGCCGTCGGGCCCTTGAGGAACTTTGCGAGCAGGGTGAGGATGTAGCACTGAGGCGGGAACAGAATCATTTCATTAGAAGCCACGCGCGAAAGGAACGTCTGCGGAGGGGCGAATATGGCTTCCGTGTGCTCGACGCCGCCGTCCGGAGTTGGGACCAGCATCTCAGACGGTACTCCAGACCGTGAAATAGGGAGCATATACAGGTACATCTGAGTGGTGAAGCGCTTCCCAACGCCAACGGGCGTCAGCCACCTCGTGAAGGGGACAAGCGCATCTAAACACGGAATCGTTAATCAACCAAATCATGGGAAGAAGATAGAAGAAAGAAAAAAAAAAAATCTTCCTCGGAACACACCTAAGTCAGCTTCTGCGCCAATCGACCGCAGCCAGTCCGCAAACCTAATCTGGCTCCCGTGGATCTTCTTCCTCGCCTCGTCCCTCTCCTGCTGAGGCAGATCAACCAAGCGGCCATCCTTCTTGGCGAGCAAAATACCCGTCTCCTCAAAGCACTCTCGGATAGCGCCCAGCCTGTATGCCGGACCGTCGCGATGGCGGTCCTGCGTCCCGGGAGCCGGGATGTCGCCGTCATGGAACGCATCCAGGTTGCCGCCTGGAAAGACATGCGCAGACGCAAACGAGGTCGAGGTCTTGACTCGATGCAGCAGCAAGACTTCGTTGGTGGGAGACAGGAGCACAATTGAAGAACTAGGCCGCGGCTCAGGGATTGGCTTCTTTGCCGAGTCTTTCTCTGGCTGCGGAGCCGCAGGTTGTGAGTAGAGGCGCGTCCAGGTTTGTGGTTTTGACGCCATGATGGTAGGGCTGAGATGGGCTGGACGAAGACGCTGGACGGTTGGTCTTTGTGCTGATGAAGCCAAGTTGCTAATGCGCCGAGACAATGGCCTGCTTACAGCGTATGAGGCCGGATTCATTGCAGCAAAGGAAACGGCAGGGATGCGCCGCCAAACGGGGTGAGATATACTTTGAGTGTTGCTCTCACAAGTGGCTGCGTGGCACGGTGCAGAGCTGGCGAGGAGCCGAGGTCCGGCTCCACGGCTCGATTTTGCGGGGAAGCGCGCCTTTGGCTCTCCAGACCCCGTAAAGAATGCGACTCCGCGCTCCGAGATATGGGGCCCGATCTCATGCTACAGGGCGGCAATACACGGGCCGTCAACGGCGACGAGTTATAAATGTGCTTATGTATAATATTCTTCATGTTGCTAGGAATGATAATCTGCGGGATTCGAAGTATGTGTCGTGGGAAACGTTAGACTATATACAAATCTCATATATATACAACATGAGAGAGAGAGAAAAAACGCCCCCATTAAAAAACGCCAGATGCTCATGCTCATCTTCTTCATTAATACCGTTTCCTCTCTTTACCACGCAAATTCACTTTCCACAGACAGCATATACTCTTAGACTCACACCACTGCTTGACTTCCATCGTGCTCACTTCACCATCAAAGCCCACGCGTGTTAGTTGCCCGCAATTCAGCCACGTCGTAAAATCTTCGAGCACAATCGGGTCGTACAGCAATATTTTCTCATGCCAGGAAGGATTTGTCGGATCCGTTGTCCGTGGCGCTGACTGCACGGCTTTAGTGATGTACTCGTACCCGAGCGACTGATCTCCAGATAAATTGAGATCTGTATCGTCCATGATAGATGTGGAGAGGTCTACGCGAGGCTGTGAAAAAGGAAGGCCGGGAGAGGAGGCCGGGTCTGAGGATAAGCTGTGCTCGCTCTCCGATGCGGAATCAGGAATCTCCACAATTACTTTGGCCGCCTTTGGCTTGCGCTTTTGCGTCGTGGGGGTTTGGGTTGACGGCTTTGATGGAGTCTTCTTTCTCTTCGAAGGACCCGCCATGGTATCGTTTGTAGCAGTAACAGACTTTCTAGGCCTCCCACGAGGTTTCGACGGCGATACAGGAGGTTGTGCGGATGGTGGTGGTTCCTGTATTTCTGGTGTACTCGAGGCGCTATTCTTCCTCGGCCTTCCCCGTGGAGTCTGAATGTTACCATTCAAGGCACTTTTTTCTGTGGCTGCGGAGGTAGTAAACGCCCTCGTAAAAGGAGGCTGTTGTATACTGCTTTTGCTTTGCCAGCACTGCTCTAACAAGGAGATTTTTGCTTGGCGCGATTTGATCGCTTTGAACCCGTACGAAGCAACTTCTTTAGAGAGCTGAGCATCTGTAAACAATTCGAATGAGGGCTTTGAACCATGATGCTGGGCTTGATCTGGATTGCTTGTGTCATGAAGTTTGTGTGCCTTTGAAGACTGGGTTTCATCAACCGGGTTGAACACTTTCTTCAGGGGAGACTCGACTGAATATTCGCCATCTGCTAATACAGAGTCGTCATTGATTACTTTGATGGGTTTGGCGCCATCGGAGAGAACCTCGGTGGTGTTGATAAGGGGGCTGCTTGGTAGCCCAGTTTGGGCTCCAATGGCATTCATCGTGGTCATTGTAGTCTTTTTGTCTCCACTAATATAGCCAAATGGATCATCATCATCGAATAGCGCGGGTAATGGTTCAGATGATCTTTCAATAATCTTGTTGATTTCAAGATCAAACAGATCTCCATCAATGTCACGAGCGCTAGCAGCCCATAGCTTCTTCCGCTCTGGAGGTTCGATACCGTCACTATTTAGAGGAGTGTCAAGATCCACGTATTCAACTCGATTTGAGTGCCTCATCGCAGCCTGAAGATCGCGCAAAAAGGTGGGTGAGTTCTCAATCGCTAATTGGCTCGATGTTCCAAACACAAAATCTTGTCTTGCAACTTCTTGAAGCGCCTCTGCTGGGGGTAATAAGATTGGCGAAGGTGGCGATGTTTTTTTCTTTTTCTTGGCCGTAGCTTTTGTCGTTTTCCTTGTAGTCTTTTTCTTGGATTCTTCTCCGGTGGCTGGATCTGGTTCGTTGTGTGTCATTGTGATAGTAGAATCGCCTATCCCTACTGGCATTGGCTCAAGCGGGGCTGGCACTCTGTACGCTGAGGTTGCAATCTCTGTTATGGTGCGTGGTCTTTTCCTTGGTGCCTTTTGCTTCACAGGAGACCTGTCCTTGGCTTCAGGTGCTGCAGTTGTGACAACAAGCTCGAGAAGCTTTCGTTTTCCCAAAGCATTGACAGCATTGGCTCCTTCTCCTGATGGCGTCGAAACATCTTGCTGTAAGCTACCTGTGCATTTGTAGGCTTCGAGTATCTGTTCAAAGCTTTTGCTTGCTTCGTGAAGGTCTGGCGAATGTATATCCTCAAGAGAAGAGCAAGACTGTACCTCATGAGAAGCCGAAGCCTTATTAGATGGGGGTGTCCAGTCAACTCTTCGAACCATAGCCGATTCCAATCCTAGCGGCTCATTAACATCATTTCCATCTCGCTTGGAGTTTGGCCCCACTACTTGAGGTAGGTCGCTTGCTGGTCGTGGTGATGATATATTTCCGCAATCTTCAGGTTTAGCCTCCCTGGCTTCAGGACTGTCGCCTTTAATATACTCCGTTTTTGACTTGAATTTTTTCCAGGGCTGATCTTTTGCGGGAGAGCTAGATTGCGCTCTGAATCTTGGTGGCGCCGCATGATTTCTCTGAGCCACCGGAGTATGTGTAAGGGGAGGATCAATGATGCATAAAGAACTGTCATCATCGTCTGCAATACCAGACCTCTTCGAGGCTGACGGAGTTGGATCCGCAGCCAGAGTTTTGGACTGTTTCTTGTTACCGCTGCCTTTGACTGCTGGCTCTTCGTCGGATGAAATGACCAGTGCGTTGTCGCTATGTCTTGGTGGTCGGATCCTAGCCCCGGGCGATATTATGTCTCCGATAACAGGCAAATCAGGAGATGAAGAGCGAAAGAAATGCGACGTTTGCCTAGCACTATGTGACGGTGAGGGCAGAAAGGCATTAGGTGTTGCCATCACGCCCGCAGCAAACCTCTGAGAGCGCAGAGCGCATCTCAGATAGTGGACGCGCAGTAACACAGTCAACGCGTCTGATTGCAATCATATATACCAAAGATAACCGCACGGAAGATGTATCCCCTCTTCTCAGCCCTTTGCCAATCTCATTTCCCCGTAGTTCGGAGCGGATGTTGTCAACGCTGGATCGTCAACTAGCCAGAAGCCTCCCGATGGCGTCCAGCGGGGCGGATTGATCGCCAAAGCGTCGCGAAGTCACATGATAGATCAGCTGACGCACAACCCTCGCCGCACCAACGAAAATTCCGATTAGGACGGGAAATTTTTTGAGTAGCCCACCAAAGAACGGCCGTCGATATCTCCCTCCGCCAAACCGCATCCTAAACTCCCTCTACACCACCACACCACCCCTCCCTCACAGCCAAAATGGAGAACGACCGTGGCGAGATCGTCGACCTGTAAGGACCTTTACAAAGTCCTGCCGAAGGAATGTCGAAATACTGATTGCCGTCCGTCTAGCTACGTCCCGCGCAAGTGCAGCGCTACCAACCGCATCATCAAGGCCAAGGACCACGGCTCCGTCCAGATCTCCATCGCCAAGGTCGACGAGAACGGCCGTGCCGTCCCCGGAGAGAACCACGTCTACGCCCTGTGCGGCTTTGTCCGTGCCATGGGTGAGTCTGACGACTCTCTGAACCGATTGGCTCAGCGTGATGGTCTTGTCAAGGCTGTCTGGAGCGCCCAGCGATAAATTTCTCAAAAAAAATTTAAAATTTGGAAGAGGTACGAAGAGCCGGGCAACGATATCGAATACGGAAACCAGGTTGACTGACCGCGCGAGTAGGGATTAGCATGGGTATGAAAGGCGGGTGTGGAAACTAGAGTTGGCTGCATGTAGCAAATCCAATTCAAGGCGTTTTGGCTCCGTTTCAAGACAAAATTTCGACGTGGAAATATGCGACTCGGATGTGACGTTTATTAAATACTCTTCTTTTTTTTTTTTCGCCCCATTATGAATACCTACCGGCTAGCGAAGTCTCCTCGAACGAGCATTAACCTGCGTTCTTTGGTCGGGGATTCTGGAGCTGCTCCGATGGTTCCCAAGCCGAAGATTAAAAACTTTGGCCTTCAAAAAGCTGTGGCGGTTAAGTTGCTCGTCATGGTACAGATACGGGTCAAACATGCTTAGATTTCTCAAGTACGAATTGACAATATTAATTGGCACTTATCAAACTACCAGGTGAATCATTCTCGACATTTAATTTTTTTTTCCTCTAGGTCCCTCTCTCAAGCCCTTCCTTGTATGCGCTTAGAGCGCGCTCCCTCGCTCCTTTATGGTCGACGATTTGCTTCGGATAGCCCTGCTTTTTCGCTTTGGTACCAGCACCTCGGTTATACGGATCATGTATCTCCTTGTCGCTTAAGGCTTTCAACTCGGGAACCCATTTACGAATATAGTCACCGCTGGGGTCGAACTTTTCACTTTGAAGTAACGGGTTGAAGACACGGAAGTAGGGCTGTGGATCAACTCCAACGCTGGCGCTGAATCCCCAGCCGCCATTGTTGCTCGCAAAATCGCCGTCGACCAAGTGCTCCATGAAATATTTCTCGCCCATACGCCAATCGATCAGCAGGTCTTTGGAAAGAAATGAAGCGACAATCATTCGGCTCCTGTTGTGCATGTATCCCATATGATTGAGCTGACGCATTGCAGCATCGACAATCGGAAACCCAGTTCGTCCCTCACACCATGCCTCAAAATGATCCATATTATAAGACCATTCGATATTCGCATACTCAGGCTTGAATGGCTTATTCATGCTAGTTGAGTTCTTAGTATTCGACCTAATCGTGAGGATCATGGTTTGTAAAATACGTACCAGACATATGGCCAATTAACCAAGACGTGCTTGTAAAAGTCTCGCCAGGCAACTTCGCTGATCCAGACTTGGATGCCCTGATGACCGCCATCTAATCGCTTAGTTTTATTCCTGTCCCTGGCTGTCCGAACGCATGTCCTAGAACTGATTGTTCCGCTTGCAAGATGCACAGATAAGCACGACGTCCCATTGTTTCCAGGGATATTTCGCTTATTGTGATAGTTCACGATAGCCTCCTCGCAGAAATTTTCCAATCTTGACATGGCCTCATGCTCACCACAGGGCCACAGATTATGGAATCTCTTTTTTTCCTCATCACTGAGCTGCTTATTCTTTGGTGCACCTGGGATTCTGCAGTCGAAGAGCGTCTTGAATGTTCGTCGCGCAGCGTCCGGATTTTTCTCCGGCCGATCATAAATCTCGAGGAGATCCAAGTTCTCATGAATATGAGCCATCCAAGCTCGATACCAGGGAGTGTAAACAGCGTACTGATTGCCAGAACCGCTATGCAGCTCTCCTGGGGGTACAACGCACGTATCATGAACAACCTCAAACGACATATTCTTTTCCGCAAACTGGCGAATCATACGACTTTCTCGCCGCAGCTCGTCAACTTCGTATTCCATGTTGGCGAAGAGATGATTGCTTCCCCATTCTTCCATAAGCTCCAAAACGCGATGTGGAATATTCTTCCTTTTATCCACTGTTTCCACATAGAGAGGGATATCGAGAGCCGCCAGATCATCTCTCAAGACGCTCAACGTTCTCAGCATAAAGTCTACTCTAACCGGAGCCGTGAGATGGGCCTCGTAGTCTTGAGGACTTATGATGTAGATGCAGATGAGAGGAACACCCGCCTCTTTGGCTTTAGCACTTGCCAATGCAAGTGATCGATTGTCAGAATGGCGAAGATCCATTTTGAACCAATGAACCACAGCGTGTTGGACCTTTGCTTGTTTACGAGCTTCGGCTGTCTCTTCCAGTGCCGCGATAAGTCCTTCTATTGGCCTTGGAATTTCATTGGAATTGTATGCATGAGCTCGAGAAGTGCTCATTTCATGTGGATAGAAGCGGCGTAGAACGATGCCATGGTCTTCTGCGTCTTTTGCGAATGGATGGGGCTGACGGAGCTCATCGCCACTGGTTTCATGCTTCACTCTTTTGTCAGCTCCATTGGTATGTCCCACAGGGCATGCTGCTCTCCTCTTAGAACCCTTTGGAGGCATTGTAGAGAACGTAAATAGCGGTAGAAGGAGTTTAGGAGATGTTGAAAGTGGCAGCATATATTTCCTGCCTACAATCTGAGGTTGGGCTATCGCATAGATGCTCTTCACGAGCATTTACAGCAGCTCAGTGGAATCCTAAACAGGGAGAATTGACGGTATAGTGGTAGTAGTTCAAACATTAGGAGACAGAAATTGAGCTACGCGTGTCTTTGTTCCAACTATCCCATGCTTTATTTAATAAACGCCAAATCGCGGTTATGCGATATGGTCTCGATGTGGCCTGCGTCATTGGCGTCTGGAGATCGGGACTTTGGCTGGTGCGATGTCAGTGCGATTTCAGTGGCTTGGTATCCCTGCGCAAAACAGCAAGACAAGGCGGAGATTAAGCAGTGGCACGAGCGAATTAGAATCGAACCCCCCTCTGCACATTTAGTATTTCACGGTTACGCCCCTTTGAATGATGCATAAACCATCAGCTGGATGTCTATGATGAGGTCGAACATTATACGGAGCTGGGAGTAGACTTACAGCAGTGCGCCTTGTGCCGGCTGGTTGTTCTTGGTACAGGTACAAGCCCCAAACTTTGGCCGAAAGACTGGCACCTGCTTGGCGCACGATTGAACTTTCAAAAAAAAAAAAGAAAGAAAGAAAGAAAGAAAATAAACGGAGGAAGGAAGCAAATGACGTCTTGGATAATTCACAAAGTTATTATCCATTTGACTCTTTAGTCCACCATCTCCTTTTTTCCCTCTCTACGTGAATCGTGCACCACCGGAGATCAAGAATCTAGTCAAGAGCTCCGCCAGCTGCCGCCAGCTGTCACACACCGCGCCATCCAAATGCAGAGCTCTGATAGGCCTACAGGCATCCATGGATACCTAGAATGCAGCGCAAGGATGCCTTATTGCCAGGCCGCGACGCCACTGCACTGGGCTTTGACTTGACGCGTTCTGCCTCATTTCCAGAACAATACCGGTTCCAACGCTAGTTCGGCTTCTGGAGAGACATCCCGTGTCGTACACAAGTGCCTTGCCGAGCCAGTTTTGGATGTGAATCAACCTGAGCGTACGGAGTAAAGCTACACGAAAAGTCAACAGAGTGTCGGCCCTATATTGCTTTGTGGCACAAGGCGGGCCTGTCCTGTGTTCCCTACTCTTTGGAGCCGTTTCCTATCAAGAAAGGTTTAATTTTGCTGGCCAAAGAGCTGTCCGACCACCGCCGCAGCATAGACAGATCCGTTGCGCACGTCCCCCAGTGCGACGCCGACTTTGTTGCATCTTCAACCTTGGCCACGGATCACCAGGTTCCCCAGCTTGTATTCACCGAGAATCTCCCTTGGTGCACACGCGGCTGCCTCACGCATACGCGGCCCTTTCGACTTTTGACCCTACAGTGCTATTCTCTCATCACAGCCGCCACTGGGCTCCCTTTGTGACGCCATGGCCGGCGATTTGACATGGCAGCCTCTGCCGCAGGCATCATCATCTGATATACCCATGCTTCTGGTGTCGGTCGATATTGGCACCGCCGCCTACACTGTCCGAATCACTGATTTGGCCAACATTTGGGTCGAAAACCTGGACCGGAAGGCCATCTTCATGAGGGGGTGGAGCGAGAACACAAGTATTGACCCGAGTGACACACCGGAGAATATGGCCAAATTCCTTAGTAGCTTGAGATCGGCCCTAGATCCCACTCAACCGGGTCATGAGCAGACTGCTCTCACCCTGTCACCAGGCTCTTCCACAGAAGCTGGTGATGACGGCTTGACCCTCCTGGTTACTTGCCCGCTCCCAGGATTTCAGCCCCTGAAGTGGCCGATTCATCTTAAGAAGTCTCCTCCATCGGCTATTGCTACTGACTTCGTCTTACCCCTGCTTGAGGCACAATTCGCTAGAAAGCAAGAAGTGGAAGCGCTGTTACAGGAGTTGAGTCACAAAGATACAGTCATTACCAAGCTAGCCGATAAGCTGGAAGCTACAGGGACTGGCCTGGAGCATGTTTTCACGGCTCTTTCGGGGAAGAAGAAAGTGGCGAGAATCGCCGCAGAAGAGAAAATAAAGGGACTGGCCCCCTTTCGCAAACATACTTGGAAAGAGAGTCTCAAATCATATGACAACAACCCAACCAATGTTGGTGATCTTGCAAGGAATGTGTTTGATGGAGAAGGCCTGAACAAACGGTGTTTGATACAGGTAGACGCTTCTCCAGCACTGGATAAGTGGTGGCATGATTTCAAGGGCACGTCACAACTGGTGCATCGTAGCAAACAGCAAAGAACGTCTTCTGCGAAAAGATCGCCATCACCAGCTACCAAATCGACAAACGTGGAAGAAGATGATGACTTTCAAGTCCAACCCACACCTCCTCATCTTCAGTCAAAAAACAAAAGCTCGCCTATAGCCATTGCTGATGATGCGTCAACAGAAGGTGAGGAGGAGCTGGCAGTGAAACCTCCACCACAGCCCAGTGCAAGGAACCCTGAATCATCACAAGATACCAAGACAAATGGCTTGCGGGCAACGACGGCACCAATCTCAGTAGATGAGGATGAAACAGCATCTGAGGCTAGTGATGATGAAATGAGTACAACTCACGGCCCATCTTCTTTTTTACCCGCGCCAGCTCCTTCCAAACCTATCACCAAAGCAGGAGGCCTAGGGCGCATCGGCGGCGCTGCGGCAAAAATGCGTGCCATGGAAGCAGCAGAAACTACCGAAATGAAAGAGAACATTGAGAACCAGACACCTACAAAGCCTCATATGCCAAAGAAACTGGGAGTTATCGGAAAGAAACCTGACACTGGAGGCTCCAAAACGTCAATAGTGGATAGCACTGCAAAGCGAGGCCGCCCAGCTGAGCGTGAAGAGTCCCAGAATGAGGATCAGCTTAGAGAAACCTCACAGGAACGCGCTGATCGAAGACGCGAAGAGTTGAAGAACGAGCTTCAGAGAAAAGCGGCAGCTGGCCCTGCCAAAAAGAAGAGGCGGTTCTAAGTTTACAGTCTAATTTATCTTATCATACTGTATTATCATCATGTACTTTCTCTCAAGGATCTCATCAGAACTTAGTTTGTTGTTGGATACCCAGAAGATTAAACATTTTACGACCAATGATTCACAGTTCCAGGCTGTGATCACGAGTTACACAACCGCTCTAGGTTATCAGTGTTCCTCCCAATGTTCGTTATTAGAATGATTTATTCATTCTTGTTTTGGCCTTGACAATCACTTCAATCAATTCGCTAGACTATGGAGACGCAAACGCTCGCCATCAACTTGCATGGACATGCCGGCCGGCTTTTGGTCTGAGCAGCAGGTCATAAGGAGAAGAAAAAATGATTTGTCGGATCTGAAACACACTTTGCCGTGAGTTGTTGCAGAAATGTGAAGAATTCAGCTCAACAAGTGCCTCAAGGTGGTCAGTGTCATTGGAGCACTCTTAGTACACAGCTTTTGTTCTCTCTAGCCAAAGCCATGGCTAGCTATGTGGGAATCATGTGGGTTTACATTACAAAAATACGAAAGTCGCGAGCACTAGCGGTATTACCTCTTGCGCCTGGGATAAACTTAAAGAGTATGCAGAGGACGGCGTATATAGCCCAGCCATGGTACACCACGGTACCCTGCGGTGGATAAGGAGAGGGTGGCAGAAAAAGGAAGTAAAGCTGAAAAGAAGAGGCCTTGGAAAAGATCCGACGGCAGCGGCTTGGGGTTAGACTTCAGAGTTACACCACCAATTTCGCAAGATCCATCTCTCGACAAGGCGCGTGCCTATCATGTACGTGTACATAATGAACAAGGGCAGAGCGTGGATACTAGAAGCAGGCTGCAGCGAAGTCCGCTTCCATTCCCTATTATGAGTGGCTGTGGCATGCTCAGCTGAAGACTAACTACAAACTGTTACAAACTGTTACACTGAGATGTATCAATGCGCAATATTTAGGACAAGGGTCTCTAGGTGGTGGTTTGACAAAGCAGTGTCGCGATACGCACGGCCAAAGAACATACCTCCTTCCTTGGATCGTACAACCAACTTTGCCTATGAATTCGATATGGCTCGCTCAGGAATCTTAAGCTGAAGAGCGCAAATGAATCCGAAGAACTCTGCTATTAGGGTTTCCACATGGAATTCGAGTAGCTGAATTTTATCACGGCACTGAGGATCAAGGTGTATTGATGGCACAAATGTTAGTCTACCTGTCACCTATCAGAATGTTCAAGCCTAATTTAAAGATCTCTGCACAACATGGTAACATACTTGTAGTACTACATGCAGCTCCTCAATGGCAGCGGTAGGCTATCCAAATGATTCGCTTGATCGCACTATCCTTGCTGCCTAGCCCTCTGCGCAGGAATTTCAATGTGGCTACATGCGGAAGCACGTGGACGTTCCCCGAAAGGATGAAATGAGACATCTCGCCTGCTTTTCTAGGATTATTATTTGACACCGAGTAGTGTCGGTAATTTCGGCAAACAGGAGAAAAAGAAACCAGAAATAACAGCATTTGGGCGTGAGTGATGGTAGGACCATTGGAGGGTTACCGAGAGATGCTGATTAGGTCAGACTTCAGGGCCGGCCAGGGTTTTGAGCATCGGGAGGATTTACAGCCTGGCATCGGGCAATTTATTAAGGTACCATTTCCTGCCTTACCACTATTGGCATTTATCCCGGGGCCTCTTATTACAGCACTGGCCTTGTTTCTTCGAATCTGGCAATCTGCGGGTGTAACTGAACTGAAAAGTCTATTTGCGGCTCACATGCTCAGCTTCCTGGCCATTCCCTAGACTTTTACCAGCATATACAGGCCAAAAGTAGGCAGTATCAAGATTACTCCTCCGCCAGACGGCTTCTCATGCCGCCAGCTGGATATTACCGCTGCATGCGGCCGATGCATTGCCGCAGGTAGCTCCCTTCAGGCCCTTGTCAACAATATCCCTACCTCTCCGTAGGCTTATTCAAGCCATCGCAGAGCTGAAAACGTGATGGTGACTATAAGGGAAGCGAAGAAAGTGGGAAACAGACATCCCTGACGAAAGCCTCGTGCTAAGATGGATTCTCAACAGCGGCTTCTGCTAAGTTCCTGCGGGTCTCCCGCTTTCCTTTCGCTTGTAATTCCCAGATTCGACTGCTGTGACCCCATATGGATCTTAAGCCCACTTATCCGCCACTGCTTCTGCTTGAAGTCCGTCATACGGCCCTGTACCGTTCAGTGGCACCCTAAAGCCGATATGGATGCTCAGGGGAGGAGGCATTCCCTTTTTACCGCACTATGGTGTACCTCTATGTGCAAGTACATGCATCATGTGCTAAGGCGCCATGCAGCCCTCAGGACTGGATGGCGTAAGGAATGTTCGATTTAGTTGAGAGAGATTACTGGGGCCAGGATATGGAATATTGTTCTTCTCCGCACATCATGGAGTACTGCATTACTTCACACAGGCTCGATAAACACGGCAGCCGTATGTACATACACACGACCCCCGCCTCAGAGAGGAACATCTGAGGGCGTGGACAATAACTGTCTGTGCGCTACTCCCACAGCAAAGGCTCATGAAGCGAAGACGCAGGACACTCCGGGGTTCATTGACGCGCTCAAGGCAATACATGGCCAAGGCATAAGAAAGCAGGTACAGAGTGCTACTACCATAACACTATAAGCCAAGGCATGATAAGCCAAGGCATGCATCAGACGCGACTGGAAGCAACGCAGGGACGCCCTCCAGTAGAGTCCTTCTAGAGCGTGCTCCATGCATCTGCCAAACCCTGGTTTCCCGTCGGCAATGGCATCACGAGTGACACTGGAAATGCTTCATAGTGGTGAGGCATGGACAAAACAACAGAGGGATCTGCAATGCACAACTGCATTGTTGGTACATCTCAGGTTGGTCCCAGAATTGCATATTGTTCGGATACATCTATCTAACTTGCATTATTTATGCCATGTCCTTTATCTATGCACTACAATACCAGGGTTCTCCAACAAACTTTCCGGATACAGGTGGTATGCAAACCTTTTTCCGATCAGGAATCATCGCTGAGTGTATCAAGTACATATACACGAGCAAGACGAGTTAGCTCCATCTTTTGCTAAAGCCCTTCCCCTGCAAATGATCTTGGCTAGCTTGCTGTATATGGTAAACCAAGCGGTCTATGAAGCCCGATAGAGCAATATTGTCGATCAGTGAGGTTCTGCGGCTCAGAAAACGGTGGAGCTAACATCACCGCGACCGCTGAGGTTGTTACTACGGCTCTTAACGGGAAAGTCCACTAGTGAGAGGTGGTAGCACACCCGGTTATTCCAATTGATGTCCTCGCTATCATAACTAACATGTTGTCGAATAACGGGGAAAGAAGCTTGGAGAGAATTGCAGCCTTCTCCATATTATCCTCCCACCTAGCTCACACACGTCCAGCCTGCTCTACTCTGCTCTGCTATTCGGAGGGATATGTGTCCGGATTATTTTCTGATGCGTGTCTGGTACATGGACTTTCCTGCAGCTGGTTGTTTCTGGGCCTTTTCCCCTCTCTCGTCCATGGCCGCTCCTACATACATCCTTGTCCAAAGCAATCCTTCTTCTCATAACAAGGGCTATCCTAGGACTTTTGGCCTGACGAAAAGAGTTTACCTCGAAACTATAGTTATCTTTCCCCCCTCAAATCTCAGTCAAGACTCGGCGCCAGCAGATGCACTAATATGTTGGCCGTTGGTGGGAAGCAAGGCGGAAGGCACATCAGTGGGAGCTCATCCGCGTCGATCGGCCGTTGTGTACCTCAAACATGCGGGAAGACGATATCACCGCCACCTCAAGGGTACTTGTACTTTCAACCACATTCCCATCAACCGCCAGTCATTCACCGCTCAGCCAATACCCTTGCCGGGATTGTTTGTGTGGCGCGGCTGCTTCATCCTCCTCATTTCACTACCACCGTTTAGCGCCATAGCTCACCAGAATCTGTCATTGGAGGGAGGTCATATGTGTCCTATCCAGTCCCAAATATAGATTAATGCGCTGAGCGTACAGAGCACCGTTCGAGCATTGCATACCGCCAGAGATCGAGGCATTGTTGCCCGCCTGGCCTATGCTGCCCGCCACCAGCTCCCTTCTCCAAAAAAGAGCCCTATTGTGCTTGGATGTTAGCTCTGCTCTCGCGCCTTAACGCTAGGAAAGTTTTCGTCGGAACTTGCCGGCTTTGGGAGGGTCTTTGTTTTTTTTTTTTTTTTTTTTTTTTTTTTTTTAAGAAAGAGAATGAAAGAATAAAAGAAAGAAAGTTGGACGGTTTGTGCTGTTTTCTGGGCAATAGATTAGATGAATGCTTGCTCAGTGGGCGGTGTGCCACAAGGCTTGCTATGCAGAGGAACACTGTAATCCACCATGCGGTGTAGGATATCACGACAAAGGCTACTACAACATGAAAGTAAAGGCTGGTTAGGGAGAAAGATACCATGACATTAAGCTAGATATGAAAATAGAACCTCTATATGAGAACCAAACCATAAACAACTACAGAAAAACACTTGAAGTAAAACAAAAATACGAAAAAAAAAAAAAAAAAAAACAAGATCTCGCTCTCGAAAACTAGCAGTGCTGAAAACACTACGGGTATGTAAGGAGGCAGCGGCCATCACCAAAAAAACAGACGCATTAATCCTCGCCAAAAACAAAACAGTAGAGAGAAACCCAGAGGTCCAACCAAAAGTAGAATGGAAAAAAACCCCCAATAATCATGCCCATTTAAGAAAATCCATTACCTGTTTTTTTCGCTTCCATCACTGTTCGTATGTCGTATCCCATCCATCCCTTTTCCGTTACACATAAGGCTCTCTCAGAGCACAAAACGCAAAATAAAAAGAAAATAAGAAGGAAAAAAAAAATCGTACATCCATTGCGCCCCGTATCTAGTTCAGCCTTGACTAAGGGGGTAGCCTTGCCAGATCCCAGAGGCAAAAAAGAAAACGCTAACAAGAACAAATCGAAGTTGTTGAGAAAAGAACAACAACAACAACAACAAAAGAATTGAGCCGTTATGTCTGTGTACCACTGGTAAAGCAAAAGCAAGTAGTGGTAAGTAGTAGAGATCTTTCAAGGCAAGAAAACAGACAGACACACCAGCGTGACCAACCTGCCTTAGCTACCAGGGCAGACAACCGTGCTCTCCTCCAAGGGTCTCCCATGCTGCGGCACATTGCTAGCCTCGTGCGAATGGAGTGTGCCTTTGTTCGCCTGTTTAGGTAGTCCAGGCGTCAAGCCCAGGCCGATTTGAGGAATAGTGCATCCATCATGGGGGGCCAGACCCTTGCAGCTTGCAGCCGTGGACGCGGCTGTTGGTTCGTCTGAGATAGCCGTGGCTTTCTTCTAGTCCTGCTCTTCTTTTTTCGTATCCGCCAAGGCAGTGAGGCGTGTGTGTGTGAGGGCGGAGAATGCGCTGGTGGTGACACCAAGCAGAAGCCACGTTGAGAAACGCATAGACCGGGCGTCAACTCCACTGACCCGTGATACTTGATTCGTCTTCTACGGCGTCAATGCTGCTGCAGTGCCAGTCTAGACTTGTAGTGGCAGTCACAGTCCCGGCATGCGCTGTTTTTACGTTTGAGGCTCTCGTTTCTCTTCCCTCCCCGGCTTGCTGTTGAACTAAGCGACTGTTGTCCCGTTGCCATGTTGCTGCTGCAATTGTTGTTACTGTTTCTCGTAGTTGTAAACTGCGGTTGTGGCTGTCACCGCTGCTCATCACCAGATGTACAGGATGCCCAACTCAACCATGCGAGGCGTATATCTGTATGCTTGTTTGACATGACATGCGGAGCGCGGTGAGGGAAAAAACATGTGCGCATGAGAGTGCAGGTGTGAGTGTGTGTGTGTGGCCAGCCACATCGCCAATCGGAACGGGAGCCTGTGTGTCGTACAGTCAACCGTCCAGCGTGACGTTGTGTATACCAGCCCCTCCGAGACCAGCTCGTTCAAAAAAATACAGACAAAGTTTGGCGGGCGGGCTCTGTAGTGCAAGCAGAGCGTGCAAGCAGACTCTTTCTTGCTCTGCATATCATAAGCCTATTCGTTCCTTTAGACGCCGTTAGGGCTTGCCCAGCCGATTCTCGGAGTGCCGATAATAGTGGTATGGCGACGGATCTGCTCAGGAACGTCGATATTGGCGTGATCACCGCCGTAGTCTAGTTGGACATCTGCAATGCCGTAAGGAAACTCTGCCGGCGACGGCTCCAGGTATATTTGCTCCTGTTGGGCCATGTATGAAACTGCTTGAATGCCGCTGTGACCATTGCCTCCGCCAGCCACTTGTTGGTCCATCCGCGGTCCTGTCATCTGCAGCCCAAAGAGCTCTGTGGCTGCGGTGGCTGCGGTCCCAAATTCCGCGCTATTGCTGTGCCCATGCACGACGGGGGTCTGGATGACCGTCGGGTCGATCCGTGGGATTGCAATGGGCATGGAATAGAACGGATCTGCCAGGCTGGTGGCTGGTGGCGAGTCCAGCCCGCTGTCAACCAGCCGATACTGGTGGCCGCTGGCCAGCGGCAGCTCTTGGCCGTACAGATGGCTCCGAATACGCGAGTTCCTAGCCGCACATCCGCCCTTCTGTCCAGATAAGGCCCTGGCAGTGCTGTTGCGTTGGTTGAACCGCCGCTCCATTCCCATGTCTGGATGGCTTGAGCTGCGTCTGCTCGAGCGTCGCCCAGAGTTCCCTTTACGGTATCTGGTCGTGCTCTGCACCCCATCGCGGACGGCCCAGTCTTCTAGGATCCATTCGTTCGCTCGTTTTGCCTCACCTGCCAATAAGGACTCGCCTTCTGCGCACGCTGGAGGGGCAGTTTCCTCAACGCGCTTGCGATCGCGTCTTTTGAATGCCTAGAGTAGGAAAGTTAGCATCCTGTAGCCCCAGCCCCTAAAATGCAGCAATGATTGAAACCGGGCAGATAGAACTTGGTAGTCGCATACACCGTAGCAAACAGGAAGGCAGGGAAAAAGAAAAAGAAAAGAACATGCAGATGTTGGCCCCACTTGCCGGGGCCGTTGGAAGCGGCGTAGGACGAAAAGAAAAGAAGGAAAGAAAGGTCCATTCGGGTAGAAAACGAAAACAAACATGCATGCTAGGCTTGGGTGTCCAGTATTCACTCACGGCATTCATGCTAAGGTTATGGCGGATGCTGTTTTGCCATCCGCCCCTTTCGTTCTTGGCTTTGCTGGTGTTTTCCCTGAACCACTGGTAGAGCTCTTGCAGGGTCATGGTATAATCCGGTTGGCCCATCAGAGCCTTGTAGATGAGCTTGGCGTAGGGTTCATCGGCCTTGTCGTCATGCCGAGCACTGCTCATTGTCATAGGCTCGTCAGCCCGAGGGGCGGCAAGGATCGATTCCAGGAATTCCGCATCCTGGCCGTCAATGTGCTCAACCTTGGGCGAAATGAAAGAAGCAGGAGTTTCTGCTTGTAAGCCACCGGGCGATCCAGCAGTAGAAGAGGGAGGAGCAGCAGCAGATAGTTCCGGCATCGCGTGAGAAGACATGGAAAGGTTGAAAGCAGCCGGAATGTCAACGTCGGAGTCAGGGTGAAAGCTCGCCGGGTAGGGAGTATGTATGTCTGAGTGCTGAAGAGGGAGTTCTTGTGCCGACATTGGAGTGCAGACCCTATCAAAAGGCTGATCTCCAGGATGCTGCGAATGGAAGCAGCCTGACGTCGGGGGATAGCCTGATGCTGATGACCATCCGCCAGGAGAAGCGGGCGAATTGTTATGACAAGGCAGAGGTGCGCTGCCACAAGCGGGTAAATCTTGGAAAGGCATACAGTAGTGGATATCTCCCGGTCTCAGAGGAGGCGATGGCCAGATGCTGTGGCTTCTCGGCTGATACGGCGAGTATGAGTTCATATATGCACTAGATTCAATGCAGCAAGCTGGTGGCGATAGCAGCTGCCCCCCTTGTGAGCATTGAAGTTCTTGATGTCGTTGCTGCTGTGGGAGAGTGCAAACCGCCGGAGTAAACGAAGATGTATCAGGTTGGTGGTGTTGTTGCCCCTTCCCAAAGCCAGACGGCAAAGGGGAGAAGGCCGCAGGCGAACAGCAGCCCATGGAGGCCGATTGCTTGGTAGATTGGGGGGGCTGGAAATCCGTGTAGCTTTCCACCGGAAGTTTCCTGTCCAAAATGGGCGAGGCCATAGGATGGAATGGCGGGTAAAGCTCTTGAGGGAAGCAGAGGAGGATGTTGAGACGGAGCAAATGAGATGGGTAGCAAAGAAGGCAGTCTTGGATGTTGAGAGACTTTCTGGTCGAGACGGAAAGACCTGATGCTGTAACAACGTCGTCAGGAGACGGGAAAGTGGGAGAAGTGTCGAACCAAGCAGATATGTAAGTGGAGGCGGCAGAGTGCCACAAGAAGGGCAGTATGGGACACCCGAGCTATGGGAGCTATAGGAGGAGGGGGGAACAAGGACAGCCGATGGGATGACAGTGATGGGCAGGTGGAAGAGGGAATAAAAGTATATAAACAACCGGTATATCAAGGCAAAGTAGAAGTGAATAGACTCTTGTTCCAGTGGCGATGGCTTTGATAGCACGATCTCTCCGGGGAGATTGAACCTATTTATCAAGGAGAGAAAAACCAAAGAGAGGACTCGATGATAAAGGTGACCCGGCCCATGGGGAAGAAGGGACCCTGCCTGCCGGTCTCTATACATCCAAGACCCATAACTTCCGGAACAGATTCGTCCCAGATCGGCCCTGCCGGGGGGTGAGCGCAGGCATCGCGGATACACCATGGACACTAGTGACATGAGGTGCCTGTTCAAACCTTTGCCCCTCCTCATGGATGACCGGGTGCGCATGAGTACCCGAGCATCTCCTTGTGCGCCACATCTTTATAGTGCGTGTATGTGCGCAAGTACATACATACAAGAGAGGAGAGAGCGGGTTAGAGAGAGAGGAGAGAGCGCGCGAGAGAGAGAGGACCGTAGTTGTATGCAGGAGTTTCATACGTGACGTGTATGGCCTTGTATACGTCGCTTTGCGAACCAGACAACCGTCTTCTTCCCCCAGACCACCCAATTCTGGCAGATGGGCGTCCCCATTGGCGGCCCTACGGAGAGTGGCCATGCGAACAAGCAATCCAGGGTCCGCAGTGCCACTCGCACACACGCATCCCGTAAACTTAGAAAACGCCAGCCCAGCAAGCTCTCAACGCAACCCATCATGCACACATCACTTCTGTCTCTTCAAACGTGAGCCACCGGTTACACTTTGAGTAACCTGGGGAAAGTCTCATTGAAACAGTGCCGGGGGTGCTGTCAATATGGATAAGATGGCCGGCCGGCAGAAGGCCCAGACGACGAGTGTGTAACTGGACCGGGGGCACCAGAAGAGTTGAAAACGGAGGCGATAAGTGTTTTTCCTTCAGCGGCAGTGAATAGGATCATCTCCCATGTTGCCGTCGCTATTTCTGCCACAATTTCCCCTTCCTCGATACAACCAGCGTCGGAATTTTCACGTCCATGCAGAGCACGGGTGTCCTGACCCGGCTTCGAGTGGCAACCCGCCTTTATTAGTCTACATACGAATGATGTGCCTTTGCCATCCGTAGGCATGTCCGGGCTGCTACTTGAAATTCTGCCTCGAGTCAGCTCCGTCCACGCTCTTAGTTGGCAGCAGCGGAGTCTCCACGCTTAAGCAACGGCTATCGGCATGCCGCTGGAGAAGGATCCAATGAGATTTCTCTGAATGACAATTCAAAGTCTTGCCCAGGCACCCGACAATAGCGTACCTATGGAAGCTTCTCCTACAGCAGATGCTTCTATACAATGTACGTCAAGGCTGTATCCGCGGAGACGGCTGAAGACTTGCGGCAGGGAGGGGGCGGGGGTGTGTTCGGGTACGTATATGTCAGGGGATACGGAAACGAGTGCAATAGTTGAACTCAGTTAAGCCAATAAGTTTGATTGCCATCCGCCTCGCATAGGAGCAGCCTTCTAGTCCGGAGATGGAACGCCATGCATACGGCTACTCTATCCGTCCAAGGGCCCTGACGTCCTGTTTCAGCTTCCAGCAAGCCTGATCTCTAGCTGGAAGTATCAGTCGACTCTTCCAGGGCACTAAAAAGGGGAGCCATCGATACATCATCTCGCGGATCTCCGAGATGCCAAAGAGTCCCCTGTTAAGGATCACCAAGGTCCCTGAAGCAGGTATCTGCTGAGCCTTCGCGAAACATTCTAGCCCTAGAGGTGGGACAGCAGGATTCTTCAGTTGTAGATCCGCCACCAGCGGCAACACACAAGCAGCATCCCATAATTCAAATCCTGGGCGATGAGCTAGTCTCATCCCAGTCGAAGATCAAGGTGGTGGTTGTGCATAAAGCTAGCTGCGAAAGAGATGCACAAGTAGGTACCGGCGAAAGCCACTGCGGCAGCAAATTAGCTATTTTTGTTTCTTTTTGTCTTTTTTTTTTTCTTTTTTTTCTCTCTCTTATTCTTCCGCGTTGTTTATTAGCCTTGGAGTAAGTACTGTTCCCATTCTAGTTATTTCTTCCCTGTCTGTGCATCTCTAGCCTTGTTTCTCCTTCATTAGGGGGTTGAAGGATTCGTAATAGTAGTATCATTAAGCATACTTTGCGTCCTGCTCTTTATGTGTTTCTCTTCTCCTTTTGTAATCGCCTTGGCACGCCAAAAGACCGTCTACCCGACATCATATATACTGTTGTGATCCAAGGATAGGCGATCACTGCGCGAAGGTAGACCATACGCCTGCCATTCCTCAAGTAGCTGTTTACTTTCTGTAGAATATCTGCGAGCATCAATTAGCGGTTGTTTCTTGCTCTCGAAAATTATTTGACTTCGCCTTCTTTTTTTTTTCCTCGTTGGAAAAAAGAAACGTATATAAGACATAGATTCTCCGCTTACCTTTTTGAACTGAAAATGCAACTGTAAAATTCCCTGTAAGGTTAAAGCGTTAGCAGCTCGACAGGGTCAGGGGTATTAAACGAAGAATAGGCAAAGCTCCAGCCAACAGTGCCGCGCGCGTGGCGGCTGTCTTTGGTCACGTTGGCTGAGCTGACTCGAGACAGTGCCAGGGGAAAAAAAAAAAAAGCAAACCGGGTAATGGGAACATGGCGGTCGTTCGTACCTTATCAAATGAGCTTCTGAAGCCACGCTCCCTCTTGGCGCTATAATCCCACTCGCGATCAACTATACGGAACGCAATATCCTCATACGGAGGTCCCGCGATGAAGCGGATGAGACAAGTGTCCACCTCGCCGGCTGCAGCAAACGACTCTCCTCGCCTTCTGCCATGCTCGCGGATGATCTTAAAGGTGGGTGCTTTGGTTTTGTCTATCAAGTCGGGGTAGAAGATGTTGAACTTGTATCCCTGCACCACTTTAGGTGGAGGATTGTCATGGTCGTAGTGCGTCTGGTTATATTTGTTCCACTCATAGCCCATCTGTACACGATTGAAGTACCTAGGCTTGCGAGCCTGATACTGTTCTGTCCACTGCGGGGGTTTCGTGCCACTAGGCAGGGCTTCCTCAGCCGCAAATACTTCCTCATTTTCAGACACCCCGCGCGCCGCCTCTCTGTCGTATAGTGCCATTGTGGCTTGAGAGTCGTCCGCATTTCCGGTTTCATAAGCATCCACTTTGTTTGTTGACGCCAAGGAGCCACCTGAATTATGGCTGCTGCTAGCGGGTAGGCCGCTGTCTCTAGAGGGCTCCTTTAGGCGCGGCTCCCGCTTTGCAAGCCGCTCCTTCTTCTTTGCGTCGATGTCTTCCGCTATCCGAGCGAGTGTGGCCTTGGCCTTCCATACCCTGAGGCTGCGAAGCAATTGCTCCCAGTAGTCGGTATCGATGTCTTCGTTTGACTTCAGCTTGGCCTTGATCTGCTTCTCCAGGGCCTCAAGCTCATCGAATGTTTTTGGTGCCAAGATCCTGTCTATGTCGTCCGCAACACTGCTCACGACTCTCCCTTCGTGCCCCTGCGGGTCGAGTTTGGCCCTTCGATCCGCACATAGTGTCCGCAAAGCCTCCCAGTACCGACGATTCCGTGAATCTGTCTCCAGAACATGGTAAGACACAATATTCGAGTCGAGCTCCGATATCTGCGCAGCAGAGGATAGATCTTGTATGACTTTTGTAGGTGGAGCCACTTCGATCTCGTCGTCGGCATCGTCATCATCGAAGACATCGCGATCGGCGTCGACATAGCGCAAGTTGAAAGCCAGGATGTCGATGGGCTTCGCCCGCCCTTCGCGCACTCGAATGTCGGCCTTCTTCTTGGCTTGCTTCAGCACGAATTTGTCCTCATCGGCTACAAACTGTCGCGATTGTTCATCTTGCGTCAGGTATTTGGCAGCATTGCGCGCGGTTGTCGACGGGCCCTGTCGGCTCGATTTGGACACCCGGTTGTTTGAATCAGGTCGCGGTGCTGTGGGCTCTCGACGGCCAGACGACGACGATCTCGAGTCTGCAATCATGGCTCGTCGCCCGGGATCCATTGTTCCGAGACGATAAATGCTGATGGCGCAAAGGCGGAGGGCGCGCGTGTGAAGTTGTCGGGGAGAAAGACGGCAGAGCCACGGGTTGAGGTTGAAGATCGTTACGTATCCCGCTTGTCGTTGGACGGTTGATATTTACTTCCGATAAGCTTTTTTAGTTCGGTCCGCTAAAAGCGATCACCTTGCTGCTGGTCTATCCCTGAACGCCTTCCCGTCAGTACGTCACATGACGCATACACCGCGCTCACTTACCCTAGATGAGAAGAGGCAGGCGGCATTTACCCAGGGCGTCAGTATCAGGATGGGTAAAAAAGACGCTGGGGATGAAAGATATGCTTTTGCAAAGAAGAGTTCTCACAACAATAGATGTTTGTTAGTTGGCATGTGGGACAAAATGTACACTACGTGGGGCTCTATGGGAAAGTATCATGTGTGCCAGTTTTATCCAATTTACTATCGTAGTTTCTACTTAGAGGTACTAGGGCCAAACAATTATCATAAAAACGTTTCAAATGTAACAAGTAAAAAAAAAAATATATATATAATGTAATCCCAAGCAGTACTCCAATTAACGCATTATCTAAATCCCATGACGACAACGCCTCATTTCGCCCAAGGGTATCGTAAATCACTCTCTTCCAGCCCCTCCCTCTTGGCAAGTGCAATTAAATCGCTGCCTTGGCCAGGTTATCATACACGGTGTTGGAGTAGTATGTTGTGCGATATTTACTAGCTGTGACTTCTCACCAGCTCTGTTTCGATTGCGTGCCCTCCATTCCCAAGCCCCGAATGCTCTGGCTCCAGTCATGCCAATTGAAGTTGGCTCCCAGCATATCTGCATCTTCCATTTCAAACTTTGGATTTGGTGTTGCAAAGTTTTCGGGCCAAAGATATGGCGGAATGTGATTGTCGTCTTTAGGCTGTTGGCTTGGTAGCATCATTGCTTCTTGCCCAACCATGTTGCCCTGAACATGTTGTCTTTCTCCCATGCCCAAGGCGGCGTTATGTCCGTTGTGCATAGCCACAGCTCCCACGTGCCAGAGCTCCGCCATGGGGACGTTATTTTGAGCCATAAACGTGTCCATGTATTCCATGGTATCATCGGTCATACCCATATGCATTTGGTTTTCAGCATTGCTTTGTGGGAAGTGCGACCCAGTAGCACTAGCTGCTGGTGTCTGATGTGACGACGGTTGAGATTCTTCAGGTATGAGAGGAGCCATTGGTGTCTGCTGGTGTTGTGGATTGGAGAATGTGGAGGAGGACGGTGTTGAGCCCTCCAACTGGACCATCGCTCTCCATTTCTCTCTGACTTGTTGTTGCCTGGCTTCTAAGCCTGGAACTGGATCGAATCGCGCCCGAGGTGGATTTACCCTTTCTGCGAGGTCTAGGCGCCTAGCTTCTTCGGGATCAGCCCTCAAACGAGCCAACTCCGATTCTTGATACCTTCTTGCTCTGATGAACAGTTTGCGTAAGGGAAGGAAGACGACGGCATGGTCAGCTCTTTTAACGTTCTCAGCCAAATCTTTATCATAGCCATTAACTGCCTCCCAGCCACGCTGAACGAGGGCCGTCCAAGGACGACGGCATGTCTCGACGAGTATATAGGCAATCGCATGCCAGTTGGTATATGTCCTGAACAGCCATCGGTACTGTTTGCATCTAGGATCGGTGTTGAGTTTGTGATTATATTCAATAATTTCGATAGCAGCAATGTAAATCCGCTCGCGGATTTCCGTTGTGAGCTCGTGGCCAGAGCCGGGGAAAAGCATTGGTTGGTATATGATCAGGCACATCTTGGACATTATAATGCGCGATATCATAGCCGCAACCCAATAGAGAATATCGACCTCCTCATTTAAATGCCGAAGGAACTTGTCTTCGATTTTCTGATAGAACTCTACTAGCATCCGCTCTTTCTCCGCAACTGTGCCGGCTTCGGTTCTCGCACTGCACGAGTTCTCGCCAGACGCGTCGCGTATGCGTCTCGACATGGCGCAGACTTCGAATCTCACCAACGAGATTGCGGTTTCTGATTTTCCTTCTCTTGCTGGGGGTATTGTAGTGCTCGCAGGGGAGAAGTCGGCATCGTTAAGGCTGGTAGGGAATTGGGTGTCAAAGTCTCCATCCGCCACAATCAAATCGGTGCCCATTTCCTCGGAAGAGCGGAAGTCCAAAGTCAAAATGGCCCACCAAACACGTCGTCTCTGCTCTGTTTCAAACGGAGAGAGTCCAAAGTTTGTGCCGTCACGATGAATGCCCAGACCCTGCGCAATCCGAACTAAGAGAGCCGTCATGGACCAAGTAAAACGACTCTCGTCGTATCGCCTGACGACTAGGAGGAACAAGGTGAGTGCCTGGACGACTGTAAATTCCGACGTGTTTAGAAAATTTGCTTTAGCAAGCGACTGCTCTGTGGCATAGCGATACTGCGCAAGCATTTCCTCCTTGGTAGCACCAAAATTGGTCTGAACCTACAGCAGTGTTAAAATCTCAAGTCATTCGATGTACGTCTGAAGAAGAAGAAGAAGAAGAAGAAGAAGAAGCAAAAAATATATATAGGGTGCTCACCTCGCCATCCTCAAGCGCTACAATAGCAGCGTAATAAACAGCGAAAACTAATGTTTCATGCCCAGGGGCAAGTTTTTCGGGGCTTCGTCGGGCATCGCGCAATATGGCCTCCATGGTTGGGACGTGGATGATTTTAAGTAAAGGATCAACGGTTTCCTGATAAACCGACCACAAAAAAGTGGCGTGAGAGGGTAAAGGGTGATAGTTTTTTAGATTAACATCGAGAGATCGATGTCCTAGGATGAAGCTTTGGTGATTATATGAAGAGCTCGCAGCGGTGGCTGGTGAGTCGATGGGCGGTGATTCTTCAAACTCAGAGTCGTCGGCATCCTCGTCGGTAAGCTTCTGTGTTTCTTCGCGAATTGCATCTAGCTATATATGATAGTTTAGCGCTAAGATTGGATTTGATCGTTGCTCCTGCATCACAGGCCGGAAATGGGGCGCCATACCTCATCGTTCAATTTGGACCAGAATCCACTGCTAACATAGCGAGCAGTGCCTTTGCTATCACTCAAAACAAGTCGCCCGAGCTGCTTGCGGCTCTCTCTCATCTTACGAGACTCGGGAACCTCACCCGTAGCATGGTGGTCGCCAAAATCAACAACCCCCGACGCAAATGCGCCCAAGCTGCTGGACTTTGGTCGCTGGGCTGTGGGCGATCCCTCGTTGGAGGGCGAGCCTGTGGCAGATGAAACCCTGCCGCCAGTCTCGATCTCGATCTGGCCACTCAATTCCTCCACGATTCCTTCCAGCTTCTTCAGTCGCTTGACCAGCTCAACCTCGCGCAGGCTCGTCGGTTTCGGAGGGGCGTTCGGGTCCTTGGGCCGGTGTTGGCGCGGCGCGCGGCCGGGCGCGGGGAATGCACAGGGAATCGAGGCGCGCCGACAATTGGAGCAGGGCATCTGCTTGTCGCAACGCACCTTGCGCCTCCGGCAGGTGACGCAGGATCGCGGATTCAGCAGCGGCGTTCCCGAGTCACCCGGGGCCATGATGGGGCCAAAGTGGGCGTCTGGGCCGGTCGTCTGGTAGATGGTGACATTATTCGGATGATGCGGCGAAGAGACGCTCTGTTCGGCCATGGTTTGCTTCGGCGACGTCGCAGAGGCGCTGAAGTCGAAATTTACCGCCATTTCGGCGTCTCTGGGTCGTCTCTCGGGGTCGTTTCGTGAGTATCGACGGCCTCACGGCAAACGCCAGAAGAAGCGCAGTAGAGGCTAATATGTCGCAGGGCTCAGTCAAAAGCCAAAGGAGCCGCCGGTCTGCTCATCCGCGGGGCGCACGTGAAGGGGGGGTCATGAATCGCATCAATGCTGCGGCAGCTCGGGCGTTGCAATGGATGCCAGCGCTTGATACGGACAGCTCTGCGAAGCTCGATCGAGGTTGAAGGGAGAGAAAACGGCGAGTCGTCGAGCTCTGGGCGCAAGTGGGGAGAGACTCTCCAAGAAGCCCAGCCAAACTTTCAAGCCACAGTGGGCTGGCTGTGGAGACGCGGTGGCCTGCCGACTATAAGTACGATGACATTGCCCAAATCGGGCTGCTGCTGAAACGTTATTTGCCATGGGCGTGAAACGCAGTAAAACAGTCCCAGAGCGCCAGCGCGCCACGGATTCTTCACATGGACTCCATACAATAGCCAGGTGCCATTCGCATGCACAACACAGAGAGCTGGGAAGCTACGGAGATGGTGTTTTACTGGATCAAGGCTTGTGGATTATGCATCTCCACCACCAGATGCGACCATGTACGGGGGACCGCACCGCCACATAAGCAGGGCCATCTGCAGCTTGGATGGAGCATGGGCGACTAGCAATGACTAGGCAGGTCACAATGGCCTTTGGCCCGGCCATACCTCGTACCTACTCCTAGTACTATTGAGCAGGACTATGGCTGTGGAAGCCTTCTCATTCCGCGGAGATTGAGCAGGTGTTAGTAACGCTATCATGGATTCTACAGAATGGGCGACGCCATCTGGCACGAGCATCGGTTGTTAGGTGCCGACAGCCCCCACAGCACGGATTGGGTTCTAGAATCCGGGACATGTGAGAGGCTGGTTGGAAACTACGACTGTTATGCATGGAGTCTAATTTGTCATCAGTTCTCGCTACGCAATGGAGCTGACGGCGGAGGGAATAGGATCCTTCTACAGAGGAGGGAGTGCTTGAGTGCTATGTGCTATGTTTCGCCATGTTTTGGCACAACCTTGGCCTGTACGCCAATGGGCATCTGTGCAGGAGATCCATCTCTTCACCTTGACCGGGATCCTGTTTCTGGGATCGAACTCCAAGACTACACGGCATTCCTTTTTCGTGGCGGCTCCTGGAGTATATACGACCTTACTATAGTACATGTATATAGGTGTATTGGTAATGCTCCGTGAACAGGGAACTATTCCCAGGTGCTTCTTTATTTCCGGGCGGCTTCAGCTCAGAGTCTTGGTAAGACGTTCGGCGCCGGCCCCCACCTTTTACCGCTTCCGTGATTAAGTTCTACACCAAGAGCATGTCACTGCGATGCGGGTGTGCATTTCACCTCCCAGGATCGAAGAATTTGGAAAGCTCGGTAGATGATTGTCTGACACCGGTAAAGATGAATAGTAGAAAAATCATTGGAAATTTATTCTAGGCGCTATCGAATACCAAGAGAGGTTTTAGTCCTAGTTTATACCAATGTCTAGCTGCCTGTTCGGGCGAATATAACGTCACTCATTTTATCTGGGAGTGGTGGTCGAAGAAGGCTTTGGGAGGATTCGCTATTGAATTTCTGTTGCTCCTCTTTTCTGGGCACTCAATCAGGCCATTAGGTACATGCCAGACAATGCCTAACGTCGTACAAGGTGTGTCTTTGCCAAATCAATATATGAGAGCATACGGAGTATCAGCAACTAAGATGCCACCCCTTTGCCTGGCTTGGCTTCTGAGCCTGGGGTGTTAGGAACCAGGTCATCGAATAGTTTATTAGAATTCGATCCACTCTGCGCCACCATAATCACCCCGCATGTGGTGGGGGATGGCGAGTGAAGCAAAGGCGCAGAAACGATGAAGCTCAAGTTTGCGGCAAAGTTGTACGACTGCAGAATCATGCAACGCTAGTATGGCAACAATAGCATCTTTATAACAGCCAACAAGTTTCTGAGACCGAAAAAGAACAGCTTGACCCAACTGGATCTAAAAAAAAAGAAAGAAAAGAAAAAACTCGCATTCAGCTCGTCAGTTGGTTCTCAGCCCAGGGACCGCAAACAATGTTGGCTCGCGTCCCCCAGCAATCACCATATATAACAAGAAATCGATTTCCCTCCAACAGGCGCTAGGCAAAGCGTGGCTGCCACCAGGCCCTGATAAGATTTCCAGCTTACACCCACCGGATTGGCTTCCAAATTGCATCGATAAACGACGGGCTTAAGCGAAGTAATGCATGCGTGCTGCGCTGCATTTCGCAAGCCTGGGGACATTTGGGCGCTTACCGCGCGTCATGCAAGCATGGCTGCATCCCTCATCTCACCGGTCGAGTGCACCGGTCGAGTGCAGGTTCTACATGAATTCATTTGTACAATTCAAAGCCATCTTGGCAGATAAAAGATGGGGCCGTGATTGAGCCGTGCTGGTATCCGAAGATTCAAGAGGCCGAATACGTTCAAGCGTACTCCGTACAGACCGACATGACCTCATTTGATGCACACCACATGCAGATACCAGCATCGACAGCAATCGCGCAGACAAGGTCGTCTCACTCATTGGCCATGAAGATATTTGATACACATATTACCAAAGTTCCGTCTTGATTGACTTGAATTGAGCGTGGCCACGTGCCTAGGTCAAGTTGGAAGGCCAGAGAATAGCAAGTCATGGTGCTTGAACAGAGCCGCATGCGGAGATGTGGTGCGGTATCATTGGCGACTTGTACTAGCCGCCATGTCTTGATGATTTGAGCCTGAAGAAGAGAGCGGTAATTGGGGTAGCAACTGAGATGCGGTCTCTCTTTGATATATGGGCCGCCAGCCGGAGGGAGTGAGATTTAAGAAGATGATACTGCCCCAGCTCTGAGGGCCATATCCTCAGGATATACACTCATCGTAACAATCCGTCAAAATGTCTGAAGAAGCACAAAAGTATCCGTAAGTTTTCCATACCTTAAGCTAATCACTTATTGATGTGTCAGTAGCCATACCGTGGCAGCATATATCGGAGATGATGACGGCGACCTCCCATATAGGTTGATGGTAATCAGTAACAAAGACAACAACAACAACAATAATAATAATGACAATGACAACGGCGAGGGCGCCAATAAAGGCACGAGCACTGAAGCGGTACAGCAACAGGCCAAAACAGTGGCAGCAGACAGTTCTCCCATCTCGGATACTGGGACCTGGGAAATTGTCGACCGTACGGATACGAATTAGATGTTATCTATTGGTATATTGGGTGGAATCAGACGTGCTGCTGGGAATCGATGCTGAACTGGGTTGGACACCAAAACCGCTTGTTTTGATTGATTTTTTTTTTCTGCGAATGCTGGAAGAAGGCTATTTGCTTCGTTTCTTCTTTTCCAAGGTTGTGTAATTTTGCAAACATGTTTAGTTAGGCACCGGTTGACCTGCAGCCGGGAATTGATTTGGTGTGCACCATAATCGTATATGATTGCGAGCCATCTATATCATGCCGCATTAGTATCATCAATTGGCACAATCAGCAGCCACCACATGTCAAACAGCGCCGCATCGCCGCCATTGCCTAAGCGTCGAGAGTGGGAGAATAGCCTGATATACCGTGCTCCGTACGGAGTACAGTAGAGCAGATAAAAAAGAGCGGGGCGGTTCTGGGCCAAAATTCTGCACCAGCTCCATCATTGGCGTGGGAAAAAACGGATGTGTCGCCGCTACCCTACCGCCCGATAAGCCCGCTATCGTCACGTGCGCCACAAACTCGCTTCTCGTAGGGTTTCTCACCCCCACAGATCGCATAAGGAAAATTTGCCCTGAAAAGCTTCAGCTTCACGACGGCAATCCGCGACTCGGCACGTTTCTCACGACTTTAACGCCCCCAAACCCTCCGATACAATGGCCAAGCAATCGTAAGTCGATCTAAACGCATAGCAGGATGTTCGTTTTATCTCTCTCTGTATTTCGCAATTTCCCCGACGAGACCAAGAAAATTACTGGAAGAGAAGCCGGGCAAGAGGAGGATATTGTTGATGAGCTTTCTCCCTCACGACGAGACAATCTGAACGAATTTCTGAGCATCTATTCTGTGCATCGACGAATCAAAACTTCTCGCCAGTTTTTTTTTTTTTTTTAAACGAATCGAGCATGCGTCAAAACGTCAAAATGCAATTACAAGTCGAATACGATTGAGAGAGCAACACTTGGATCGTTCCTCGTTATGCCGGCACCAGTTTTTTTGATGATCCTTGGTCGAGGAATTGCGAAATAAGAGAGGAGAACGATGACTGCACCACGATCAACGTATCGCAAAGAACCCGTGGACTGACAACAATGTGCCATACAGTCGTGGTGCCCCTGGTGGCAAGCTCAAGATGACCCTGGGTCTTCCCGTGGGTGCCGTCATGAACTGCGCCGACAACTCAGGTGCTCGTAACCTGTACATCATCTCCGTCAAGGGTATCGGTGCTCGTCTGAACCGTCTCCCCGCCGGTGGTGTCGGTGACATGGTCATGGCCACCGTCAAGAAGGGAAAGCCTGAGCTGCGAAAGAAGGTCCACCCCGCCGTCATTGTCCGACAGGCCAAGCCCTGGAAGCGATTCGACGGTGTCTTCCTGTACTTCGAGGACAACGCTGGTGTCGTACGTTTACCCTGAATATGCGATCGAGTGGTGGTCTTCTGCTTCACTATGAGGCTGGGAACGTCATTTTGAAACCATTCCGCCAATCCGATGCTGTGACATGAGCTAATTCGACTTTGCAGATCGTCAACCCCAAGGGTGAGATGAAGGGCTCTGCCATCACTGGCCCCGTCGGCAAGGAGGCTGCTGAGCTGTGGCCCGTAAGTGCTACCTACAATATTAACCCCACTGAGGAACCATTTGTCCTAACGTTTCTTTCTCCAGCGTATTGCCAGCAACTCCGGTGTCGTCATGTAAGAGGTTGTTTCGAAGGAGGGAGGTTTTACTTTATACAGTGGAGACAGAGGAAGAAGAAAAAAGACATAAATGAACAAGTCCCCCCCGATGCGATTCTTATAGAAGCGTGGAAATAATTTTTCTGCCTCTTATTTTCCCCCCTTCCGGATTTCTTTTTTTTTATTTTGACTCGGGGGAAGAATGGGAGGGGAGGAAACGGGAAAGTAAAGTCGCTGGATTGGCAGGCTCTTGCATTTCGGTTGCGGCGTGTAAGGATGATTCAATATCAGGTATCGCATCAAACGGACAAAGAAAAAAATATCCAAGTCCTAAGTCCTCTTTAAACAGTGCTGGGTGAAACTGCTTGTTGTGATGCCATCATTCCTGTAACGTAACGCAAGCCAGAATGTAATTAATCATAGCCCCGAGCAGCTATTGAAACAGTCAATGAAGAGCCTATAAGGATAGCTGCTAAGGGCCATGCCTTTCTCATCAACTAGCTTGTAAAAAGACGACACAACCCTGTAGGATTTCTTGTGTTACCATCTCGTTCATAGCAAAATTTGAGACACTGCCTAGTGTCCACTTATCTATTGGTCCACTTGGCCCATCTAGGAAATTCTCAGAGTCAGGATACGTACCTAATAGATTTGGCCGGCCGATTACCCTGTATGAACATTCAAGCAAAGAGGCGTTAATAAAAAGTAGTTCTAATCTATCTACTGGTACTATTGCAATAGAGAAGTCGCAAGGGAAAGTACTTAGTATGAATATAGAAATGAATGCCTTTTTACATTTATGGGCTTGCTCTTTTGCGTCTCTTTTATGACATACTCACTAAATATATAGGTAGTTTGTACGCTATACAGCCCATTTAGTGTACAACTCCTCTATTGTGTCATTAGCAATTAGTCACTTACACAGTCAAACACATCGCAACAACCACGAGAACTCCATTCAACAACTCGAGAATCGTTTTATTAAGGCCAAGAAAGATAGCTATAACCACCAGTATACCTCTGAAAAAACAAAGAAGCCCGATATAGCCTCTCATAAGATGCCCTGCCACCGCGTAACCGTGTTTTGCACAAAAGCAAGATGTGTGGTCCCCTCCTATATACTGGGTGTAAACTACCTGCCTAGGTAGAAAAAGAAAAAGAAAAAAAAAGAAAAAAACTAAAACAGGCAAGAAAAAAACTAAAACAGGCAAGAAAAAGAAGAACGAGAAAAGGATAAAAGAGAAACATGTATCAAACCAAAGAAAAAGTTTGAAAGGAAAAAAGTGAAAAAATAGTAGTATTTCCCTCTGTATAAAAAACCACCATTCTTGGGGGAAGCCGCCAACGCCGAGGGCTGACCAGTCAGCTATATGCTTTTTTTGTGTAAAGCCAGTCCCAATGCTGAAAAGGAAGAAAAAGGCAGGAAAGAAAAAGAAAAAAGAAAAGAAAAAAGGAAGATAACGACAAAAAAAGAGAAACGAAGTAAAGTAATCGTATACAGATGTCCAAATGCATCGTTTCCCGGTTCTTCATAGCTCCATCCACTGCAATTATAACCTCCCATTCTCCCTCTCCTTCATCTCCACTCTTTAGATGATTAATGACTTTTGTCTTTTGTGGTTCAAGTATGTATTTACCCGATATGGTATGTGCAAGTTGTCTGCCCAATTCTGTTGGCAATACACAAACACGTTCTGACGCCCAACCATGATACATGAATCGCTAGTTGCGGGTTGACAGAAAAAGTCTTATTCCCGCAGTGAAGGAAAAAGGTGGTGGTATAAACATCGTACAAGCAAAACATGATGCTGTAAGATAAGACCTGAGCCTCCCCTTTTCGATGAGTTGAGCCATATGTTTGCCTCTCCTTTGGCTAGATTGAAAATAGAAATCGACTTTACGATGGAGGATATGGGTATCCCATCCCATGCATTTGCTGTGGTGGTTGTTGAGGGGCAAAGGGCGGTGGCATCTGATTTTGCTCAATCGGCTCCTTCTTAGCCGCCTTCATCTTGGGCTTGGGAGCGATAAGCCCAACCCTCTGCTCAGCCGCTGCCTGCGCGGCCTTTTTCGCAGCGAGGGTTGCCTTTCGCTTCTCCACAGCACCAGCCATGTTGCCATTGGCCCAGCGACCTGAAAAGGTTTGTTAGCAAGCTGAATGCGACAACAAATGTAGCGTGTTTTAACAGCGTGATACTTACTCTTCATAGACGCTGACATCTTCTCCGACTTGGTCATGGACTTGTAGTCCTTTGGTGGCTCTTCAGCTTCTTCGCCATTGGGCAGCGACGATGGTGTGCCCTTGCGGCTCGCGGGAGTAGTGCGTACAACTTTGATCTTCTGAATCTTACGGTTGGGGCCTAATGCCGCTTCTGGCTCGAGCATCTCCGGTAGGACAGGGAACTCTTCTACTCCAACTGAGGGAACAACGTTGATGCGCTTGTTCTTCTTCTTTGTGGGAGCTTGAGAAGCCTCCTCACTCTCTTCGGCGTCGTCGCGGAATCGTTTCTGTCGCTTGGGGCGGAACGAATACGACGACTCGGCAGTATGCGAAGTGGAATCTGAGTCGGCAGTCGAAGGCCGCGAATCGCCATTGTCTGTAATTGCTGAAGACGGCTCGCTGATGTTCTTGCCCTTGGGGATCTTGAGAGTCAACAGATGGCGACGCTTGGGCGGCTCTTCTTCAACGAAGTGGTAGCCCAGAGGGTCCTCGTCGTACTTGGGGGGCTGCTTGACTCGCTTATTACGGCCCGATCTTGATGGTGTTTCGCGTACAGAGGAATCTTCGCTTGGAGGAGCAGGCGCGAGCTCTTCAATGATGCTGGGAACATTCATCTTGGGCCGTGCTGCACGATTGCGTCTCCTCCTGCCATCTCCAGCTTCGTCGTCTGAGATGGACTCGCTGTTGAAACTGGCAGCAAAAGAGACCTGACTTTCATCGTTGTCGGCATTGGCAGTTCTACGCCGTCTGGGTCTGGTGGTTGGAACCGGTGTTGAGCTGCGGCTGACATCCTGTGTTGCCGGATCGAACAATTGAACAGGCTTCCGCTGTCTCTTGCCAGTGACTTCGTCTGCCTCGGTCGCCTTGGCTGTAGGCTTTGGCTGATTGCGTAGTGAACGACCCCGGGTCATGATTCCTGCCTGCTGTGTCTCTGGATTCTGGCGGCCAATCTTGGATGGATGTGGGTCATACTCAAATCCATAAGCGGCTGCCATAATACGATCCTGGTTCTGCAGGTAGCGTGTCTCAGTCATGCCTTCTCTGTCCTTGGACCTATAACCCTTTACGACAAATTCAGGTTCTTCATAATTGACGCCGTGCTGGTGGAAGTTGCGTGTTCGAGACTCATACTTGACGTCTGCCACGCGCCGGCGGAGCGAGTTTTCGTAGTCATCGACAATCTTGCCCAGTCCGTTCCACTCGGTTTGCCATTGAACAAGTGAAATGTTGATAGATTCCAAGACCTCGTAGAGATCCTCTGTTGACATTTCCTCGAAATTCTCGAGAGCGGCAAGGTATTCATTAGGATCTCTGAGCTTGCGATAGCGGAATGATCGGCTGCGCTCGGGCGGCTCTTCAGTTACATCAACGTCGTCGCCGTCATCTCCACCAGCAGCCGGAGAATTGGAGGCAGTGGGGTCAATCGAATCGGGCACAGGGGAGCCCCGTAAGGGTGTATTGAGAGCTGGTGTGGGCGCCTCGATCCCGGCAGCATCCGGAATGTCGTCGTTGTCATCGACCATTGGCTCCATGTCATTGGCCTCTCGGTCATCAGCAGTTTGGTCTTCGCTGGTAGTGACCTCGTCCTCTTGCTGCGCTTTCTTTTCCGGATACGCGACATACTCTCCATCGATATATGGAGTCAGGTGAGCCCATCTGCCTTCAGGCCGAGGCTGTGGCTTAAACGGGCCTCGCTCAGAGGGCTGAGATGGCGGCGCTGGATCTGCAGGCTTCATATTTGCGCCTTCAACTTGAACCTGGATCTCTGGTAATGGTGGGCTGACAACAGCGTCAGCACCGTCCTCGGGCAATGACACGCGTGGCTCGACGCATGTGGTGTCAGTGCTCGTCGACTGAGATGCGTCCAATGTCGTGGAGCCGAGAGCAGATATTGATGGAGAGGCCGGAGTGCCATCGGCTTCGTCCTCGGCCGCAGCAGTGACTGTGATGGGGGGAGGGCTGGGTGCTTTGGAATCTGGCTCTGACTCTGGCGTCTGCGCTTCATGGGCCTCTTCCGCCTGTACTTGAGATTTGAGCTGCTGCACCGACGGCGCAGTGAGTGTAATCAAGTGCGCCGCTGCCGACGGATAGTATGGCGGCTCTTGTGGTTGAGCCCGGGCCTGAGACTCTTGCTGAGCCTGAGGCTGGGGCTGCGGGTGTGTGTCGCTTTCTGGTGGTGCCTCAGGGTTTTCTTGTGGAATTTCCTTTTCGGGAAGTTGGTTAAGAGGCTTAATACATGCAGTTTCTTCAGCGGGAGTGTCATTTTCAGCCGCATGTGTCAAGGCCGTGTTATTGGCCTCTGCGGTCGCATGCACTGCAGGCGGCGGTGTGGAAGGGGCTGGCGACATCTGCACGGGCTGCACACTCGGCTCTCGCTCACGATCATTGCTGTTGACAATGCGGCCAGAGTTCTGCGGCGTGCTGCTGCGTGGAGACTTGAGCTCATCCGCGTAGCTTTCAGGTGGTGCCGCCATCTCATCGCTAAAAGTGCGTGTGGCGTCGCCCTCAGCGCGAGCATTGGGCTGTGGCTCAGCCGTCTTCTCATCAGCGGTTGAGGCTGGTGCGGCCGAATCGGGCAGCCTTGCACGGTCTGCCTGCGGCTGGGGCATGTTGATGTCAGCGGCCGCAGAAGTAGAAGCAGAAGCGGAAGCAGAATCAGAATCAGAAGCAGATGCAGGGCCTGCAGCATTTCCAGATGGATCAACATCCAGACTTGTTGGGGCTGGCGCTGCGGCGTGGTCGGCAGACTTGAGGTCGCTGTCCTGGTGCGGAAAGCCTGAATGGGCTGTTGTCGGTTTTTGTGGGGCCTCGACGGACAGGTCCGTGGATGAAGCATTTGAGAGATCCATGTGAGCGCTGTCAGATTTCTCAGAGTCGGAATACAGCACGCCCACCTCAATGGTGTCCTGGACGTCGTTTTCGTCGTCGTCAAACTCATCCCTGTAGGCTCTCGACTCGGAAGTCTTCCTGGCGGGATAGCGGCGCCGGCTGGATGGCGTGTCAGCATCAACAGAGGCGCCTCGCCTCTTGAGTCCAGACCCGTAGAGATCCTCGGAATCGTAGCTGTTGCTGTCAGGCCGTCGCCTCCTATTACGAGGGGCAGAGGCAGCTGCTGATGCCGAGCCTGGAATGGCGCTTGAAAAGTCAATGTCGTCGTCAATCTGCTCAAACGTGTAGTCAACACGCGCGCGTTTGCGCAGGCTGTGACCGCCCTTCTTGGGGCTGTCGTTTTCAAAATCTTCATCAGCCACGCTGTAGTCATCCATGGTCTTTGATCTCTTTCTCAGATTCAGAGGCCGGGTTGTTGGTCCCGGCGTTGAGAAGGTGAAGGCGGGCTGAAGAGTCTTTTGGGCGCGCCGGTTTTGCTGTGCGGCTTGTGGAGTGTTAGTGGCATGCGCCATGATGGGACTGGCGGACGACTGATTCCGCTCAAAAGAAGCGTCTGAACCAGACGTAGGAGATGAAGAAACTCCCTGAGGCTTGCGACGATTTGTTGTTGGGCGGCGAGCGCGGTCCATGATGCCAGGCCGCCGCAGCCTGTGGTGGAAACAAGAAGGTTCCTTAAAGGGGTGTAAGAGGACGGGCAGTGTAGATGAGAAGATGTCCGCGAGGTCAGGGCAATTCCGCAAAAGACGGGCGGAGATGATTATGGGTAAGAGAAGATGCAGAAGAATGAGATTCTGCGATGAGGAAAGGGAGTGAGTGAAAAGGACTCGCCAAAGTGTTGATGGCGATGCTTTGTATCAAAAGTGAGAGGCGAATGAAGCGTGACGTGCCGGCCGGAGCGAGCAGGTTTTTCCTCCCGCCAACAAAGCAACAATAGCAATCAACAATCAGCTGCGGCAAAAGACGCACACCAGGCACAATACGCAGACAAAATAAGAGCCGCCGCCCGCTGCTGCGATGATGCCGCGGTGAGCTGAATATCAGAGATTTCTGAAGGCAGCCTTTTTCCACGCTGTCAGTGCAGTCTCCTGCGTTTTTTGAGTCGTGGATCGAATAAGTTCGCAGGGAGGTACGTACCGGCAACCGCTGGCCAGTTAGAACGCAGGACAGTGCCGTGGCTTACAAGTCGCCAGCGCACCTGGTATTCAGTACAAGCTGCTAAAAAAAAAAAAAGCAAAGCAAAAGCGTCCCATCCGGGGTTCTTCCTCTAGCTGTAATCCAATCAGCGCTTATGTACCAATGTACCTTTAGCCATTTCCGGTCCTGGAGGAGCGCCATCGCCCGTGTATCACAAACAAAGCTTGCTTTTACATACAAAGAATCTGCAGAACATAAAAAAACCGGCAGAGCATAGACAGACAATACGGGCTGAGGGCGATGACTGACAGACGTGCTCAGGGGGGCGGCGCCAGTTATGGCTTTGTCATGCAAACAACTGCTAGTACCAGGTACAAGCACCCTTTTTTTGTTTGATCATTCACGTGATTTTGCAATCGGTGATTATAGGAGCCTTGGGCACAGCCATTAGCTCCCTGTGGATGATGCTACAAGGCCAAAAGCAGCAACTAATACGGCTCGCCCTATTTCTCACGGTAGAAAACCTTAACTTCTGAGCGCCTAACCCGCTGCAAGACCCGCTGAATCTGCTGAGACTTTGCACGAATGCTCCCGCCCCGTAGATCCGGCGCCGCTTTTATCATTCCATCCACAGCGCCTTGTTTTGCTGCTTGTACTTTTCCCTTTCCACAACAGCCCGTCTCTGCCAGGAGCTAGAGCTTGCTGCAAACCGTCGTTGTGCATCTATTCCACTCTCTGTCAACAAAGGGTAAGCGTGAGCTGAAACAGCTTGCAGTACAAACAAGCACCAACTATCGAGCCTATAATGCTGACTGTTTCAGGATCTCTTGTTGTACTTGCATATCCCTATATCGTCACCGACCGCAACTGCTTACCCCACCGTGCACACCACGCTATTACCCCGTGCTCGTATCGGCCATAATCTCCAGGTACCTTGGCTTCTAAGCAAACCAAACACCCGGTTTGGCATCCGTGCATGAATCAACGCATCCAGCTGCATACGCGGCCATAGAATCTGTCTGGTCCAAATAGACAAACAGTCCCACGCATTACGCCATGGCCTCCAAAAAATCCAAGGCAGCGCCTGCCGACGACAATCTCGACGAGCTCTTCTCGGGCATTGGCCACGACTCCAAGGCCAAGAAGCCGTCCAAGAAGCCCACCTCGGCCGCCGCCAAAGCAATTGGCAATGACGATATCCTCGCCGACCTAGAATCGGAGCTTGCTCCCCAGCCTGCGTCTCGCCCACACACACCTCGTCTTAAGGAGACTATCGCTCGACGCTCGACGGCAACCCCTCCCATTGGAGACGACAAGGCCACTGCTGCGCGCAAGTCCACCGACAGCTCCAGGAGCCTCAGAGCCAGCTTCACCCCCAGTGCCACGAGCTCCGAGCTCCATGAGTCGGAGAGGAGGGGACCGGTGGAACAGGCGCAGCCTCAGCAATCCGGAGGGGGGTGGTGGGGTGGAATCCTCTCGACCGCGACCGGGGTCATGAAGCAGGCTGAGGCTGCGTACAGCCAGATTCAGCAGAACGAAGAGGCAAAGAAGTGGGCAGAGCAAGTCAAAGGCCTAGGAAGCGGCATTGATGTGAATGTGTTGAAAAGCTATGGTGAGTCCCATGTTTTGTCTTGCGCCGAGTCAACGCCAAAGGTGTCCAACTAATCTCCTGTCTACAGGCGACGAGATTCGCAACCGTGCACTGCCAACCCTATCCAACATAATCAACACCATCGCTCCTCCTATTGGCTCTCATGAGCGCCTTCTCATTCACATTACCCACGATCTGGTCGGATACCCGTCTCTCGACCCTCTCATTTACGAAGTCTTCTCGGATGTGATGCAGCAGGTGGAAGGCGGTGAGCTCCACGTTGTCCAGAGAGGCCATGAAAGCAGCCACCCGCGATCTAACGACAGCTCTGCCGGCTGGGATGATGGCCCCTGGTGGAGACAAGTTGACCAGCCTCGAGAGTTGGGTGTGGTGAAGGGCCTTGTCGAGGGCACAAAGCTCTGCCGCGTTAATGCAGAGTCGTTTGCGACCGAGTACTTTGCCTCACAGGGAGGCATCGAGGCTGTGAGGGCGCAGGCAAGATCGGGTGACGGCGAGCCTGGTGCAATTCGCACTTCGGATCTGTTCTTGTCCGTCCAAGCGATTGTCACTGACCAGGACAAGACCCTTTTCGGCCGAACTTCCGCCGCCGAAAAGGAGAAGAAAGAGTCCGATGACTCGGAGGAAGAGAACGAGGAAGAGTTCCGGTTTGCCATTTTCATTGTTGACCCGGTCCATGAAATCGAGTATGCCACCATCAGCCAACCCTTCCCCGCCAAATGGGCCCGTTGGCTTGAGGCCCCTCGTCCTATGACCCCCGAGTCTGGGGACGAAGAATCCCTGCATAACCGTGTGCATGAGGACATCCGAAGCATTGTTGAGACTGGTGAGCTTGACCCCAGAGAGTGGGTAGCCGGCTGGGTGAAGGACTCTCTTGCGCTCTCTGTTGGTATTGTAGCCCAATGGTATGTCGCTAGACGTATGCAGGTTGGAGTCAGTCACCCCAGGACGAAGGTGGAGAATGAGGACGATGATGATGACGAAGAGGAGGAAGAGGAGTCTGATGAAGACACAGAGTAATGATACCATGGCCTATGTCATTGATAATGTTTGGACAATACCATTAGATTACCCATCGTGTTCGAACTTGTGAGGAGAATGCGCCAAACGTAGGTCCTGTGATTTCTACGGAGTTTTTGTAGCTATCTGATATATCGTTGTTACTCAGACACTCTTTAGCATACGGCATGAAGCAGACACAGTAATAAAACATGATAGTTTGTCGTCCTGTAGTTCTTGAAAATGCATCTTACACATACCATTTACTCTATTTTCTTAGTACTCTATAGCCTGCTTACTTGATGAATGCACCCATATCTTTATCACGTCCCTTTCCTTTGCTCTTCATCATCCTGTGCTACAGTCCCGGCATGGCTTTCCCCAGCTCTCCCTTGGCCGCTCTCGTCGCGCCCTCCATCTTGACAAGCCTCAGCGGGCGATACTCCGGATTCCACATCTGCTCCTTGATCCACTCCTCAAGATCGTGATCATTGGATGGGATATCCTTTTCAGTCGCCACGCCTTCTTTCACTGCCGCCTGAATCACGCTCTTTGCTACCTGGACGCTGACAGTCCTTACTTCCTCCACGTCTGGCAAGAGAGGTGCGGTTGGGTCCTTGAGAACGGGGCTCAGCGATGCAACTCCTTGCACGGCCGCGACGAGCATGCGGTCGGTGAGAAGCTTAGAGCGGCTGAGAATACAGCCGAGCCCGATGCCGGGGAAGACGACAGAGTTGTTGCACTCGGCAATTTCAATAGTGATGTCGTTTCCGTCTTCACCCCAGGGGCCGGTGACGGGATCAAAGGGAGATCCTGTTGCGACGAGTGCCTTGCCATTGGTCCACTTGAGCAAGTCCTCTGGCTTGGCTTCGTGGAGTCGAGTTGGATTGGAAAGAGGGAAGATTATTGGCCGTGGAGAATTTTCATGCATAGCCTTGACAATTTCTTCGGTGAAAGCGCCAGGAACGGTGGATGTTCCGACGAGGATATTGGGCTTTACTTGCTTCACCACTGAAAGGAGGTCGTTGCCATCGCTCTTCCACTCGGAGGCATCTTTGACGTATATTTTCTGAGCGTCTGAGACTTCGAGCTTGGATGTCAACAGACCGGGCTTGTCAATCAACCTAATGAGACCATTAGAATAAAATCTTTCGAACATGCATCTCAGGCTTAAGAATAGGCTTACCAGATGTGCTGTGAAGCTTCCTCGTGAGTAATGTTCGTCTCTGTCGCAATTGCGTCTCTGACTTGATCTGCGATACCAACTCCAGCACTCCCAGCGCCAAAGACAACCATGCGAGTCTCACTGAGTTTCTGTCCGCTGGCGTGCAGTGCAGCTATGATAGCCGCAAGTGTCACACAGCCAGTTCCCTGAACATCATCGTTGAAGCAGGCCATCGTGGGGCGATACAACTCCAACAGACGTCTGGCTGCAATTTTGAAAAGGATTAGTCTTAGACGAAATATACGTGATGGCTGTGAGCGACTTGATGTTTACCATTTCTTAAGCCAAAGTCCTCGAAATGAATGTAAGCTCTGGGAAACAGCTTTCGAGCAGCGTCGACAAAGGTCTGGATAAAGTCGTCATACTGCTTTCCTCTTACCCGACGGTGGCAGAGACCAAGATAGAGCTCGTCTTTGAGCAGATCTTCATTGTCAGTGCCGCAGTCTATGACGACGGGAAGGGTTCGACTGGGATGAACACCGGCGCAGAGGGACGCGAGAGTCAGCTTTGCTCCAGATATGAGAATGCCGCCTACGCCCTGATGATAGAAACCAGAGAGAGATAATTAGTGTATTTCTTTAGATATTTGATAGAAGGCAGCCAAATATACCTGGTCGCCAATGCCAAGAATTTCCTCGCCGTCTTAGGAAATGAGTTAGCATAAGATAAGGAAAGCATTAGAGGGACGATATACCTGTTACGCAGATATAGTCGACATCATCTGGAGTCCCCCAGAGTGCAAGATCACTTTGCACGCGTTCAGGGTGATTAATGTCCAAGAAACATCCTTCAGGGCGGCGAAAAAGCCTCGAGTAGTTTTGAATGGCATCGCCCTCCGTCGGAGTATATACTACGCTGAACATTTCCTTGAGATGAGTAAGCAGCAGCTTGAAATACAACACCTCATTCTGGTCCTTGAGCGAGGTTAAAAATGTATTCTTGGCAAGGCTGTCGCTTCTGGATAGATATTGCTGGTATGCGCGCTCAGCCTGATGGTCCAAAGTCTGTTCATTCGCGGGAAGCAGCCCAGTCAAGTTGAAGTCTCGACGCTCCTTTTGCGTAAAGGCAGATCCTTTGTTGAATGTCGGGCTATTTAAAAGTGCTGTTCCGGTAAGAGCGCAGTCGAGAGGGCCAACTGTGCTAAGCGGGAGGTTTCCAAACTTGGACGATTTGGTGAGAGTCATGGCGGGTGAAGACGAAGAGCGGCCTTTACAACTAGCTGGGATCTTGATTTCTATTCAGAGAGTAATAAAATGATATGAAAGTAGGTAGGGAGAAATGATGAATTTTAGGAAATGTTCTAGGAACGCTTCTCAGGATAAGGCTCTGGGAGGCAATTAATATGTGAGAAATGGGGAGGGTCGTGATGTCAACAGCGTTGGCGCTGAGGCACATGCATGTACTTCCAAGCTTTAGCCAATATGAGGGATTGGGCGATAAAGCGCCTATGGGCAGGATAGAGCGGCAAGTGACGTAACTGACGATTATTCGTCAAAAAGCATGCATCGGGAAAGCGGCATATACTGATTGTCTCCATACTTTGTGTGCCCAGCTACTGTTACAGACGCTGCTATGTTGCATCCAGTATAGCTTCATGCATTGGAGGAGAAAAGACAAAAAGAGACACAGAGCGAGACGGCAGTTGACACAGACAACGTGAGTGGTGCGTATTATTTTCTTTCAACAAGTTCTTTTTTATTTTTGCGTCGTCAGACACCTATTATGTAGTCTTTTTAAGTACTAATAGTAGTAGGTAGTAGTCACTTTAGAAACACGTAGTACAGTAATATGTAGGTGCTCTGGGAGCCACGCCGTCGACGGGAAAAAAATTCATTCGGCATGGACTATGATGGCCCGTTCGTCTTGCAACAACGCTGAAGGCAAGAATTATCAGAGATAACCTCGTCTACAATCGATACGCCAGCCCTTCCAGGCACAACTGCAAGACGCGGCGTGCCTGGAAGAGAAACTCGTGGGAAGATTGAGTGGCTGGCATGGATATGCTGCGGATCACAAAAGAAGCAAACAAAAGAAAAATATCCCTACCGTGGCGTCGATTAAAGCTATTTTCAAGCTTGATAGAGCTTGGGACTTCAGTTCGACGAAAGAAGCACTGCGTGCGGCGCTTTAGAAAAGCCGCGCATGGCAACGCCGAGGCGATGCGACACGGCAAAGCGTGGTTGAGAAAAGGAGCAATTTGGAGCGTGGGATGAAAATTCTTAGAATTTGTTTTGATAGCGGCTAAGGTCTTATCGATTTGCTGGTGCTGGACCATAAACCCCGCTCGAAGCTGCTGCCAAGGCGAAGCGAAAATACTGTCCCCACATATATAATACATTTGTCTTCGTCTAGAACTCAGGCTCTCGCAATCACTCGTCGTCATTTCATTCACTCTCCTATTTACCATTGTCAAGTATATGAAGTAATTCACCCGCCAACTTTCTAGGAGTCATGCTAAGAAAAAAAAAAAAAGCTTGATAAGCGTTGATACCCGTGACGCCATCTACTATGAGAGCGTGTAGAGAAACCAACGACATAAATCATCAGATATCAGCTGCTCGTTTGACTTTGCTGTTACCATTCCAAGGACACGATGTTTTACCTGGCATATTGAGAGGTATATACGTCTTCGCACCAGTTGGACGTCATGTAGTCGGCGACAACCAAGTCGACGTCAGTAAATATAGAACAAGCAAATGCACCGAGTATTATGTTGCGATTCTTTGTGACAATATCATTCGTGTTTCAAATAAAACAACTTAATGCTAAGAAGGTCACAATTTTCAAACTTTTCCTATATCTGTCAAATGCCACTTCAACAACATAAGTAAGACATCCTTCCCGGCATTGGGGTAGCACCCGCTTGTCTCTATGAGAGATGTTGGTCAGAGAGCTCGACAACACTGCTTACGGACTTACAGTGAGCCGATACTTAAGTGTAGAAAACTCAAAAATGGCAGTATTACACTCATATTACAGCGAAGCTCAACGAATGCCTCCTCGTCAGCAGAGGCAGCGTTACCATGAAAGCTATAGTGACGGGTGACTATCTTTTGGAGGAATTTTTTTTTGTGTATTCTAGGGTGTAACTGCTCTGTCGCTCGAGTGCGTCAGGGTAACGTATGAACAAATGAATCTAGCTTTCTGCTTTAGCAACGGGGCTTTTGAGGCGAGCTATCTCTGATAATTTCTTAACACAGAGAGTGCTTTATGAAGGGACAGCAGTCAGTGAGATTATAGGAGATCCATCTAGTTCGGTGTCCTCTTCTTTTAAAATTATGGATTTGGCATATTTAAGAGTATAAATTTATTACTACGTCTTCACCTTCATGATTTTCATTCCTTTTCTTGTTGCCCTCACTTATATGCATCGCTTCAGCGTGAAATTACTCCTACATAATGCATTGAAACTGTCGTCAGTTTACTTAAATTCTTTACGTATTTCCTTCCAGAGAAAATAGTTCTTGTAAACTATTGCTTTCGAATTGACCATTCTTTTATCCATACAAGATGTATTACAAGGCTTGTTAATTTAACAAATTCTCTACTTCCCCCTTAAGTCTATAAACGCTGGGATATTGTAAAGAAAAATTTAGGCTCAAAATTTAAGATGTAGAGTCGTCTTAAGAATTTGTTTTAATTGCATGTACGTAAATACAACTAACCTAAGACAAGCGCTCGACTTCCTGTTTCAGTAGCGGTTAGTCCTGCTCTACTATTAATATAGGGTTGGCCTATCCAGTACTTACCTTAAATTTTATATATCAATTTCTATATGTCACCTTGTCTACGTCTTAGCTGACTCTTTGATCGGTCTTTGCGGCTCGCCTCGTCCTTCTCTCCGTCATTCTTCAGTGAGGAGTTTCCCTGGTGTTCATGTAAGAGGGCCTTTGCTGCTGCAATAGACTGTTTTTTCCATAATAGTATATAGTTTGTGTTGAAGAGAGGTTGAATATTGGGTCCTAGCTTCCCTTTCTCTTTGATGTAAGTCGGACACCGATGCGAGGCGGCCTGCAGCAACCATTACGAGATAACGCCCCCTGTAGGCGCTTAAGGCGCATAGTTAATAAGTATGTGCAGTCATTTATGTACTTCAATTATGTGCTATATTACTAAAGCGGAAAGCGAAATGACAGTCGAGAAAGTCAGCATTAACAGTAATAAGCAACAATGGAACATAGCGGCAGCTGGTTTATTAGCTCGCGCGACCTCTGCCTTTCTCTCCCCATTCAAAGCTCCTTTGCTGCCAATGAGCCCCGCCTCCCAAGATGCATATTTGCTGCCCACGCCCACCGACAGCTTCGCAGGAGGCCGCTAGGTGTGTACCTTTGAAAAAAAAAAAAAAAGGCCACGGAGGGGTGCCGCAGGCGGAGGGCGTCTCTCTTCCTTTCCATCCGCCTCCGTGTTCCCCCGGCAGCATAGGAGCTCTTGTCTCCTTGTCTCTAGCGCCTTTTAGCGCACTGTCTCATACAGTGACAAACGGCGGCTTTGATGTGATTGCTGCAGCAACATACATGTACTTCGTAGGTATTTTCATTTACGTGAACTCGATGGGCCGATGGGGACTTATTATGTGACTGCTAGCTAGATATAGCCCAAAGGCGGCAGCCGCTTGGCTACGAGCTTGGTCACATCTTGGGCCTCCGTCACGAGTTTGCACCCGAGAAAGAGAAGTATTTGCCTTCTGTTCGCATTGGAAGCGAGAGTCGTCAATCTATTATGAATTATTTTGATGATCTGAGCAAATTCCAAGTTGGCGAACAGGAGAGCAAAGAGTTGGCAGCATTTTATGCGCATGGCCAGGCAAAGTACGAGGGCCTGCTAGTAATAGTTGATATTACGCCCCCCTTACACGTGGTAAATGCAGAAGTGTGTGATGCCCAAGACGTTTTGCTCTATAAATTGCTGCTGAGACTTGGGATCCGCAATAATCGATCGCTTCCACTTGATAACATTTTCAACAAGCATTGTTTATCACACGGCGCAGCATGATAGACGACACGAGGGCAACCGCTCATTGGTAGCACTGATCAATCACCAAGTAGTTAATCTAGGTTTCGTATCTATGAAAGAACTATTTCAAACTTGCCTCACAATCTAGAAATTTTAAACTCGCCAAGCTGCAAATATCTATGATCGTGTTACATCTGCCCTCAACTCCCATGTCAACTTAACAGTGTGCAGCTAAGAATATTAGCCAGGTAACTGGAGTTCAAAGCCTTTTGATAGACAACCAGGCTGCCAGGGCACTCTCTGGGGAGGAAAGACCTGGCGTAAACATTAGGGTGGCTGCTGTGGCTTTTCTTGCATTTAATCTGAAATGCGGTTGGGTCGTTACGGCCAACTGAAGCTGGATTGTAGTACAAATAAGTACATGGATCTGTAGATGGGTTTGCGTCTACTAGTAGGTACTGGGTACCTACTAGGTAGGCACCTAGAAGGCACTAATGTAACTGTAATGTAATATTAATGCTCAACATTTATAACCAATTGGTAACGTAAGGAAATTTTTCTTTTTTTTTTTAAACAAAAAACCTATTCTTTCCTGTTCTGGTAAATCAGTAGTATTTAAAAGGCTCTATAGAAGAACTGCAGCCCAAGTAATTCTTGGCTGTTATATACAGCGCGGACGTCACCTGGCGGGTTTTAGCGACATCTTAAGTGAGGCATTTGCTATGTAAGAACTTAAGTGCTGTTTTCCCTTAAAACATTAAACTGTCGTAAAGGCACCTTGTTTTGGCCTTGCGAGCGACGTTTTGGGTACTTACTTACTTGCTCGAAACAAAGCCCATAGCACAGCCCGATCTGGCCGCTCACCTAATTAGGCAGACGCAACGGAAAAAGACTGGAGAAAAATGATCAAAAAAACACTCCCCTCAATCCTGTTGTTGGAAAATATAAGGCCACTTAGTGGGGAGTATTTTTCGAAGATAGGGTGTGTATCTAACTAGTATGGATACCCTGCCTTCTGTACGAGGGCCAGCTGAGCCTTAGGATACCCCCACTTAACCAGACTGACCGAATTTGCAAACAATCGGCACACAATTCTCAACTTTGCGCACAGCAATGACACCAGTATCCACTATTTAACTAGTCCAATAGTGCTCATATTCCCAACTTGTATGTGTATTTTCATTTTGCGGGATCCCTATTTTTCCACACCGCTTGCTACGTATAATCCCCGAGACCAGCGCATATACGCCCTAGATTGCTCCGAAGATTGGTGCTTTAGCGGTACCTGAGTTGGATATCAATGGATGGCCAAATTTTTGAAGCTGGTCTCGCGTATATAAATAAGTAGGAGGAGTGCCCTTTTCAGATGCTCCCTTCACATCACTAAAAAAGCAAAGAGAATTGTTACCAAAGGTGATGAGACTTTCTCCTCTATCTTCAAAGGTACTGCTCGATGCATCTGGCATAACTATAAGCAGTAAGTGCGTCTTCCATTTCGTCACACTATTTTCATAGTGTACATTGATGAACTTATATAACTAAACATTTGTATCAGCCATCTTGCTGTATAACGTAGTTCAATGGCTCTACATGAATTTGTATGCCACAGCGTTGGCAACCATGAAATTGTGAACAGCAGTGGCTGCCCGCCATCATCTCCCGCTGAAGGTAGCGGCTCGTCTTCAGAAGATAATAGTGAGATCAGCAGCCCGACTCCTGATACTCGTGACACCTCGTCCAACGCAACTGCCATCTCACATCACCGTTTTGAAGATGCAAGTACCAATGACATGGACTATGAGGAACACATAAAGACTCCCACATCTGGTTCTAAAGTCCCTGGCTCGAAACTCGAGAGAGCGTGTCCTTGCTGCAGACCCAGGCCAGAGCAAGATGATGTTGCGCATACCCAAAATGTGACACCAGGCTCTGAGACTAGAGCCGCCGCTTCATCTGCTACTTCATCTGTCTCGAAAGCTGTAGTCCATCGTTACGGAGTGTGTGTTACCGAAGAAGGTGCAGAGAAGGAGGTGCGTGTTGGTTGGAAAGGCCATGCAACTCGCTGGAAAAAAAATTCGGTACTGAGGTATAACATTTGCACACATACTTTCCCGAGCCTTCGGTGGGCAAAGTTGGTGGCGCATGCAGCGGCAGAAGCAATTTCGATGTGGCAGAATATCGGTGCTCGCTTTGAGGAAGTTGGCCGTGATGAAAAAGCCACATTTGCAATAAAGTACTGCTTCGAGCCAGATAATTGCAGGCGCGATGTCTATGCTAGTGCTTTCTTTCCAAAGACCTCGCCAGGCGAGTTATTTGTGTACGAAGTAGCACTGGAGCCTTCCCATGTCGGCTTCTTGACTAACATTCTCGCTCATGAATTCGGTCATATTCTGGGTCTCCGCCATGAGTTTGCTGTTGAAACATCTTTTCTCTGGGGAGAAGCGAATGATCGATCGATCATGAATTATTTCAGCGACTTGAATCAGCTTCAAGTAGGAGAGCAAGATCGCGAAAACTTGGCGACGTATTATGAATGCGAGGCAGGTCAATGCGAAAGGCTCTCGATAACTGATATCGAACCACGGGTATTCCGATTTCCCTGCGTCAATAAGAAATATGATATTAATCGCTATCGATCGACACGAAAACGATTATATCTGAATTATCGAGTCAAGCGCAATCTTTTCCGCCGCAATTTATCGCCAATGCAGCAAACCGATAAATGAAGTAATTTTCTTAGATTTTGTTGTCATAGACTTTTATCCGCTTTCGTTATGACGTTGCGATATTTGTTTCCTTAGCATATCGCGCTTTTCTCCTTGGATGAATAGGGGCGCGATGGATATTTTCCCAGGGCCTCACCATTTTTTATTCTCTGTTTTTGGGGTATTAGCGTCTAGGGCCGTTCGTTATATAATTGTTCTCTTTAATGATAAATGGATATTAAAATTTAGCCAATGGGTATAGTCATAGAGCTAAAGAATAATGAATCATTGGCTACTTGAAAGCCATGAGGCGTGTTTGGTATATGTGGAATATTAATCTCATATTTCATTATTATAGATAGAGTGAATATAATAATCGCATCATGCTCACCGGTTTCTGTGCAGACAAGGGCATGAATTCGGGTAGTAGTACATATACACTGTCAATTACAACTTGCTCAACCTTGATGCCCCATCTAATCGGATGACGGCCCCGTTAAACATGGGATTCTCAATAATGTGCTTGACCTGTAGATAGTTTTAGTCTCCGAAACAGTTGAAGGAAGCATACACGTAAAGTTTTGAACAGAATACGAACCAAAGAGGAGAACTCAGGCGGGTTGCCCGCTCTGTTAGGAAAGATGAACGAAGCTTCGAGACTTTTCCGCACCCTGTCGTTCATCATAGCCGTCAAGGCAGTTGTAAACAAGCTGGGAGCGATTGCGACGACGCGAATGCCGTAGCGAGCCAAATCTCGAGACATGGGCAGTGCCATTGACGCGACGGCTCCCTTGCTAGCTGCATAGCTGACTTGGCCGTATTGGCCATCGAAGGCGCTTGAGCTGCTGACCATGATGACGACGCCGCGCTCACCATCCGGGCCTTCGGGATCAACCTTGGCGAGATGCACCACAGATTGGCGGATGAGATCGATGGTACCCCTGAGATTGACGCCTAGGACGAGGTCAACTTGATCCAAGTCGAAGGCATCGCCGTTCCGATCAAGGGTCTGGATACTGATTAGCAAGAGACCATCGCTCGAGTCAGTTCACTTACGGCTGCTGGGAGGCCAATGCCGGCTGCTGGAATCACACCGCCGAGCGGCTTTCCAGTCTCCTTGATCCAATCCACCGTGCCTTGAACAGCCTTTGCAATGCTCTCGGTTTTTATCACATTGCAATGGAAGAACTTGGCTGAGGGCCCAAGCTCCTTTTCCAGAGCTCGCCCGGCTTCTTCATCGGATAAGTCGAGGATCGCGACGAAGCCGCCGGATTTGATGATTTCAAGGGCGGTGCTTTTGCCTAGGCCCGACGCGCCGCCCGAGATGATGAAAGTGCGATCTTGGATCTTCATGACTTGGATTGATTATAGGATATTTTTTTTTTGTTTCTAATGAGGAGCGAAGCATATCTTGAGTGAGCGCGCAAACATGGCAGACGTCAGTTATAAATGCCGGGGCGGGTAGAGCTTATTTGGCCGCGTGCCGAGGCTTAAAGCTCCCAGGTTTCATTTGGCCTTCATAGTCTAAGGCTAGGCCCAATGGCAGCCCTGGAGATGACTGCACACATGCACATGTATCCCATTGTAAATTTATGTTTCATATATAGGGCCCTTGATTGTAGAATATAATAAAGATTTAGGCCATATCATAGAATGGCCTGACCGCTTTCTTCCATCTTGGAGAAGTATCGCCATGTGGGCAATCAGCAGCCCGCCATGTACCACATGATGGCTTTGTGGGTTCAAGGGTCTCCATATTCATGCCCAAGTCCGTCTCGACAGTGGTAAGAGTGCAAGCAATTGCTTACATAACCGCAGTCATTGGGCTGCGAGCGTCACTGATAGTGATAGCGTTGCGTAGCGAGACGGAGGGGGCCCATGCACTAAAAGCTGGTGACACCATCCCTGCATAGGTCCCATCTGCAGCGACATCACCTATCGATCCGTTCCATAATCTTTGCAACGGACAACTTCTTTGCAACTTTGCACAGAGCTCTGACGGCGGTCGGTTTCCTCGGAATCTGGTTGCTGCATCACCTACGAGACCAGCGACGATAATTCCATTTCCCATTTATAGCTCAAATACGCCGGACGAGCTTTGCGCCCACTCATGATGAGGCCAAGGCGGTCGTCCGGGGCGAGCGAGTCCAGCGCTGGAACAGCTCGTCCCGAGCAGGTGAGTGGCTCAAGCAAAGGCGGCCGAGGCGAGATTCTCTGAGACGAGATATGCTGAGACGATGATACAATAGGAGCTCGGGAGCATGTACGACTATTTGGCCAAGGTGATACTGCTAGGACCCAGTGGCTCGGGAAAGTAAGTGACCTGCAGAGGACGGGCATTTGGACGACCAATCTGTTGCTTTGAAGGATGGAAAGGTAGCTAACCAGATTCATTTTTACGAATAGGTCATGTTTGCTCCATCGATTTGTGAAGAATGAGTGGAGGATGTTGTCGTCGCAGACGATCGGTGTCGAGTTTGCAACAAAAATAATAAAGGTTGGGAGCGGGGCGCGACGAAAGCGGATAAAACTGCAGGTATTTCAGCCAGCCCCCCGTTTGGCCTTTGCAAGATCAAAGATCTATTATGCTGACATATGCTCTGCCCGATATAGCTATGGGATACGGCCGGAACCGAGCGTTTTCGATCCGTTTCGAGGTCGTATTATCGCGGAGCGGCGGGCGCAATTCTAGTATACGACATCGCATCACATATATCTTTCCGAGGGCTTCAGCCGTTTCTCAACGATGCGAGGGCGCTGGCGTCTCCTCATCTGAGCGTCATGCTGGTGGGAAATAAGCTGGACTTGGCTTCAGAGAACCTCGTTGATACAAGTTTGCCTCCAGCAACTCCCAGCAGCGTGGGCTCGACAGCGACGGGCGTTAACGGTGGGGCCTCCTCTCTATATAGAGATCATGCCGGTTCCATTGGCGCTGGCACACAACAGAGAGCGACAGAGGCACCCGAGGGCCGTGAGATATCCTCCGCCGAAGCGAGTCGATGGGCTAGCACGGTGGGCATTCCGGTCGTAACAGAAGTCAGCGCACTGAACGGCGAAGGCGTAGATGAGGTCTTTAATCGATTGGCCAGAATGATCTTGACAAAGATTGAGTTGGGCGAAATCGATCCGGATGACCCCATGAGTGGCATTCAGTACGGCGATGGCGGATGGAATACGGCCAGCGATGGAGGCAGCATCAAGAGCTCCATCACCGGCGGCACCTTGGATGAGAGCCTGAGCGGCCCACGGAGACGCAGACGAGGGAAGAGCCGTGGCCAGAACTGGAATCTGAGAGAATGGGAAGATGTCTTTACGCTCAGCAGTCGCCGGAGGGGCAGAGGGTGTTGTTAAGGGCCAAACAGCTCCCGCCTACGACCTTTTTTCCTTCTTTTCCTTTCTACACACACATTCACTCACGCACTATACGCACACACACACACACACACTCTCTCTCTCTTGTCTTTTCGAGAGCTTAGCCATATTTATATCCATATGCGCGCACAAAATTCTGGAGGAAATTGTGGAAAATAATATGCATAATCAGCTCTTTTTACGTTTTGTTAATCCAGAGATGAGCTTGAAGACATCAATGACAGCAAGCAATGTTGGCGTTTGGGAACGGCATAGAAGCTTGAATCCTGCCTTTGAATTGGCAGAAACTTTTTTTCTCTCTATTTTTCTGTCTTCAAAATCTTTCTTAGTTTATTTCCGATTATCTTTCCGAAAATATCATTCTTGGTTCGTTCAGGAGTACCGCCTCGCTCTCGTCTCAGTGCACACGTATAGGCTATATGTACCTATTCCAATGGCAATACGTGTATTCATGTACATGTACCGGGCAATGACGAACTGATTTGCGTCGTCAACATTGCATCCAAAAAAGGCACAGCGCTTTTGATGTGCGATAAATTGCCTGCAGCGTCGAGATGCGAACTGCTGCAGCGGCTGCATGTGCTGATGCCCCAAAAACCCCGCCTTGCCGCTTCAAGGCGCGGAGGTCCAGCTTCCGTCATACAACTCCAACAGCCTTGAAGCGTGTACTTTGCACGTATAAGTATTGACATTCAGATCACTTTCGAGCTTTGCATTTTCATTCTCTCATCTCCTTTCTTTATTAAGCTCTTCTATTCCTCTTTTTCTCCTACTTCTAAATCTGGGGCCATTTCACCGGATAGGCCGTCAGATATCACCATCACCTAAACTTGGTGCCCAACTGATTCCCCGCAATGGCGCCCCGAAAGATCATCCCAATTGATGCTGGTTGGCAGTTTAGGAGGACAGACGTTGATGACTTTTCGTTTCTGCCCGTTGCCCAATTCCCCACCAATATCCACCTTGACCTCCTGCATCACAACCTCATTCCTGATCCGTTCATTGGAAAAAACGAACTGGATGTGCAATGGGTAGGAGAGGTGAATGCCTGGCAGTACCGCACGTCGTTCAAGACTCCCAAGATTGGGGCTCAAGAAAAAGCAATTCTTGCCTTTGACGGACTAGATACATTTGCCGAGGTGCTTCTCAATGACAAGAAGATTCTGGAAACAGACAACATGTTCATCCCCGAGCGGGTAGATGTTACGGCACTTCTCAATGACACAGACAACCAACTGGTCATCACCTTTGACAGCGTGAATGTGAAAGGGTGGAAGCGAGTGGAGCAGCATCCTCAACACAAGTGGGGTGTCTGGAATGGAGACGCCTCTAGACTTGGCGTTCGAAAGGCCCAGTATCACTATGGCTGGGACTGGGGCCCGACACTGTTGACGTGCGGCCCCTGGAAGCCCATCAGCCTCGAGATATACGAATCACGCCTCGCTGATTTATACTCAAATGTCACCGTTGATGAGTCTCTCGCCAACGCCAAAGTTGTGCTCCATGCAGCGACCGAAGGAAAGGCATCCAAAGTGCGGTTTGACATCTCCCTAGGCCAGACTGCCCTAAGCGAGACTGTTGATGCTACAAAAGGAGATGCAGTAACTACCTTTAACATCAACAAACCAGAGCTGTGGTACCCTCTCCGGTATGGAAAACAGCCACTATACACGATTACTGCTACACTACTCGATGGTAGTGATGAAGTAGATGTTGTGTCAAAGAGAATAGGCATCCGAAAAGTCGAGCTTGTTCAGAAACCACTTAAAGACCAACCAGGAACATCATTCTATTTCCAGGTTAACAATATCCCAGTATTCTGCGGTGGCAGCAACTGGATCCCCGCAGACAACTTCACTCCAAGAATTACCAAGCAAAAATACCAGGACTGGGTTAAGCTTCTGGTCGAAGGCAACCAATCCATGCTGCGTATCTGGGGTGGCGGTGTTTATGAGGATGAGAATCTGCTTGATGCGTGCGACGAAAATGGAATTCTTGTCTGGGTTGACTTTCCGTTTGCTTGTGGAAGCTACCCATGCTGGCCAGAGATGCTGCAATCTATCGATAGAGAGGCCAGAGAAAATGTCAAGATCCTGAGACACCATCCGAGTATTGTCATTTACGCTGGTAATAACGAAGATTACCAGTATCAGGAGAGCGAGGGGCTCACATATGACCCCGAAGATAAAGATCCTCAGAGCTGGCTCAAGACAGATTTCCCCGCTCGCTACATTTACGAGCACCTCCTCGTGCAAGTGTGCAAGGATCTTGTTCCGGAGACATACTATCACTATGGCAGTCCCTGGGGAGGCAAGTCGTCGGGCGATCCAACAGTAGGAGATATTCATCAGTGGAATGTGTGGCACGGCACTCAAGAGAAATATCAGAATTTCGACAAGCTGAGTGGGCGCTTTGTTTCTGAATTTGGCATGCAGGGCTTCCCATCTGTTAAAACTATCGATGCTTACCTGCCAAAGGGCAAAGATGACCCGGATCGACACCCACAGTCCGACATTGTGGATTTCCACAACAAGGCCGATGGCCATGAGCGCCGAATTGCTCTTTATCTCGCAGAGAACATAACCTTTACGACAAGTCCACTAGAACAATATGTCTACTCTACTCAGCTGATGCAGGGAGAGTGCCTGTCATCTGCGTACCGGCTCTGGCGCCGCGAATGGAAAGGGCCCGGACGAGAATACTGCAGCGGAGCTCTTGTGTGGCAGCTGAACGATTGTTGGCCCGTGACATCGTGGGCTCTCTGCGATTACTATTTGCGACCAAAGCTCGCCTACTTTACCGTAAAGCGAGAGCTCAACCCCTATACCGTTGGAATCAAGCGAACTGAACATCGCCATCCCAAGGATAAATATACAAGAGTTGATATCAAAGTAAAGACTAAACTTGAGATTTGGGCTTCCAGCTTTACACTCGATGATGTCAAAGTAGACTGCGTTGTCAAGGGGTGGGATGTGGAGACGGCTGAGGAAGTCTTTAGCAAGACTATCGCGTCATCACAGCAGCTGCTGGGTAACCAGAGCACTGAGTTGGCAATCATCGATCTTCCTGTGAAGACTCCTAATGCTGGTCTGGAGGGTCGCACTATTGTAGCGGCATATATCTACCAAGATGGCAAGCTACTTGCTCGATATGTCGACTGGCCGCAGCCGCTTAAGCATGTGCACCTACAACAACCTGAGAGATTGATCGCGAAGCTCTCTCAAGATAACAGCTCGGTCATACTAAGTGCGGACGTACCGGTCAAGGGTGTCGCCCTAGAATGCGACGACGAAGCGGTCAAGTTTGACGACAACCTAATTGATCTCGTGCCGGGCGAAGAAGTTCCGGTCCGTGTGACGGGAGCTACGAAGGATACGGTGATAACGACGAGATACTTGGGGATCTCCAACTAGATTGTATCTCGTTTATTTTTGGACCTTAGTAGTTTAATTGATAGATAGACCGGTATTCAATGAAACCTTTTTAGTGAATCAATCGCTCTTTGATGTGTTTTACGTTATTATTTCTGTATAAATATATCAATTTGAAGTGATATTCATTGTGTCAGCAGTTGTAAACATTTAACTACATAGTAATATATCCGAGATTTTAGGGGCAGTTGGGCCGTTTCCGCGGACTGAACTTAAGCTCGACTTACTGCTGCACGTTTCCGGATATAGGCCTGGCGTTAGCAAACTCCGGCGACCTGGTGTAAGTCTAGTTATTAAAAATCATAGAAACTTGGTTGAAGAAGGAAGATGGAAAAAATATAAAAGCTGCTTGAAATGAATTTAAACGAATTCTCTGTGAATACTCTCTTCATTCAGAGACAATAAATTGCCTGCTATAAAAAGGCTACAACCCCTACTATCACCGCCTTCCAATAATGGCTTCTGAGTCTTCTCTTCCTCCCACGCATCGCGCTCTTGTGCTGCGCTCGCTCGACTCTCCATTAAAAGTTGAAATCCTTGCAACACCAAAAGCAACTTCAGGAAATGTTGTTGTTCGAGTCCTCGCGGTCAATGTCCTATCATACGGCCGCGAAATCCTGGACGGCACCCGGCCATACCCCTACCCAAAGCCATATACTCCCGGTGGAAGTGCAATTGGAAGAATTGCCGCCGTAGGACCAGACTCTACAGTCCTTACACCTGGACAATTGGTCCTTGTGGATGTCATGGTTCGTGCCAGAGATGATACGTCAATTAGTTACCTGATTGGTATACACAACGGGTTTTCTAGCGGCTCTGTAAAACTCGCTACTGATGAATGGCGAGACGCTACATATGCCGAGTATGAAAAGGTTCCTCTGGAGAACTGTTATGCCTTAGATGAGGCCCGCCTTCTTGGAGATCCTGCCAGCGGTGGTTTAGGCTACTCTGTTGACGACCTTTTATACATCCATCGCCTGCTTGTTCCATTTGGAGGATTTAGAGATGTCGATCTCAAAGTTGGAGAGACTATCCTCATTTGTCCCGCAACCGGGCCTTATGGCACTGCGGCAGTAAGCCTGGCTCTCGCATTAGGAGCCAATGTAGTTGCAATGGGAAGAAATGTCCGGGTATTGGAGAAGCTTGCAGCTACAAGCGACAAGATAAAGACGGTCCAGATAACCGGAGACGTTGAGAACGATACCGCAGCCATTAAGAAATACGGCCCAATTGACGTCTTTTTCGACATTTCGCCGCCAATGGCTGCCTCTTCGACTCATATCAAGAGCGGCATCTTGTCCCTTGCGCACTCCGGCCGAGTCAGTCTCATGGGCGGCATTGCGGGCGATATATCCATCCCCTACGGCACAATCATGTTTAATGACTTGAAACTCCACGGGAAGTTCATGTACGAGAGGAAGGACATTAGGATGCTGATCAAGATGGTAGAATCGGGCGTCATGGGACTTGGGGAAAAGATTGGAGCCCGCGTTGAGGGCAAGTTTGGTCTTGAAGAATGGGATCAGGCTTTTACGGCTGCAAAGGAGAATGCTGGGCCGGGGCAATATGTTGTCATTGCTCCCTGAAAGACAGATCGTTATAGTAGATTGTTAAAAACGGCATATAGTAACAAATTTATTCAAGTTTAACAAAACGATAATACTTCGCTACGCTTTTTATATAAACAGAACTCTATGAGTCAATGTAGGCCTTTCGGGTCTCAGGAAAGTCAACAAAGCCCTTTCCAGCAACAAAAGTCGTGTGCCATGGCTGTTCATTTTTGTTTTCAGCCAACTTCAGATACGCCTCTGCGTGGGCAGCGCCCGAAACGCCACTAGTAACTGCTCTTCCTTCAGCGGTACGCTCATCGGCGAAATAGAAGCTACACAGAATAATCCTTGTTAGTCCATCTGGAATCATAACATATAAAGCGATAGTAGAATTAACTCTGGAAAACTTACCCGTAGCCCTTGCTCTTATAATGCACGCTTGCACCGCCGATCCACGCGGCGGCAGCGCTCTTACCAGCAGCAAGCGTGACGAAAATCGGATTAGACATGGTGACTGCGTTGAGCCAGTTGCCAGTGTAGATGAAGGCCTTTGACAAGGACTTGTCCAGCCTCTCAAAGCCTGCAACGGCCTCTCTGGCTGCGATATAGGCCGAGGTGTTATTCAGCCTCAGGTCCTTTTCAAAAGCATCAATGTCGACGGTGAAAGGATTGGAGCCATCAGCGGGCGGCGTCAGAGCGGCGGCATTGTAAATGACCACGTTGGGATCGGCGCCGAGCTTCTGGCGGACGGATTCGAAGATTGACGGGACGGTGTCTGGCTTGGAGAGGTCTGCAGGGATCTGGAGCTGCTTGTCTGAGGAGGACTCTTTGATGGAGCGCGAAACAAGGGCTACTTTGTAGCCGGCTTGGGAGAATGCGCTGGAGAGGGCTTGGCCGACGTTGGAGCCGGCGCCGAGGATGAGAGCGATGCCTTTCTGGGAAGCCATTGTTGTTGTCGTTGTTGGTGGTGGTGGTGGTGGTGGTGGTGGTGGTGGTGATACTACTATTGTTGATGATTGTAGTGCTTGTTGCTTTTGATGGGTGTTCGATGTATGCTAAGGCTTTCTCTAAATGCTTGTTTGCTCGTTACATGTCCATCCTTTTATACTGCATTGCTGCTATTGATCCATTATATAAAATACAATACATTAATCATAAATTTATAAGCTCATTACCCATCATTCTGCGTCTTCTGCATTATTAAGTCTCAGTCCCTCATAACACAATTACGATAGCATGTACCTACAGTCGCATCATGCATAGCCTTGCCAGATCTTTCTGCCGCGCCGTCCAATCAGGATGACGACAGCAACGCCTTGGCAAGGTCAGCCTGGCCTCCAGCCTTATGATTTCAAATCGTGGCTGCCCACCCTTGATTAACAACTCTACTAGGGATGAGGCTGAAGATTGTTGCTTCGGTACTTGCATTGCAAACAACCGCGCGCGATGTGGAGGTGTCTTAAACTAGCGAGGTAGGGTGGTTTGTTAGCTTCAGTGCTGATTTCCGTAATTCCGCTCTGCGTTTGGCAAAGAGTCTCTCTCTATTGGAGGGATGACGTGATAAATCATACTTAAGTTTCTTGGTAACGCCATGTAGTGGGTATTCAATGTTCTGCCAGTATAGGAACGTTAGACAGAATACACGTGTCTACCCTCTTAGGTTGGCTACTTTGAAGAAAAGGGGTGAGTCCAGACTAGAACTGCCACAAAGAGACATGTTTTTTTTTTTTTGAGTCTGTATAAACATTGATTCGAGCTTGCACAACTATCTTGTTCAAACTTGTATCTGGTATAACTATTTAATTCAACTTGTATATACATCGTCTCGCTTGCGAAAGATAGACCGACTCATCCTGGATAGTGAACAACCAGGTACAGTATTAAAGGAAATCTTGCAAATATCCCATTCCCACACCCAACAAAAACATGCGCCTTTTTCTCCCATAATTGCGTATAAAATCTTGCTAGAGTATCACCATCACCATTTTAATCTGTGAATAAAATATGAAGCAGCTCAAGGCCAGAACAAAAGCCAATAGCCCTTCACATTAATGGCTGCCCTCCTTCTTCATTCATCCTCGCATTCAAGATGAACTCGAACGGATCGATTGACATGAGGGTCTCCACGTCAATCATCCTCCAGTCGAAATCCGGATCTTGAGCCCCTGGAAGGTTCATGACACATGAGTGGCCGTCGTTACAAGCAGAAAGAATTGGCGGTATCGATTCTCGGGAGCCGTTTGGCGCATAGTAGTTTAGTGACATGGATGGTATGGAGGGCGGGTACGCAGAAACAGAAGTATCGGAGGGCGTCATCAGGTTGTTAGCCAACGGGAGTGATGGGTCAGTGGGGCACTGAGGCGTCTCGGCGAGGGTTGTTTCTATTCTGCGGCAGGGGCAGTTGGCGCAGGGGGCAACCGTGCAGATGATGCGGTTGATGGCCTTGATAAGAATCTGGGTCTGAGACGGCGACGCCTCGTTGGTTGGAGACATTGTGGAGAGACACTCCAGAGCAACGTGAAGCCACGGTAAGTGGGCGTCTACTTTGGTTTTGTCCTGGAGCATGTCGAATCCCAGCACATAGCAGGCGCCTTCGAGGAAGAAGGAAAAGTATTTTGTGTCCTGTTAGAACGGTGTAAGTCCAGGTCCATCTTGTTTCAATGTTCTGTGACCAGCAAGCTTTCGCACATACCTTGCAGAGGGGGTTGATCTCGCACGACTTATTAATGTACTTAATAATCTGGCGAGCCGGCTCAAGGCAGTATTCACATGCAGTATCCAGCCACGTCAGCTCTCGAAGCTTGTCGCTAGACTCGGCACCGGCCTGCGGCGCCGGGCTTCTCAGTTTCCCCCTGAGAACAAGGAAGGGGCGGAACATTAATAGCTGAGCATGATAATACACTGAAAAGGGGGTCCCTGTTAGTTTCCAATGGAGCATATAAAGAGAGGATGATATTTCTTGACATACTCGAGGCCATGATGGTCTTGCAAAATCCACATTCGCCAGTACCTGGCTCTCCCTGGATGTCGAGGTGAACTTCGTACAGTTGCTGCTCTACATACGCCTGGAGCTCATGTCGAAGCTCCGTTGCAGCGTTCCACATATGGAGCAGTGACTCGTGGCGTTGGTTATAGATGCGCGCCGCACATTTCGAAATGAGTCTTGCCAACCTCACAAGGGCCAGCAAGTACTTTTCCTCCGCCGGCACGGGGACACCGCCGCCTGGATCTGAAATGGATGTCGGACGTCCGAGGCAGAAGCAAATCCAGCTGCAGAAAGTAGGTCAGCAAAATTACAAATCATTTTTTAATATATATACAGAGGACTAGAAGGATGCGAAGGATCAAAAGTGTGCGTACGTTTCCTGGATGAATAGGCTCCAAAAGGTCAGGCGACGCTGTAAGCAGTCTCGCATCTGCCCTCGAATGCTAATGCCCCTATGTAGACCTGCTGCAACCGCTTTCCTAGTAGCCACACCAACGTATAGGAATGCAGAGTGCGGTCGGGATCTCTCCATCTGGAACTGCGCTTGCAACAATGGGATGTGGATTGCTTGGATGTTGACGAGCTCGGCCAGCTTCTCGGCTCCCTGTGATGCTCGCTGGAAGAGAAACTGCGCCAGTGTTTCCTCTTCTAGAATTGAGGCACCAATGGCCATTGCCAGCATGACCACCACGACATCGGGAGAATCAAAAGAGAAGAGCCCTGGTGATGAGTAGAGCAGATCGGTGCGACGACGGAAGTCCTCCTTGGTCAGGATGGGCAACAGGTGCCAGTAGGTGGCCAAGTACCGCTCCAGAACGCGATCGCACAGCTCTCTATTCAGGAACATTGCAGAATAGTCATTTGATATTGTGGTAGACTTGCTATCGGCCAAGTCGCCAAAGAAGAGCTGCCGGTTCTGAAACAGATCCAGCCCTGGGCCAACCTGGGCCACCTCTTCGCGCCGTGTTAGTGGGGTCTGGATGCCTGTGATCAGCCGGTAGATGGAGTGTAGCATCGAGAAGTTGGACGACGGCCCATAGTGCAGCTGGATGATGGATGACGGCGACGTCGTGATGGCTGCCACACTGTGCACATGGAACCCCCAGCTGTTGTCGTCCTTGGGCTTGCTGCCCTGCGGCTCGTGGGTCGAGTGAGACGATCCGGGCGTTTCATCCGAGTTGCTGGAGCTGGACGAGGCCACCGTGGCCGTGGCCGATGCCTGCGACTTACGCGGCCGGTTCCTGGTCCGAGTGCGGTAGACGCACGACACGTTCCGGTTGAGGCAGCGGGCACATGGTTCGTTGCCGTCGCACCTCGTTTTTCGGACCCGGCAGGCCTCGCAGGCTTTGCCGATGTTGGTCATGGCCCCCGGAGTTCTGGAGAGCAAATGTGGTTGTCCGAAACGGCGGAGAACGGGACACCCGGGTGTTACTCAACAAGCAGCCAGTGAGTGACGCTGTTGGCTATCGTCTGATGTCAACTGGGCGTTGAGTCCGAGAGACGGAATAAGAGAACTAACACATCGAATTCCGCAGTGGGAGGACTTGGTATATTTGCAGAGCTGAGAGGGCTACATTTGTCAGCTCGAAGCAAACACAATCTAAATACCCAGCATTGAGTCCACTTGGCCTTCCCGCAATCCTATGAGACAAAGCATTGCCCTTGCCCAGCAAAATATCGTAGGATCATGGACCTTCTGCCGTGGTGGAGCAGCGGAATTAGTTGATAGAGACATTCGCATTCTGTCGCTGCATTTAGTCTTATCGATACCTTAGTTTGCCACGCGAGCAGCAGAATAGTCGCCGGAAATACGCCGCTTATACGCCTATGCGGATGGTTGCTGACAATTCCGTGGCCATAATTCCGACACCTGCGACTTTCATATGAAAAGGGTCAAGCAAGAGTAAAAACTAGCTCAAGCTAATAGATACTATCCTGCAAGAATACTTGGCGAAGAGCAAGGCGCGAGAACCGATTGGTTCTGCAGATTCTTTCCTATCCCTATTAATACACGTATTATCCAATGAGCTGTTGTTGGTATACATAGCTAGCTGTAGGCACATGCATCATTTCAACCAAGTAGCCCAGTTCTTTCTGGAAGTCAGCCATCAGCTTCGTATTGCTACTACCTATAGTCCCACATACGGCATAAAAGATGATCTGCTTCTTTCAGAGTTGACGTTCAGACATACACTGACAAGTTATCATACACGACCAGCAGCTGACATTCAACTCCTTTAAGTTACATACCTACGTGTAGCGCCTGAATACATGTACTGGACTAAATTGAGACAACTAAGCGAGCGCCACTTTTGCTGTCATTTCTGTCAACTGGTCAATAGGCACCTGTATTTCCGCTTGGGCTATACAATATCCGTACTAACAAGCCTAGCTCGCAAGGTTCAATCCTAGCCACTCATTCCAATGCGTCAAGATAAAAGCTCATTCCAGCCATGTCCTGCATCTTTGGGATGTACTTTACATTATTGCCAAATTGCAAATCATTTCTTTGCTGTTCTAATTGAGTCACCTGGCTACATGGTTGTTAGAAAAGATATCACCACTCAACTAAGAGGTTGTACCACCTTCTCTTTGCAGGAATCCGCTAATAGCGATTTGTGGGGCAAACAGCTGTTATAAAATAAGCAAATGTTTACCTAATAAAAAATATTTATATATATTATGTAATTTTATAACTAGAATTATGTTATTAGTTATAAAACGCATATAAGTTATTACATTTTAGCATAAGTTGCTGTGCAATAGAATAGAACTTCTACAATTCAAGTTTATGTTTTATATGTTAGTCAAATGGTATGTTTATGCATGATTGACTGAAATGATTTTCAAAAATCAACATCCTTCATTACATATTAAGTTTGTAAGATGTATTCCGTGGAAGAAACGAAGTCATATGTCGCAGTACGGCAATAGGAAGCCTAATTTTCCACTGGTATAAGTTTGGAAATGAGAATGGAGGTGAAGAGTTGTGTCGTCCGATTGGTGGCAGGCACGGTGTGAAGATACAGTGTGCACGCCAAAATACACGGACAACTTAACACTCACGCATCGCGAGAGAGCATTCAACCCGCTCGAGGTCGACGCAAATTATATGCGCCGCACCGTATGGTTGAGAGCTTTAAATATCTCCCATGCACATATCCAAAACATCAGATTAGATGGAACATCTCAGAGGCATTAATGGCTGGCTCTTGGAAACGCCGCTTTCCGAACGCGACAGCTATTACTCGTGGCTCTGCCTCCGGTGGCACATCATCTTCAGCCTCATCTTTCAATATGTTCGAATCTGCACTGTTTGGACACCGATAGAAGCCCGCAATAGGATTCTTATCCGATTGCAAAAGGGATACTATCCTTTGCGCCAGGACTCAGTGTGGCTTTGCCTCGGAATTAGAGCCTTGATTCTGGCCCGATACTTTTGGCTAGCTGCAAAGGTGCTCTTCCTAGAGCTCTATTTCCTGAACTTCCTGTTCTGGAAATTTCATGAATATGCTCGACGAAGGAATATCCTACCTCAACTCACAAGACTCTTCTCTCCTGGTTTTCATAGACTTGCCGTACTTGCACCCGGCTCGCCCTCCAGACTTCGTTACGCAGTCGCAAATATTGTCGCAACAACTTGGTGCTTATGGGCAAAGCTCTTTCCGCTCCCACCGATAGCTTGGGCCGCCTTTGTTGTAGTGAACTCATTCATGAGCTGTTACAATATGAAGGCGACTATGGTATAAAAGTGCCGTGCTCCAGTACCGATGTGAGGGATAGCGTACAGTGTGTATCCTCTACGGTAACTGTACGCGGATTTAAACAGACTGATGTCGCAATCGCAGCAATAATCTCGTCAAACTCAACGCTGTTTAACAGCGAAACAAACTTTACGGTTTTTGACATTGAAACCAATCAACCAGTTAAAAATGGCTGTCAAGAGACTCAAGATTGCCGTGCTGGACGACTACCAAAGGGCGTCTGAGCCATACTTGGCAAAGTTCAAGGATGACCATGAGATTGTCTACTTCCCCGACACCCTGCCGCCATATAACGGCGCAGACACCCCGCAGTCAGTTAAAGACGCTTTGGTAAAGAGACTTGAGCCATTCAACGTCATCAGTATGCAATAATGGCAGAATTCTGTTCAACCTGGAATGAGTATCAATGCTAAATTTTCCAAGGTACTGTGAGAGAGCGGACGCCATTTCCCGCCGAATTGGTGAATCAGCTGCCCAATCTACAGCTCCTCCTAACTCAGGGACGACGAAACCTATCGTTGGATCTGGATGCCTTCAAATCGCGGGGCATTCCCATCGCCACAGCGATCCACAATCATGCTACTGTGGAAAATGCGGTTGAGAGCACGGTTGAGCACATTGTGACCATGATCTTGGCCCTCGCACGCAACATCGCAGAAGACGATGCGGGCGTCAAAGCGGGCATCTGGCAAAGCGGCCTTTGCACGTCTCTGTCCGGGAAAACCCTAGGCATAATCGGACTGGGTCGTCTGGGTGGTGCCGCAGCGAGGATCTTCCACCTTGGCTTTGGCATGAAGATCATCGCTTGGAGCCAAAATCTAACTCAGGAAAAAGCTGATGAGCAGGCCGCTCACTTCAGGCTGCCAGCGACAACTGCTGATGGAGAAAAGACTTTCAAAGCTGTCAGCCGAGAGGAGCTCTTCAAGACCGCTGATGTGGTCAGCGTGCACGTTGTGCTCTCGGACCGCACCCGAGGCTTTATTACATCCAAAGATTTGGATCTGATGAAGCCGTCATCCTTCTTCGTCAATACGTCAAGAGGCCCGCTCGTTGCCGAACAGGACCTACTCAACACTGTCAAGGCTGGTAAGATTCGAGGCGCCGGGCTCGATGTGTTCTGGAAGGAGCCTCTTCCCCCTGATAGCGAGTGGAGGAATCCGAATTGGGGTAAGAATGGCACCAGCCATGTGCTACTCACGCCTCACACGGGCTATGTTGAGGAGGAGGCTATCACAGGGTTCTATGAGCAGGCCGCCAATGACTTGGAGGCGTGGATTGCTGGGAAGGATTTGAGTGCCCGGCTTGCCTAGTAAACAGGGCGCATGCGATGATCAACAATCGCCTTTTAGCCATGTTTGGCTCGCGCGGTTATAGTAATGGAGTTTGAGGGCAGTGCTGTCATAAAAAATGTGAGAAATTAAACTAGGGAATGTAGGCATTGGAAGCATTATAGAATAACAGTGGCCAATATCTGGCATATCAATACGTTGGCCCATAGCAGTTTTCATATAATATCTAAATATTATGAGTTAGATAGCAGGGCATCTTTACGTCCAGTAATCACAGAAACCATTCCGAATAGTGATTATTTGTACAAATTAGGTATCTTCAACTGTTTCTGTGCCAGCTATATAAAATAAATAATCTCCACCGCAGCTAAAACGTGCCGATACAGTGGCGGATAGCATAAGCCAAAATGTCATGAAAATATAATCGTTGGCTAGGGTAACAGAACCCCTAACCTGGACGAAAATCATCTGCACCAGGGCCATACTGCCAAGTGAGCAGGTGTGACAAAAATACAGTCTGCGTAGCCAATCTTTATTTGTGTTTCATGCTTATTGTTTTTATTGTCTTTTCTCTCCATTTCAAGCATGATATACTCCGTAGCCTATATGCCTTTTACTTTTAGTTTCTTTTTTCTTTGAGGTACGACCATATATTAGCCTTGAATTTAAATTTGATACAGCGCGTGCATGGACCGTATTGTTATGCTAACTTCGATGATAATACCCTGAATCGCCAAAAATACCCCTTAAATAGCTATGCTGGGTTCAATTTTCTTCATGTCATCGCGTTTGGGTGATGAACTTTGTGCAACGCTAACAATCTAGGCGTTTGCTTAACATCACAAAGGATGTAACGTTGAACAGACATAAAGCTAAAACATCCCAGCTTTCTTTGCCCGTTGCTTTGTGAATTTCACATCGCTTAGAGCTCGCAATGTTTCATACCTGACTTTGATCTCATTTTTCATTTCATTCTCAATTGTGACCTGTTGACTGAAGCAATATTAGTTGCGTCTTGAACTTTTTTTTTCTTCTCCATTTACCCCCACAAACTGCATAATGGCCAATCCTGTACTGCCTATCGAGCACCTGGGCGCGTTTTAATTTTGAAAATTCATGACCGATCTGTAGATGCGCATATCGCGCTCCAGCATGTTTTCTAATCCATTCGTGCTGGGCGACTGCTATCCTATGGAGCGACCACGAGGGTTAAATAGTCGCATTCAGAAAACTTTCTTGAACTATTTCGACACCGACACTATGAGGCTGGGGATGCTCCGGTATGCACGCTCAATCACAAGCTAAAGTAGCATATCCGCATATCCGTCCAGTCCGAACATGGTAAAATAACCATGATTATATACTACTGTAGCCCCTTGTTAAAATGCTTATCGGCCTTATTTCCAAGATCAGCAATTCCCGTTTCCCCTCTTGGAATTAGTAAAGCATCTCCTCACTTTGTCTTTTTCTCATTCCCGTTTGAACAGCAACTCAAGAGTTATTTGAAAGGAAAAGAGAAAAGAGAGAATTAAAAAAAAANAAAAAAAAAAAAAAAAAAAAAAAATAATAACGCGAATTTTGCATTGCTAAAAAAAAGATACAGAAATAATAATAATTTAGTTATTAGAGTGAAATCATAGGTGGGAAAATGGTGGGAAAATGGCGTGGAATGCAGCTTGATCAGCTGAAGAATACAACCTAGCGGTCTTGGGATGTATGCACCGCTGATCGCTTGGCTGTCTTACGGGGGAGGCACTTGATTGAAACTACGGTGTATAAAGCTTCACAGGGCGAAGTCATGTTGCTAAGTATATCAGGTGGACGCGATCATGTATAAATTCGCATCGTCCCTTAATGCCGCCGTTGAAGTAGATGCCATATTTCAAAAAGCGACTTCACATTCACCTTTATTCTTGTCATGACACAAGAGCTGGATGACACTAATTGGATTTTAATCTGCTTTTGATTATGCAAAACCTCAACGGCGTTGCAAAAATATTTCCACGAGAGGCTACGCCGTCCGTCTCCCCGCGGGTTTCCACCCATCCTAAATTGGCACTTGGTTTAGAACGCCCCATCGATCTAGCCAGGGGCTAAACGTTGCTTGCATATGATGCGACAGCCCAATGTGACAATGTAAGCACTGAACTTAGGACAGGCCACGGTCTATCGTCCGGAGACCTGCCGTATTGTATCCATCTCAAGCGCCGTTGGCTGGCGTGCCCACAAAGCGTTGTCGGTCGAACAGGCCCAAAATGGCCTACCAAATGCTGCTAGTAGCAGAAGCATTCGGTCTTCATGCTACGCAAACGTTAGCTCCATCTCTCGTAAATTGATTAGTGAATGCCGGTGTTCTTGTTCTTGGTTAAACGGAATAGGCAGGTCAATGCTGGTAGATATTGAGACATGGATCAGCATACCGATGGCTCCATCACGAGCTTCTCAATTGAGCACAAGGATGTAGAATGGAGGGCAAGATGTGATGTGGTATATAATCAAGCTGCCGCCCTTTCTACCAGTCTATCCTTCTTTCTATCATAGCCACCGCCTTCTTTACTACATCAAGCGGATACTCATTAGCATCTGCCTCGGAAATCAAGATGAAGGGATCAACTTTGAAGAGCCTCCTCGCCGGCTCCGGCCTCGTCTCGATGGCTGCCGCCGTCACTCCCATCTCCGACTCTGACATGACCAATCTCCTCAACGCTGGAGGTGTCGAGCTCGCCATGAGGGCCCAGCCCATGTGGTTCTTCGGCCAGGCTATGAACCAGCCCCCGTGCATCCCAACTTTTGCTACGCAGCCCGATAACTCTCAGACCCCTTCGGCTGCTCTTTGCGCTTACCCCAACGTTGGCTGCAACTGCCGCAACCCAGGCGTTCCCATCACGAACCCATCGCCCTCGTTCCCCACCTATTATAGCTACGAGAAGTGCAATGCTACCACCATCCGAATCCAATACTCCCTGTTTTATGAGAAGGATGGGTAAGGCTCAGCCTCGAGAGCAATTTTGCTTAGCATGAAGATTTACGATGCTAACTGAGCTCAATTAGTACCCAGCCTCAGGGCATCTTGGGCCACCCCTAGTAAGTACTGGATGATTTGATTTTGGCTATATTCCATCAACTAACAATCTCAAGCGACTGGGAGCGTGTCATTGTCGAGTGGGCCTTGGGTTCAGATGGAAACTGGGTGCAGAACCAGGCTCTTCTTTCTCAGCACTCCGGCTATGACAGACTGAGCTGGGGCAGCATCCAGAACACATTCAACACTGCGGATGGCACACTGCAGCGAGGAGGTGACAACGGACGCACAAATCTTGACCACCCCAAGGTATGACTTCTATTTGAGCGCCTAGAAAGGGGCGTATTTATTTCAAGGACTTTTACTTACTCGAGTCTAGGTCTACATTGCGTGGAGCAAGCACGCCAACTACGATGACCGCAACACTGTAAGAATAAATGTTTCTACCCACTGAAAATGGGAAGATTGCTTCTAACACACATGTCACAACAGGGGTGGAACGATCCTCTTTCTCAGCTCGACAACAACGCTTTCCGTAGCCAGGACTGGTGGTATTTCCCCGTTGCATGTAAGTGACACAGGCTCAAGATATCAGCCAAACCTGATATGCTTGTTTTAGTATACATCGCTAATGCTTCGCAGCTGACTACCTCCGCGCTGACGGCTCAACTGCTCTGGGCCAGCTTCTCAGCAGCTACAACTGGGGCGACGCCTCTTCCAACCCTCCCTCTGTTCACGCAAGCCTGTGCTCTCAATGATTCTAATACTAATTCATCATGTGTATATAAGTAACGGCATAGAAATGCAATTATATTGATGTGCAACGACCAACTGGGGAGTCTGCGTGCCTGGGACTGTTGTGATATCTAAGAAAGTAGGCGATGCATGTTTTAGCCAATTCGAGGCATAATTCCCTTACAAGTCCATATGCTAGATGGTAATTGGCTACTATCGAAAACCTTCTGTTACTCTCGTCCCGCGACCTTTAAGACAAGATACAAAGCCTGTTTAAGACATGTATGATGCAATCAGCCTTATGGCCAAGCCCCACAGCCGGCCCGGGCCGGTTGACTCCTCCGAGATCTCCGTGACCAACGGCACAGCTGAACTTCATTAAATAAATGCCTTTGCATAAGGCGATAAGAGAATTAGAGGCTTGATACGCGATATACAGTGCATCGGCTCCTTTATTCAGTGGGATGAACTGCTATGCATTGATGCCTCAAGCAGACGGTGCTAGTGAGATTTTGTCTCATTGCTGCGTCAACGGAGATCAAGATGCAGTGTTTGACATGGGGGTGCTGTTCTGCTCAGCTTATGCCGAAAAACCCTCTCCGATTGGTGATACGGCAGTGTGCTCCTCCCTAAGAGACGGCCGTAATGCCGCACATAACCTGCGATGGCTCGTATTTGATCCAACGCCGATGAAGCTAAGACCCAGCCAGATCCGATCCCCCCTGATTACTCATCCACCGCCGCACACTCTGGCTCCCGTAATGCTCCGCGCTGCGAGACCGGATGCCGGCGTTAAATCTCCATTTGTCAGGTTAAACGACAACTTATTCATCAGCAGAGGTTGCTCGGCGTCCCAAACGGGCTACCAAGACGCACAACCTCGCGTTTTGATTCAGGCAGTCCGGCGGCGAGTCCGGTGCACGCTGTGCCGGTTTGAGTTTTGGGAAGGAGCTCGCCGGCGCGTCAGGTGATCGGCACCAGCAACGCTGATGGCCAAAACCCGTCCGGCATTTGTCTGACTGCATCGCCACATAGACGCCCATTGTCGACTTCTTGGCATCTGGATCTGCGCCGCCAATTGTGCCTGGTTTGCACGGCCAGACACGCCAATCCACTCAGGCACCCAGCTGTGGCTTAATTTTATTTTGCAACTGAGACGGCCTGGCACTGCGACAGGGGAGCGGGGATCTAACTGCATGAGACGCGGGGCAGTGCTTGGGCTTAGACCCCCCATTGTCTGCGAGCCAAGCCCAGGGATCCTTTTTGTGCGATCACCAGCAAATATCTCCTTCGCAGACCATCGTATTCGCCGCGCCGGTGGCCTGCCATGTCGTCGGCAAAAGCCACCAAGAAGAGCGCGTTCTCGTGCGAGCCGTGCCGTAGACGCAAGGTGAGCTTGGCTGCATCCAGCGGTGCCCATGTGTCTGGTTCTCTAGCTTCCGCTGCACCATGCGTAGTGGCCGCCAGCAAAGATTGGTCCGATGTCTCGAGCTGACTTTACCTGGGGCGTTAGGTCAAATGCGGCGGCGAGCAGCCTATGTGCCAACGCTGTGCTGCTCGCAACGATGAATGCGTATACAAACTGTGTGTGACTTGATGTCTCACTCGTCATGTCTTATATAAGTATCAGCACTGTGACTGACACGTCTGCAGGAACCCGACGCTGTCGTACACGCAGCGTCTTGAGGACCGCATCAAGGAACTGGAAGAGCAGCTGGCAAAGGCCACGGCGACGACAACAACAACACCACCTGTGGCCACCGACAGCAAATCCCCCATATCAACTCACTCAAGCCCCTCGCCCTTCGGTGGCACTCAGCAAGATGGGCGGCAGCAGATCGACGACAGCATCAGCCGGAGTTTCCGAGCACTGAAGATAGATGACAAAGGCAGCATCACGTATCACGGGACTACGAGCTTTTTCAACCTCCCCAGCGATCGCACCTCCGCGGTCACGGCAGTTGACCTGCACCCCACGGCAGCCGATATCGAAAGTCAGCGAAGAGAACGTCTCGTCTCAAATGCGTGGCAACAACGCGTATTGGAGGAGCATTCTGGAATTCCCGTACGTGCCATGATATGCTGCTCGCTATTTGATTGCAATCATCTCATTTTTTTTTTCTCGCAGGAACCTTTCCAAACACTTCTGAATGTTCACTGGTGCTGGATACAACCCCTTTTCAACTTCATCTACAGGCCTGCCTTTACTCGTATGCATCACTGTAGCCTTTTCCCGTTGGTGGTCTTCTGGTGATATTTACTGGTGTGTAGGTGATATGCAGTCCTTGGGTCCATATTACTCGCATACGCTTCTAAATGCCGTCCTGTCACATTCAATACGATGGGCAAAGAGCGATCCCAATACACGGCGCATACTCGACGAGTCGTACGATGGTGGTGCGGTCTTTGGTAAGCACGCACGCAGCATGCTGTTTGAAGAGCTAAGTAGAGGCGTCTGCACGATTCCGACGATTCAGACATTGCTCCTCCTGAGCGCTCAGGAGTGCAGCCTTGGAAACACAACCCAAGCCTGGACATATAGTGGCTTGGCGTTTCGATTGATTGACCACTTGGGAATACACGTCGATGGGGAACGCTATCCTGGGTCCGTGCAGTTCAGCGACGAAGAGGTAGAAATTCGGCATCGAGTCTTTTGGTCATGTTATTTCTGGGACAAAATCATAAGCCTTTATCTCGGTCGATCACCATCGTTAAAACACACTATGGTATCCCCACCTCAGATGATGTGTAAGTCTATTGTTGTCTTCACACCCATGTCTTATATTTGGCTGCTAATGATTGCTGAAACAAGTTGATGACTCTGCTGAAAACGAGTTGTGGGTTCCCTTTGGAGCGCCTCCACTTCAAACTGCACCGTGGAAGTACCCACCTGCCACGGCCCATTCAGCCTCGTGTTTCCTAAGCATGTGTCGGCTGTCCGTCATATTCAACGAGATTTTGATTCACATGTATGATCCACTCATGCAGAACACAGAGTCGGAGATTCTAGAGTGCTTGGTCGCGCAGGAACCGGCTTTACAGCAGTGGTGGGATGAGTTGGCGCCGTATCTGAAGCTCGATCCTGCGGCTCTGCCTGCACTGGCCCCACCGTCTCATATTGTCACCACCAAGTAAGCTCAAGCGAATAGAATATTGAGTTTGCAGCTTGTTAACCATTCAATAGTTGCCTTTTCCAGACGTTTAAAATACTTCTCTACCGCCCAATGCTCACCCGAAGAAATCTGGAAGACAACGTGGCCTCTCATAAGCGTTATCTTGTTGAATGTGTAACGTCTGCTACGGCCATCATAGCCATCTTTGACCTCTTTTGTCGCACATTCACCATGAACTACTGCGTACTGTCTCTCGCATATAGCCTCTATATTGCTTCATCAATATTTTTGCTCCAGGTTCAAGCTGCCCCGGATGACGCACAGGCATTGGGGCGCCTGAACTACTGCATCCAGGCTCTGAAGCAAGTCAAGACTTTCAGCCCAGGTAAGCCGTGGACTCAAGCTTCACGCTAGATATAAGCTCTTCATAATACTGACGTACCTCAGTCATCGGCAGCGCTATCGATTTGTTGAATAAGGAACTTGCAGCAATCGGGATCTCACTGGATGTGCAGGAGCACTACCAGCCACCTCCAGCCCCCTCTCCTAACTTTCATTCAGAAAGCTCAATGTATCCAAGTGTCGAGATACCGTCTTCGCAACCACAAACCGCTCACCCGTTGTTTCAAGTCCCCTCAGCGCCTAGCTATGGCGCCCAAAGTATGTCCATGGATCCAGGCATCTTCGAGGCCATGTCGTCTCTAGAACCGCTAAGCGTTCGCGTCGGCGCCCTTCCCAATTCCGAAAATCAAGCTCCTTTCTAGCCAGCGAGATGGCCTGTCGTCCCATCTATGAAAAGCCATGTCTAAAGAGCAATCGAGACGCTTAAATGAATAAACTTCATCGTAGCTCGATATTACCAAGAGCTAGACTGTGCCGCCATAGGAGGCAAGGTCGGCTTTATCCCACATCTTAGGTATAGTCCGATATCATCCTCGTTGTAAACTGTGGCGTCTACTTCGAGAATAATCCTGTCCGGGAGTCGGTTCGAGCGTCGAGCTGACGTTGTGTCCTTCAGGATTGTGTTCACTAGGCCAAGAGAGAGAGAAAATCATGACTTGCTCCCCGTTCACCTTTTCCTAGTTGTCCACGTGGCATGATCTGAATCATAGTATGATCTCCGTTTGCGTGTAGTAAAAGGTGGCAAACGAAGGGTTTTGATAGAGCTCCAGTGCGAGAGAAGTGCATCTCTGCTGGAAGGAGACCTTATATAAGTGGCATTGCCGCAATGATGCGGGGCGGTGTCCCCAGCTACCGATCCTTCGGTAAAGCTCCGACTGCAGTTGACAGGCTGATTGAAAAAGCGATACCATGGTGCAAGATGATTAGGGCGGAAGTTGCCCGAAAGACGATGGATAGTGGCCTCTAATTCCCCGTCGCGGCTGTCGGCTGCAGGCCAATGCGTGGCAGTAGCAAGACATCGGCTGCGGGGTCTTTGATAGGATAGGGAATCTGTTTTACCTGCCAGTAAGTAGTGCTCCACGTATGCTGGATAATACTACTTCCAATAGCGAATTGATGGGGTCATCCATTTTTTTCCCCCAATACTACTACTACTTTGATAACAACCTACTATTCATCTCGCAACTGCAGCCTATCTCCATATACACCAACATTTAGGTCGTTGATCCCGTCGGCACACACTCTAATCAATGAACCAGCCATCCGTACTCTCCGTCCCCAGTGAGACCATATCTTCTAGGGTCAACAACGATGTTATATGCGTTCATGGCCATTTCCAGTCTTTACTCCGCCTGAGTGAGACGAATGACCCACAGACACGCGGTCATGACAACCATGAGCAGGATTAGGGACCTCGCTGAAGCACAAATCCATCGCACGGGAAACGCGGCTGACAGATCATATTCCTGCTCATGGATATGCACATGGTTGAATGGACGGCGATCGATGTGACCTATGAAAGTAGCTAGTGGTTGGCGTCCCCCAAAGTGAAATATTCTTGTTCTAATTCGTGGAAATTTTAAATAGGGGCAGCCAAAAGGGTTGGTTATAGCATAAGCCCATGATGCCATCCGGCAGATGAGTCGCAAAAGCATTATTCTCCGACATCATAAATTGCGAATGTCAGGCTGTCTTGGCGGGTGGGATCTACATAGGCCATGTCTTTTGATACCGGAAGAATAGAGCACATGCACAAGGAGGCAGTTGAGTGTTGTCTCGGCGTTATCCCCCTGATGCTGTCATCGGTATCGAAGGTGCAGACCAACAAACGCCTAGGTATATACAATGCTTCGTATTACGCCTTGGATTGGCGTTTACATAGTGGAGTCCAGCTTCATGGGTAAAAAGATGTGCGCTTCTTACGCAGGGAGAGAAGGACGGGGAATGGTAAGGCAAGGGAGATGCTGGTGGTGCGTATAACCAATGGCCGGGACTGGGAAACACGCCCAGCAGCACACTGACTCCTTATAGGTCGTATATGATGGCGATGATGAGTGATACCTATTTCCACAACGAGGAGGTGCCCCGCCAGGGAGGGTCATGCTACTCATGCTACTGCTATTTCACACTGCTCAGAATAGTAACATGCTCATGCAAACTAGATCCATGGCGCCCGCGTCCAAGCGATCTCTCCCTCCTCGCAGGCTTCCGGGGCGCTCGACTTACGCAAATCGGAAATGACGGGGACAGCGGGAGCAGCCGTATTGGTCCGCTGGGTGAACTGGGTTGTGGAACATGATCTGCTCCGTCACCCGTCGGAAGGAGGCACGACGCTGAGGCCGCCAGTAGCTATCATGGAGCCTCACAGCTGTTGTGGGACGCTGGAGCTTGGGCGTTACGGATCGGAGCACTCGGAAGTTGGCCGACAGCACCCCCCCACGGATTCGCGTTTATCGGGCAGATGAGCTGCTGCGAGCTCCATTCTATTTACACAAGGGGCGTGCAGTGTTTTGCAACACCATGATTTTGCGATGGCGATGTTTTTCAGGGCCTCATGCTTTTTAGACACACTACTATTTTCTGTCTCTGCCTATAACCTATATGGCGAAAAGAGGCGCAGCTCTCTCAATTCAAGCCTGGCCCCTTTAATCATAATCCTTTTGGCCTTAGGCAAATAGAGCGGCATCTCAATTGGGCCTGGACTGGGAGGCGTCTTAGCGGGTTGAATATCGGCTAAACTCGTGATGGTATTGGAGACTAGAAATATCGCCGTGATTCTGCGGCTAAATCTGGTAAATCTACTTGCGCTCTGGTAGCTGCATTGACCTCCACCTACCACGCCGGAGCGGGGTCCGCGCGCCATGGCCTGTGAGAACGAAGCCGAGTCGGGAACAGCTGCTACAGCGTTCACTGCGGTCTAGACGCCGAACCCTTTTCATCGCGACAATGCCTCGTTTCTCGCATTGGTGATCGGTCCAGTTCGCAATCTGGGGAGCTGCCCTTTTGGTCCCTGCGACCTCAATTCGGACGCCAAGTCGAGCCAACCGCCGGGCAGATCGAGACACTGCGTGGACGGGACGAGCCACGCGGGCTGAACGAGACAATAGCGCCCTTTGGAAGAGCCACTCTGCTCCATAGCATCCAGTCCCATTTTACGCGTTATTGGGGGAGCCATCGGCTGGTGTGCGCGATTCGTCGGCACTGATCGCAAACTCCGCGGCGGCGGTTGATACGCTGCATTGCATCGCCAGCACAGTTCCGCAGCGCCTGTCTCACGGCTGTCGTGACGAGCCTGGGCGGGCTGTCGGTCGCTGCTTGCTCTTCGAAGTCTGGCCGTCCCTTAGTGGGCAGACGGGGCTGATAGGCTGGATCTGCAGAGGGTCGCAGCGAGACCCAACACCAGCCAACCATGGCTGGCATCAATCTCTTTTACATCTTGACCGTGATTGTCATTGCCAGCGGGTCTATCCCTAAAGGTAAGGCAAACCTCATTTTCAGCTTCTTTTACACCGTTCTCTTGGCATTTGCCGAAGCAACCTCCCCCTTTGTAACATGTTTTCCTCTGCCGATCATTCCCCCCTTTTGCATAGCTTGGTTGTACAGCACACAGTAGTATAGTATACAGTATGCCATGCATAGCTAACAGGCCGACTGTCAATTAGGTTACGATGAAGGTGGATTTGCTGCCGTGGCAGACATGCCGTCTTTCTTGCTAGACTATGGCCTTTCACGAAGACAATGGGGGGGCACGAGGGAAGAGCTCATCTCTACCAAGGCCAACATCACGTCGTTTGGCGTGTTGGGGGCGGCTTTCGGCGCCATCGTTGCGTTAGCCATTACGGACCGGATTGGTCGTCTGCGCACATGGCAGACCTTTATGGCTATTTGGATGACTGGCTTTTTCATTACTATTTTTGCGTCTGGGATACTGGGGCTTCTGCTGTTCTCACGGCTGTTGTCCGGCCTTGGTGCCGGCGGCTTGACGGTTGTATCCCCTCTGTATCTCACCGAAATTGCCCGAAGCAAGAATCGAGGCATGGTCGTCTCCGTTTATATGGTGCTACTGCTATCCTTTCTCATGTTTGGTAAGTCGCCCCAAAGAATCAATCCATGTGTGCTAGCCCGTGCAGTCTCTGACAGTGAATACAACAGGCTTCTTCATCAGCTATGGGGCCAGAAGGTCCCTACCTCCCACCAGGGAACAATACCGCGTCGTCTTGGGTGTGCCTTTGATTCCGGGAGGCGTTGCTTTGATATTTTCGTGTTTTATCAAGGATACCCCCCGCTGGCTTGCGTCCAAGGGTCGCAACGAAGAGGCCTTGTGGGTGTTGTCTAGGTTGCGAAAGGCCCCGATTGACGATGCAGCCGTCAGAGAGGAGTACGCGCAGATCATTGAGCAGGTGCGAGATGCGAAGCAAAGACTGTCTGACACGTCAACTTGGACAATTGTCAAGGAAGTTGCCACCATCTCCAGCTATCGTAACCGATTTCTCCTGGGTCTTGCCATGCAAACAATTGCTCAGTGGACTGGTGGCAATGGTATAACATACTACATCCCCATGATCTTCCGAATTGCTGGCGTCCGCGGAGAAAATCTATCTCTGGTTACCTCGGGCGCATATGGTGCGCTCAAGCTTGTCTTTACCATGATATTTACGTGGGGCCTCATTGACATCCTTGGTCGGCGAGTCTGTTTTATGAGCGGCCTTGCTATCCAGGGCGTTACACACGTCTACATGGCCGTATACACGGGCATTTGGCTGCATGCTCATAACAAGGCTGCATCCGATGCTGCCATTGCTTCCGTTTTCATATATGCCGTCGGGTGGTCCATTGGGCTCTGCACCATCCAGTATCTGTATGGCACAGAGATCCTGCCCACGCGTATCAGAAGCGTGTGCTACGCAACAAATATGACGGTCCACTGGTTTTTCCAATTCGCAGTGGTGCGTTCGACGCCGCCCATGCTTGACAAGCTGGATATTTGGGGCGCGTATGTGTTCTGGGCATGCATCTGCTTCACCGGACTGGTGCTGCTTGGCCTCTGGGCTCCAGAGACCAAGGGCGTCCCGATGGAGAGGATGGATGAGCTTTTTGCGGGGCCGTGGTACATGGGATGGAAGGCCAAGTTGGGCCCACAGCGCGATGCAGAAGACGAAATACTTGGGAGACGGACGTCGCAAGACCTGGACAGCAGCGTTGAAGCTGTGCAAGTGAGTGGGCAGAGGTTTGTGACAAAGCATCCTTGATTTTTTTTTTTTTTTTTTTTTTTTTTTTTGTTTTTGTCTTTTCTTTTTTCTTGTATAGTCTTTTGTAATATATACTCTGTACGGTTGTTAGTGATGTGGCTTTTCTCTTTCTTTTCTTCTTTTATGAAAAGAGCTCGGGTATATAAAGTCAAGTTTGGAGATTTATGGCGCTGGCGTTGGATATATATGCTTGGAAATGCGACATACACAAATATATAATCAGAATTGGATATTTTATCTATACTGTAGATGGTTAATGATTGTTGATTTCATTGTATGGCTTTAAGAATTGACATGACTCTACCTGCTACAATCGCATGCTCCATTTGGTCATTTTAATCATAACTTGCATTGTTATCTCACTATATAGGAGGAAGATGCGATATAGTCAAACAAGAGACACACGCACGAAGGGTATTATATATATATATATACACATAGTACTAGTGAGAAAAATACATCTTCACTAGCAACACAAAACTCAGGAGTTCAGTTCCATCAATATCTCATCAGTCATTGGCAATAAAAAAAAACACACATGGCATTCAACGTGTAAATCAGTAGGGAGTGAGCTGGTACGAGCCCATCTTCCTGGGCGGGACCTTTGCCTGGAACATGCGGTCAATCTCGTCAAAGGTGCGGCCCTTGAGCTCGGGAACGAAGAACCAGCTCCAGGCGGTGGCGATGAGGGCCAGGCCGCCAAAGATGAAGCCGACCTTGCCCTTGAGATTGGCCTCGTCGGGGTTGACCATGTACGGGATGGCGAAGTTGAAGGCGATGCCCATGACGGCCTGGGTGGCGGTCGCGAGGGCAATCGTGGGGGCGCGCAGCGACGTGCTGCTGGTCTCGCCGAGGATGGCAAAGGCCATGGCGCCGAGCCCGACGTAGTAGAAGAAGGCGTAGACGACGGTGAGCGACGCCTGCACCCACTTGGCGCCGCTGGTGGGCACGACGTCCATGATGCCGATGAGGAAGAGGATGGCGGTCAGGATGCACATGCACGAGACGAAGATGCGGCGGCGGCCAAACGAGTTCATGATGGCCCAGCTGAGGATGTTGCCGGCGAGCCCGCAGGCCGTGACGCCGATGCCCAGGTCGAAGCTCTTCTCGGTCGGCAGGCCGGCCAGCTCGAAGAAGTAGGTGGAGAAGCCGAGCACGAAGATGATGCCGGTGAAGTGCTGGCACACGAAGACGCCCATGGAGATGGCGGTGCGCACCAGGTTGGTGCTCTTGAAGCACTGCACCAGCGAGCCCTGCTCCGAGCCCGACGCCTCCTCCTCGGCGATGGTGGCCTCGAGCGTGGCCAGCTTTGCGTCGAGGTCGACGCCGGCGCCGTACAGCTTGCGCAGCGCCGCCTTGGCCTGCTCGCGCTTGCCCACGCGCGCGAGGTGCCACGGCGTCTCGGGCGCAAAGGGCAGCAGCGCCAGCAGGAACGCGCAGAAGAAGAGCTGGATGGCAAACGGCGCGCGGTACGCCCACCGGCTTTCCCAGCCGCCAAAGCCCTTGATGGCCACGTTGCTCAGCAGCTGGCCCGTGCCGATGCCGAACTGCACGCCGGCCGTCGCGATGCCGCGGAACGCCACGGGCGCGCACTCGGACGACGCCAGCGGCGACAGCGTCAGGTAGAAGCCCAGCCCCAGGCCCAGGATCAGCTTGGACACCAGGAAGGCGCCCTTTGCCGTGGAGAACATCTCGCCAAAGATGCCGCCCGCCACGACGGCCACGCCCATCAGCAGCGCGGCCTTGCGGCCCCAGCGGTCGGCGACCCACGAGCACAGGAAGCCGCCGAAGAACTGGCCGACGGAGCTGACGGTGTTGAAGGCGGACTGCCAGTCGGCGGGCAGGACGGGCTGGCCGCGGTAGATGTAGCCAAAGTCGCGGCGGAAGGCCTCGACGGAGAGCATGCCGCCGTTGACTTGGGCGTCGAAGCCCCTGTTTTTTTTGGTAAGATGTGTTAGCTTATATACATTATACAATATATATTATATATGTGAAGCTGAAGTGAGAGTAGCATCAAAGAGTATGAGAGATTCATATTGGCAAGTGTTTAAGACTCACCAGCCAACGCCCGCCATGGCCCAGTAAAAGGCCCAAAACACCAGCGCCGGGTGCTTCAGAAACACCTCCTTGACCGTCAATTCATGCTCCCGCTGGATGTCGACGCGCACCGTGTCGTCCTTTGCGCTGGAAAACTCGTCCACGCCCGAGACGTGAGTCTCCAGCGGAGCACCGACGCGCTTCTCGTCTTCGGATAGGCCCATTGTTTGGCACAAATTGCCTCGGCTGTTTTTCTCACTGTCTTTGTCTTTGAACGAAAAAAATCTCACAGACACACACAAGACAAGGGGAAAGAGACAATTGAATGAATTTGCCTACGAATTGGCCGGTATCATAATAACGAAAACGGGGGAAGGGAAACAAAGAATCAAGAGAGGGGTGATTACAAGTTCATATAGTGGTGTTTACCACCATTGAAGGGGGGCCAAAAATCCAAACGTGGTGTGAAACGAAACAGAACGTCAGTTGTAGCACCAACGGGCATGGTTCAAGGATGGGCGCAAGAAAAAAAAAAAAAACGAGGCCAAGCCTTGTCAGTCCCGTGGTGTTTGACGCATCCAGATTTCCGGCTGCATATGCACATGCAACAACGGGCAAGCCTGGGGAAAAAAGCTAGCCCCCTCCAAGAAAAGAAAAGAAGAAAAGAAAAATTAAAATAAAATAAAATAAAAGTGCCTGTTCGGACCGATTCCGTAATTGGTAGCCGGCTAAAAAGAGAAACAAATAGAGTGGCCAAGGGAACAAAATGGAAGCAGCAATATACTTTTGTAAAGGCCCTACTTTTTTGCTAGCTGTTTTCTAACGCGGAAACTTGTATGACTGTATGGCCTAGACCAGGTCGGCGGGTAAGCCGATTCGAGGTGGGAAAAAAAAGGGATAAAAGAGAAGGGTTGACGGTTGAGTAATATTGGCACCAGGTCTAGCCGAGCTGTTGCATCCCTGCTCGCTGTATAGGCCTAGGACAGCATACAGTATGTTACCGAAAACAATATTCCAAGTCTCTATGACTATTGTGTTTGTATTGACAAGTTGTGAAAAGCGTGTTTCACTAGGTACTTTATCGTTGTTGTAGGGATCATCTTCTAGAGGCCCATGTCGCCTTTGTTTGAGACGGCGAGGCTGATCCTTTCTTCAACAATGGCGAGGCTGCACCTGCTTTAGCCACTGCGGCAGGGGCATTTCGAAACTACATGCAGGTAACTATTATCATAAGCTATTAAGACGGGCTGTGCTAGTGCGAGGTGCTGACACTTACCAATCAATAGTTTATCGGCGCAGTTGACAGCCTTTCCAACCTGTGCAGACCTTGCTTCAATTGATGTATCAGCGTGAATACTATAACTCGCAATTTGGCATGCAAAGCTGGGAGCTATTCAACGCGTCTAAAACAGGCTAGATGAGGTGAGAATACAGCCCCAGTAACCCAAAAAAAGGTACGATTCAACATGTTCCGGGATGGTTAGCCGACCATAGCCAGAGCGGTCTAACAAGCCTGCACCAAGGTGGAGTCTGCACAACAGGGAACAAGGTCGGGGGAAACGGTCCAAACGAGTCTGGGGTGCAGCAGACAGAGAACAGCGAGTTGGCGATGCTGCAAAAGAAAGCAAAATGCGGAGGGCGACGCTCCCCGGCAGTTGTGCGAGATCAACGAGACGCCATCGCCAACCGCATGTCTCGCGCAGCCAACACACACTTCCCAGTCCAACACGCCGCGAGACGGCGATTGGCTGGCTGCCCCTGGAATGGCTGCAGTGGCGCGAGGTCGCCGCCGTGGGGTAGAAGAAGGGGAAGACGCTAATAGTGGCCGTTGCGGGGATGGATGGTGTGAGACGGCACAATGAGTTGACGGTGGGCAGATGATGAGAAGGGCGAAACGCTGACACACACATGTAGACAGACGGATACGACAAGTAGCAGCAACACCTGCTGTACAACAGCAGCAGCAATCAATATAAGTCAAACCAAGCCAAACCAGATCCTGCTGCTGCTGCTACCTCTCTGTATGCACACAACTCAACCCATTCGCCGACGGCCCTACTGATGCCTCCCACCCCCTTGACGGCGTTGCGCCCGTCGGAAGTTATAGCCGTGGCATCATCAACTGCGATGCACAGGCCGCATTATGCCGTAAAACGCGGGTGAGAGGGTCGGCCGGGCGGCGGTAGCATCCCGAGCGCTCTTGTTCTGGGGAAGAGAACCACGGGATGGAACGGTGGCAACACTAGGGTTGTCAAAAAGACCACTGACAAGGGGACATGAGAAAGGGAAAAAAAAAAAAAAAAAAAAAAGAAAACCAGGCCAGAGACAAAAAGAAATCACCCGGTGGCAGATGATGATAGTCCCCGTCTTGCCTATTGTTGCCTAGCAGCATTGCCCCATGCAGTACAGGAAGAAAACTCTTCCATCCTGCTGGATACGGAGCACAACGTCCTCTTGCAACTTCTGGGGTCCCCATAATAATGCTGCCAGCATACCGGTGTTAGTCCTTCGTGCAGCACAGTAATCCCGTATACTGCCATGCCCTTGTCACTGCGTTAATGGCATCAGGTCAACTCAAAACACTACAACCGCACTCGCCGTAAAGGTGGAAAAAAATTTACATCTCCGGGATAATAATGCCTCTGTTAATAAAATGAAAATAAAATGAAAAAAAAGAACGGCCGACGCTCAGCTCCAAATGCGCCCAGCCGGCCCTATTTCGCAGCCCAGCTCTGAATGACAAAGAAATAGCGGCCATTAGCCCCAAAAGTGCCCCGGACTCTGCTGCCATCCCCCTCCCACTACTCCCCTTTTTCCCAGCACCACTGCCGAGCCCTGTCCGAACCCGCCGAAACGCTAAGCGTCCATTCCTTTAGGGCAGAGCCTCGGGCGGCTAATACAAGCCGGGGCTGCCCCCAATGTCTAGGTAATAAAGGAACCAGGAGAGCCACCGCCGCCGCCGCCGCCTTGCTGTCCATCATCACGGCCAACCGAGACTCCCCGAGCTCGAAACAAACCTTTCGCTTCCTGCTTCTCGTTCTTTGCCCTCGCGGCCCCCTTCCCCCCGCGTAATCGCCCATCGCCAGATTCGATCCTCGCCCAGGAAGTGGCTCCCTCTGCGCCGCGCGAAGGCCCCCCCCCCTTGCGCATGTCGCTGCCGCCGAATCCAGCAATGCCGCCGCCTCGGGCTCAGCCGCAGTCGCCGTTCCTCGCCACGGCCCTGGTGTATCCTGGCGCCGGTGGCAGCAGCAGCAGCAGCGCGGGCAGCTTCGCCGTCAACGGCAGCGACGTGGCTGGCCTTAGCCCAGCAAGTAGCGCTGGCAACACGGCCGTTGGCATGGGACCGCGACACGGCGGCCAAGACGCCTCGCTGTCGCTGGCCCCGTTGACGTCGCCCATTGGCGCTCAGCACGCCCAGCAGGACCTGCAACAGCACTTTGTCGATGCTGACGGCGGCGATCTCAACACCGCGGCGGCCGCCAGCTCCGGCATCAGCCTCGGCGGCCCGTCGTCGCCCTTGGACGCGGCCGACATGGCCGGCCGGCGCCCGGGCAAGCGTCCGGCTGCTCGCGGCACGGCCTTCTACCCCCGGAAGCGCGCAAACACGGCCTGCCAGGTGTGCAGGGCGCGCAAGACAAAGTGCGACAACAAGAAGCCCGCCTGCAGCTACTGCGTCAGCGTCGGCGCCACGTGCATCCAGTCGCCCGTCGACCTGTCCAGCTTCGACCCCGCCAGCCTGAAGATCCTCGATCGCATCGACGAGCTGGAGCGCCTGCTGCGCCATGCCGTGCCCATCCCTGGAGCTGGGCCTGGGCCTGGGCCTGGATCGTCCGGGGCTGGGACCGGGATCGCCTCCCCGGGTGCGGCCGCCGCGGCGCCACAGCCGGCTCTCGCATCTCCCGGCGCCTACGGCCCTGGCGCCGCGTTCGCCAGCCACAACCACCACAACCAGCACCACCACCAGCACCAGCAGCGCCTGCCCCCACTGAGGGCCGGCGGCTTCGACTTACACGGCCACGGCCACGGCGCCAGCGTCAGCAGCCTCAAGCACGCCGATGACAACGACGTGCACATCACCAGCCTGCTGCCCCAGCGTGTGGATCATATCCTGCAGTGGCCAGTCTTCTACAATTCCGGGTCCCACCACCACTCGCCAGCTTCGTATCGCGCCCCTCCCGATGCCATCGCAACCCCTCCTTCTGGCTCAGGCTCTTTGGCCGGCCTTATCGACATGGACTCGCACCGGATATACCGTCTGCTGGACAACTTTTTCCTCCATATCCACTGCAAGAACCCGATTCTCGACGAGGTGCTGGCCCGTCGCATGGTTCTGAATGCTTTTCTCGACGGTATAGACTGGTCTCCTGCCTCTTGCCTAGCCCTGATTATATGTGCCCTCGGCTGCATCGCCACGCCCTTTGGCCCCAGCGGGGAGACCAAGCTGGGCACCCAGACCTATAATGACTCTCAAATCTTCTTCCAAGCGGCCCAAAAGCGCATTGGCATCCTGCTCGTGCGCTCCGACATCGTCGGCGCGCAGTGCCTGTTCCTCTCGGGCATCTACCTGATGATGGTCTTCCAGCCCGTCTACGCCTGGCGCTTCTTCTCCCAAGCCCTAGCCGCCTGCCAGCACTTCCCCTTCCTAGCCCGCGCCCAGAACCTCAACGCCTCGCTCGACTCCATGGAGATGGGCCGCCAAGACACGCAGGAGCAGGCCGTCTATTGGTCGGCCTGGAAGTCTGAGCGAGAGCTGCGCCAGGAGCTGGACCTTCCCGATTTCGACATCCTCCACTCTGGCAGCACCTTGTATCCGCCCTTCTTCCCCGCGCCGCCGGTAGCCCCGGCCGAATCCCCGGACGGGCCCGACTCGGAGACGCAGCGCGCGCGCGCCGCCTGGCTGTTCTACCTGGCTGAGATCTCGCTCCGCCGCCTCACCAGCCGGCTGTCCAGAGAGGTGCTGGACCTGCGGGCAAAGTACACGTCCGACGCGGCGCTGCTCGACACGCTGCTCGACATGATGCCCGAGTACGAGGCCCAGATTGGCGAGTGGTCCGAGAGCCTGCCCGCCGACCTCTCCATCCACACGCCCGTGGAGGAGGACGGCATCTGCCGGTCAGTCCTGCGCGGCCGCATGATCAACCTCTTCGAGCAGCTCTACTGGCCCTTTGTCATGGCCAGCATCAGCGCCCACATCGCCCGCCGCCCTGTCAAGCCGGCCGTGGCCGACTTCGCCAAGCGAGGCCTCGAGACGCACATGCACCAGGTGCGCGTCAACAAGCCGGGCTTCCACCACCGCCACCACGGCGGCATGTTCATGATCCGGGCGTGCACGCGGAGCGCGCTGGTGCTGCTGGCGGCGGCCAAGGCTGGGTGCAGCATGCCCACCGACTGGGAGGATTCCGTCTACAAGACGGTGGGCATGCTGGCGTACTGGGAGGACGAGGACAGGGACTTGATACACTGGCGGGCGACGCTGGAGCGGGAGCTTGCGTTGACGCGGCATGAATGAAGCGTTACCAAAACGATACCTTTTTTTTTTTTTCCAGTTATTTCTTTTCTAATGATGGCAAGTTATCTCTATATATTTTGTTACTGATAGCGGCAGTTTGAATGTCTTTCTTGATATTTTCTTTTTCTACTGCTACTACCATGTACTTCTTATTTATATGTATGTATGTATGTACTCCCCCTTTGGCTTTCTTTTACGTTTGATGCGGTACGACACAGCACAGCGTCGTGGTGCATCAGATCAAAACAACCATCCCTTTGCTGCCAGCTGTATGCGGAAGTCGGCAAGCTACTGTATTAGTTTTAGTATTTTTTTTTTTTTTTTTTTTACTGGAGAACCGCGCTGTTCTATATCACGGAGGATCCAAAGGGGGAGGATGATCCAGCAACCAGGGTCCTCCATTATTAGTCCGGGGATGCCAAAAATTGTTCAATACTATCCAATCCTTTAACATGACCCCCAACTGCCAACAATCTTTACTCCTTGCTGCAGTTAGTGCTTTACAATGAGCGGAGTATTATTACCAGCAATGGTGTTTTACTCTTCTACTAGCGGCAAAGATAATACTCCGTGGAACATGCCTTGTAAAAGAAAAAATGGAACTAAAATTAACCTTCGATGAGCTGTGGTTCGCGTCGGGGAGTGTCGCTCCAGTCAGCTTTTGGCGCTAATAGTGACCGACATCTTCGGGGCTCCATCCTGTGTCATGCTTATATTTGGAGAACGACGGCGTGGCATTCCTTCGGGATGAGCGCTCTGTCGGATAATCCGGTGCATATTTCACGAGATGGGAAGATGCATGCTGTGTTTAGTTATTCTCATAGTCACACGAGAGTTTGGAGAACCCTTGTAGCATGAGATGTCGTGATGGATGTTGGCTTACTAACAAGTCCGTTGGACACTTGTGATGAGTCAAACTTGGCCGAAATGATGGATATCCGCCAGCCGCCCATTTCCCTTATTCATCTCTCGTGTTATTCTCACTCATATCTCTTTTCATCATCGTATCTGCAATAATGAATCGCGATTTTACCTTGTCCATACTAGAACAAACATTTCTTCCACCAAAGCTGCAAATCTTACGACTGGCTGACTAACACCTTGATAGGGATTGAAGATGAAGCTCTCAAACTATACGTCTCGTCCTTGTTGAAATATCTTGCTATGCAACATGTTTCTCAATATGCTAAACGAGCTACATCATTGCCAAACAAGACTGTATGCAGCATATAACAAAACACAACAAAACAAAACAACAACATACGTTGTTCGCACAAATCGCCTTTACTCCCAGAATTTCCACCTATGAGACCAAAAGCCAAATTCAAGAGTCATCTATGCTTCGATGCCATCCATCTCGACACGTCCACACGCCGTTTCCCTTCCCTTCTCCCATATATCCTAAGAAGAAATAAAAAAAAAAAAAAAGAAAAAGTATCCCTGGCCTGCCATCTCCTCTTTCCAATCTCTCTTCATGTGGTCATTTTCTCTATCGATGTTGAAATATGACACATCTAAAAATATTCGCACCCTTACCTCCGTCCTCGTGCCTCAGAGGCATCTAGGAATGACGGGTCCTTGATGCTACCGCCCGCATCGTCTAATCCCGCCACGGGCCTGTTGTAGCTAAAGTTCACAAACTGGTCTTGCATCGTCTTTGAAAGCACAAAATCGTCGGGGAGGGAGTCCTGGGCGGGTTCTTCCGTAAACTGCTGATCAAAGTTGATCGTGTCGAGAGCATTGGCCTAATGTTTATAACTTGTTAGTTCATCTTTGGCCTCAAGACGATGCTCAAATAGAAGAAGGGGGGCAAAGAAAAACTTCCCCGGACGAGACTTACCACGTGGGGCTTGAATGTTGGCTCATATTTGCGCTGCAGGAGCTTCTTCCAGTCAATGCCATGGAAGAAAGGATGCGACTTGATTTCCGTGGAGCCATTAACTCCCAATCTCTTGGTCGGGTCTCGATCCAGAAGCTTGGTTAGGAGGTCCCTGGCTGCCGGAGGCACGATATCGTAGCCAGGAAAGTTCAAGGGAGCTGTCAAGATTTTGCGATACATTTCGTTTGTGTTTTCGTCATAAAACGGCGGTAAACCCGTCAGCATTTCGTAGAGCAGCACGCCAAGCGTCCACCAATCCACCGTTTTGCCGTAGCCTTCTCCCTTCAACAGCTCGGGTGCCAGATACTCGGGAGTGCCGACAAAGGTGTTTGTAGAATCCTCATCCTTCATCTCGAGCTTGCACAAACCAAAGTCACAAAGAGCAATATGGCCTTGGTAGTCGAGAAGGATGTTTTCAGGCTTCAGATCCCGATAGATGACGTTGAATCCGTGAAGGCATTCGAGAGCACACAGCAATTCGGCAGTGTAGAAACGAGAACGGTTGATATCGAAGCGTCCTTCCTTTGACAGATGGAAGAATAACTCTCCGCCATTAACAAACGCCAATACAAAGTAGAGCTTTTCAGGCGACTGAAAACTAAACTTTAACGGGACGATGAATGGATTGTTGATCTGAGCAAGGACGGAGCGTTCGGCAAGCGTGTGCGTAACTTCAGAGCGCGAGATGATCTTGGCCTTTCGAATAGTCTTGATGGCATAGATACGGCCAGTATCCTTCTTCCGAACCTGCATCACCTTTCCAAAACTACCCTTTCCAACAAGCGTGAGAAGGTCAAAGTCGTCAATGGTGAGTTTGCCGACGCGGTTCTCAACAAAATCAACGCCAATCTGGAGTTTGCCTGTTCCATTCTGTAGCTCAAACCAGCCCTGCCCGCTGTGGCCTTGGGCTTGCGGTCGGTCGCCCTTTTTGCTCGCCGACGCCACGTCAGACGCAGTTTCGAATCTGGGATTCACACGAATAGAGCCCAAGAAGATATCTTGGGCCCTACCAGAGCCTGCAGCAGCCGTTGGGTTTCTCATAAAGAGCGAGACGGTCAACTCGCCAACGCGCGACACATCAAACTTGTACTGAGTATTAGAGCCAGCCCAAACAGGGTTCTCGGGGTTTCCATCAACAGAGTTGATGAATACTTGGTTCTTATCAAAATCTACCAGCGCATATGGCATGTATTTGCCCGACACACGACCATGGCTGGTCGGGATGCCCTTGAATCCCGACCCGGTTGACTGCGGTCTAGTGGACGCATTCTGGCGGACAGAACTCAGCGCATCTCCGGCAGAGTGAGCGCCAGTCGGGTGGCCTGCCGCTATGACATCTTGATATTGTTCGGGTAGAGAGAGGCCGCGGGCTTCGTAGAGGGTAAGGACGAGGATGCCAGGTTTCGACGGCTTGACAACGGGCGCCTGTGTGAGGGCTTCTATGGAGGCTAGAGGGGCGAAGAAGACGGACAACCAGTTAGAGGAGAGATGGTCAGAATATGGGATGAACTGCGCTTATTGAACATACTGGCGCCGTTCGCATCGGAGATGCTGTTGACGTCAGACGAAGGGGTCGAAGTGCCGCTCTTGTCCTTGGTCTTGTCTTTGCCGGAGGGCGATGAAGATTTCGAGAAGCCCAGATGGGTTTCTTTAAGCTCTAGAGAATGAAATAAAGAGGTCAGTCACCAGCAAGAGTTAAAAGATAAAGGCCTCCACGCAGCAGCATGCCGATTGATGGGTTAGCCGTTGCTGGCCGAGGCTGATGCTATTCCCAGCCTGGCCTCGATCCCATCGAACCAAGCCCGATCATAACAATCCTTGCGCAGGGCAAGCGGAGGTGATGGAGCAACGTGGAGAAGCAAAGAAACTGCCACAAGAACAAGGGTCCAGATGCAAGCAAGCATCGAGGCCATGTCTAGCCATGGCAAAACTCACTTTTGGTCAGGTTCCACGACATGGTTTGCACCAGCGCAGCGAGGCTGGAGATTCCAGCAGCAGACACGGCGGCGATGGTGGCAGCGACGCGACGATGCAGATGATGTAATGATCGAGCCCGAGAGACGCGGAGTCGGGAATTGACGCTGTTGGCCCGGTATTTGGAATCGCTGGCTTCAGGGTTCGGGTCGAGATGTTGGGATTTGGAATCCGCAAAGTATGGCTTCGATGTTGGATGGTGTGGCTGTTGAGGGGAGAGCACGAGGCGTAGAGGGGCTGGGCTGAGGCGGGTGTCAGAGGCCAAAAACCAGCACCGAGCGCTAGGGGAGCGGGGCGGCGCCGCACAGGAGGCGCCGAGTGACAGCTGCTAAATCGCCAGGATGCAGCGGTCAATGGCCAGTACGTACTGGTGGCTGTGGTACAAAGCGCGATGCTGGCGAGCATGCGGGCATGTGAGCAGGTGATGGAATCAAGTACATGTAGATATACCCTCACTCCAAGGTGATGCCTACTAATTCAACTCTCGTAGGACTCTCAAGGCCATGCTCTGCTGTAAGTGATTGCCTAGTATTCGTAATCGTAATCTTATGCTCTCGCTCATTAAGGTGCTAATCCCGTACTGCAGGATCAGGCCTCCAATGAGCTGAACGCCGCATGGCTAGCCCGGATTGATACCAAATCCCTGGCTCAGGATTGACAAGATCCTCCATTTTCATCTTGCTCTGGTAAGAATATATAAGTCAGGGTGTCAGAGCAAGGAGTAATGCGTCACATCAACCACACCCGTAGTCCATCAAAGTAAATTAATTGTCATGCCACGCAGCTACTACTACATACTGCACATGTATGCAGCACAAAACCAACCGCGTCGGATCTAAAAAAAGATTCCAGAATCTCAACTGCTCCGAACCCATGCCACTCTGCCGCAAGCATCACTGCTAAAATCCAGGCCCAAAACATGGGGTGCATATCGTCCGTATTACCCTTGGCGCCGTATGGAATCTCCCCTGGAAAGAGAAGCACAACAAAACCCCGCACTAAGAAAAACAGAAACCCCCCTTAAACTGCTAATACGCAGCTACCTACTGCACCAGCACTAACAAATTTTGGTTGTGCTCCCAAAGGCTCAAAGCATTTGTCACGGCTTTTGTTCTTTTTTCCTACTTGAGTATAGCACATGCGGCTAGCTCCAGGGACCCAATTGCGTCATGTCACGATAAGACATCAAACTGGAGCCCAAACCAATGGAATATTTTTTTGGGCCCCTCATTGGTAATCTTTTGTGTCTAGACCCTGGTTTTTTCTCAGAGGCGATGACTGTTGACTCTTTGATGGATGAAAATATATAACAATTGCTCGAGTGTCCCTTTTTATTCATTCCCATCATCATCTCATATCCTCAACATTGCCAAACAACCTCAGCCACTTACAACTACCACCACCTCTCGACCCCTCACTTACAGCTACCACCTCCTCTCTACATCATCACCACCACAACCACCACACCTCAACACACATCCAATCCGCCCACCATGATCTTCAACAACCTCTTCTCACGGCTCTCCCGCCCCTTCACATCCGCCACCCGCCTCTCCATCGCCGCCGAATCATCAGCAGCCACAACCTCCATCCCCGAAGGCGCCCAGCGCTGCACCGTCGCCGCCGGCTGCTATTGGGGCACCGAGCACCTCTACCGCAAGCACTTCTCCGGCAAGGGCCTCATCGACGCAAAGGTCGGCTTCATCGGCGGCGACCTGACCAACCCCACATACCGCGCAGTGTGCGGCGGCAAGACTGGCCGTAAGTGCCTATACCTATATCATACATACATATACCCTTACTTTCTCTCTCAAGATGCACAACTAACCCACCATCAAAACAAGCAGACGCCGAGGCCGCAGAGATCATCTTCGACCCAACCCAAGTCTCCTATCGCCAACTCATCGAGTTCTTCTACCGCATGCACGACCCCACAACCCTCAACCGCCAGGGCCCAGACACCGGCCCGCAGTACCGCTCCGCCATCTACTTCCACAACGAGGAGCAGGAGCGCATCGCCCGCGACGTCACCGAAAAGGCCAACGCCCAGTGGTGGGAGGGCAAGATCGTCACCGAGATTGCGCCCGCCGGCCAGTGGTGGACCGCAGAGGAGTACCACCAGCTGTACCTGGAGAGGAACCCCGATGGGTATGAGTGCCCGAGTCACTTCCTGAGACCGCTCAAGGACCTGGAGTGATGTAATGGGGCAGAGAGAAGGAGGGGAGGGGAGAAAGATGGGAGATGTTATGAAAAGATGGAAGACGGGAGGAAAATTCCATCTGTGAAACGACAATTCAACATTCATTGTATACCCATTGTATTTATACATAATTCACAGCGCAGTCATTGCAAGTTCAACCAGAAAGGGTCATGGATAGTTTTTATTTTAAATAAATTTAACAATTTTTTTTTTTTTCTTTCATCATTTTTTCTTTTTTTTTGGTTCATTTTTAAATCCTCCACTTATTGATACATAGGGAACGCCACGGTTCCAAATATGAAGTAAAATATTCATAGTAATTCATCCATTGAGCGGAGTTTATAATCTCTCGCGAAAACAAAAAAATCCCTTGGCTTTAAAATGTTTCAATCGCACGCCTCCACCGTTCTTCTCATTAATTCCTTTCTATCCACCCCTCTCTCACACACAAAACTCATCCACTCATATTCGCTTACTTCCTTCGGTTCTGGTTCATCATGAGAATCTGAACCATGCGGATGAAGATGTTCAAAAAGTCCAACTCCAGGGAAATGCTCTCGTTGACGGGATCCCGCTTGATAACACCAGCCTGAGCCAGGCGGGCGTGGTGCAACACCTTCTGCACGTCATACAGAGTGAAGCCGCCAAAGACGGCAAGACCACCATACAGCCAGATGTTCTGAGTGAAAGCCAGCGTCCGGACAGCGGTAGCGGGGATGACAAGAGGGGCCAGGCCAGAAGCGGCGATGATAGCAGCACCAGCCAGAAGAGGTCCACCGATGTAGAGGTATTTCTCCTGCTTGGCGGTAGCGCCGACAACAGACAGGGCACCCATCATGGCAACAGTGTAGAGGCCAGCGCGGGCGAGAAGGGGCATGGGGACAAATGCCAGCATAGGGGCGACAAAGGCGGCCTGAGTGGCGTTAAAGGCAGTCCAGAGAGCATACTTGGGGATGTAGCTATAGTTCACACATGTTAGCAAATACATCTTTTTGTATCACGAGTTTTTAAATGCAGCAAAACTTACTTGTCAGGGCTAATAGACCGAGTTCCAATCATGGTGGCAAAGCTCAGCGCCAATCCACCCAATCCAACAACCCACGGGTTCGTAACCATCAGGCGGTACACGAATCCCGTCTGCACCATCTGCCTGGCCGTCAAACCAATGATGCCAACGCCAAGACCAGTGTGCAAGAAAGTGTTGTTCAGGTATTCCCGCTCAAACAGAGGCATTCCGCCATCCTCTCTCGTCTCGCGGTTGAAAACGGTGTTGATCGCCACCAGCGTGCCGCCAAAGATGGCACCTCCAACAAGCAGCTTGCGGAGTCCCGTTCCGCTCGTCACAGACTGCTGTCGGGTCGCGGCCTCCTGGTAATATGATCGCGCAAATCCATGGCGAGTTGTCGCTGACGCAATGCGGGAGGTGAAGAATGCGCTGCTCGGCTTTTTGGGTGCTTGTTGGTGAAAGCTTCGCATGGATGTCCGGAAGGCGGGTAACAGCCGCTGCTGCGCAATGCGCGCAGGGCCCTGCTGAATGCTCAGCGTAAATGACATGTTTGGACGCTAGGCGCTTGTATGCCTGTCGGGGAGTTTGTTCTGTTTCGATATGTTGAGAAAGAAAGGAATTGATGAACAACAGCCAATGCGGGGAGAGGTTGCTGTCGGTAAAATATATGAGTAAGAAATCTACGATGCCAACACGGACAGCTTTTCGCCGTAATGGGTACCTTAAAGCCGGTCATGACGTTTTAATCAGCGTCACGTGTTAGAGCCTACGTTTGGCAGAAGCTTCCAGGCTATTGAGCGGCGCTCAGAGGCTAAGCTTACTAATGCCGAATAGCGCCTTTTTGTATGCTCGGAGTACGAAGTGAACTTCTCTGGCGATAGCCTCATGTCCGCAAAGTCCGCATATTCCTTTTGGTTCTATTATTTCTCAGTATTATTTCCATGTCCAATATCCGTACAATATGCTATTACATCGATCAAGACATACATGTCCCTATCACATCGCTGCTTAAAAATGAAAAGAAAATAAAACTAAAAAAGCTGCAACAACACCGGAGAATATCGTCAGATCGTTCAGTCCAAGTACCCTCCCCATTTGCGAACCTCTATTACTTTGTACCTTTCCTTGAATAATCACCGAAACCACGTTTTGGCGCCGACCAATACAAAGCTCCTCATCATGCCCCTTCCCATGAATATATGCAGATAGATACATGTTTCTTTTCTTTTCTTTTTTTTTTTAAAAAAAAAAAAAAAAAAAAAAAAAAACCATTCCTTGTACAGAAAAAGAAAACACCAAAATTAGATAAAAACAAATGTGTGAAATAGAAATGAAATGGTCATGCTGTCGCTAATAGGCAGTCATCTCATCTGAGCCCATCCGTCCCCTTTTCAATCACAAACTTCACAGGTTGCCTCGCCTTCCTGCCTAGTAGCGAAGCACCAGGCCTTGGAAAGAAGCTTGGCGTAGTGAGCATCGCGACGCTCATTGTCCTCGGCGTTGGCAAGTCTCCAAGCACGCTGTCGAATGCCGTTGTGGGCCAGCTATTGACCGATGGCGACTCTGATTTTGAAGCCCGGCTGTCGAACCCCCATTTTGCAACACTGCCAGCTCGCAACCACGGTTCCAAATTGCGGCATTGGCTGACATCGACCCAGTTCAAGCGCGTGCAGCCCCGGAGAATGTATTCCAGGCCTTTTCCTGTCACTCGCACGCATCCTCGAACACTTAGGCCCTCAAGCTCGTTAAGGTGCAAAGCGACGCTCTCCAAACTGCTATCGCTCACAGCGCTACCACAAAAGGCCAACCGTAACTCGCGCAATTTGGGGAGGCCAAGGGCAACGACTTCTGTAGCCGTGTCCGAAAGTGCACAGCAAAATGACAAGTCGAGGTGAGTCAAGTGCTTGGCAGCGTTGACCAGCGCAACGATGGCATTATCAGACAGGTACGTACAGTCCGCCAGGCAAAGCTGTGTCAACTTCTCGAATTTGAATTGAGCCCACGACTGGAAGCCAGCGTCTGTAATTGATGTGCAGCGAGTAAGAGACAAAGACTGTAGGCGACTCGCGGCATGAGCAGCAAGATGGCCCATCGATCGATCCGTAATGTGCTTGCAATATGATAAATTCAGCGTCTTCAGCTTGGCGCAGCCAATGACCGTCCCTGGGGCGGGCGTAGGAGACTGCTGACCAGACTTTTCTTTTGCTTTCGTACCCTTTCCTCCTTTTGCTCCTTTCGCTCCTGAACTAGATATCACGACTTTACTGCTCGCTGGGGGCGGCTCGGGGACAACCCATCCGACAACTCGACCAAGTAGATTGTCTCCGACTTTTCGGCAGTTGCTCCAGTCAATCTCCTCGAGACCCTTGGCATTCTCGCTCATCTCTAGAATCTGGTTCGCTGACACATCCCACAGTGAGCGCATCTTCCACTTTTGCACATTCTTGCCACAAGCCCGCCATAATGCGGAGAAGCCTTCGTCGGTAATGTGGAAGCAGTTATTCAGATCCATAACAAGTGCGCGAGTTCCGATGAAAGGTGCAAGCACATCGATAATGACCTGGTCGGTAACTCTCCTGTTGTAGTGAGAGAGATCGACATATCTACAGAGCTTCGGAGACGTAGTGACAAGAGATTTCCAGCGCGAACTGACCTGACGTAGCCTCAAAAGCTCGCCTACGTCGGCATACTGAAAGATGTTAACTAGTATGCTGTCCGAGATGATGGACTGTTGAAGAGAGACTGGTCGATGGGACAGTGTCTTGGCCCGTTTTGCGGGCATATCAAATTCAAAGTCCGGCATGGTGAAGGCTACAGGAGACGACGGTTCCGGAGGGCAAGGCCGCGCTCCATTCTGTCGAGTAGGCGTTGTCGGGGATGCCTCGGTCTGAGCAGTTGGCGGCGCAATCGACAGACGCCTTCGGTTCCTCAGATTTTCCATATCAACACTCAGAAACGGGTCGGGGTCCTTGGGTTCCATGGTGTCTGAATCCTCTCTAACTTTTGCGGATATCGACTTCAGGGGCGCTGCAAACTCGACATCGGGTAGACTGAGTCGGGCGAGTATTGGGGTCGGAGGGTCTGATTTGCTCGTCTTCTCTTGTTGTCCCGCGTCGGTCATGTCAACGTCTTCATCGCGGTAGTTGTATCGATGCCATGCTGTCTGCTCCACCTGCAGTTTGATGTCCGGAGAACAGCGAGACCACAGCTCATCCAGCGTCTCACCCGGTATCATTAAACACTCTACCGTGGTAATCGACCTGACTGTTGCTGTCCGCCCACTAGACAAGCCCAGGCTCGCAACTTCTCCAAAATACTGTCCTGTTTTTAGCCGCGGCCGTTTTTGGATCGATCTGGTCAGACTCTCTGCTTCTTTATTTGTTTTGGGTTGTTGATGGATCACTTCCGCTTCGCCTCGCACCACGAAGAAAATCTCATGACCAGGAGTGCCTTGACATATTATGTCGGTGAAAGGGGGGTAGGTCTTTGGCTGAACACTCAATCCCAGAAAATGGAGAATATCTGGCGGGAGAGAGCTGAAGAGAGGAAGTTCCTTAAGCGTCTTTCGGATGTTAACAAAGCCGCTGCCTAGGGCGCTGCCGAGGGCCGGATCTTCAATTATACTGGGGCTTGGAGATTTCCGCTTCTTAGACTTGATCACTGTGCCATCCTTGATTGCGCCAGTCTCTCCAGTCGACACTTCGCCCGTGGTCTTTGGTCGCGGAACGAAATCGCTCTTTGGGGATTTAAGGGTCGCACCACGTTCTGTTCGCTTTTTCTTTAGTACGCTCAGTCTCTCTTGCGCTTCCTGCCGGATGGCCTTCTCCATCTCTGGGAATTTGGGCATGACGGTCTGCAGGTCTTCCTTTTTCAGCACCAGCAGAAGGCACTTGGTTCGGGCGACGATGGTGGCGGTCCTGGGCATATCCATGAGGACACCAATTTCTCCAAAGAAGGCACCGGCTTTGAGCTCTGCGTAAACGGCCTCGCCGTCTCGAGATGTGACTGCGACAACGCCCCGCACCAGCCAGTACATGGCCTTTGCGTCGTCCCCCTCTGTAATGATGTGGTCGTTGTGTCCGTGTACCTGCGGTTTCAAGTGATTGCCAATTGCCACTAAAAACTCCTCTGAGGCGGAGAGAAAGAGGGGAAAGCTTCGAATGCGGTCGACCAGATCCAATGGCATATCTCGAATCGTCGAGGCGGTAAGCGGAGATGGTCGCATCGGGCGTGTAGGGTTATTTTCGACGTTGAATGATCGGATGAGCGAAACTGGGTCAGATTCAGCACCATTGCCATTGTGATGCCCCGTCCCCCGGTAGTGCGAGGGCGCACTCGGAGAGCGGCTGCGTCTCATTGTGATACTCGGTCGGGATATCTGGCTGTGGCCGCTTCCTTGTGATGGCAGCTTTTCAAAGGCGCCCTTGGTATTTTGCGGCTACCCGCACCGCACGTAACCAAGCAGCCTCGAAGCTTTAGGTTGCTCAACGCACAAGTCTTCCACGCTGCTTTCAGCTAATTCGTCCTTGTATATGGCCAGAGATTATAAGGTTTCGCTGTTGAGATCGGATGTATCGTGGCAAAGCTCGGATCATGCTCTTCCGGGCGAGGCTGACCGACGGCTCTTTGTTACTCATGCAGCAGCAGCTTCGCATAGATTCCTTGTCGCAATAGTAGCCTGTAGATTCGCGGCGACAATATTTTATACGGAATTATGCGGCGGGCTAGCGATATCGGGCCAGGGATGTCGCGGTGACGGTAGCGGAGCCGCCTGTCACCGACTCTTTCGCAGAAAGGAGTGTGGACGTCGATATCGCGGAAAGCTTTGCTATGGCGAGGTTGAGGCAAAGATGGGCCAAAAAAAAAAAATGGTCCTCTGCAACTTTGGCCACCGTATATTGCTACCTGGCGCCGTCCAAGGGTGGAAACGGTCGCGTACCGGCAGCCAACAGTCTATGTCCAAGCCATTATTAGCAACAGCAGCGGCCGGGCGAAGTGGCGGAGAGGTGTCTCACAAAAAAGAAGCTGAACTAGTAAAAACCGATTGGGTAATGCTATATCGTCAAGAGCCGCCGTGGGCCGCAGGCGTAAAGGGGTTTCGTAGGCCGCCTCTGCAGACTCGAAGATCAGTGAGCAGATCAGATAGCATCAAAGCTTTTCGCTCCAGGGAAGATGATGGAGGAGGGTCGATGGATGGCCAGAGGTCCGCTGGTCATGGCGCAAACCAAAGAGACACGCGCACACATGCACACACACACATACACGCCATACAGTCTAGTGGACAATAAGACGGGCGATGGGGATGGATGCCGTAGCTTTTTGACGTTGACGTGGGGTAGTGGGAGCTTCGCCAGGGTGGATTCGTTTTTAGTTGCTGGCACCGTGGCGGCGGGCCCGAGAGCTTGAGAGCTTGAGAGGCCCTGCAGCGGCCTTGCAGCGCTGAACAAACAGCAGCCGAGACGGCCGTGAGCGATCAGCGGCAACGGCGAAACAGCCACGATTTGGAGGGGGGTCTGGGATTGTCGACCTGGGATTGAGGTTTGGCGAGCCCTGTCGAGAGCACCAGCAGTGCACCAGCAGGTACCGGAACATGGAGGCTCAACCGCAAACAACAGGGTTTGCAAGCCTAGGTCCACGGCATCTCTCTTTATGTAAACCAGCAAGGGCAGCTGGGAGAGGCAAACTTCAGCCTGATGGCAGCATTGCCCCAACTCTGCACAATGTAATTCAGTCTACTATCATTATTATCTGAGACGAGATGCCAGCACAGGACTCGCTCTGTGCTCCAGAATGCCCTGCTGGCATGCAACTATTGATTCGTACCGGACTGGCCTAATCCCAACAGAGTCTCTGAGCTGAGCGGCCGCCCTATTGCGAAAGCTGGAATGACGCCAGTGGCGCGCATGCTTCCAAGGCTCCCAAATGGAGGTCCCCTAAGAAACGTGGCAGCCGGCCATTTCCAGGCGAGCCAGAGAAGGAAAAAAAGCAATGACGACGCAGGAGGCTCAAATCGCCTGCAAAAGTGTCGGCAAATAACGTCCATCTACAGGGATTCGAGTGCACGTAAATGGCTAGAAACAAGCGACCGGGCGAAGTACCGCAAATCTCCCAGGCCAGGAGATCCATCTAGCGGCGGCAAAAATGCTATGGGTACATGTACGTACCGGTATTAGCACCTGTGTGCGTATCGATACACGGCGTCCCAGCAGGGCACCACCACGATCCTTCAAGGCTGACATGCTCTTCCGAAGGACGGACGGCGCTCACTCTGACTACACGGACAGTATCACCGCATTGCACGTCGCCAATGGCCTGCCTGCCGCTGCCACGCACCAACGCGGCAGCCGTCCAGAGAGCTCAAAGTACCGGAGCAGCTGCGGCAAATCCTTCCTTCGGCGCACGGGGCGCTTGGCGATCCATGCGTTCGGGATGGAACTAAGACCTAGCCTAAGCCCGCACCGCCAGGACCGGGGGGGCCCTAGCTGAGAAGATTGCTGGAAGCCTACGGTAGGCATCTAGCTTCAGTGCTCTTACGGAGTGGAATCCCATGATCCATGCACTTTCTTTTGTGCAGCCCGCCATCGTCCGATCTTGAGTCCGGGATATGAGACCAGCAGTAATCGAGTTTTAAATTAATGAAAAAAAGATAAAGAAAGGGAAGAGAGGATCAAAATGGAGAAAACAGGAGAGAATAAGAAAAAATAATTTGAAGAAAGGGGAGCATATTCCGGAATAGGTACTCCCTCGTGCGTGCCTTGCATATTCCTCCATCCTCCCAGCGTATCACTAACATGCGCCTAGCGACAGGCTTTTCTACAAGCGACGCTTACGACATGATACCTTGGGCCTAATCGTGTATCTTTAATGAGAATTATAAATAGAACACAACGCTTACCAACTACTAAACAGCCTTTAGCTACCTCGGTAGGGGCACTGCTAAGGACCGTGTACTGCAAGTAATAAGTAGCAGCATCAGCATGCATACACTACTCTGTGCTATTGCTGCTCTTCTCTCTTGCACCGAAATTGGTTGCAGCAGTTAGCATCTAGTAGTAGGACCTGCTCGTAGTAGTATTACTTCCGTCTGACACGCAGAAGCCGAGGGGAAACAGAATGTCCCACCGTGAAATGCTCGGGATTCGCCAACAACATAATAGCTCGTATAATAGGTATCGTTCAGGTTGTGTTCAGTTTGTGTTATAGCACATTTCCCTGACTCAATTATGGCCCTGTAGAGCTCCAAGCACCCATCCCTTTCTTCTTTGTGCTGCCGATCACATCTCAACAGGCTTCGGCTTAACCGCGTCAGCACACCTATGTCGAATTGTGCGGCCAGAGAAACAAGCAACAAGGCCTCCAAGCTGACCAGAGTCCTTCTTTTCATCCCACATTCAATTTAGCCCGACAATTCCGCCGTTATCATTGCCTCTTTTATTCTATGCTTATCAATCCTCATTTCAATACGAGTACCCCAGTCATAGTCGCTGTTTCCTACCTACATTGCACAAGCTAGTTTCACGCTGGTTGTGATATTAAACGTTACATTAGAACCTCACCGCAGCACCATCTATTGACGACTTCTCCTGGACTCATTTACGGTGGATCTATCAGATTATCACAAGATGCATCGATCGGGTGACCGTTTCAGGTCTATGCCTCGCGAAAAGGAGTGCGTCAAGATAACAATACAGCAGATCATAATCATATCATTGGCATTCAACCGCAGTGATGAATAGATACCCATCTACCTGATCCTAGCAATCCCAGCAGCTACCTACCGAGACATGCATTTAACATCCAGCTAAATGATACCGGTAATGCTACAGGGAAAGTGGTTGTGAAATACCTCAAAAGGCAGGTAACATATACCTCGAAAACAGATGCATTGCCAAATCCAATCCATCAGCCAATCGTCATCAAAACAGGCATCTACCTCACATCCATACCCTCGGAGATTTCCGAGACAATGTTTTTTTTTCCTCCTCCCGTCTTCTTGACACCCCTCGGCACTCGTGCCGCACTACCTCCGGCTTCACATGTAAAAACATGGCATCATTTCTATTTTGCAGCTGCCCAGTTGGGAGCATTGCCGCACTTGCCCACGGCCAAAACATAGACCCAAAAAATTAAGGACCGGGTTCCCTTGATTAAATCACTTAACCCAACGCCGCGGATATGGTTCCGTAACCCAAAACGCTTTTTTTTCTCTCTCTCCTTCTTTCATTGCTCTTATTGGTCGGTGCTCTTCAGGAACATTTTGAAGACCTCCGAGTCTGTACACTCCTCTGATGGGTAGCCAAGCTCTTCAAGGAATTGTTCCAAGTCAGCGTTCTCTTCCGGTGGGCATTGGATCCCTGCTAGCACCTTGGCCACGTCGCCGCCGTACGTGCGATACTGGAAAAGGCTGATGTTGAACTTGGGTCTCAAGGTGGTCAGGAATTTTTCTAGCGCTCCCGGTCGCTCAGGGAAGTTAAACATGAAGAGCCTTTCGTTTGCAACGCCCGTTCGTCCACCGATGAGATAGCGAACATGGCTCTTGGCGAGCTCGTCGTTGGATAGATCTGTCACTTCCATGCCCTCCTCTCGGATGCGCTCCATGAGCATCCGCACCTCGTCGGCCCTTTGGGCAGGCGGAACTGTTATGGAAAGGCCTATAAGTACCTTGGCAACCTCGCCAGGGGAGTAGCGGTAGGAAAACTCGGTGACAGGCCGAGGCATGATGGTATCGACAAGCTTGGCGAAAGCGCCGGGTCGTTCCGGGATGGTAACGGCCATCAAAACTTCCTTACCCTCACCAAGTGCAGCGCGCTCGGCGACAAATCTCATCCGATCAAAGTTCATGTTGGCGCCGGAGGTAACCGCGATGAGCGTCCTCTTGGCGTTCTGAGATGGCTTCTGGGCAACGTATTTCTTTAAGCCAGCGATGGACAAGGCGCCCGCCGGCTCCAGGCCGGATCTAGTATCGTCGTACATGTCCTTGATGGCGGCGCAGATTTCATCGGTGGTGACTTCGATGACCTCGTCGACAACTTCGCGACAAATGCGGAAAGTTTCCTCTCCTGGGACCTTGACGGCCGCACCATCCGCAAACAAGCCAACCTCGGAGAGCGTGACTCTCCTTCCCTGCTTTAAAGATTGCGCCATGGCATTTGCATCAGATGCTTCAACGCCAATGATTTTCACATGGGGCGCCATCCTCTTGACGAACAAGCCGATACCGGCAATGAGTCCTCCGCCTCCAACTCCGCAAAAGATAGCTTCCACATTGGCCATGTTAACTTGAGCAAACATTTCATTGCCAATGGTTCCCTGCCCAGCAATAACGTATGGATCGTCAAACGGCGGGATGTTGATGAGACCATTCTGCTTTGCACGTCGTGCGCATTCTTCCTTGGCAGCGTCAAAGTCTGCGCCATGCAAAACGACATGGCCGCCCAGACGCGCAACATTCAAATGCTTGATGCTTGGTGTGCCCTCTGGCATGACAATGGTGGCGGGGATCTTGAGTTTCCTGGCAGAGTATGCCACGCCCTGGGCATGGTTGCCGGCGGAGCAGCAGACAACGCCCCTCCAGCTTTTGGCAGGGTCAAGATGCGCCATCTTGTTGTATGCGCCGCGAAGCTTGAAGCTGAACACGGGCTGCAGATCCTCGCGCTTCAGCAGGACGTTGCACTCTAATCGGTTGCTCAGGTTGACGGCCGGAGTGAGAGGCGTCGTCTTGCAGGCCTCATAAACCCGTGAGGTTGCGCTGGCAATCATGCGCAGATACTACTTGGGCAAAGTTCCGTCTATCAGCACTCTTGCATTCTTGGCCTCGCCGGAAGCAGATAAAAAAAGAAGAAGAAATGCTACTCACGTCGGGATAGCCATCTGGAAGTCGGTATTCTTCCGGGACATACGATGAGCCGTCCTCCTCCCTCCCGGATGGCGGTGATGGGTTTGCGCTGTACTCTGTCAGGGCCATGGCCTTCAAGTGCGATGACATTGAAGGCCGGCGAGTGCCATTGACGCCGCCCGCAGCGCCGTTGGGCGCCAGCGATGCGCCATTGAGATCCGGCATCTCAGATCAGTTCCAGCAGGTCGCTGCTGTATTTTCTCTTCTGATTTTCGTTGGATTGGGGAATGTTGGCAGCAATGGAGAAGAAGGAAAGTGAGTCCTCTTGTAGGGCGGGATGGAATGATGGCCTCCGATAAATCGGCCCCTCTGAGTTTTTTCTGGGGACAAAAGTGGCGTGTGCTAGCGACGCCCCTAGAGCGATGAAAGGACCTTGGCACCAAAGTTATGCTCTGAACATGACAGACAACACGAAAGCATGGGCTTTTGTGCCCTTTTATATTAAAATTAAGGCTCTTTTACAATGAAACTACACCGTGCTGATACATTCTGTACAACGCATCAAATGAGCCAATATGCAGCAGCCGTCAGATGTAAATTGAGGTCCAAAGACATACATTCAAGCATCACTGACTCAATTCGAAATGACGCGCGCAGCGCATCGATATCGGAGCCCACTCAGACCAGCCGCTGCTTATCTAGCTGCGTTTACAAATGGATGCATTTTAATTTACTGGGCTGGCGCAACATTATCGGCGCTGCGCTGCTCGCAACTAATGCAATTTCTACTCATTCTATTATCATTACAATCTTTTTAATATAGCTTGTCAAATAGTATTTAAGCAAAGTGCGAGTACGAGTCCATGGCTATAACGTGGGGGACTCCACATAGTATACATTCTAGAGAATAGTTGACTGTGTACTCGAGACTTTTGTATCAAGATATCAAATAGACTACTAGTAGTATGACTATGCTTGTTGTTTGCCATTCTGAAGCCACGCAAGGGGCATCTCCACCTCTGCATACCTACTAGGTACCTATTCAGCAAGGTAATCTATCAGTAGAAAGAGAGCGGGCTAAGTTTCTTGACTCCCGCAGATCTTTGCTCGCATATTTTAAACCCTCTACATCATTTTGTTGCAATGTATCGGTCATCGCCTCTTTAATGGCCCTTCCTTGCCCCTCTTTTAAGGATTTCTATAAAGCATCTGCCGCAACAAGCAGTAATGCAACCGACGGCAGCACCGGGGATTCCTGTGTACCCATCTCTTAGCTTCTCTAGGAAATTCCATGCCCCGTGGTGTACGATGAATAGGCTGAATCGGATGCCTGGGAGTTCAGCCCGAATGCCCTGAGCCAGCTTGCGTAGAAGTCCCGGGGGAGGAGCTGAGCATTCTCGGCCTAGTAATTCCACTGTCAACAAAGGCTTTCGAGAAAATTTCAAATCCTAATGGGATGTTAAAATAACACGTACTCTTGCTTCTTCCATCTTATCCTTGAATTCTGGTTGGAGGTAATCTCGGCTGTCTGTGTACTGCTTGACGATGCCTTCATTCAAAGTTTTTTCAACCGCAGTAGATGACCACGGCACGCGTGCTCCAGGGTGCTCAAGACGATGGTTGGCTGCCAAAGTCAAGTATCCCAAAGTAGGCCTCGCAGTTTGTCGGCAGATTGTCAACAAAAAAAAAGATGCGTTAACTCTTTGATCTTGATGGACTTAAATACAGATAAATCCAATCATGCTGCATGTACTTTATATAGCATATTGATAGTAGAACAATTAGAAGTGGTAGAAACGGTAGAAGCAATATTATAACAGGGTGCCTAACACTGGAGTTGTGCTTATGATAGTAACATTTGATAAAATTTGTTCCCTATATCGTCAGGCTAATTCTATACTGCAGCTAGGCAATTTCATCTATAATAACCCACTTGGCCCAAGTTGCATCAGATTTAAACAGCAGCATAATCATCATTCAAGATTCATAGTAACAGTATGTACAGAGAAAGGATTGAACCCATTTAAACCCAAACGCCCGCTTTCCCTCCCCCAAGTCTACATCATCTAATCAATTATTCCCATTTCTAAATCATGATTTGCGCGGCTTCTGAACGGCCTGTTCATACGATGGCAAGCCATCCGTCGATGAGCTCGCACTCGAGCTTCCCACATCTCTTCGACCCACTGGCCGATCGCGACTCTGCTCGTCCCTCCATCGGTAGCCCTCGGGCGCTCCCGCAGGCATGCGGTCCCTATAAGAGCCGGACACGACCCCCTGCGCCTCGGAGGAATATACGCCTCTTGGCGCGGGGCCCTCGCCGTAATTCATGTAAGATACGCCTCCGCTGGCGGGCTGGGGGGGCGGCGGCGGCGGCACTGCTGCACGAGAGCGCGAGCCAGAGTTCATAAAGGACATGACCATGTCGGCCTCCATGGCCTTGCGCTCTGCCTTGCGCATTCTTCGTTCCATGCGGCGTGTTGCACGGCAACCACTCCTCCTTCCTGTACCATATGTGGCATATGGGGCATAAGGAGCGGGGCCGTTGCTGTTGTAGTTGTAGTTGTTGTTGGCGTAGCCATTGTTGTAACCATTGTTGTAGCCATTTCTATTGTAGCCGTTGTTGTAGCCCGGGTTGCCGTTATGATCGCTAGCCAGGGCTCGGGCAGCTGCTGCAACGAGGCCAATAACCAAGGCCATTGCTTTTGTGGAGGCTGCGGTTGAGGTTGATTTAATTTAATTGACGAAAATTGACGAAAAGTCAATGTTGCCCCGAATATGCACGCGGATATTGAGTCGTGACGTGGGCGAGTATCAATGGCTCAAAGGTAGACTTATATGCAGACAAGTGTGAAGAGAGGTAATGTAATGTAATGTAATGTGATACGGAAGATGGAAGACGACGGATGGCTCTTATATTATATGAATGGTGACTTGTTCGATGATGAGAATTACAAATAGTATGAATACGACAAAATATATTAAGATACGCTCGTCAGCTTTATACTCGCCTTGCCGCCTGGCAATTTGCCAGCCTCAGCGGCACCGCCTCCTTCTGCTGCCAGGCCCCAAGCAGCCCAACAATGGCTGAGCCCCGGCACGCGGCCTCCAGAAACCCCTAAGCATTGCCATCTCGAATCGATCTGCTCGATGTGGCCTAGCGCTGCCATCCTTCCATCGGCTCCGGCCTCCACCAGCGGTGCCGCAGTCGCAATCTCCACCCAATCGGCCACCAGCCAGCAATGGGGACTCGGAGCTTTGCGAGCTGCCTTGCGCCGACTTTGCTTGCCTTGCTTCGTTTTTCCCTTCTTAGAAAGCGAAACGAAACGCTGGCGCTATGCGCGAAAGAAGAAGCATAACGCGCTCTGGCGCCACAGCCTCCTTCATGACGACTGCGACTGCGAAATGTCCCAATAGGCGCGCAGCAGAGCAACGCCTCCTACCTGCGTTTCCACCGTCCTTCCCCTGCCGCGATCATTGGGATCGCCGTCGCGTGGCTTTTCCATGAGTAGTATCTCCGCAGGCTCTGCCACGTCCATGTTCTTTAGGTCCAATTTCAGATTTGACGTAAACGGGGCTTGTTTCTCCAGGGCCCCCTTCCCATTGCCCGGCAGCCATCTTGCACTTCGGCCCCAAACCTCGTCTTTGGGCGTCCCGTGGTTGCGATAATCGGTAGAGTTTACGGCCTTGTGATTGATCCCATCTGCTTCTGGCGAAACAGTAATGTTGCCGAAAATGCCTGATCCCCACCACATGCCGAAGCGGCCCCTGCTGTCTCGAGTTCTCAGCGCTGCCAGGGCGTTATGCTTGATCCAGCCAAGATACGCCCCGCAAGCACATCTATGGGCTGCTTTGACGTGGCTGAAGCTATCCATGTTGAGATTGTTGCGGTCGTTTATATCATCCCACTGTAGGGGCCGACAAAATGCGTTCAAATGATGAAAGTATATCCCTTTGAACGTCTGACTATCCTGGGAGCAAGTGCCGCTTGCATCACACTGCTCTTCCAGAATGCCTCCACGGCCAAGGCCTCTCCATTTTGGTAGTTTTGAAGTCATCTCTATCAAGTCTACTGGCTGGTTCGTCTTTAGACTCCAACCAGTGGCTTTTATGACTGCCTGGATAAGGTTGTGCCCGTCTGCAAGATACGAAGGGCTCCCTGTCACGTCCCACAATCCCCTTTGTCCCGTCAGCAGTACTCCCTGGTTGTAAGTATACACCATTTCGTCGCGGACATCGCACTCCACATTGCCAGGTTTCTGTCGATCAATGTGGAAACCATCGACGAATAGGCCTTCGTTGTTGGTCATGTTGCTGCCCATAAGCCATTTGTAGCCCTCAATGGCTGCTTGGAGATGCAGAGGGTCTTTGTCAACAGCGGTTCCGTTGTTAAGGTACTGATACATGGAAATAGAGGCAGAAACATAAAGCTCATTCGTAATGGCATTCTTGTAAGGCTCTAGACGGGGATTCCAGACCATGCCGCCGTGGCACAAGGCAGTATCCCATCCCTGTGCGCCGAGTAGCCAAAAACTCTTGGCTCGGCTTTGGAACGAGGGAATCCAAAACTGACCGCGCCAAGGCAGCGACGCCAAAGCTTCATGAACATCAGTTGGGAAACTAGCATTGAAATTGGAATCGGCGCCGGGGAAATGGAGACTGCTATGCGATCGAGCAAAGTTTATAGCCTCTATCCAGCCCAGTACCACCCATAATATGTCATCAAAGGCCTAGACAGAAATGATTAGAATTTCAAGTCAATAAAACAGCCATAGACAAACGAAGAACGCCTACTTGATCTCGGATGGCAACTATATCCTGCTCGAAATGATAACCAATAACTTGATCGTAAACTGTAGAGATGAGATTTTCATGCGCTTCCCGAATAGCTGGATTAGTGCCTAGAAGTAACGAGTCTAGCGACCTCGTAAGAGTCGAAATTACGGAGCAAACGACAGTCTCCGTAACCGCGGCAGTCCAGTCTATTGCTGATGGCCATGTGTTTCTTCCTATTTGATAGTATTCATTTTGTAACACAGCAAGCGCCGAGAATGCACCTTCTAGGATATCAGTGCCGGCATGATCTGAAGTAGAAGTGTTTACCGCTGTAGGGAGAAAATTATCTGGCGATGGACGACAATTGGTACAATCTGTGACCGCCACGGAGCAGTATTCTTGTTTATACAGTCCAGGGGCACCAATCACGAGAGGTAGAAAAGCAAAAGCAAAGACAGCATGTACAGTAGGGAGTCGACTCATAGCTACAGGCAACGAGCGCGACCCGTCATGTATGAAGCAGCTGCGGCGGGTATACCGAATGTGTTTAGATGTTCGATTAAAGAGAATTTATGAGCATTTGAGCTCTAATAGTCTTGAGATCGGCGCAGAAATGACATGAGTCTGTTATGTCTTCTTAGACGCAGTGTCCAACTTGTGAATGAAAGGGCAAGTAAAGATGGTGCAGACAGGCTCAGATAGCTGAGCGATTGATGCGGCTAGTGATGATATATGTTAGTATAAGTATTTGGAAATAGTAATCTGAATCTATACGTATATTAACAAAGACATTTGAAACCAATTTCAAAGACACTTCACCAAGACAATTAGGGTCATACTAGAATCGGTCATGAGTTGTGTGTGTCAGTGCTGGCAGTTTAGAACAAGACATACCATACCCTATAGTCTTGTACTAACTAGGTGGTAGAATCCATAGTCAACGCACAACGGGGGTAGTATTATACGTTCTAAGAAAGACAAAATTTAATAATAGAGATATACCCATCAACTCTATGTGCTGAGGTCTAAAAGAATATTGGTGAAGTTGTAAAGATCGAGGGAGCTTGGACGACGTGCTGATTGTAGCTGAGGGGTAGATCCACAGCCCCGTGACCTCCGTGTCTTGGTATGCTCGGCATTCACTAGCAGCTGCTAAATAGAAGAGGTGTAAAGCGATGATGGCGAAGGCATTTCATATTGCAAGCTGTATCTCCCAAGTATTTTGGTGATATATGCCACAGGCCAAGCTACAAACAGGGCAGTAACGGATGTCAAGATACTGCAGCACATTGTATGAGGCATGGTGTAGTGGCAGTAGCAGCTCTAAATTTTGCACGGAGTCCTTGGTACGCCACTGTATTTTATCTCCCAGAGCACTGCCAGAAATAAAAAAATAAATCAGAGAAAGGTGCAGGTATATAAAATAACATTAAATCACCACCAAGCAGCCGATATTGATAGCGTCTATTTTGTATATAAAGTGAAGCTGAGTTCATAGAGATACTGCCACTACCAGCAAGCGCTCGACCGAATCGCAAACTTGGACTAGATTGTGCATAAGTTCATTTTGCGCTTGCTGTTTCACTGCCAGGGATAATATATTATGGCCCTGCGCTATTTTCACGCTCCCATCACTTATGCTTTTCCTTTTTCCCATCCTCGCCACTACCAAAGAGTTATATTATCAACAGCTCTATGATGGCTGAATCGCCATAGACAACGCTGCCGTATTACCTACCTAGTAGTACCGTCCATAGGCACACGGGGCTTACACGCTTCTGGGTGGGTTGGCACGGGAGCGACAGTAGCGGTACAAAGAAGCCCTGCAACGGGGCCTGCCGCACCCAAGTACAGTACTTGCATACGCCGCCAAAAGCGAGCAACCCCGCCCACTGCACGTCTGGGGTTTGTTTACTTTCCCGCCAAAACAATCCGCCCAGGCATTCGTCTCGTTTCCAGCTTCCACCTCCAGCCCCGGTCCTTGCTTTTCACCTCCCGCAACTCCAACCCTCGACTCCGACCACAGCTGCAGCTGCACCGCTCCTGGCTGCTGCTTCGACATTCGACACCCGAAATCGACGCGTCGCCCGCCAGATTCCCAGCGCTAGCCCCTGCAGCGTCCGACCGCCAGGCGCATCCGCCCTTCGCACAGATAAACAGTCTCCAGATACGCGACGCGCGAGCTTCCATCCGCTTACTGCCACGCAACCTCCCCAGATAGCCATCGTCGACTCTTTGCAGCTCCAGCATCGCGTGCGGCGCGTGGCAGAGCATTGCGATGGAGTCCGACGCAGTTACCAGATATCGTTCGCGCATTCTTAGGGAAATGAACGCAAACCGTGAAAATCCCTTTAATTCCCCACCTTCATCCACCGGCAGAGCGAGCCCGACGCTGTCGTCCGTCTTTTCAGATCCCGACGGCGAGTCCACACGCCTGTTGAACCAGGACATCGCCCGCGTTACTGCTCCCAAGAAACTGCCCATCAACTGGGAGGCTGCACATCGCAAATGGCCCGAGTTCTACGCCCAGCCCAAGAAGACTTTTACCGTCCTCGACGACCAGACAGACACCAAGCCGCTGAATGAAATCCCACGCTCTAAGAACGAAAGGAAGACGGCGCAAACCATTCCCAAGTACATTGACGATACCACCGAGGACGCCTGGAACGGCTCCAAGAGAACGCGCTCGGAAATGCAGCCGCGCGTCGACAGCGAATCTGACCTGCCACAAATTATTTCACACCCGCCCGTCAGAAAACTCTCAACGTACGGCCTGACAAAAAGCGCTGTTCACAACCCCAGCCCTCTATCAAAAGTACACATCCAGTCTCCGCCAAGAGAGCGGACAAGCGAACAGGAGCGACAAGCTTCTATCGAAAAAGCCTTGGAAATATTGCGCAAGGCATCTTCTACCCCTGGTGATTTAAATCGACGAGTATCAACCCACGACCAAAGCTCACCCATTTTGTCCTCTGCCAAATCCAGTATGACAGCTGTTCCTCCTTCACCCCCTCCCTTGCTGTCCAGCCCTGTACGCGACACACCAAATGGCCGCTCGTTTTTCATGCCGGATATTTCGCATCTTGATGATTTTGTTACGGGTACATTGAAATTCAACGGTACAATCAAAGACGGCGTACCCATTCTCGTTAAACACGGCCAAGTGCACGACCAGAAGGAGAAGCCTTTTGGCGTACGACATGCAGAAATTGATGGTGTCAAGATTCCTGAAGATGAGGAGAAAATCTTTATATCAATGGATATGATCCGTGAAGAAATTGTCTCTCTCCAAGAGCATCATGACAAGATCCAAGACTATGCCGGCAGCCTTCAGCACGAGGTGGAGAGGCTCGAAGCTCAGCTTAGATCATCTCGCAAGGGTCTAGACGGAGAGCCAAACATCTTTGGTGTCAATGAGCAAGTTTTGGCTCAGAAGAAGGGTAAATTTGAGATGCCTTCTCTTTATATTATGGTGATTGGTTACTGACTGGCATATAGCACTTGAAGCTGAGGTAGCATCACTGCAGAAGCGGCTGGATCAGGCGACACATCGTATCAGCACAAGTGATATTGAAAACGATACTTTGGCCCAAGAGCGAGACCGTGTTATTAGTCGCCTGCAAGAAGCTTGTGAAGATATCAACAAGTTGACTCGGAAACTGAGCGTCAAAGAGAAAGAATTGGAAACTAGCCACAAGCAGCTGAATTCAACCGGACAGATGCGCCAAGACAACGACACTCTACGCCGAGACGTTGCAGCCTTGAAGCAGGGTCGAAGTACCTTGCAGCGCGATAATGCATCGCTTCGGGCAGAAATTGATGAACTGCGTCGTGCACAGCAAAATTTCCTTGACGAGGCTCAGTCCTTGCGATCCAACGGCAACGACCTTCGACACGATCACCAATCCCTTGTCAACGAGAATAGATCTTTGCGAGCCAACAACAAGGCTCTGATGGACGAGAATGAAGATCTCCGAGAGAATCTGGATGGTATTCAACATGAGCTTGATGTTGCTCGCGAAGAGATCGAAGCACTTCGACAACAAGTGCAGCTGATGAGGCAAGAGAAGATGACACTTCGCGAAGACAACGATAGCCTAGTCCGACATAACGACAAATATTTCAACGAAAACAAGACTCTTCGCCGTGAGAACTCTGGTTTTGAGCGTAGCATTCATGATTTGCATGAAAAAAACATTAGGCTCAAAGAAGAGCTTGAGGGAGTGAAGAAGCAATTCGACCGCTACCGACCGTCCGGTAAGAACGATTTCCCCACTCGACACGACGAAGAGACCGAAGAAAACATGACATCGGCTTTCTTTGTTCCCGATATTACCCTCAAGACAAATGATACCGGTCCAGCTGATGCCACTGAATCAAAAGACATGCCGGATCTACCCGAGTTGACAACGCACACCGACGACCTTATGACTGGTAGCAACGAAATGCAGAAACGTGATGCTACTTCACACAGCGACAAGGTTGATGCACGACACCGATCCAAGAGTAGCGTGAAGTCATCACCATCGAAGAATGCTGGCACCGCTCAAAAGGTTGCATTTGACCTTCCCGACAAGGCGACCGAAAAGCCGCTGCAGGGATCCAAGTCCACGGTAGCAAATCAAGGAAGCAAACGCCGAAGCGCGAGCAGACTTTCCCTGGACCCCTTTGGCGATGATGATACGACGGGGATGCTGTCTGTGGACAACATCACTCAGGACCTGGCCGTATCCCTGAACCTGTCCACAACGGACCATAAGGGCAAAGAGATAAAGCAGCCTCGAGGCCTTCATACCGAAAAGTCAGCACCCAAAGTTGTGCACATTGATTCCAAATCGCAGTCATTTAAGAAATCTGTTATGGCAACTGAGGCTGGCGTGCGGACTGTCAGGATTGTCGATAGAGATGTTTGTCCCGCACTGTCGACTAATGCTCGACGGATTCTGGATGATCTATGTGGACACAACTGCCAGAACTGCACGGTCTGCAGCCGCATCACGTCTCATTCTGGTGTCATCTCCTCTGCCGATCTGGCTGCCGGCAAGAAGCGTGTCTCGATCCCGCGGCCCGTTCCTGTCAGCGAGCGTGGGGTGTCAGGCGGCGACCACACAGTTCGACCAGCTCACTCCCCTGGCTATGCCTTGGCTCTTGTAATCAAGGGTTTAGAAGATGAATCACAGCATCTTCAGCTGGAACTGACGCGCCTTCAAGCCCGATACAATAGAAGTGATAAGTCAATGGGCCGCCAGGAGAGACAGGATCTGGCTGAAGCGATTCGCGTGCTTTTGAAGCGCGTTGAGTCGAAGAGCGACCAGATTTACAGCCTATACGATGTGCTTGAGGGCCAGAAGGCTGCCGGCCAGGAGATGACAGAAGAAGAAGTGGAAATGACAGTCTTGAACATTACGGGCATGACTGTACGAGACGCCACGAATTTGAGTGATCAAATGACATGGGAGGGCATTGTGGAGGCCTAAAAGAAGACCCATGGATGAGAGATGTATTATTTTCCTCTTGTTGTTTTACTATCATAATTTCGCAAAGACCAGGAGGATTTGTGTTGTATCTTACGGATGAGCTCCAGCCGCTAATAAATGCGAAGAGAGGAGCCGGGCATTGGACTAGGATATTGGGGCGTTTTACAAGCTGGATGATGGCTTCAACTTGATTCGTTGGACTAAAAGGAATGTCTACACACTCTGCTGGCTGAGCCTCTTTTTTTTTTTTTTTTTTGTGTCATTTCTCATTTGCATCTTTTTTCAAGGAAGGAGTTGGGATATGAATATGGCGCACAAAGATACCGGCGCATTTTGCTTTGTGTAATAGGCTTTGTATTAGGTTGATGTCTTTATTAGCGACTATGAGAAATGACTGATTCGGTCAATGACTAAAGAGAATTAAACGATTTCTTGAATGTGAATACCGTGATATGACGTGAAATGGAACGTAAGAACCATATATATATATGTCAATGTGAAAAAAATACCATTTCTTTATTTTGAACTCTGGAACCAAACTCCCTAATATTATCTGACATCCATCAGGTTATATACAAAGGTCTATCTACTCGTCATCCTCTTCCTCTTCCTCTTCCTCGTCGTCATCCTCCCCTCCAAGCTCGTCGTCCATATCCACCTCCTCATCGCTGTTTTCTTCTTCATCGCTTGGTGACTCTCCCTTTTCGTCCTCTTTCCTCTTTCGCTCTTCCTCCTGTCTGGCTTCCGCCAGGACCTTTGCGCGCTCGGCTCTGGCAGCAGCCTGGCCAACGACGTAGGCACCCAGGGGTGTCTTCGCCGCATCAAAGTCCTTCAGGAATGCGTCGACCTGGCTTCGGTGCTTGGGCGCAAAGTCGACCTTGGCGCGCTTCTCCTCGATGAACTTGGCGTTGGCCTCAAGCTTCTGCACCAAGACGGAGAACTGTGAGACGAGCTTGGAGTTCTTGTTGCCGCTGGACTTGGCGCTGACTTGCTTAAGCCATCGCTTGAGCTGGATGATGACGGGGAGGGCGAGTTCGGGGAACGAGATGGAGGTCGACCAAGTGTACATGAAGCTGCTCATGAGCTCGACGACTTCCTCTCCAATGCCGTCTTGGAAGACTCGTGTGCGGAGATATGACTTGGGGGCTCTGTAAGCGACGGCAAAGTCCATCGGCTTGAGAGTTGATGCCTTTGGAGCCTTCTTCATCTCTGCGGAGTTGAGCACTTCTAGTAGAGGCGAGGCAAGCGGGATGTAGACGTCGGCAGCACGCGACAGGACGAGCAGTGAGCGGATGAGGTGGAATCGAAGAGGGAAGTATAGAGATGTGGGGAGGAGACGCATGGCACCGAGGGTAACCTGGACGAGGGGATAGATAAGTGGCCTCAAAGGGCTCTCCTTGCCGGCCTCGGCCTCCTTCAAAGGCGTGCAGTGCTCGGCAAGGACGCGTGCCCAGAAGTCAAGAGAGTGAGTGAACTGCCAGTTGTAGACCATACGGAACGAATCGTTCTTGTTGTTGACGATGCTGTTGCGGAGGTGGATGGCGAGTTGGCGGATGAAAGTGAAGGCTGTGGTGTAGCCGACAGCAGGATCGATGCCCCAGAGTCCGGCGGCCGAAAACTTCATCATATCGATTCCCGCAAGGGTGTTGTGGTTGGTGACTCGGCAGCCCTGGACGAGGCCCTGGTAGACAGCCTTGAGGACGGTTTCGCGGATACCCTTGTCTCCGATAATGACGAGCCGTCTAATAACACGGAAAGCAGTGACTCGCGATGAGTGAGAGCCAGCGGCTTGAGCCCAGAGGTTGACCATGGACTTGGCCAGAGCCTTGATGAGCTTCTTAAAAGAGAGCAAGTATGGGAGAATCTCCACAATCGCCAAAAGGGTGACGGTGATTGTGCCGTCGTCTGAGAGCGAGTTGAGCAGGTGCATGATAGAGGCAATGTAAGACTTCAAGAGCAGAGATAATGTCTTGAACTTCTTGCCCTCTGTTTGAACGTAGACCTTGCCTGCTGCTGACTCCTTGATAGGGAGGTGGTGGTTAAGAACGAGAGGGACTTCCTTCAAAGCAAGAAGCAGAATATCATTAAAGACTTCTGGGCTGTTGATGGACCATCGCATATCGCCCTGGCCCTCCTCATCGGCTTCGTCAAGGTGGGCAGCGCATCGGAAAGCGAGCACCACTTGTCTGGTCGCTCGCAGAGACTTGGTCTCCTCCATTGCTTTCCTCCAGCCTGCAATAGTGCTGCGAGTCAGCTCATTGCTCTGTGTTGCCTCTTCGTCCGCCTTGCTGCCCTTCTTTCTCTTCTTCTTTGGCAGCTCCTCGTCTTCTTCGCCGGCGCTGAGTTCGTCGACCTCGGCCAAGTCTGCATTCTCGTCGAAATCCAACGCTTCGGGGTCGTTTTCTTTCAGAAACTTGAAAAACTCTGGATCCTTCTCTGCAAGGCCCTTCATGGCTTCAGCGCTCATGCCTAGTCCAGCACCCTCGTCGTCGTCGTCGCTGCCATCTTCGCTGTCGCTCGCAACGGGCTGGGCACCAATTGACATGTCAGAGTCGCTTTCTTCAGATTCTTCTTCCTTGGCTTCGCTTCGCTTTCGCTTGCCGAGTTTGCCAGCCTTGTCCTTCTTGTCGATGATGTCCTCGAAGCCGCCGGAGAAGAAGTCGTCGACGCTCATCTCGGTGACCTTCTTCGCCTTGGCCCCGGCAGGTTTCTTGGAAGAGGCATCGCCCTCGCTTTCCTTGGTGCCCTTCAAATACTCGGCATCTTGAGCTCGTTTCTCTTTTTGCTTGTTTCTGATCTGCAGCTTCTGCTTCAGCTTTGCGCCGGCCTTTCTCTTATCTAGAACATCCTTCAGATGCGATTTTTCGAAATTTTTTGTCGCTTTCAAATTTTTCTTGGCGCTACCCATGTTGGGCAATCTTTTGCAGCTACGGGGGGAGCTGCGAATTGGAGATGCTAAAAGCGAAAAGGAAAAAGAAAAGAAAAGAAAAATGATGCCGCTTGGAAAGGCGAAAAGCGTCGCGCTTCTACGTACCAATTGCACTTTCCAAAAATTTTCGACGGCGACCACTATCGATAAAGCAGCTCCACTGCAAGAATTTGGGCGGTCAATAATTCTGCCAGCCGCTGCCACCGTTAGTGCCTTTAGTCTTTAGTGCAGCTTATAGTGGGTTAAGTGCTAGCACTGCAACTGCAGTAGCTCAGTGTAATATGGATGGCCCGTTAATAGTGCCGTCACCACAATCATACACCTCCATATCAACCCAAGCGTCTTCACAGCTTCGCGGCTCCTCGATGCCTCGTCTCAATCCACCATCATGAACCCGCGTCAGAGCTACGCGCCAACTCCCCACAGCTACGTCCCCAACACAAGTCTGTCCGCCACCATCAACCTCGATGAGGTGAGTAAAACATGTTTGAGCATCATTGGAACCCCTCCCCCGCTCTCGCGGCATGATTGACATATGTATATAGCTAATCAATCACACGTCTCAACTATGTAGGAGGTGAAACTTACCGGCACCCGCGCCGAGCGCGATCTCCAAGACTCACTTGGCGAACTGTTCAGCATCATCGTCACGCTCGATGAGCTGGAAAAGGCGTTCCTCAAGGATGCGATCCCGGAGGCTGAATACACAGACATCTGCGAGCGCTCATTGAGGCAGTACAAGGCGCTTCTGGCGGATGAGACGATTGCAAACGAGTTCAAGGACCTCGAAGATTTCAAAGCTAAATGGGATGTAAGTTTACACCAAAATGAACCTGTCAATGGAGTTCAATGAAAACGAACATGAGCAACAACATCAGCTAATCTTGCCATTCTGCTCAAAAAGCTCGATGTCCCCCGCGCAACTGAACGCCTCCGAGTCGGCATGCCATCCACCACCGTCACCGCATCCTCCGCCGCTCCGGCATCAGCGCCCGCAGCCGCCGCCAACAACACCAGCGGCGTGCTCATCCTAGAGGCGACGCAAGAATTCATCACCTTCCTCGACGCCGTCAAGCTCGGCCTGCTGTCCAAGGATCAGCTGCACCCGCTCCTCTCGGATGTGATCCAGTCGGTGAACCGTGTGACGGATAAGGATTTCGACAACCGGGGCAAGATTGTGCAGTGGCTCATTACGCTGAACCAGATGAAGGCGTCGGATGAACTTAGCGAGCAGCAGGCGAGGGAGCTGGACTTGGACATTCAGCAGGCGTATCAGGGCTTTAGACGTACATTGACATGATACCATTGTTATCTCTTAAATCATTTTGTAGTAGACTATTCCCTTTGTTCCGCCCATCTATATGTAAAACACCAGTAATGGCTATGATAATAACGATCCCCCTCGTCACCCTCTCCCAAATCAGCAATATCAACCCCCTTTTTCTCATACCAAAAACGTCCAGAAACTCGGATACACAAATTCCTCCTCAAATATCCTCCTCACCTGCTCCAGCACAAACCTCTCCACCTTTCCCACATTCTTCAAGCTCTGCCTCCCACTCTCTCGCTCTCCAATCTCGCTTTCCACCTTGATCTCCTGCAGCAGTCCACCGAATCGCCCTCCAGTCTGCTGTTGTCCTTGTTGTTGTTGTTGCTGCTGCTTCTTCTCCCCTCCTCCCCCTCCTCCTCCTCCCCCTCCATTACCTTCTCCCGCCATAGACTCTTCCTTATCCCCCTCCGGTCCCACCGCAGCCAGCGCGTCATCCGGGTTCAAGAAGCAGAAATGCACCCTCTTCCGAATATGCGCCAGCACGCCCACCCCATCAAACGTCAACCCCGTAATGTTCAGCTTCAGCGGAATCCCCACGAAGCTCGGCATCGGATAGTCGAGCAAAATCTCCGCCGTCAGGTTCAGCCTGACGTCGCCCGCATATCGAATCCGAAACACCGCCTGCACGTCCTCCACTTTCGCCTCCCGCTCGGCAGCCCTCTTGCCGCCCTCCTCTTCCTCATCGTCGTCGTCAACAATCGCAGATCCGCCGCCGCTGACCTGCCCATGGCTCGTCGACGGTCTCGACGGCTGACCCAGTGTGCTCGAAACATCTGACTTGGCACCCAAGCCCAGCCCTGCGCCCGGATCAAGCGCCGCCTGGAAGTTGTCGATGGAGCTCACCGACGCCTCCCTGCTATGATACGGCGTCTGTGCCTCCGACCCAGCCGCCGATCCCATCCAGCTCGTCCCTCCCAAGTGCGCTCCCGCAACCGCAGCCAGCGGCGTGTGCGTCCCCGTCGCCAGATGCGCCTGGAAATAGTTCCTCCCCGGCCCACCCAGGATACCTGGCGTCGACGTGCCCAGAAAAGCCCTCCCCAGATCATGGCTGCTCACATCGCTCTTGAGCGCCTCCCTGAGACCATTCTCGCGCTTGCGGGCCTCCATCATCGCCGCTGCCGCCGCCAGCCTCTCCCTCTCGGCGATGCTCTCCTCATCCTCGTCACTGTCGTCGCTGTCGTCCTCATCATCATCCAGCTCCTGCTCGTAGAAATCCGGCAGCGGGTCTGTAATATCCTTTAGCTCCAGCTCAGGCGGGATCGTGCCAAAATCAAAGCCGTGGACGTTGACGGATCTGATGAACCGCGGCAGCTGCACCGTCTGGAACTTGGTGTGGATGAAGGTCCTGATGCTCTCGGCCAGCGCATCGCCATCTGGTCCGCTTGTGAGCGTCTCCCAGTTGAGATCAATCGACATTTGGGGTGAGTCGGGATTGGACAAAGAAGAAGATTATTGAGACATTAAAATGAATTATAACGAATTAAAAGCTGCGCGGCAGCATTGGCAGCGGTGGGCGCAGAACGATTGACAAAGAGAAGTTGGTGGCTCAGAGAGCGTAATGTGAGCATCACTTGTTAGCGGGGCCATACATAGTGTGAGTTTTTCAAAGGCTGCAGGTTGTGAGAGATCAAGCAAGTTATTATGAGTTGCGCTCTCGCTTCAATAGGATCTCATAAAAACAAAAATATTATTACTATCTAAGAAAAGAAAAGAGTTCCTAAAAATACTGTTTCTTTTTTTGTAGCATAATATTCCACAATTTGAGCTGATCCGTTCGCACTTCGCCTTTCTAATCCGGCTTTAAACTCTGTGATAAACACTTAGGGTATCTCACTGCCTCTTCACTCATATCATCTCCCTCTCCCAAAACACATCCACATATAAAACAAACGTCAACAGTCCTGAAAAAAATAACTTCATAAAGGGAAATAAAAGTCAACGAGGGCGAGCATTCGTCCCCGATTCGCCTACGCCATGATAAAAAGAGAAAACTAGCCGACGGGCTGTAAATGCTACACCACACACTGCCCAAGTCCTATTCGCTTCATCTCAAGTCAACTCATTTTTCAGGCCTCTGCGTCCTCAAATCTGGCCTGATTGTAATACATGTTATACTGAGGCTTATTGAAAAGATGCCAGCAGTTAGGAGCTTGCAAGATGTATCTATGAATCGAGTATTAGCATGCCAAGGTGCCATCATCTAAATCGTCGCAGCATATGAAAAAAAAAAAGGATTAAAAACGTACCTTGCCATGGCCTCTCTGAATCGAGACTTGTACTCCTTAGGACTAGTCACAGTCGGTCTGTTCCGACCACCGCCTGCGAAACCGCGATCTTTGATCCAGCTTTCAAGCTTCTTGTCCCATGTATACGTTCTGATGCAATCAATGATGCCGACAACCAGCTCCTTTCTCCTCTCATCAACCGCAATCATCAGGGAGTAGTCCATTACGTTCTGCCGCGCTAAAAAAAGCGTATCGTTCCAAACTGACGCCCTAAGAAGCTTCTTGGAGTGTTCGCGCGCGAATAAAGGAGATTCGTAGATATACTCCACCATGTTTTCGTCTAGTAAAACTTCATTTTGCTCGCCTGTTGATTGAATTTTGCGGTTTCGCATAGAACCCTTCAAATCAAAGATTCTCGTCGGAGATCTATCGTAAAAGAGATTCTCCGTTACCAGCAAGTCCAGTTTGATATCTGTTCCTGTCACTGGATTTTTTATGAGGATTTGGAAGAATCCCATCATCTTCGCGATTACAGACGGCAAGTCATGGAACAAAGCCTCAGCCATGATACTGAAATATCCTGGAGCAAATCTTAAGAATGCAGATGTTTCGATAGTCGAGAGAGACTATGAGGAGAATGCGGGGTTAGCAAAGTCTACTAAACTTGATTCTCTCAAGCATCTTCATTTCTTACCTTCAGAACTAGTCGATCGTCAAGCGTCTTCAAAAAGACAGACTTTGTTTTACCACCTTTTGAATCCCATTGAAGACATCGCGATAACGACTCCACTATCCGTTCGGCAACACCGCACTTCCGTCTTAGAGCATCGAATTGCTCTGCGTAGAAGATCTTACAAGTCATGACCGCCGCGCCTTCCTTGAACTGATATTTAAGATGCGTGCCGGTGGCGCGGAGTAAACTCTTCTCCAGCTCTGTTTCGTCAGCAGCCCAATCCGGATTATCTGATACTGGGGCTGATTTTAAATCGCCATCGATATTGCCGTCCATGTTCTCATCTATGATGCTATCCGCTTCCCGCATCATGGTCTGGTGCGCATCTCGTCGGATGTTGGCTAGCTTCTCCTTGTAATCATCGCTGTTGAGGGCCAACGCAATGACCGAGCTGGGCTCATCTTCTCGAACAATGATGTCTGAGTCAACAAAGATGTGATCTGTGGCATTGACGGGATACTCGAGCGCAGGCCACCCGCTGGCTGATCGTTCGGCCCAAAAGTTGGTAAGGTATTTCATCAGGCTTGTTTTTTGGTGCTTTGGAAGCTCAAGCGGAATTTCGGCGTTAGAATCAGCGATTTCCTTAATGTCCGGCATAAACTCATCAGATACCGAGGGCTCAGCGTCACTAGTATTACCCTCGTCATCTGATATGCCTTGGCTCGTATTCACGTGAGTGCTATCTTCGTCCCATCGAGGCTGGCTATCCGAATGCAAAGGAGGCTCGCTGGGAGTTGGCGGCTCCGTCTGCGACCCTAGCCTAGACGACCCTTCTCCTTTTCCTTCCAGGGGAGTGGAAGACGTTTCCTGTGATCGTGTCTCTAGGTCATGTTCTGTATTTGGTTCGCTTGTCACAGCAGGTTCGTCAAACGCTTCATTGACGTTGTCATACACTTGCACAATTGCCTGCGTCGATGTCTTGGGTAGCATAGGACGAGGATTCCGCATGCTGGCGGCACGCTTCTTACGGTCTCGAATGCGTTCCTTCTCAAATTCTCTGCTGAATTCTCTGCTGAGCTGTTCAAAGTGTTTTGCTAGAGTGGTGACTTTGGATTCTTTCTTCTTATTCTGAACCATGCGAGGAATACTTGACCCGGTCATCTTTCCCCGGCTTTTCAATACAGTCAAGCCAAGTCGATCAGATAGTTTTTTATCCGATTTGATAGACCCCTCCGACTGTTGATCTGAGTTGGCAGGTTCTGAGGATTTTGAGATAGAATCGGAAGAACCAATTGACTTGCCAAGTGACTGTAACCTAGACAGTGTCCGCGAAGGCTGCGATATGGCTCTCGTTATTGGTGGTGAAGTGCTAGTAGCAGACTTTCGCCGAGCACCTTGTTCTGAGACCTGTCTGGGAGTTTCCATATCCGCGGGTCTCTCGCTGGAGTCCTCAGATTGTCTTGGTTGTAAAGACTTCTCACGGCGGCTTGCCTCGATCTTCTCAGCAAGAGACTGTCCAGATGCAGATGAATTTGTGGGACTTCTAGCCATTCTGACTGGCGATGCGGGTGATTGCGTTACTGATGCTCCATCCGGCGGTGTCGTCGCCGCCGCCGCAGCCTTTGTATCTTCACTTATCGCGGTTCCTTGAGAGTTTTTGATAACAACAGGAGTTGAACTTGCCAAATCTAGCGGATGAGCATGCTCAAGGGAGTCCACTGTCACAGGCAAAGTTTGTACACCCTCGACCTCGATCCTCTCTCCGGTCAGTTTCGCAGAAGTGGTGCTGGCTTCCATACTGTTGTTGTCAGTAAAGTCCGCCGTTTGCGAAGGTTTTTCCTCCGGCTCAGAAAAGGTTTGCGATGGACGCTCTTCGCTGTCCGCAGCAGATTCCGTTCCTTCATTGGAACCAAGTGATTCCTTAGACTCGTTGTCGGTGAATATCTTCTTTAGCTGCAGCATCGTAAGTTGCCGCATGTCTTTATCTCCTAGGAAGTCGGCCTCAAACGTGGTAAAAGCCCGATCCCATTCGGTGATTGCCTCCAACATTTCTCGAACGAGGATGTTGAATGGGACAACCTCGTAGTACTTGGAGTTGACGTAGATCTCTTGCAGCCGATGGACCATAAGGGCTTGTTCTTCCTGTGCCTTTTGAGACAGCCTTTCTAGCTCTGCTTTGCAAGATTCAGCTTTTTCGGGAAGGACACTGTCGATCCTAATGCTTTTGAGCCGCGCCTTTACAGATGCCATGAATTTTGCCCAGCGCTCATCCATCTTTGTGTATATTTCGTTCTTGAGCTTCAGATCGTTACTCACTTTCCAGGTAAGTCGCGCTCGGGGTACAACGATTTCGAGAAGGTCAATCGGATCCCAGTGAATTCGAACACGAGAGTCGTGCAAGCTAAAGTAACGAACGTGATCCTTTTGATGATCGTGAGGGCATTCCATGGCATCTTTCATTCGCAACCCACGGCCCCAGTAAAGGAGCTCCAGGTACTTTCCAAAAGAGTATTTATATGTAGTCTCCGACATGGCAGTCTCTTCCGAGTCCTTCTGGCAGATTTTGCAATAAGTCCACATTGAGATTCCATCTCCCAATTCAGGTAACCTAGGAGGGGCATTCGGAAGATGCTCTACAAACACAGTGACTCGAAATTGGTCATGAACAAAAGTACGATGATGCTGGACCATCTTGCGATCGCACCCGTTGGAGTCGCAGATTTCATCCTTACTATTGACCAGATGTTCGATATACTGGCCGAGAGTGCAGTCCGGGTCCATGTCAGCATCTTCACGTTGCTCGTCGTAGAAGTTGATGCCAACTAAGACGGGCTCCGTGCAGGGAATCTTTGTTTCGGTGCAAATCACGGAATATAGAATGATGATGTTTTGGTGAGAGTAGGGATCAAATAAGTCCAAGTTGCCTTGAATATACGTTTCCCACTGGCGAGTCTGGGTCTGGTAAGTGTAAAGAGCTTTGTCGTACTCGGCGTCGTGTACCGCATGAAGAATCTCCATTATCTGACGAGGTGCTTTCTGGCCTAGTTCTTCGACCATTTCTGGCTTAATAAGTTGAAAGTTTGGTGGATCGGCCTTTTCTTCCAAGTCTTCTTCGATCATATCTTGATCTCTAAGACGTTTAAGATATAGGAGGCGCCTCTCTTGCTCACGAGCTTTCATAAGAAGATATGGCTGGGTGAATCGCACATATGGCGAAGCCGAAAGAATCTTGGTCTCATACTTGGAGACCATGTCGCTGTAGAAAGTCGGCATGGGCACATCATCTGGCACCTGGCTATATGTAGAGTCATGAATATGGGATTCATGCAGCGATAGTAGCTTAGGTGGCTCAGGGCTGGCTTGATCTAGCGAAAGCTGCGAAGCAGGAGCCTCATCAGTGTCTCCGATACAAGAACTGTCTATGGTGACCTGTGAAGGTGGATCGCCTTCACTAGACGGTTGGTTGATCACTACAGTTGGCCCGTTTCTACCACTGTTTGCCGAATACTGTACTGAGTTCAGTGAACGAATGCTATCGTTCAATGCTTGGAAAGAATTAGACAAGGAGGCAGATTCATTAGCCTCAGGCGGCTCAACAGACTCATCCCGTAGAAGACTCGACTCGAGTTTGAGATTGTATACAACGTAGACCATAAAGTCAGTGATGTATTTCATCTTCGCAAGAAGGGCATTGCTAGCTCCTCGAAGCGTGATGGTGCATCCGAGCTCACGCCTGCATCCGGAAAGGAAAATGTAGGACTTCTTTCGGCCTGGATAATCATTGTTCACAAAAGTTCTAACCTCGAAGGCACTACACCTCCCAACTTGAGCCTCCAGCATGTCAAAGGACTCGATAATCTTTGTCTCAGTGCAGCGGGCAACGGCTGCTATGACTGATCGTTTGACGTTGAACGCAACCGCAATATTGGCATCTGAGAGATACTGCAAAGCCAAACCAGAAATGGTCTTTTCTGCAAGCACAACATGAGGTTTGAGTTGAGCGATTCTCTGGACCACGATTCTGAGAAATTCCTTCTCCTGCGCAATGACCGGCTCCAAGCTCATAAATTGCTGCTGGTGTCTCTGGTATTCAATTGGAAACCCAACAAGCAAGATCCTGGGATTTGTGATCTTGCGTGGCATGCTCTTCAGCGCAAGATTTTTGGTGAAGACTATTCCAGAGATGTAGGATGTATCGCCAGGTTTGCCTCCTGGGATTCGCTTGAGCTTCACATAGGTTCGAATATCCATGGATTCGCCATTTGCCACGTCCGGGGACACATCATCCGTCGCTTTCAAGAGAATAGGAACAAGCGCCTTTTGCCAGGCCTCAGGGTTAGGTATATCAGCATCAATCAAGAGCTGATAGAGGAGCCTGTCAACATGCCTCAAACTAGACTCGTTGAGTTTTGTTTTGGCCTCCTTGCGCTTTTGGAGTGAGTTGCTTCTAGTCAACTGGGTCCCGCTGTGGTTTGGGGCATCTACAGGAAACAGCATCTCCGACGATGTCGACGGGCCTTTGAAAACAGAGGATTTGGGACGGGGAGAGCCAAAATGGTGAACGCTGCCGCTAACATTACTGTGATTGCGTCTCCGAGTTGACCTACGGTGGCTAGCGAAGCCGGGCGTCAATTCATCAAGCCCAAATCCACTCCGGCTGAAGTGGCTCATTCCGCTGATGCTTTTCTCGCCCCCTTTATGGCGGTGGTGCTTCTTTGTAGAATTCATGAGCGATGAAAGGTTTGATTTGTCAGGGTCAAAGCCTGTAGGGGGGATCTCGGCTGATGCGATGGTCGCAAAAATACTGCCGACTTGCTCATCCCCGCTCGAATCATCCGACATGAAATCCGCCAATTCTGGGTCGATGATGTTATCAGCATGAAAAGCTGGGAACTTTGTTCGGTTGGAGTTTTCTTCTTGAATGCCTCTCCGAAAAGGAGCTTGATCCGGCTTGATCCTTCCTAGCAATCCATGCTTTGAATGATGTCTCTTGTGGCCAGCAGATGAATGGGGTCTACCAGAGGAAAGAGACTTGAGCGAGCGCGACGAGCTCGGCCGACTTAGCTGTGGAGCGCCAATTTCCAGAACAGAAGAGGTATTGTTCGATTCGTTGACTCGCCGGGTAGCTGGTATTGTCATCATTGGCGTTGTTACCGGTCTCGAAGTCTCCGGGCTTTGCAATGTCTCTGGTTCCTTGAGAGGCTGTGCAAAAGCAACTGTTGATTTTCTGGGATCTTCCGAGCCAAATATTCTTGGTAGATACGACTGCTCATCTCCAGAGTCCTCCGAGCCACTGGCATCGAACCGCCGAGTGATGACATCCAGGCAACGCTTACAAACCCGGAGAGAGCCAGGAAGACCAAATCTTTCACCTGAAATGACGATTGTGCACTTGGAATCAAAGATGAAGCCACAGGTACGACAGTGGTGCTTTCTGCGGAACGCCGTAAACGGAGTCTGGCAAAGAAAACACTCCTTTACAGTCTCGTCCTTCATCCAAAACTCTTTGCTTAGTATTTGTCTGCGCATTCTGTCTAGCTGAGCGTTCATCTGATCCGACGCTCCCTGATGGCCAGCTGTGGTACCTGGGATGCGGATGTCGCCAGATCGTGAGCGTTGGGGATTGGACTCTTGAGTGAAAGAACTATGATGAACTGAATTATGGGCAGAGGTGCTAATAGGGCTGGCCTCAGCCGTTCCTCGGTCGGCAGACGAGTCTCTTGACGCTGAATATCTCAAATGGTTTGGGTGGCTAATACGATCAATAACAGCAGGCTTTCGTCGGATGTCGTCGGGAGATAGCAGAGACGATGCTGCAGATGGAGTTCGTGAGTGAAAGGTCGGCTGTAATGGCGATATGAGGGGACCTTTTCCCTTGACTGGACTCAACGGAGCTTCAACGCTTCCGCTCTCAGCACTAGAAATGCTGTTATCCCTCCGCACCCTTGCAGGAATGCTACCCTCTTTGGGGTCGAATAAAGTGGGAGAATCGACAGAAGCGAGGCGCGTGTGTAAGTCATTCTGGGCCTTGCCGTCATCAGTCTGAGCAGAGCTGCGGCTGGCATCTCGTATTCTCGGAGAGGGGCCGGCAATGGTAGGGCCAGCAGTTACAGGACTTGTGGCGTTTGTCGGGAGGCTCTGTCGGCTAGAGGGATGAGACTTGGAGCCACTGATCAGGCTGATGCTTCCAGATTTGGATGCAGCAGGCCGGCCATCGATAGGGTTGGTTGATGTTGTGGGAGAGGAAACATCACTTGGCGGAAGCTGAGATGTTGCGGTAGATATGGTGGTTGTCGTCTCGGCGCGGCTCAGAGACGATATCGATGGCTTCGAGGCATGTCCATCGCCGCCAGCTGATGACATCTTTCTGCCTGCCTTTTCCAACCTCTCGGCATCGTCCTCCCGCTGCGCAGCCTTGGACGAGCTGCTCGCACCAACTGCCTCTCGAAACCGGCTGTAGAGCCCGCTGAGGCCTTGCTGTACCGTTCCCCGGCTCTCGGTATCTGCGACGACCACAGGAGGAGGAGCAAAGTCGTTGAACGTGGTCAGCGAGTCGGTCCGGCTGGCTGTGGTGTGTATCTGGTCGAGGGCGTGCGCCAGCTGTTCCTTTTCCAAGGTGGAGCTCACCGAGACCGAGTGGACAGAGTCGCGGCGGTGTTGCGAGTGTGTAGGAGAGATGAGCGAGCCGGAGAAGGAGGAGGCGTCCAAGGGTTTCGAGGTGGACGTATGGCTCGCCATGGTTGTGTTATTGAATTCTATCTGGATGCCCTTGCTCTGGCTCTACGCATGCAAGAGTGGTGTCGTTGCTTCAACACCCGCCCGCCGCTTAGACGTCTATTTCCAAGCGAAGGCGCATACGCAGTGTCGCCAGCATGGTGGTGTAGGAGAGACGGCGAAGCGAAGTAGTCGAGACCGTGGAGGGCGGCGCTTCGGAAGGGTTGGGGCGACCAACAGCTTTGTCACAGCTGCGATGCTACCGCGGGGGAGCTTCTATGTAAGGGCTGCAGGCGGGCATATGCGAGCAGAGAGGCTCAAGGCGGGTGGAATGCAGGCCAAGGTTCCCTGCGAGGATCACTTTGGCGAGGGGCTCGCTGGAGATGTCGTCAGTCCAGCCAGAGTGCATGTCTAGCTCGGCGGCGGTCCAGGTAGGGAAGCTACTTATAGCTCTATCTACCTACTAACCTATACGCACAACTGCTATACCTATATCGCAGGTGCTAATAAAGATGCGTCACTCCATATTTTTGATCGCTAAAATGTCACTGCTTATCGGCAAGCAGAGCGTTCGAAGCGCCTGATGCGACCTAACGACCTGCTAGCGGTGCATGTACCCGGGTACATGTGCTCTAGGCAACGGCGATCCAGCGGCCACCACCCGCCATACCGCCATACTATGTACAGTAGCGCTACAGTAGAGCCGTCCCCATGTGCGAGCTCCAGTCCAAGCTCCCGAATCTCCCACTCCAAAAAAATTCCTGGACCGCGTTTTGCGACGTCCCGCTCGCCTGCATGCTGTTTATGATCCGAGTCATGGGATGCGAAGCCCTGCCAGTGGCGCCCGGCGAGTTTCTTTGATTGCCTGGCCAACGGACCTCGCGAACTGTCGATTGCACCTCAAGTGACTGCTCACGCTGCTTGGCCGTCGCTTTTTGTTGACGCCCAGGGCGTTACCTATAGATGCGCTGACGAGCCGCCGCGTCGCATCAGTGCCGATTTCAAAATGCCCTCCCCAACGTCACCAACGCGCGATATCACCGAGCTGATGGGCCGGCGGAGTCTTGCCACCATTCCCAAAGATCAGAAGTCGTTGCTCGAGGCGGAAGGCTCGTGGGCTGTTGATATGAAAGACGGGCCGCACGGTCTGTCTACCGTCCCGGGCCACGTTTTGCAGACTCTGAAAGAAGCTTTTGTTCGTCTCCAAGACAAGAACGACGAAGGAGTCCAAGAGGATGAAGAAGGCCAAGAAAACCAAGAAAGCGGAGACGGCCAAGACGGCCAAGAGGATGAAGAGGATGAAGAGGATAAAGATGATAAAGAGAAACCCAAACAAACGGAAGATGCTAAGCGCCCTCCTACCGTCAATAACGGTGACGAACAGAATGGACCCTCCCCTGGCTCAACCCCCCCGAGATCAGGTAACGTGCCCGCATCTTCGGAGAGACCTGTAGCCTCGTCACCAGAGAGACATATAGCATGGTCGGCCTCACCACCTAGGTCGCAAATTCATCCTAGGATATCCAATCCCAGTTCACCTATTGACGAGGCATTCGAATCGCCATTGCCCGCACCGCTCACTCAACCGCCACCGCCTCAAGCAGATGACGCTGCAGCCCCCAGCCCCTCATCGGGCATCAGCGAGCCCGATGATCTTGAGATAGAGGTTCCCCAGGCCCAAGAGAGCCACGAGGCTCCAATCAACCGTGTGGCAACACTGATCCATACAGCAACGCCTCAGGAGCCCACGAGCAATCTGACAAACACGGCATCCACTACAGATACGCCTCCATGTGCGCAGCCTCGTTTTTCATCCGGCCCTCATATTCCGATTCCAACACCTCAGTTGTCTATGCTCTCAACTGATCCGGTCCATCATCGGACGCGGAGGATGAAGCCGATTCTTTTTGACGAAGATGGTCCAAATGCTTCCGGGACTCCTCCAATACGTTTAGCTCCTTCCACACGCATGCCTTCTACGCGAGCACCTCCTGAGCCGAGCCTCCAGAGCTCAGCTACCTCGACCCCATACGATGATGATATGATGGAGAGCTTGCCACCCATACCCCCGCCACACAGGTCTATCAAAGATGCCGCCCCCCAGACCAGTGCTCCGGGGCGGCAAGACGAGATCAATAGGTTACCCCGCAGTAATCCAGAAGCATCTCATGCTCGCCAAACGCCTATAGGTCATTTATACAAGATACAGGCAGCCATCGACGTGCTTATAAGTAAAAGCGGAGATCCCTATAGTGCTTTCACTGCTACATATCCCGACTACGCGACAGTCCATTCAGGCAACCTATTGAGCTTCATTGGGGCGTGCTGCCACCTCTATGAGCTCCAAGAAAAGAGACTGATAAGAGAATATTTGTACGATGACTTCATCCGAGCATGGTCAGGGTATTTGAAGTACGCACTCGACAAGGGTCCCGATCACCTTCCTGCCATCGAATGGTTCAACAACCTACGGGGCCCCATCCTGTTCAATCGTATGTGTGTAAACAAAGACAACCTAGACACCGTTTTGGGTGCGTATCCCGAGGAAGTCGCAAGGGTCAAAGCCGCAATGAACCAGAGCAAGCAAACGGAGCCAACTGCCGAGCTGGAAATGGAGCTGGAGCAACATGTGGAGGTTGTGGACTTGCTGGACGACGATAGTATAATGGATGACGGCGCCATAGAAGTGAGACGAGACGGACGGACGACTGTATCGCGGGCGCAGAAACGGCCAAGAGCGGCATCTTCCGGGGACATACCTCCTCCGACGAGACAACCACCTACTGTGCCGGCCCCATCACGGACAGCGCCGGCCCCGCCGCCTCCTCGACCACCCATTCCGCGAGCTGCGTCCCCGGATCCGGAGAGCGACGACTTTGATTACCTCCCGTATCCTGCTAAACCGGCATCTCTTCCAAAGCCGCAGCCACAGCGGCAAACAGAGGCGCAGTCAAGATCACGATCACGATCAAAAACACAGCAAGCACAACCACAGCCTCAACCTCAGCCTCAACCTATCTCACAACCACAACCACAACCTCAATCACAACCACGACTCCAACCAAAGGTGCACAGAAGCCTACCTCAGCGCCAATCACCCCGACGCCACCCAACAACCTCGGCAGTGATCTCATCTCCAGTGTCGACAACTCGGCGACAACCCCCGAAGTCCTCCAACCCCAGAACCTCTCCGCGTCCGGCGGCCGAGTACCTCGGGAACCTCGTCTCAAACGGCCGCACCACTCCCAGTTCGAGCGCCAGGTCGGGCTCTTCGAAGCCACGCAAGAGAACAGCAGAGGAGCGGGCGCGGCTGAGGGAGCATTTCCGGAAGAAGGCTTCCGTTTCGTCGATGAGCTTCATTGGCAATGGTATTGACAACTAAGGAGTAAATAATTGAAAGAGAAATTGTTTGGCCTGGTTTAAAGCGTCTTATTTTTATAATGTATATGTTTTTTTTTTTTTTTGATACGCGGCACGAATGTTGTATGAAATGACTGGGTGAAAACAAAAAAGATATTACAATCATGTGTACATGGAACATGGAGCATATACGGCGTTTATTGATACGGGATGAATATGGGCGGTGTTTTGCAGCAACGAAAAAATAGACACCCCTTGGCGCATGTGTCGGCGTTGAGACGGCACGAGAGACATGAAAAATAAGTACTCAATTTCTCCAAGTTTTGTTCTCTTGATTGATATAAAAATGCTTGTCTATTTCGTATAAAATGCGTTGATGCATGTATAAAAACATGTATGAGCTAAAAAAAGGCTTCCTCCCTCCCCAGTCATGTCACATATTTGTTTGAGTTTGCCAGTATATAAATAAATAAAAAAACAAACAAAATAAAAATCCCGTTCGCTTTCAAGTGGAGAAAGCTGTACAGGGGAGAAAGGGTAATCAAGTGAGAAACAAAAATAACCGACTCCTTGAGGAGTACTTGCAAACCATCTAATCCGTCTCATTCCAGAATATGAATAAATATTTTTTTAAAAGACAGCGATACTGTAAACGCCAGTAAGATTTTCTTTTCTTTTCTTTTTTTTTTTTTTTTTTTTTTTTTTTTTTTTTTTTTTTTTTTTTTTTTTTGAGGGGTGCTTTCTCGGTTCTGTTTTTCCTTTCTCGACTCTGAGCGTCGAATGTTGAAGTGTATGAAAGATCAAATAACACAGCCACCAATGTCCCTGTAAAGGGTTTCTTGAGTTTTAAATATCTTCCTTTTTAATGGCTTCTGGCGTTGAATAGAAGTAAAAGTCGAATGGCGGAGAAGAGGGAGCGTTAAAGTAAATGGTTAAGAAAAAGTGTTTCATGGCGCGTCGTGCAATTATCATCAAAATCATTGCGTTAAAAAAAATGGCGGTAGGTGATGGCCGTGTGTCGGCTTAGAATCATTGCGATATCCGAGCTGCCTGCCATTGACAGACGAAGAGTTCTCGATGAGGGCGAATCAGATAAGTCACTCCACAACTCCTGGCTTACACCTCTCCCTTTCTTTTTTCTTTTTTCTTTTTATCTCTCTTCAAGTTTACGCATCTGCAGGCTCCGCTTTGGACTCAGTCTTCTCGGCGGCAGCGGTATCCTGCTTCTTGGCGCTCTCCTCTTTGGCCGCTGCTTCAGCTGCCTTCTTCTTCTGCTGGCGTTTCTCTTCCTCAGGGGTCAAAGTCTTGAGCTGAAGAGCGTGGATGCCCCCCTCCAGGGCCATCTCATCTCGCAGCAGGGCGTAGACCATTCGATGGCGTGCAGGCTGCATCTTGGACGCAAACACATCGGAGATGATGACTAGCCTGGAAATGATGTCAGCTGCCGTCGAGGGAATGAAGATGGTGATTTGAAACAATTTGATGAAGCCATACCGGAAATGCGTCTCTTTGGAGATGTTGCCTGCCATGGCCTTGTGGTGGGCGTGGAGGTGCGAATCATTGTAGATCTCCAGCGTCAGCGGGCTGAGCGCTGCCGTCAGCTGAGAGGGAAATACACGTTAGCGAATTATGCCGGCAACGCAATGTGCATAAGAGTAAGAGCTGCATAACAACCAATGCAGGATGCAAAAGGGCAAGGCAAAATAAAAGAAAACCACAAACCTTGGCGCGGATGGCATCTTCCAGAGGAGTTGCCGAACCCATTGTGGAAAACTGGCGGCCGACGTTTGAGAAGCCGAGAGCGTACCGTCGGAACATGGTGACGGGGGAATTGGCGCGGGTGGGATGATAAAAGTGGTTGTCGTTGTTAGTGGAGCTGGCTGAGGCTCTGCTGGCGGTTCCCTGTGCGCCAGACGGAAATCACGAGACTTGGTGTGTCGGGCGTGAAGGAGGCGGTCGCGGGTGATGAGCCGGCAGAATCGCTGAGATTTTTTCCTCTGCAGGTTTGGGTGGGAAGAGCAGCTGCAAAGTGCACAATGGCGAGGAAACCGAGAGATGGAGCGTAAAAAAGCGCAAAAAAGGACTGGGAGGGCGAGAGCGGCGAGCGGGATGAGAGAGAAATAAAAGGTCGTCTCGAGGCCGGCTGGGACAGGAACGAGCAGCAGGCCCTGCTAAATAAGAAGCTGTTCTTTGTCGCAAACAACGTGTAATTCGGTGAAGTCGGTGAGAACAAGTGCGCCATGCATGACTCCTAGAGTGGCGGCGAGCCAATCAGCGGCGGCGACAGGCCCCGGGAACCATGGAGCGGTGACGAGGGCCAAAAGGCGGCGGGCGGTTCCTGGACGCTGGGCGTGGCTCCAGCCGCCGAAAAGGGTGCAAAGCAGCACCAAGAAAGGGGCATCGCAGCCGCAGGATTTCGCGCAACGCACACGCCCCAGCAGCCACGCCTGAATGGCCGCATGGATGCTGCTTTTTGCTTTTCTTTTGTTTTTTTCTCGCTTCTTTTTCCCATTTTCCCTCTTGGCTTGTATGTGCAAGTGTTTGCTCAGGAGCAGCAAACGGACATGCATTGGCATCCCTGGAGACAAGACCAGCCAGCCATGCTGTGCTTGACTTGCGGTGCTGCAGGTACTAACTACTAGGTAGTATACATGAGGTAGTATTATATAGGCTCTTGGTGACTTTGTGGTACTACATACTACCTCGACAGTCCATCTACCTATGAGACGAGAGCCGTAGTAATGGCTTGTCAACCGTCCTTGTAGGCACGGCTGGAGGCACGGCTGGAGGCAGGGAGCAGTCCAGCCGCGATGCAGCCGCAGGAATCAGGAGCGTCAAAGCCAATGCCTTTCCCGCAAAACCGGGCCTGGCCGTCTCCAGGACGGCCACAGGATCCTCGTCTCCTCATGTCACGTTGTTCAACGCACCTGGTCTGGTTCGTTCGTTCACATGGTGTCTATCCCCTTGTCTCTTACTCATATTGCCCTCGTGTCCCCTCTCCGTCTTCCAAATCTTCTTGCCTCAACTCCAGCCATTGACGCCGTGCGAGTACGAGCACCACTCGTATACCAGCAAGGGAGGGGGCCAAACAAGCTGCAGGGCTGCTGCTTTTTGCCTGCGGCGTGTCCTCGCCCGGCAATTGGGCCACCGGCACCAGCCTGTGCGCGCCACGCACCACCCAGCAGGTCGGGATCAGAGACCGCCCTTTTTAGCTCGTGCCCACCGTCTCGATCGAGCCGTGACGCTGATGGATTGCGATAGTGTGCCATCTTCCCTGTATGCGAGCAGCCCGTCAACCAGGGGGGGCCACTCGGTGGTGTACCCGCGTGAACAGGGCAGGGCGAGTGGTGAGTGGCCAGATTGAGCGAGAGGAGAGAAAAGAAAGAGAGAGAGTCGAGCGAGAGAACTGCCCAAGGCGGAAATACTTTGGGTGTGTCAGAAATACCAAGGTATACCTACCTACTATTACTTGGTGCATGTACGTACTTTGTCTGGACTTGGAGGCAGCCTCCTCGTAGATGCAGCAGCTTCATTTCGTTAAAGCACCGCTAGCAGGAAGAGGAGGTGCTGGTGCTGCCTCCTTGCAGGGAATAGGCTTGTGCTTCTGCAACTAGACCTAGAGGTTGTGGCCGTCCTGTCACTGGCACGAGTACGTGTGAGCGTCAATTTCTTTGCTTTTCTGCTCGCTCTCCTCTCCCTTACATGCCCATGCTCACACATGCGCTTCTACCCAATGCAAAGGTGACAACTTTCACGCAGCCACCAGAGGTGGTGGCGAAATCTTAGATGGACGACACCCTATCTGAGATGCCATCTCGTCACCAAGCTTCGCGTAACAGCGGTAACGACGCAGCCGTGGTGGTGGTGCTTGTGTGAGTGAAGACATGTGTGTGTCACCGCCGCCACTTCTCGGTTTCGAGGGTTCAGGATTCCTATGCAAAAGCCTCACTTCTCATTCTCTCCTCCGCTCTGCTGTTTCCCCTCCGCTCTGCTCCGCACTTCACCCCCTGATCTACCCATCTCACGAGAATATCACGCCTCTCCTCTCCCACGTCTCCAGCCGGCCGGTTCGCTAAACTAGCTAAGAAAACCATCGCCGAACATAACGTGGCTGACAGCAGATCGAGCTCAGAAAAGTCGGGACGCTTATTAGTCGACCCATGCTGCTCACACCTCCAGTGACCGCCCTATTGCCTTGCAAGACCCCTGCTCCCAACCAAAAAGTGGCGGTCCCCGCTTGCTGGCATGCGCTTCTGTCTCCCCTTCTTCTCTGGCAGGGGCCGAGCCTGGCACAGGAGCAAAAGGCCTCTGCTTATTTCCTCTCCGCCTTTTTGTGATTCCCATCCCGCCTCTTGATTGACTCGACGCCAATCCCGGTCGCGGCCACCGCCTGCCTCGGTAGTCGTGCTAGGACCAGGCGGCATGGCATGGGAACACAACGAGACTAGCCGTGCTGCGCGAGACCAGAGATGGAGTGATGCCAATCAGAGCGACATGTGCGTACTCTATGTACACACTTGGGTTGACTTCTGGTATGACTGGTAACAGCACCTATTAGCTGTACTCGGCATCAATCTCATCATCAGCCGTCTGCGGTACGACCACTCTCTTGCTGCTGCTGTGCCTCTTCTTGAACGATATCGGCACTCATTACACCGTAACTGCAATGACTAGCGGCCGTTTAGTGCTTCCAAATGTATTCCTCGGCGCCATAGGTGCGCTAAAAAAGATGGACAAAAAAAATCGGAAACAGCACCGGCAGAGCAGATGAAGCTCCAAGAGCCAAGGTAAATGCAGCCAAAAAAAAAAAAAAAAAAAAAAAAAAAACCACCCCCGGCCCAGCGGCGCCCATGCCCCGATCTTCCGGCACCTCGTCCAACCCGCAAACTGTCCCGCACCGGATCAGCGCCCCGGCCGCTACATCTGGCTCCCTAGTCTCAAGCTGCTGGAGCTTCACTTTTTTAAAACCCCGGCAACAACACCATCGACATCGCCAGCACCGATCGCGAGCGAGAGTCCTCGCACGCGCAGCAAGATACGGCCACGAGCCACGGCAGATCGCGGCAAAGCATCACGTCGGCACCAGAAATTAAAAATAGCCCCAGGCAGACGCACACTCCCCCGCCAGCTCCCAACTCCTGTGCCCCTCACTCTCGTCTGTCTGCATCTGCCATCTGCATCATCTCCCTCCTCTTTTCGTCCAGTCGCAGCAATCCAGCCGAGCCACTGCCGCCTGTAGGATTTCTGCCGGCACAGGCCCTGCTGCTCGTCTCCCCCCAACACGGGCAAATCATCAGCCCTCCCCTGCCCTGCCTGATCCCCCCCAGATCAATCAATATCAAATGAAATGATCGTCGCCTCGCCAGCCCTGCGACGCCTCGCCTCGGCCTCCTCTTCTTCCTCCCGGCTTCGCGCGCATGGCCCCTCTTCTCTGCTTTCCCGCCGTCGCTGCGGGGCCAGCAATCCTGCTGCATCCTCTTCCTCCTCCCACTCCCGCCTCTCTGCCTCGCCCTTCACTCACTTCCTGTCGTCAGCCACAGCAGCCACTCAGATGAGAATGGCGTCGACATCTGCCGCCTTGCCTCGCCTGGCCATCTTCGAAGCCGTTGCCCGCCACGACGCCGATGCCCTCGCCGTGGTCCACTCGCTCTCTGGCCGGACCTTCACCTACGGCCGGCTGCTTGGCGACGTGCGCCGAGCACGGGGCCGGCTGCTGGAGGCGCGGGGGAGGTCCAATGGCGACGACCTGGACGGCGAGAGGGTCGCCCTTTTGGTAGAGAACAGCTACGATTACGTAGGTGAGCGGCCCCGTTGAGGATATTCGACTGTGGCCTTGCTTATATGAGCAACACTCGCTGATATCATTGGCACAACTTACAGTCGCCCTCCTCTCCATTCTGGCCGCACGCGCAATAGCCGTGCCTCTGTCTCCCGCCTTCCCCATTCCCGAGCTGGAGTATGTCCTCAACCACAGCGAGGCCTCACTGCTCGTCTCCTCTCCCAAGTTTGCGTCCAAGGCCCAGCAGGTCTTGGCTGCGGAATTGACATCCAAGCCAGCTCACGTAGAGCTGCCCAAGCATACCGAAAGTGCGGATGCCACACGAGAGGAGGTTCCCTTGGAAGACAGTGCCGAGCCGGGCCAAGCAGGCCTTATGCTCTATACTTCAGGGACGACCAACAAGCCGGTAAGAAACGTGCCCTCGTTATTGCCACTGCCATTGCTATTATACTCGCTCCATAAGAGCCCATTTGAACTTGTACTCGTACTTGGAAACTTTGTTCTAAAATCCATCTCCAGAAAGGCGTCTTGCTCCCCCAGTCTGTCCTCACAGCGCAAGCTCTCTCTCTCCATGAAGCCTGGGAATACTCCCCCTCGGACCATCTCCTCCATCTCCTCCCCCTCCACCACATCCACGGTGTCGTCAACGCCATCCTGACCCCCTTGTTCGCCGGGTCCTCGATCGAGTTCATGTTCCCCTTCAACGCCGATGCCGTGTGGAACCGCCTTGCCAATCCTTTCCTCCCAGCTTCTGAGACCATCGACGGCGCCACCACCAACGGCACAACCACCAACGGCACAACCAACGGCAACGACACACTATCCAAGGCTCCCAAACCCAAAGTCACCTTCTTCACCGCAGTCCCCACCATCTACAGCCGTCTTCTCAACACCCACAAGTCCCTGCCTCCTCCCGTCCAGGATGCCTCCCGCGAGGCCATCTCCCCCTCTAACCTCCGCCTCAACATCTCCGGATCCGCCGCCCTGCCGACGCCCATCAAAACCGCCTGGGCCACCCTCAGCAACGGCAACGTCCTCCTCGAGCGCTACGGCATGACCGAAGTCGGCATGGCCCTCTCCTGCGGCCTCTCCTTCGCCGACCGCGTCGACGCCTCCGTCGGCTGGCCTCTGCCTTCCGTCCAGGCCCGCCTCGTCGACGTCGACTCGTCAGAGGTCATCCTCCCCGGCCAAGAAGTCGGCCCAGACGGCCGCGAGCGCTCCGGCGAGATCCAGCTCCGCGGTCCCACCATCTTCAAGGAGTACTGGCGCAACCCAGCCGCCACCGAGAAGGAGTTTACGAGCCCCGACCCAGACGGCCAAGGGGCGTGGTTCAAGACCGGCGACGTCGCCGTCCGCCGGCCCGTTCCAACTGCCGGCCTCAACGCCTCCCACCAGCCCTGGGCCCAGGGACCCCTATACTTCATCCAGGGCCGCAAGTCCGCCGACATCATCAAGACGGGCGGCGAAAAGGTAAGCGCCCTCGAGGTCGAGCGTGAGCTCCTCTCCCTGCCGCAAGTCTCCGAGGCCGCCGTTGTCGCCGTGCCCAGCGGCGCATGGGGCCAAAAGGTCGGCGCCGTCATCGTGCTCGACCGGTCCGTCACCGACAAATGGACGCCGCTGGAGATGCGCCGCGCGCTCAAGAGCCGCCTGGCCAACTACAAGATCCCCCAGGTCATGAAGGTGGTTGACAGCATACCGCGCAATGCCATGGGCAAGATCAATAAGAAGCAGCTTGTCAAGGCCATCTTTGCGGACGAGCATAGTGGTGACGAGGCATAGATGTTTTGCTAATTCAAACACACACACGATCTGCATCTTATTCTTATACTGCCACTCGGCCGTTGGCAGCCTTGACGACTGGGTGTAGAACAGAGTCATAGATATGTGATAGGTACAGTAGGCAATATCTAAGCAATCTACACGATTAAAAATGACTTATCTGAACCTATGAAACCATAAATCACACAAGAGTCTCATGTACTAGCAGTAAATCAATTGATAAAAAAGAATTATTGTAATAAGAGAGGAAAACAAACGCATAGGAAAAAAATTGCACGGCATTTTGGGCCTGAATATCAGACATCTATTTGTTTGTTTGTTTTTTCCTTCTTTTTCGGGGTTTTCTGAAATAGGGGGTTCCTGTTTCGCTTCCTCACCAGCCACATCTGCCGTCTTGCGCAGCCTAATTTTGACAAGTTTCAAGAAAAAAAAAAGATAACGAGAGCTCCTGAGCCAACGCCGTCATGTGATATGAGAAAGATGCTATCGTCCCAGAGTCATTAGTTGCCCGAGAAGCCAAGCTCATGCCTTGCTATACGCAAACCCCGACCCGCATCCGACAAAGGAAAAGTAAATCATGTCTCTTAACCACTGATCCCTGAATGCCGACCTGTTCTGTCCCACGATGGGATACGGCTTTGAGAGAGGTGCGCATTGGGGGACATGCTACGGATATCTGGTGGTGGCAGGTAGTAGGGTGTAGTTTAATGCAGCCTCCTCTCCCCGTCCAATGTTGTAAAAACACCATCTTTTAGCCATTACACCACATATTTGGCCTTGGCTCTGGTGCTACCAGCGTGAGCGCTGTCTGTGTGGCCAGAGAACTCGATCTGCTCGTTGCTGGGGAGCTCAAGGGTCTCCTTGAATCTGCGTCCGATAGATAGGAGAATATCCTTACCCTTCTCCGAGCTTCGGCCCTTTCCGCCGGCAACATCGCCATCGCCTCGTCCGGGAATGCTCTTTCCTATGGTGCGAGTCCAGACACCGATACGGTAGAAGCCTTTGCGGACGTTGACAACAACGCCCATGACCTCACCGTCGTCCTCCTCTTCGAGCGTCTCACCGATAGCGCCCATCATGACATGCAGCCAAAGGCGGTCGACATCGACATTGCGCTTGTCCTTGTACTGGTAGGACCACTTGCCACCGTGCTTGTTCTGGGGGTCTTCCCACTCAGGGCGGACGCCAGCCTTGAAGAGGTGGTAGTCGGACTTGAGGGCAAGTTCTGAAACGGGAGCAACGTTGTTCTGTACGATGGGCATGGTCAGCAACCAGAAACATGAGATGAGGTCTCATAAGGAAGCCTCTCAGTAGATGCGGAATGGACTTACGTAGACACCCCAGAACTCCTCAACTGAATCAAAGGTGATGACCTCCTTGAGCAGGTCGTTCCAGTTATCGCCCTAGAGTGAACAGACACAATATATTAGTTCCGGTCTCCTCGATCGAATCAAAGTTTGGTCGTAGCTGCGAGTCCAATGGTTCCTCATTGGCAGCCACTTCCAGGTCCGATGCTGCATACCTTTCCGCTCGGGGGCTTGGTGAACCAGAGAGTCCACTTGTTCTGGAGGGGGTGCTTGACATTGAAGTTATCTTTGTCGTGGAAGACCGTCACGGGCTTGCTGTCGTCCTTGGCCTCGCTGGCGTTCTCAGCGCCCTTGGGGGAGATGGGGATGGTGGAGAGATCGACCTGCTGGTCCATGTTGGTTGCCTCCGTCGCAGCAGTAGCCATTGTTGCTATTTGGGTCGCGCGGGAGTGTGTGAGGTTCTGGGTGGTCGGTGGTTGTAGCCGCAAGAAGAGCGAAGATGGTGTTTGGAGAAGAACCAGGAAAAAAAATTGGAGCTCTCAATGGCGGGAAGTCGAAAATCGCGGGGCAGCAGCGGTGGGATGTAGCAGCAAGAAAAAAACTTGCGGTGGCGGTACAAGGAAAAGAAGAAGAAGCAGCTCGATGGCCGTTTCTGCGTGGTGGGTGTTTGCAAAGTGGGAGAAAAACAAAATTCGGTCAGAATAATCTGTCTCTGGCCTTATAAAGTCCGAACTTGCTCCAGGCAAAGAGTCGGGCTTGTTTTGTCAAGTGCGATGGTTCCTCCAGTGATTTACTTTTTTGCGCCGCCAAGCCAATTTGCTGGGCACTGAAGAAAAGTTCACATTTGGCAGGGGCCATACTGTGGGAGTTGGGGCCTGAAAGGTTAGGCATAAAGTTTAAGTAACCTATACCTAATGTAGCATTGTTACTTGGCTGAAAAAGTATGTACTAGTACTTAAAAAGGTATTTATCCTAGCAGGCTGGAAACCGTTGGCAGTAGCTGCTATTATAAGAAGACAATACAAACCTTGAGAAAAGAAAAGAAAGAAAAGAAAGAAAAGAAAAAAGTGGTTGATTATATGACCAACGTCAAACTTGAACTTGAGGAATACTGTTGGAATTTCGAATATAGGTAGATCGAGATAGAAAGTTACTCAACAGCTCACTGTTCAGCAGAGTCTCATCACCACCATTCCGTAAGCACTCTCAATAAAATATACCAGTTCGATACAACTATATACACATATACACGTATATGCATATTATTTCGCCCATACGTATTCGTCAAATCCTAAATACCCATGCGTAGTGAGTACCTAGTAGTCCATTAATAAAAGGTAGCCCCTCCATCAAAATATCCATCCAGCATAGATGCACTTGTCCATCCATCCATTGCCTATATCCTCCCTCATATGTAAAACCCTTGTTTCCCGGTCTATCATGGAAATAAAAAAAATAAAAAAAAAAAAAGAAGAAACAAGAAAGAAAGATAAAAAAAAAAGAATATCAAAAAATATCGCTCCGCATGTTAAAAAAACTAGGTTAAAAAGGAATCCCTTTAACCAGACTTTCCCGTCCTTGCTTGCTTATATATCCCACATGTCGCTTCTTTCTCTCATAAAAAAACGGCACTGACCTGCACCATCTTATACCTTGTGCATATGCTAACCTTCCGTATTCTTTTTCAGTCCAAGAAATAAAAAAAAAGTAAAGTAAATCAGTCGTGTCTTCCTGTTGAACGCCTCCTTCGAAGTGAAATAGGAAGTTGGAAAAGAAGAAATCGCACCCAAAAAGTCGTAATCGTGAGATTTCCGTATCATGTAAAAATCTGCAATGGCCTTTTTAAATAAATAAGCAAAGGCAAATGTTTCTTCGGATCAAAAACTTTTTTTTATCAAAGCAAAAGAAATGAAAAGAAATGAAAAGAAAAGAAAAGAAAAGGGGACGAAAGGGACGAAAGGGGAGAAGCCGCTTTTGAGAAATGAGAACGGAGAGAAGAAGCGGCAGAGCTTAAATCGCGCTTTCGTTCTCCAGCTTATTAACATTCTCTTCAGTCAAGGCCTCTCTTGCTCCGGACTCGGGAGGGGAAATATTGCTAAGATCAGCCGGCACACCCCCAGCCGCATCAATGAGCTTCGTCCCATGAAGCATATTCGACAGCTCTTGCTCTCCCTCAGGTCGGCGCACCGGCGGCGACATCTCGGCTGCAATGGCCGAATCAAATGGCGAAGGCTCATGCCGTCCGTTGGTCGTTAGCGGCCGCGGCGTGATTGCGTTGGTGTGGAATTCTTCCGATGCCGAAAGGGGTAATGAATCGCTTTCTTCGATGCCCAGATGCGGAATATCAGCGTTCTCGCAGTGCTCTCCCATTTCGGAGCAGTCAGAAGCAGGCGGTTCCGACTGAGGCCGACGTCGAGTTAATGACCACCTGATGAGCATTTTCTCCAGTACTTTCATTGTCACTGGTTTCGGCAGATAGTCGTCCATGCCAGCTTTTGTGCACTTTTCACGATCCCCTTGGATTGCTGATGCCGTCATGGCAACGATGGGCACATCTTGAACCAGGTTTTTGTATGGTAAATGGTGGCGGAGAAGGTGAGTACATTTGTAGCCATCGATGATGGGCATCTGCACGTCCATAAGTATGATATCTGGCTTTTTATTTTGGCCTTTTGATGCGCCAATCATATAATCCAGCGCCTCTTTGCCATTCCAGGTCGCTGATACTTGGAAACCGAGTTTTCCAATAGTTCGAGTAGCAATCTTCTGATTTACTGGGCTGTGTGAAGAGAGAAATGTTAGTTACAAGGAAAGAATGGGGGAGGAGTGGGGCTTTGGTGGCCAGTAGACACTTACTTATCCTCGACCACTAATATATGCATCCGTGATCTTTCAGATCGAGGAAGTTCTTGCTCAGTGGGTGGAGGCGTCTTTATAGATACGCGCCGACGCGTCTTAGCACCAGGGGCACTCACCGGGCCATCCGACCCTTGTGAAGCGCTCGTCAACTGCTCATACTCGGAGCTATTGCACGAGAGGCTCAGCTCTGACTGTAGTCGGTCAGAAATAGCTCCGGCTTCCGCCAAGGAGGGGGCTCTGGCCCCTGTCGGCTTCATGAATGGAATCCAAAACGTTGCCTTTGTGCCCGATCCCACGCTTGACTCCAGCTTGATACGACCATTCATCAGGTCTAACAAATTCTTGCAAATTGTCAATCCAAGTCCCGTGCCACCGAATTTCCTCGCCGTAGATGGATCCCCTTGGCTAAATGGTTTGAAGAGCTTCTTACGAACGCTTTCTTCGATGCCAATTCCCGAGTCTTCAATGACAAAGCGAACCTCAATCGTTTCAGCCGTTTCGCGCTCCTTGACCACTGAAAACTTCACATATCCCTGGTTCGTGAATTTGATACTGTTTGTGAGGAGATTTGTGATAATCTGCCGCAACCTGCCGGGATCGCCAATGACCACCCGTTCATTCGCGATATCCTTCCCAACGTCGGATAAGAAATCTAGATTTTTCCGCTCAACAGCAAACTTGAGCATCTTCCTCACCTCCTGGACAATATGGGAGAGGGAAAATTGCACTTCTTCAATGTCCAAGCGACCAGATTCTACTTTGGAGAAATCTAGAATATCGTTGATTACAGTGAGCAACGATGTAGCAGAGCTTTGAATGTTGTCGACATATTCACGCTGCTCGTCGGTCAGCTCCATATCGCCCAACAGCTCCGCCATGCCGAGAACTCCAGTGATTGGCGTCCTGATTTCGTGAGACATGTTGGCCAAAAATTGGCTTTTGAGCCTTGTAGCCTCTTTAGCAGCAGCCTCGTTGGCCATTGCGCGACGCTTCTCTTTGTCTTGCTCTCGCAAAGCTTCACCCCTTTCCTTTAGTTCGGTAACATCCATTATGACTCCTATAACTCCTTCGATGCAAGTCTCCTGCGTCGCTCTGTTGTCTTTGGTCTTTTTTCCGAGCATTGGGTGGAAGCGTGTTCGATACCAGCGGCCATCTGCCCATCAGAGTCAGCTTAACAGCATCTTTATATACCATCACTTATTCCATCAGGATTGGGTTTCCCTTTGTGCACCACTTACCAATTCCATGCTCTTTTACGTCCTCGTTGGTTCTTCCCCCCAGAATATCCTCGATGGGCTGCAGCCACTGCGGGCGTTCCCCGTCAGGCGCCTGTTCGGTGAGTCGATTGAAAACGGTATACATGTTCTCCCCGACAAACCATCTACTCCTTTCATGGTTATCTTCCGTGGCGCTGTTCCAAATCAAAGCGCCCTCGAGCATGGTAACTTGGCGTTCGGGATCAACAGTGAAGATGGTGACGTGCGAATGAGCAAGCACGCTTAGTAGCTGCTGGCGTGTACGCTTGGCACTGAGTTTCGTCTGCATACTCTCGTGAATGTCGGTGCAAGTCCCTATTATAATTTGGTAGTTGAATTAGTCACTCGTTTTCTTTCGTCTTCAATTCCTTCTTCAAATTAAACATACCAAACCACTTCTCAATCTTGCCCGTTTCTTTATCGCGTACCGCAAGGGCACGGCCGAGGAACCATCGCCACTCCCCCTCTTTGCTCAGGCAACGATACTCCATCACATAAGGATCTCCTGTCTTCAGAGAGTGGGTCCACCGAGCCCGAGCTTCAGGCATATCGTCAGGGTGAACTGCTGGGTGGATGTTCCCTTTGAGGTCCAGCCCAATGCAGCGCCCGGGACTCAGGCCGGTATAGGTATACCATCTCGTATTGAAAAAATCGTGCGTTCCATCTGGGCGCGCCGTCCACACTAGCTGCGGCATTGTGTCGCATATAACCTTGAAACGCTCTTCATCGCGTTCTTTGATATGGGTTATCTCTTCCGTCATGATTGTTACATCACGGCCAGTGACGACGCCAGCAAGAAACTCGTGCGTAGTGTCGTCGTAAATTGCCTCTCCCAGCACGTCAAATATGATCCTGTTACCTTTGCGTCCGTACATGCCTATACGTTTGCTATCAAAGGGCTTCTCTGTCCTTAGCAGTATAGAAATCGGATACTCGCTGACTTCTAAGCGTCTCGTAAAATCTTCGTTCCAAACTTCCCATTTTTCTAACAGGTGTTCTCCATCGAGTGACGAGTCAAGATCAGCATTCTCAGGGAAGAGCTGTCTCGCAGCCTTGTTTGGAAATGTTACACTGCCATCTTTCCACATGGCCACAACGGGCATCTGTGTGCTATCAATCAGGGCGTCTTTCATCCTAATAAGTTTTTGCAGCACCGACGGCGTGCTGGACTGAGTATGAGACGCAACGGTTGGAGGTCCCATGGGAGGAAATGGGCTTGAGGACATGGTAATGACGCCCGGGCTGTAGAAGAGTGGCGAGCTAGAGTCTCGGCTGGAAGCAACGGATGCTGGGCTTGACGTAGTTATCGACTTTCTATCCACGGCCTCGAGGGTGCTAGATCGAGCAACAGCCCTCCGGCCGCTAGCAGGCATAGATGGGGCAGATTGAGCATTGGTAAATGTCAGAGTGAAGAAGACTTGCTTATCCTCGATTTCCCAGATGGTGATGATCATCTTGGCAAAGGCATGGTACTCCGACTCCTTTGACCTGTAACGACTGTTGAATGTGGTTTTGGCAATGTCTTTTCGGGTTATTATGACCTCTACCGTTGCGTCCTGGGTCGGCCGCTCGATGGGCTTGTGTTCTAGCCCATCAGTCTGCGATAGGGTGGTGGCAGCCGTCGGTGTGATTTCGCCGCCTCCAAAGTGAGACGGGCGTCGCTGATGATTCGAGGCCGCCGGTGGCCGTACGCCAACTTCGGTGACCAAGGTGTCGAGGAAGGCCTCCCATGTGACCCATACGGGGTGGCCATCCTGTATCATATCAATGCCCACCTGCGACAACGTCTGCCCTCGCAGCTTCTCCATTGTTGCCGACACATCGTCATCGCTCAAGTTGTCAGAAATGACTCCAAGCATCCTTCCCATGGCCTCATTAGCCAGCACAACCGTCTTCAAGTTGTTTAAGATGATGACGGGAACAGGCAGATACTGCATTGCGGAAAAGGCAACCTGGCCGGGTGATATCGATGGCATAGCAAGTCGAAACGGGCTCTGAGACTTGGAGCGAACGCCATCGCCAGGGTCTCTGAGGAAGCGTCCGCCTCCCAGAGAAGGAGGACTGTCCTCCAGGTGGTCATTCTTGTCCGGCACGGTTAGCTTGGAAGACGCCGGATCTTCCATTGACGAGGCCGGGTCGAAGTCGAGATCCGGCAGGCCTCGCGGGGCATCGTGGGCAGCGGAAGCGGGAGTGGAAGTGGAAGCCGAGGCGGACTGTGAAGTTCGAGTCTTGCTGCTCTCGCGAGCACCTCCCAGGGACGTCATATCGTGGGTGATCCACGCATGAGGGAGACGCGCACCGTTGGGAGGGCAGCGAGAAACGTTTCGAGGGCGGGCCACTCAGCAGCCGGATCTGCGGTCTGAGAGTCTCACCAAGGAGAAACCAGAAAGACGTATCGAGTTGGTCTGGACGAGTGGAGGACGAAACAGAGAGGAGGGAGAGACAGAGCAGCTGGAACGATGGTGATGGTATGATGGGAGAGAGAGCTTGGCCCGGCCTCACTCAGGGCAATCACAAGCTGACAGTGCCCAGACGATGGGCTGAATAATTGGAGTTACGGAACAGAGGACGACAGGAAAGCAACGGCTCCCGCGAGGACTCGATGCGTTAGTGCTGCTCTACTCGAACGAAGCTATGCCGGTATCGCAATGGCGTGGGATATTGCAGATCTCTGACTCCACCCATTCGATGGAAGGACGGGCTTTTTCTGGAGTTGTGAAAGGGCAGTAGCACGAAGTTAAAAAGTTACGGGCCAGACGAGGGCGCTTCGCCCATGTGCCATGTGCCGGGCTGGCAAAGGGCCCGGTTTATAAAATGTCCGGATCAGGGAGAGCAAACCCGGCAGCAGGCCCAGCAAGACGCCGCCAGCTGCCAGACAGGACGAAGGAAGGGGAGCGAGACGAGACAAGCTGGATAACGGGACCAGGGCAATTTGCGCACCGGAAGCGGGGGGGGGGGAGCAGAGAATCGGTTGAAACAGCTTGAATTGATGCGGCCTACAGAGTGCTGCTGTCGCTCTCGATGGCTGCAAGCAGGCAGCGTGGGGACGAGGCTTGGGCTAGGACAGGATGGCTTGGGACTAGAGTAGAGCGAGACCCTGAGCTGAGACAGCAATAAGAAACGGCGGGGGAGTGTACATGTAAGTGTGTATAGCAGGGACTAAGTGTAGGCATGCATGTATGTTGGATTGGTGCGGAATAGGCCAGTGGCAGCAGGCAGTAGGGCATCAGATATACGAGCAGCAGTAGTGGCAGTCGGCAGAGGGCGTAGCAGGGGCGGTGGACAAAGCAACGAGAGGCGAGAGAGAAGCAGGGTGGATGACCGTGAGGCGGGCGATTCGAGGAACAAGGTTTCCCATCGGCCGCCTTCTTTCTGCCTTGCTTGGCTTCGAGGTACCCGTACCGGCACTCGCCACGCACAAAGCACTGCTGGGCAAGTACTCGTACCAGCTGGCTGGCAGCATCCGACACCTTGCGAGGCTTCTTTGTTACATGTGTGTGCCCCTTTGGCCAGACCGACGGATGAGGTGGTGAGCTGAGACAGGTCCGCGATCTTGCCTAGCCGGGCATAATCACCGCTGCTCTCCCTGCCTACAAAAGTGCGCCCAAGACACTCTATCCCAATGCTTGCCATGCACTGCTTCGTACTACTAACTTGTATGCCATTCCTACTATGCTTGACAACGCCCGGCAAAAGGCCTTTTGAAAGGCAGCGTAGCCCTGAAGGACCAAGTGCGAGAGAGTGCCCGGCTCTTGTCTCGGCCAACCGGTACATGATTACAGCACCGCCGCATGCAACATACATGCACACATCCATGTACCTACCCATGGAGCCTTGGTATGTTGGGACCTTGGAGTATGCAGCCTACCTCTTGCGTATAACTGCTACGCGCAAGTATGTCACATATATAATACATGTACACTGCAGCAACACGGCAGGTAGATGCAGACCGCAAAATCTGACAGCCCAGCGCGAGAGCCGAGAGATGGTGTAGTATATATGTGTGGAGGAGGAATAACAGCTTTGTATAGGAGGTATCTACTAGTGCTCCGTGGTATAAGACAGTGTCGTCGGTGTCCCATGCGTCCCAGGTGAGACCAGACCGCCCACCAGGTTTCCCCCCAGAGCCAAAAACCAAGAACCAGAGACCAGAGACTGGCGAGGACGAGAACCCGGGAGTTGGCGGCGGCGTGCCTTTGTCTCCTGTCGGCCAGCTCCGTCGTGGATCTGAGTAATAACCCGGTGACCCGTCATCGCTGCAAGGCATCCTTCCGCCAAACTTGCTTTTCGGAACCACCACAACACTTGTTGGAGCGGAGAGGATGTGGGTTTGGGGGGGCGATTGTTTGGCCCTGATTTTTGACTTTGACCGCCTTAGCACCGCCTTTGTGAGCATCAATTGACATGGCAGGCTGGGCTTACAAAGACGACGAAAACAAGTTCTGTGCTCCTGTGGGACGGACGGGTCTCCATCCTGTCAAAACTGCGGTGGCAAAAAAGCAGAAGAGGCGCGCGAGAGAGAGAGAGAGAAAGAGAAAGATCAGCAGAGGTGCTAGCGTTGGCGTCGTGTTCTGGATAAACAGGCGCTAGACAGCGAAGAGCAGTTTCGAGCATGAACGCTTCCGCGAAGAGCCTAGCCGCTGTCTCTGCTATCGGGCCTTGCGCATCGAGCATTTTGCGCGGCCACGGGCTTTTGCCAACTTTCCCATGAGGGGGGGTGCGCGGCAGACAGGGCGCAGGGTCCTCCCCTCTTTGAGAGACTGGCAAATAGAAACGAGGCACAGTCCAGGCCCTATCACAGCCGGACGCTGCTAATGCGAGCCGCTCCCACCGCCCGCCAGGCCCTCCCGGATCCGACTGGCGTCCACCTGGGCTGCTGGGCTTTTTCTCTATTGTTTCCGGCTCGGCACCCAGGCCCCAGCTCGCCTGGAGGGAGGGGCCCGAGAAACATCGCGCTGTGGCCCGGCGACATGCAAATCACTACTGCAGCTAAAATGGTCTGCTGCTTGAGGCCCTCGCGGTCTGGATGGCTCAATGGGCAAACCCGACAGCTAGGAGAAAGCGGAGAAGGCTGATCATGCTGTGTTTTCGGCCTGGGCTACATACAAGCACCAGGAGCCGGCACCAAAAAAACAAGTAATGGATGCTGGCAAGCTTGGCTGATCCTGCCGAAAACACCCCATTGATGGATCTCTATGCAGGATCCTTCCCAGCACTGCTTTTATTTTTGATGTTAGTCTTGAATTTTCCCAAAACTCCGTTTTTGTGCCATCAGCTCCTTCGCCCTTATCCATCGGGCGCAAGACTTCCGACCAAGACGTGCCCGCACTCTTCATCTCCGCAAGGGCCGTTGTAAAACAAAACGCTCCCATGGCCAGCTGGTGGTGCCTTGAGAAAGTGCCTATTCGCCGCCAAGCCCGCCCATCAGATCCAAGAAGCGACGAGGCTCGGCGAATGAGAGCGATCCAAGCAAGGGTGTAAGAGCAATACAGCTGGGTGAGACGACGACGCCTCAGGCCATTGATACACGATCCAATCGGACGGCGCGGTTCTCCAGAACTGGGACGACCCGTTGGACGTTTTGCCTTTTTTTTTTTTTCCCTCCTTTCCTCAGCTATGTACCTTTTTTTTTTTTCTTCACTAATTTTCGCTCTAGACCTCTTTATCTAGGTGTGCGTGTGTGTTTCTTTTAGCCGCACTAATATACTTATATACAAGTACTACATGACAAGCCTCACATCCCTGTCAAAAAAAAAAAAAACTACCGCTTGCAGCGACCAGGGGTCCTCTTGATAAACGGCTAGAAAAAAAAAAAAAAAAAAAAAAGATAAAAAGAGGCTTCTCGGATCCACCCGTTGTCTAGAACACAAAGCTCCAAAGCTCCAAAGCACAAAGCTGAAAAGGGAAAAAAAAAAAAAAAAAAAAAAAAAAAAAAAAAAAAAAATTCAGGGCTCGCTGGTTTCTGGGGCTCTCGCTCAGTAGTATCTTGTTTTTCCTTACGCAAATTTATAGCTGCAAGCTCTGTCTGGTGATAGGATCCAAAGAGAAGAGAAGCAGGCAACAACAGCGCTTAATGAACTGAGACACACTTGTGATGAAATCACATAGTATTTTTCTCTTCTTTCCTTTTTGCTGTCCTGTCTCTTTCATTTTTTAACCCCTTGGATGGCCTGGACCTTGATATGTCGGAAGAGACTTGGTTTGTCTATAGCCACAGAAATCTCGCTACCCCCTCAAGTTGGATTCAATTTGCGCCAGAGCTCATTCCACATACTGCCTACTGCATGTAAAAATAGCCATACTAGCACGCCGTGCAAGTCAAGTTGTATGGCATTACTCGTACATACTAATGCTAGCACTACCACTTATATCTGACATCCAGGGATCAAGGGCTCATGTTCATATTCATATACGTGTATCGGTCGGTATCCGGAGAGCCAGCTGACCTCTTCTTGGACTCTTTGTACACCACGCGTACCCCTTTGTATTCTTTTCCGAGATGCGACAATTCACAATTCATTTCTCCGACGGCTGCTAGGCAGCATCTCAAGACTGTAGATGGGGGTACATGAGCATGCGCCTTACATGCATATTAGGTGCTAGTCGTACTGCAAGTATACCACTCAGCACCATACCTAGATAGGCACGGAGCTTGGTCCGTCCACCGAAAAGCTCAGCTGCCATCGTGTCCCCTACCGCCCAGTTCACACCTCGCACCGCCAGTACTGGGCCCTTGCTCGTCTGGTAGAATACACGCTTGTAAAGTTGCCATGTATATGGCCCGTAAACCAAATATTATACTACATGTCGGTCTGCACGAAAACAGCGGTCTTAGGCACATGCATTTCACCGGCTCTCTCGCTTCTCGTAACCGAAACGACAAAAGCTCCCACTTATACATACAGCAAATCGAATCAAAAAGAAACTCATACTCGCAAAGCTCCACTAAGGCGATCTTAACTCCAACTTCTAAATCGGCGCCTTTCCTAATGCTACCCGGCTCCAGAATAAAAATCTCAGCGCAAAAAGAAGCCCTGGTTTGATGTTTTTTTGCCGTGGAGGGCTCCTCCTCCTGCATGCATACCTACTTCGTACGGCTCGTAAGTAAAACGTCCCATGCCAACAACCAAAGTGCATCTTAGTACTTTTTATGGGTCCTCCAGAGACACGCTCCTCAGAAACTTCACCGCATCCTCTCTTGTTTCTCGCCCATGCCTCGTTTGGCTTCTTTGGGCGAGAATGTTACCTGGAAATCACTAGTCATATCGCACCATCATCCTTGCCAACCTATCGCGAATTAAACTTCATCTGCCCGCAATTCGAGCAGGTCCACCACTGCCGCTCCATCTCTGTCGCGCAATACTCGCAGCGCCAAGTTGACGGCCGAGGGGGTGCTGGGGCCGGTGCCGACGTGGAGCCCGATGCCGACGCCGATGTTGGTGGCCGCTGTGTCGTCTGTGCTATTCGTGAGGCCTCACCAGCCTTCGTCTTCTTTTTAGGGGGGCTGTTTGTTAGGTCAATGACAGCTGGCCTCGGTCCGGGTTGTCTCGGCTTCACTGGTACGTTCAATGCCCTCTCACTGCGCTCTTCTCCACAGGCATCACAGCACAGGAAGTTCTGCGGGTTGTGCAAAGTGCATACCGAACATATCCAGAACTGTTCTTCGTCTGGTCGAGGGGGTGCCCGTCTCTTAATGTAATCACTGCTCGTGCTGCCTGTTCCTGCATTTAAGATACTGCCGTCAAAAACAGAGGCGTTCCCGCTTCCTTTCATAACTTTTTCCGCTGGCGATGGGGTTACATATGAGCCACCCGAACTGGCCATCTCGTCTTCCTGAGCTAGCTCCCACAGCGCTTGCGAGATAGCAAGCTCATTAGCCTCGTCCTCTTCGGCCTGTGTCCGAAATCCATTCTTTGACGCCGTATCTGCAATATCATGTATCTCATTCTCGCTGAGTTTCTCAGTGGCACAGCCTTCAAGGGCTTTGTTGCGTCTCTCGGCCGCTGCCGCTGCCGCTTGACGTAGGTTCCTGCCTGGCCTTGGCGGTCGTGATATGTCTCCTCCGCCAAGTCGCCGCCCTGACCCCTGAGTCAATTGCTGGTGAGCTTTTCGCTTTTCAGCGGCGGCACGGGCAAGCCGTTGCACTTCATGTAGCGGTAACATCTGGCTCCCGCCCAGCCGATGGCCCTTAGACAAGAATCCTTCGCCTGTATAGCCTTTGTAGAGAAGGCCTTGCCATTCATCACGCAGCTGATCCCAGAGGGCGTGAAACTTGGCATCATGAGGCCCGTGTACAATGTGGCATAGTTCATGCAGCATAGTGTCAACAACATCCTCTGTACGGAGAAACTGGTTCTGATCCGGTGCATGACGTAGTCGCAAGCATATTTTCTGTCCGTGATTGACATTCAGCCCTATTCACAATGGGTTAAACACAAGCCCAGATAGCCAAGCCAGAAGCAAATCCTTCTGCAGTTGTATGCTCACCTAGTAAGTTCTGTTGTGATGGATAGAATTCGGCAAGCTCTCCAACTTTCCATCCTCGACTGCGCATAATAGGCTTCACCAGAGAAGCCACTTTCTTCAAGGTGGTCAACGCCTCATCTGCGCGCCGAAACTGCGCCAGATGAGAGTAGGATAAAACCAAGGGATCATGTTCCGGCATGTTGGCTACACCAGTGCGATTAATGATGAGTTTGCCCTGTAGTCCGTAACAGTATCTTGTTCCGTCTATGTTCTAAATCGAAGGAAGCTGCAGGCTAACACGAGAGAAAGAAAAGAATCCAAAGAACCATTTCTACATGGATTTAAGTCATCAAAGACGCTTCTAGACATTCGCCACGCCAGAAAGAGATGCCTTGAATGGCCACATCCCTTTTTGTAATCGAGCGCTTCTATTGCCCGATGGCAAGAGTGCGATGCTTGGAAGTCGATGGTCCATGTCATCACGAGATGGCACGGCGTGAAGTCTACGCGGCCTGTGATGACTAAGCGCCATATGTGACAATGAACAGTACTACTATCAACCACGGCTGGGAATATCAGTTGGTAAAGTCATCTGCTGAGCAGTGATTGGGGCCGGTGGATTCTAATTTGAAGAGAAATTTTCTTTAATCTTAATCAGGTATTGAGCATTTCTGGTTGCAGTGTAAGGTGATAGAAGAGATGGCTTATAAATTCATAAACGCTTATAGAACACTCGGGTGGCTTCTGGAATGCATAGAAGCTATGCGTACCCGCCCGGAACAAATCCTACAATCGTGAGAAACGAACCATTCCAAGTATATTGGGATCCTGTAACGATTCTCAATTATTCAAATAGCTTTTCCTGAAGTGCTAACCACTGAGTACTCGCAGGCACGTATACATTTGCTCTCACTTAATTGCTTTCTAGCCGTATATTCCCACTCTAAATCCATTTGGCATAGAATACGTGCAAAAAAGATTCATGAACGAATGCTCCAGAAGTGCCTAGATCATTCTTTATCATTAGCCGCTATCCGTATCCCCTACAAACATGGCAGAAAAGGCTCGCTTACAGGCTTATCGTTTAGGTTACTTCGTCTACGCCTGTCACATATCAAATTAACAGTATCATATAAAGGAACATATCGATACAATAAGGTACGTACAATGATTATATATGTATATGATTGGTTAAAATTCTGTCATACTGAGGACTGTAATGAGCTGAGATGAATCCCTGGGCAAGCCACCCTTGTCCCGAAAGGCGTGGGCCACGGAGCTGAGCTGCTCGGTCCAAGGGTCTAGGATATTCGGCCTGCAAGCTGTCACATTGGCATGCCGCAGGTGAAGCATCTAGATAGATGATTGGCTTTTTGTAGATGTTGCTCTCACCGTGTATATGTACATGTATGCTTAGCGTAGCAGCAGCAGCCTGAGTCGGAGACGCCGAGCGAGCAAGTTAACGCCGTTGGCCCATCCATATCCTGCGCTGCGGTCAAAGAGACTAACCAATTTGCGAGACATGACATTGCATGTAAGATGAGGACTTGTACCTCATATCTGAACGTAAGAGGGAGCGTAGCGCCGAATAGTCCTAAAAGTATGACTAGCTGCTTGAATACATATATGCTACCAGCATACGTTGCCTTCCTATTCAGTCGCCATGGTCTCCATGGCAAGGATGTATTAGTATGCTGATGATTATTCCAGACACATACAATGAGCCTGAGGGTATAATTCCATGACAATACAGACGTGCGATTCGCTTGTTATACGCATAGTAATGCATACGGATACCTTGAAGCAATTCACCAGACTGCTCTCCGCCAATAGGCCATTTTGAAAAAAACGATATTCCATAAGCCGCGAAAGGTCATTTAATCTCTATAAGTTTACAACATACCATTACATGTATCCCAACATATCTTATACTCCCCTTAGAGCCGCCAACATCTTATCTTCCTTCAGCCGACCCCAGTGATCTGGACAGTTCATGCATGTGGTCAGCGTTATACCGCTTGTAAGCGCCAACCATGGGCACTCCCACTCACATAGTCCCATTTCAAAAGCGCTTGATAAATAACATACTCTCTGCCAATATAAACAGCAGCCATTACTCCAGCAGAGTGCATATGTAGTTGGTACCTACATACGCGCTTGCTATTAGCAGCGGTTTAACACCCAATAATATGCCCCGAAATTTCTATTGGGGTTTCTCGCCAGAATTAAAAGATAAATATCTACCACTGAGTAAATGTTAGAGATAGGGCCCAGTCGGGCTACACACTTACAAGAGCTAGAATTCGGCACAGCACTTTCAGGTATTGGACGCTCCCCCCTTGAATGAAGGAAATTACTACATCTATTCAACATCTCAGTTTAATTATCGAGCAGCCTAGCCGTGGCCTAACGAGGCAGTCAGTCCACGTATATAAATATTCAATATTCAACTACTAGATGATACTAAAGCAGGAGAAGCAGTATTGGTATAATCCCGCCACTCGAACCATGGTCTCTCATATGCCTCCCACCTAGCGGTTAGCTGCCAATACTGATATATATCTGTTATATGCCAGCCATACAAAAGTCTTCACTAGATGGGATATCTATTTTGCCCAGCTATGATGTAGTTGTGTCATAGTATGTATAACCATATCCAGGCAACGTCGAGTTAAGCTCCTACGTGAAGACTTTCTCACCTCGCAGCTGGTTTCTCTATCTACCATATCTAGAGGCACAGCTCACGCTCACTTTCACAAACTCAATTCTAACTTTTACAGGCTCCAGTCTTGTTGAGCAAAATGGATAAATGTATCTGTAGAGTTTGGTGGCTTCGTACACTATTACTTGGATGCCTCGTATTACGAAGATATTACGGTAGTCGCGATCTTTTTTTTCTGTATTCCGTACTTGGTATCAATAGAGACAAGGGCAAGATCGTAGCTCCAAAGCTAGCTTGAGATCGACCACAGATTTGCCTAGTCTGGTCGCTTGTTCCGTTCTCGTCCCGCCTCGATTCGCACAGAACTGCGCTACAGATTGCTCCAGCCACGCTGTTCCTGGCCAGATCCAGCTTTGTCCCTGCAAATCAATGCAGCAAACGTTTCACCATCTGGAAAAAAACAACGGCGATAGAGACAGAACGACAGTCACTACAGTCACCTGTTGTGAGAGAAAACGGTGGCAAGCGGGTCTAGCATGGTCGGACGCTATCTACAAACTATCAATCACTGTTCGCGAGCCTCTAAGCTCAGCACTATTGGCTTGGACGCAGCTTTTATACTACTAGTATTATAGATCCTCGGAGCTCGTCTAGAAATCGGGGCGGACTTGCCACCCACGGACCCAGTTCTAGGCTAATCAGCAGCAAGCGACTGGAGTCTCCAGACCAACTGCGACGCTGTCTTATCATCCGAGAAAGGCAGGGAATGGCAGGGGCTGAGGCTCAACTGCCAGCGTGCATAGGCGCTTGTGCTGGCGGTCTCATATATTGGATGGCCACGCAGCGCTACCGGTGGCGATGGTGTCTTTTCCCTTCTGTCTTGTGATGGTCTCGAACTTTACCTCTCTTCAAGCGCCCGCCATTCCACGGAAAGTCTGGGTCTGGAACCCAAGACACCGCGTTACATTCATTTGTTGAGCAGCTTTACGGTGGGTATATGTTGCTGGCTGATGCTGGTCATCAGGTATAATAAGGCTATACAACTTTGCGTATCTTCTCGTCGTTCTTTTCGGTGTCGTTGCGGCCTGCCTTTTGTCTATCATTTATTAGACTTCAACGATTAACGATGCATTTTATTCAAATTCTCGCGGCCAGCTTGGCTGCTTCCGTTTCGTACGCTCTCCCTATTCAAGAGGGCGAAAAGAAAGTTTTCGTCATGTCTCGAAAACCCGCCGTTCAGTACAGACCTCAGGCCAAGAGGGCAACTCTCGTGGCCAATGTCACGGATCCCAGCGTCAGCCGCGATTCATGCGGCTCAGTCAGTATGGGCGGCCGCACTTTTTGGACTTGTCGAGACACAGCTGTCCGGATCCCTGGTACTGACCAGTTCGGATGGGTGTTTACCAACACTGTCGGTTGGACTGATCATCACTCAGATGGATCTCCAGCAATTCAGGCCGGAGGACCAGTCGGGGCTGGATCAAACGGAACCAATAATATTCTGTTGATGAAGGGCCCGCAGCCATCTCTTCCTACCTTTTATCCTTTGGGCTCCAACGAGTGCCCAAGCTCTGGAGTCTGCGCTGATGGCAAATCCAGATGGACAAGCTGGCCGGACTCACCACCAATGGTCTCGAATACAGCCCAAGATGGGACCGTTACGGCATATACCTGGATATCCAACAATCACATTACCAGCAGTGGATTCCAGGTTTTGACAACTCAGCCCTCAGTTACCCTTCACAAGATGACTTATAAGCCCAACGCCGACGTTAACGTTGTGCCGACTGTGAAGCCTGTGGATACCAGCTTCTGGAAAGCGAATGAGATTGCCTATGGAACCTATGGCAACGTTGTCAACGGCGGGTATGCCTACCTCTATGGACTGCTGTATCCGAGCGGAGTTGCTCTGGCAAGGGTTCCGGTCAACAGCATCGAAGACAAGACCAAATACCAATACTATGTGAGCGGCAAGTGGACCAGCACCAAGCCTGCCATCACCAACCCGGCTGCCGCAGTCCCCAATGCCGGGACGACAGGCCAGGGAACCTTTTACTACTGCAACAAGGCCCAGTCGTACATCTGGATCGGCCAGAACAACCCAAGCGTTTGGGCAGACTTTTATATCTCGACGGCTCCAAGCCCAGAGGGCCCCTGGATCACCCCCTACCTGCTCTACTCTGGACCCAACGGAGACGCAGAGTTGCCCTCGTACAGCCTGCAAGCGCATCACCACTTGCTGCGCAAGACTGACGACGGCATCTATCTGACGTGGACGCAGTACTTCAAACCCAGCACGTATAACGCATATGTCACCCCGCTTGTATACGTTTCGTTTGTCTAGGATTGGCGTAGGCTGCAGATAGACGCATGCATTGCCTGTGCGTCTTCGTACATAGATACCCCATTGTGTTTGAATGCGAGCAAGTCAAGAATGCCGGATGCGGATGGATACATAATACTGTACATATAGACCAGGGCTTTGGGAGTTTTGAACGCTGGTTATTGGCGTCAATGTCTTTTGTTTCTCGATATGGGAGGTGGAGGCGCTGGGATTCATAAAAAGCAGCTGTTGGATCAAATGAAATGAACATGGCATGGTTTCATCTTGCCCCTTTCATGCAAACCACCACCACACAAATCGACCCATTGCCTCCATGATCAACATCAATGCCTGCAAATGAACCAGCTCATGCTGCGGTCCATGCAGGCGTGACTTGGTTCGAGTGAGCGAGCAATCGCTTGCCTTAAACCGGGGCTGCCCGGAAGAGGTCGCCAGTTGAGCGGTGAGCTGCAGGCCCTGTTTTGCCCACATGTGACACGTGTGAGCTGCTCCAATCTGCCCGAACCCAATTCCCCTCACTTGGGACGGCAGAGGTCATGCATAAAGGCCTTATAATTGCTGCAATTGATATCCGTGCCATGCTTATAAGCAATAGCAAATAATTAATCCTCCGGAAGCAATGCCTCGGGAGTCATAGCCAGCAGCCCTCCTGTTTTCTTTTCGCTTTTCACTCCCCATACCATACCGGGTGCCGTCCGCTAGCCCTAGAGCGAGGAGCTGGCTCTGGGCTTATTCGTCTAGCCGTGCAGCCGCCACCAATCACAGGATCCCCTCCGTATCTATAGCGCCTTATAGCGCTCTGCCCTCCCTCCATCCCACTACCAAAGCCGCCTCCGGGACCCATACGCCGGGACCAGCTGGCCGTCTCCACACCTCTGCGAAAGCGTCTGCTCTGAATACCGTCATCAGGTTCAGAGCCCAACTAGGCTTTTCTTCTTCTCTTCTTCTTCCTCTGCTCCTCTTCCCTCCTCCTCCTCCGCATCCCTTCTTCTCCACGCTTCAAGCTAGAGCCCCATCATGTCGTCCGACAACAACCAGCAGGTTATGGACGTGGTAAGACCGCCATCAGCTCGCTCGCCGACATATAGCCGCGGCTGCTAACCTCAAAATTTGCCTCTAGCTCTCCAACATCTCGGGCCACTTTCGTCGAGTCACCGACAATGCCGCCGAGTTCATCGACAAAGGCGTCGACAAGGCCTCAGAGGCCGTCCGCGAGAGGCTGGCGACGGTGGAGTGGCTCCCTGATATTGTGAAACCGCTTCCCCCACCCAAGCCAGAGGTCATCGTCGTGCCCCTGTCAAGCATCGAGAAGCTGCAGAACTGGTTCTCAAGGAACAAGTACCTGATCGGAGCTGCGGTCGTCATCACCAGCGCCGTCGCCTACAAGGGCTACCAGCAGAACAAATACGTGCGAAAGGTGCGAAGGGCCAAGCGAAGCAAGAATGGCGGCCGCAGCGAGGTCATTGTTATCGCGGGGTCGCCTCGACTGCCGCTGACCAAGACTTTGGCTCTGGACATGGAGAGACGCGGGTTCATCGTCTTCATCGTCTGCAATGCTACTGAAGATGAGGCCGCCGTCAAGTCCTTTTCTCGCCCGGATATCATGCCTCTCACCATTGATACCACCAACGTGAGTGTTTTTTTTTTTTTTTTTTTTTTTTTTTTTGCCCCTTCCCCCTACATGACTTATTATACGGCCCAAGACGCTGTATAAGTCTCAAAAATGAAAGACAAGCTTGCTGACAGCTACCAGCCTCCCAATGCCGGGCTCGCTATTGAGCGCTTCGCCCACTTCCTCACATCTCCCAGAGCTCCAGGCCCCAACATCAAACCAAACCAGCTGACGCTCAAATCCGTCTTCCTGATTCCCAGCCTTCACTACCAGACCTCCCCCATCGCCACCATCCCTCCATCAGCCTTTGCCGACCTCTTCAACACCCACCTGCTGCAGCCTATCCTCACCATCCAGACATTCCTGCCACTGCTCACATCAAGGCTCGGCCCCATTGGCGAGAAATGGGTTCCTCCCAAGGTCCTGGTCTTCACTCCCTCCATCATCTCCTCCATCAACCCGCCCTTCCACGCTCCCGAGGCCACCGTCTGCTCCGCTCTGTCAGCCTTTACCGAGGTCTTGACGGCTGAACTGCGACCACTCGATATCCCCGTGACCCACATGCAACTCGGCACCTTCGACTTCTCTGGCTTCGTGCCTATCCGCACCGGCTCGCCAACCCAGGGCCTGGTGACCAGCGCAGGAAACCCCGAGGACACCCTGATCTGGCCCGATGGTGCTAGACACGTCTACGGGCGCAACTTTGTTGCTCAGACCGCATCTGCCATCTCTGGAGCCCGCATCCGCGGCTTGAAGGGCAGCTCTCTCCGACATCTCCATGCTACCGTTTTCGACGTCATCGATGGCTCTGTCAAGTCTGACACCGTCCGCATCGGTCTCGGCGCCAGCATCTATGGGTTTGTTGGCCGATGGGCCCCCCGAAGCATCGTCTCATGGATGATGGGCATCCGCAAGGTCGATGAACTGTCCACCTGGAAGACCAGCTCATACGAGGGCTCCGAGGATGGCAGTGACGACGAGGGTGCCGAGGGATCCATCTCCGAGTCCAAGGAGTTCATTGCCGTCCAGTCTGAGGGCAACGTCTGGAATTCTGGAGAGACTGCCAAGTGGGAGGAACCCGCTCCTGAGGCTGTCGCTCCTTGAAGGGTTTTAAACCAAAGAAATGGAAAAAGAAACAAAAAAGCAACAGGAAAAAAAAGATAAAAAATGAAAAGAGGGACAATCATTTTCTTTTCTTTTCTTTTGGATTTTCACGACTCACACAGCCTGCCGGAACAGCATGGCCAACAGTTGGCACTATGGGTATATATATGTTGAAAGCCCGTATTTAACGATTGGATGTTTTATGTATACATGGAAAGGAACCCACTCTCATATTCATTTACGGTACATAGATACGCTCACGACTTTACTAAATTTGATCACTCCTTCAATGACTCATTCATACTGTTATCATATTGTGTCTCTCTTTTTTTTTTTTTTTTTATTTCTATACCTAGAGACTGTGTGTTAATTTCCTATATAACGCTCAATGCGAACCAAGCATTTCCCTCCCATATAGCCTCCGTCCCAGTAGGGTATCATTAATGGCTCGAAAAGTAAAAAAAAGTAATGAGTAATCGTAACAACCATGAGTCTTGAGTCGGTCTGTTCTCCTCCATGATTTCTTCCGCGTCATGATCCCATTCAGCATCCTCAATGTCCCCTACCCCTATACCTCCCCCGTCCACCCCCTCCGCCTCTCCATCTCCCACCTCCTCCACGCCCATGTCTCCCATGCCCACGATCCTCCCGATCTCCCCTGCCCTCTCGAAACCGATCCCCATCATCGTCTCCCCCAAACAGCTGCCGCATATCCGGCTTGATCTCATCCTCCGTCTTCTCCGCGCTCTTGGCAACAGGTTTCTCCAGATCCTTGGACCACTTCGGATGCGCGCCCGTCTTGCACTCCGGCCCATCGGGACAGAACCCCGCGAGATAGTACACGCACAGCTTCCTCCGCACGTGCTTCTTCGCGCACAGCGGGCCCAGCGGACAGAAGCCCATGTCGTAGTGCGGGCACGGCGGCAGCTTCGACAGCGGGTCGACGTGCAGGTACAGGCACTCCTCGCCGTTGGAGCAGTAGCCGTTGCGCATGAAGAAGTTGCACTCGGGCATCTTGCGCAGGTTGTACTCGTGCAGAAACTCGCACTGCTCGCCCTTCTTGCACAGGCCGCGCAGCCAGTGCTTGCACACCAGCGAATTGAGCCCGCCGGACGGGTGCTGCTGTTGCTGCTGCTGCTGCTGCGAGCTGTCCTTGGAGCGGCCGTCCAAGACGTGTCGCTCGGAGCAGCGCGTGCCGTTGGGGCAGCTGCCTGCCTGGAAGGCTTTACATATCGGCCGATCGGGAGAGAGGCCGACCTGGTACGTCTGGCGGAGGAATGGTGAGAAGCGGAAGCTGTAGGAATGCGCGGCGTGGTTGAGGATGGTAGCGACGGGGTCTCTGGACGAGGACGAGGTGGCCGTTGTTGTGGCCATTGTGGTGGTTTTGTCTATCGTGGCTTGACTTGGGCAGAAACGCCCCGGATGAGGAGTCCGCAGTTAAATAGAGGGATGTCGACAAAGTTGGCACGGACAAGCAATATCCCAAGGTCGAATTCAACTGTGTAGTGGTAGGTAGTGATTGTGCAGGGATGATGAGAGGCGAAAAGCTGGAGCTCCCGGGCCAGCAATTGGATCAGAAAGCTACAGCCACTCGCTAGCGCGGATGTGTCAGCCACATCTCTATCCATGAGTAATCTGCGATCTCCGTGGTAAGGCGTAGCAAGAAGATCTCCCAAAGCTTGCCCTAGCCAATAATGACAGGATAGTTTAGCACTAAAGCTATTTGTACATATAACGTTGACCGTATTAGCGTTGGTTTTAGTACAGCTCATTGTCCAGCGAGCGAATCAGCAACGGTGAGACACAAGGCTGTGCGAAATGAAGTCTTATAAACGGCATTGCAGTGCCAAGGGTATTACTATATAGTATATATATATCAAAGATATGCAATGTAGACCAGAAGAAAGGGACAAGTCCACCCCCTATAAAGTAAAATTCGAACGCAGACTCGAAAAAGCTTTTTGATGCCAGCAATAAGCCATATACACAATCTCTAATAGAAAATCCCGTAACAACTCCGTGCAAGTAAAGTAAATAAGATAAAACAGGTCAATCACTTTCATAGTGCCAGTCAAGGGCGTAAGCCCTGTTAAAGATTGAGTTTCCCATCCGAGAAGGAAAAAGTCCAGTGTTCAAAGTCATAGCAAACACCGTAGAAGGAAAGCAGAGGCAAAGTACGCCGATGCAGCTCAGTAGAGGGACTCGGCATAGTGGCCTTCTCTCTTTTGCGCGTAGCAGACACAGCAGTTGATGTAGCGATGAATAGAGGTGTCATCCAGGCTTTCTCGCGCTGCTTCCAGCATAGCCACTCGCTGTGCAGGGGAGAGGTTGAGGGCTGCCAGGGGTTTCGCTGCCATGGCTCCAAGAGAGTCGTGAATGGTCGTTTTCATAAAGACGCCTAGAGCCCGCAGTGTCTTGTCGCGCGGCCAGGTCGATATCGGCACCTTTTTTGTGATGCAGTGGACGTTTGTGAATCCAGCTTCTCCAAGAATCTGCTCGAGCTCATTTATGGTAAGGATATTGATGCCGTAAACTCGCAAGCCATTCTTCATCGTCTCGATGAACATTCGAAGGGGGTCGTCTTCTTTCATAGATCCATCGTCGCATCGGATTTCAAAGATGAGTTCATGGAATTCCACCCAGCCACCGTTCTTGACATGTCTATCGTCCACTAATTAGTTACTTTTCCATGGTCGGAAAGATTTGTACATCGGCAACAGCGGGTACGAACGGATATATCTTGGTAAGAAGGCCCTGAAGGTTTCGAAAAACATGAGTCATTTGTCGGAAGTGTACAAGATCGAAATCTGATCCGTGGAGCCACTCGGGCTCCTCGCTATCTTCGATAAACATGCGCACGTTGATAGGCACCCATGATGGTTGTATTGGTGAAAGGTCAGTGCCAATGACACTTGCACTTGGATGCTGATCAGCGACTACCAAAAGGACATGAGTTAGTTATGCGCCTAGGATATTAAGTCGTTGCGCCGGTATGCACGCGGATATACCAGAGTATTGCCTTACCATCTATGGGCCAAATTCCTGTTCGTTGGCCTGTTAGCATGCGAGCATTTTATAGAGCTTCACAGAAGTGACTTACCAATGCCAGTTCCGATGTCAATGATTTTCTGGGGGTGGTCGCCAATGTTGGCATAGAACAAATGTCCGCCCTGCAGCCCAAATTATCCTTCTAAGCATTTGATAACCCAAGTAGGTAGTTGATGCTTGGCAACGCCGAATGAGGCTGAAGGCATCCTGTGCCATACGCCGGCGCGCGAAGCAAAACAGGACATACCATTAGCTGGAGAAATAGGGCGTGGACTGTCTCCTCTCTGTGACGCTCAACCTCATCGTTAGGCATGGGATAGATGCCTCTGCGAAAGCCATGATAGCGCCGGCCGTAGGCGATCTCGTCTTCGTATACACTCGGGGGCACGGAGGTGGATGGCCCTGATGAAACCTCCCAGCCGCTCTCGAAGTCGCTGGTGGCGTCGTCGATGCCCGCAAAATCGATGTCTTCATCCGCATTCTCGAGCTCTGTCCGCGTCGTGACGCTCGTCGCATCCGTCACCGACGCTGTTGACACCAGCGAAAACGTGGTGTCATCGTCGTCATACATGGTGCCCTAGAAAGCGTGTGGGTAAATGAGTTGGGTTGGACTTGATTGCAGACGGAGCCATGACCCTTTGTTTGCCTTAAGAGAGAGACGGTTAGGACCGAAGTGGAACCTGAAGCTCCACCGTTGAAGAAAGACTCCTGCTAGCCGTAAGTCCCTTTTAACGCTTCCCTGCCAGGCACTAGCAGGCATATTCCGTGAAGATGAGGGGGTCCCCTAATTAGCCTCTCATCTCTGCGTCCTCCGCCGTTGCACAGAAGCTTCTTTGACACGCAACTACCGAGGAAGAAAGGAAGGGTCAGCCGCAGCCACGGCTTGGCAGCTCGGTTTAATATAAGTGAGCAGTAACCTGCATCAACCCGAGAGAGTTTTTTTCCTTCTGTCTTCTCTTTTTCCCGCCGTGGCGCTTAATCCTCAACGGTTAAGCACTAGTCTCAGGCGGTTAAGCTTTTGGCATCTAGGTGCGCAGCCAGTCCCTGGTATAACACGGCTCGCCCGTCAGTTTGGCCAGGCCTATTGCTAATTTCGCAGCCGGTGGATAGTCCAGAAGCACAGCAGATGTGGCTGCGGTGCCCCTGCTCTCTGAGCCATTGTAGTCCGATAGTAGAAATATGGTGTAAGAGATGTGAGAGATGGTTCCCAGACAATGCTTCCGCCGATAATGCACGCGCCTGATACTGGCGCGCACAAGCAAAGAACAGGCAGCCGCCGGACGAGCCCGCGGCACAGGACAGACGAACAGGGTTCGGAAGTGGTAGCACGAGTACTGTATTGGGCCTGCGGGCGCGCAGACGGCGTGCAGATGATGTGTAGTACGGAGAGGTTGGTGGTTCGCTTACACGCACAAGTATGTCGCCGTCTTACTGTAATATGTTGCGGCGTGGATATCATCAACATGGATATTATAGTATCGTGGGATATAGGCACGGAGCGATATGGCCTGCTCGAGTCCTTGTCAGTGGATTTCGCCAGAAGGAAGAAGTCGCACCAGCCCAGCTCTGTGCAGTCCGGCGCAACCACCTAGACGGCATCGATGCAGCCTCGGCGATGGGAACAGCAAATGGTAACGCAAAACGCCCCATATACTGTAAGTGAGGTAGCACTGGGTAGTGGTAATTCCTGTCACCAGATAATCATCGAGCACCCACGCGATAACTTTGATACCCGCGATGCAACACACCCGATGCCTGTCCTATTTCGGGCTTCGAAGAAGGGCTAAAAGCACCCCGGCAGCATCCGAGATCCTCCCCGAGCGGCACGCACCATAGTCTGCAGCTACACAAGCGGGGAATGTTGAAGAATATGGATAGCACTCGTGCTCGCGCTCTGTCTCCATACTCGGAGGACCAGTAACAACACGAGGGCAGGCAAGTGGTGTGCCCCAAATGTGCCGCTTTTGGCCTGTCTCGCGCCTCAGTTGTGCTCCTATCGCAGCTGCCGAAAACGTGGTGATGCAGCAAATCATCCAGAACCTTTGTGCCCACTTAGGGGGGCTGTGCCACTGATCCAAGCGGGTAGATTGCAAATGCTAGTAGCAGCAGAAGTCCGGCACTCGATCCCTGCAGGGTGCAATTGGACGCAACAAGACCATCACTTCAGGTCAAGATAAGTACTAAAGCATGCAGTGGAGGATCATTGCACATATCTCCATAGAGCAGTGCTCCGTGCGTCTTCCATACAGGAGACCCTAGGTGTACACGTGAATACCTTAGGCTTGGCCTGTTAGGAGCCGCTGTTGGGTATCAAGTTGTATTAGTACTAGGTAGTTCAGCTGGAAAACAACCCTGGAGATGATTACCAGCCGCAGGTGGCGTGTTCTCACTCGCAGTTGCGTATAATCGTAGCGTCCAAGCATAGCATGCTTCCAAGCTACCGGCTGGTGGCGGCAGCAGCGCAATACCTATCCTGGGTAACTGAGCAATCACGAGTATAAGCAAGCAGGGAGCAGCAGAGCACTCTTACCTGCCTTTACCGGCAGCCTTGAATGCGTTGCTCTTATAGGCCACAAGATGGAGGAAGGATGGAGAGGAGGAGGGAGGGCAGGATGGAGGGCAGGATGGATGGAGGGGAGCAGTAGGCTCGGCTCTTCCTTCCCAAGTGGTGACATCAAAACGTGGCAGCCACAACTGGTGCCTGTGCCTACCCAGTCACGACACAGCGACGCCTGGATCAAATATTCTGTGTGCCCACCAAGCAGCAAGGATTGCAACCTGCGCTCAAGCATCCCCCCGCCATGCCCTAGTGGTGGTGGCCATCGGAAACTTGTTCAGGGTTTCTCCATACTCGTACATCTACGAAGCAGTATGGCATGTACTGCTGCAGGCTGACGGCGGTTGTGGCATTTTAACCGGCGCAGCGCTTTGTGCAGCATCTTGTGCAGCGGCACGTATAGCTTGTGCAGCGGCTGATGTCGTATCTGATGCAGCATGGCACAGGTGTGAAACTCAGCTCCAGAATATCTCGACTTTGCGGTATGCTGGCAGGGCATGACTAACCATAGCCCATACGAAGCACGAAGTACAAGCACAGAGCACAGCAAGCGGGACGCAGAAACCCTCTCTAGGGCTTGAAGTGCTCTAACAATCCCACCAATATCTAACGTATGAGTCGACGATGATTTCTAAATCCAACAAAGCAGAAAGAGACAAACGCGCGGAGGGCTTGAAAGCTTGCGATGTGCTCCTGCACATCACCAAAGCGCAAGTTTGAAGACACAGCTCGATCAGGCCATCGAACTAGGAAGGAAAACCCTAACATCCATAATTCAGCTTGAAAAGCAGGATTGGCTGTATCGAAACACGGCTAGCAAGGCAGCGATTAATACTGCTACCTCTTCCTCGAGGCGGGCCGTGCAGGCTGTAGGAAACTTCAATATTAGCCAAGCGAGTCTGTACTTTGTAAGCAGGATAATGACCATGGCTTGCCCTCAGCAGTAGAATGTTCTACGTTACCTATCCGTTCATTGGTCAACCATGGGAGGAGAGGAGGAGACCGAACAGTAGAGCGGCAAAAAATTCCCTCGAATGGAGAAATGGTCATTCTCCTCTTTATACTACTCCATGCAGTGACCAGCAGCAGAGGTTTATCCTTTTCGCAGTCCACACAAAGAATTTGACCAGCGTTACGTCTTCTAGGCTGAGCATACACAATGAATGAGACTCTAGAAAGAAAGAGAGAGAGAGAGAAGGAAAAGGCGAAAAGGAAAAGAGGCCAGCAAAGAGGAGAAAAGAATCGTTTGAGACGGCTTTTCGACAGCCTTGCGCGTGGTTGGCCATTGACTCATCCTGCAGCTGGTTATGTCGTGACTTGCCAGCCTGTTCTAAGAGCCTCAATTTGACCTCCTCCCCTTCACAATTACACCACTCTATGACAACTCAGGCTTGACTTGGCTGGACAACAAGGTAACTACTGGTCACGTCGGCGTCAGATTGTCATATTCTTCTATTGATATTTGCGGCCAAGTTCTTACATCCTGTGTCTCACAGTGAGCATTTTACACATAATACGGTTGCTAGGGGTTCCCGTTGAGCAAAAAAAGCCCTTCTAAGCATAGCCCGAAGGAGGTGCACGCTCCATTCCGTGTCTTATTCCTTCATGTCAGTGACGGACACATAATGGTGAATATGGAGCAACTCCACGTTCATTTCGGCCACGCCGCTCCTTGTCTCACGACGATGCACTCTCACAAGGCGGATCTGACGTGATTTGATGTGAGATGTGGCACAAGTCTCGGTCAAGCTTGCCGGTCAAGGGCGCCTCAACATTGCCAGCGAAGCGCCATCTCGCCTTGCCAACAGTGGGCTGGCTGATCGGAGAGATTTGGTTGAGCCGTCAGGCCGACGCGTTAGCCTGTCTCACTTCACGGCCGCCAGCCTGAACGTCAACCAAATATGTATGATCAAGCAGGGAGCAACCCAGCGGTCAACAGAGGCAACACGGACCTCCGTCGTCCACAGATGAGATGTAGCCACGGCGCTTAGAAGCCTTTGTGAAGCCACGAATCCTGGCCTAGAGCGACAACGAAACAAGGGTGAAGGTGGCCCAATTTTAGGACCCAGAGTCCGTGCGGAAAGATTGAGAAGATTTCAAAGAAGAAAGAGAAGGAAGGGGGAGGGGGAAAAAGGTCAACAATGAGAAGACTGCAACGTCTCAAAGAAAGAAATTGGCTGCAGCGGCTGTAGCCGCAAAAAGAGCGGTAGCGGTATCTGGATTGGGACGGATGGGCCTTTTGGTTGATGTCCACTTCATCAGTTTAGCTATCCGGGCTCTAAACTCTCGGCCCTCCAGCCATTGCCTTTAGCCCTCCCAACGGGTCGCTATCATCCACCCCCCTCCACTCGACTCTGATCGCCGATGGCACAGCACCTATACCAACACCTGGGCATGGCAACCACGAGCGACTATGACAAAATACGGCCATGGCTATACTGATGCGTGGGAAGTCACGTTCGCCAAGAATTCGTCTTTGATACGTTCAGGCAGAATAGGACACGGGCTCCGCCTGGTGGTGGCTCACTACGACCAGCGAGCACCGTCTCCAGCCAACACTCTAAGATCTGGCCATCCCACGCATGCTGTCATTACCCTCTGCTCTCTCTCTCTATATGTCACTCTCGTCTTCCCACGCAAGTCAGCAGTTGGAATCCCCGCAATTATGTCATGCGTCGTGGATGTCTTCGTCCTCTCCCTGGACCCTGACCACTCCGAGGCCGTTCTTTGGACCCTCAATGCCTTTTTTTTCCCAGTGCGTAATTTGCATTCTCTCTCGTACCTGTGTCCCATCTTTCTGTGTTCAGTGCCCAAGACATTTGAGAGACCCCCCCGGGTCCCCACTGCAGCATACTACTACTAGTATTCGACTTTTACTTTTGCCCGTCCCACACCTGGACCGCAGGTCTTTTGCTCAGCCTAGGGTTTCGACTCTGCCTGCTATATTGGTGTATGCTCGTATGAGTGAGTGCTCCGTACCACGCCGCGTGCAAATGGTGTTTGGCAATCATGCCCCCAAGAAACACACGACACACCGGCATCGAGCCCCAGCAAGGCCCCCCCCCCCCCCCCTGATGCCTAACCTGGGCTTCTGTCTTGGTCGTTTGGTGAGCTCCGGAACTAGCCCCGGCCCAGGTAGCACGTCTCCGGCAGGGCTTTGGAGGTTGGATCTTCACAATGTTACCGATTTACTACAAAACTGTCCCATGCTGCTGCTTTTGTGTTCCTTTCGCCCCCCCTCTTGAACCCTGAGGGCATCCCTTGCCACTGCTCTATGCTTCACGCTCAGCTCCCAATTGATGACCCTGTCAACGGTTACGGCCTTTCCTGAAGTCGCCGTCTCCTCCGTCACCGCCGTTCGCCTCCGGTTCTTCTATCCGTAGCCCGATAACAAGATGAGCGCCGCATCCCGCAAGTCTCGTATAGCTACGAGTGTGGCGAGAGTTATGTACACCAATGCAGTCTATTTCCCTAGCAGCAGAATATATCAAGGTGATTCGCCGGGAATGCTCAATTACAGCTGCATCAACCACGTGTATTATGCTTATGCCAGCGTGACGGCGGACGGCAATGTGTTTGTGAGTTTTGATCAAGTCCTGGGGACCACACATATGGCAAAATGGCTTCTTTTCCTGTACAATGGTTCGGAAAAGTTGAGAATATTTCACCTGCATGATGTTGCTCGGCTGCTGACTTGTGACGTGTGGCCCAGCTCGGCGATGAGTGGGCCGATGCAAGAGCGCCAGTGGATGGTGTTCAGGGTGGCTTGGGATCCTTGATGCATCTCAAGCAGAGGCACCCTCACCTGCAGGTGGTCTTATCTATAGGTGGCAGCACTGCATCAGAGGTATTTCCCATTGTTGCATCAAGCACTCTCCTCAGAGACAACTTTGCCCGGTCTGCCCTCGGCCTCGTGGAAGCATCCGGGCTTGATGGCATCGACAGTAAGTACGAACGGAAAAGAGGGAAACGAACAAAGGGGAGAGGGAGAGGGGGGTAGAGAGATGAAGCACGGATATCAAGTTCACACACACGCACAACCCGCCACGTACAAGAGTCTTTAGCTAATTATTCGCCTGCCTGAATAGTTGCCTGGGAGTTCCCATCCCAAGCCAAACATGGCCACGACTTCCTGGCCTTGCTGGCAGCAGTGCGGATACATATGCCTGAAGATCGCTTCATTCTAACAGCTGTCCTCCCGGCGGCAAAGGAGGTTCTCCAGCTCATCGATCTCAGCACAGCGGCCGAGTACCTTGACTACATCAACCTTGTGGCATATGACTTCTTCGGCACGTGGACGTCCAAGACTGGTCATCACGCACAGCTATATACTATGAACAAGGACGAACCGTCGGCATCGACCGGCGTGGCCTATGTCATGTCCCAAGGGTTCCCTCCGAAGAGTATCCTGCTCGGGATTCCGACCTACGGACGAAGCTTCCTCAAGGCCAATGGACCGGGGCAGGACTTTAACGGTGTTGGTGGCCAAGATGGCACATTCGAATACGGCGAATTACCACGAAAGGGATGCAAAGAGATTGTGGATAGGCGCTATATTGCGGCCCAATGTGTCGGTGGTGATGGGGGGTTTGTCACGTACGACAACCCCGAGACGGTCAAGGTTAAGGCGGAATTTTGCAAGCAAAAGGGATTAGGGGTTTGTGGAGCTCAAATTTATCCAATCTCTGTGAGACACAAGTTGGTTGCTAACTATCAAATTTTTAATATTGCAGGGGCTTTTTTACTGGAACGGACCGGCTGACTCTCGAGATCAAGCAAGAAGTCTGATTGCGGCTGGTTTCCGCGCTCTACACACCTCGTGAGGCGCAGAGTGTCGGTATGACGTCTCTATCTCTTCTCGTTCTCTATTTTGTTTTGTGCCTGTGTGGCACAAATAGAATTCTCATTACGCATACGCCTTTCGACTCGCCTTACCGCTACTACATACTAGTGCCAGCAGATGGCATCAATGGGAGGGGTGGCTTGGCTCGTACATACAAGCGGTGCGGTTGCATGACTCGGACGTCGTCGCAGGAAGGAGTTCCGAATTTCATCTCCAGCTGTGGCTCCATAACGTGGTAACGAATGTTCTTTTTGTTCTTTTTCTTCTTCTACTTTTCTTATTTTGGGAGGAGGGAAACGGATTGCTTTGGCAAAGCGGGAGGGGATAAGGAGGGGGGGGAAGAAAATAGAAGGAGATGCGCGGGTTCCACTGGTGCGCAACGGAAAACAAGTATCTTATGATGATATCCCATTATAGACTTCAAATAGACGGGAGCAGGCGTTGTTGCTTTTTTTTTCTTCTTCCTTCTTCTGGTTACGGTATACAATCTCTCTCTCTTTCTGTCTCTCGCTCTCTCCACGCGCCACTTGGCAGCATCTAAGCTTGACGATGCCCTCCACTATTTGACGGGCTAGTTGGCCACGAGGCCCCATCACTGTCCATAGCGTCATTATCGTGGCTCTACACGTCCAGAGGAAGGAGGATTTTTGTGGCACCAAGCCGATGGGAAAACGTCACTCAGCAGTGGTACGTTTCAAATCCGAATGCGCCCAACTGGGCCAACTGGGGTAAGAAAGCGTTCTGGGTCTGCAATTAGAAATTTGGAGCCTCTTCTCCCCTCTTTTTTTTTTTCGTGTGTGTGCGTGTCGTGGAGCTTCTCACAGGCTTGCAACAAGACAAGTAAAAACTGGGTCTAACGAGTTATGGCTGTCGTTTTGACTGGCTCCGTTTCTTTTTGGGTCTTTTTTGGCAGCTGGACAGAGAAAGGCAGCCCATGGTCGGTGACGCTTTGGTTGAAATCGGATGCACACGAGCGGAGCGAGGGCCGCCGAGTTCGGGCTTTTTGGGCAACGGGACGATGTGCTGTGTTGGGAGATTTGGTGAGATACAGAGAGATTGGAAGCCGATGATGTCTTGTTCATGGAGGTGTTTTTTTCGCTCCCTGTGATGCTTGCAGTGTAAAACTTGAGAAGAAGGGCGGCGAGAATGAGAAGCACTCTCTCGCTACAAGAAGGATTGAACTTTGTCCTCCTTCTATTTTCCCTTTTTGGAGGCACTGCGTTAGTAACGGTCGTATTAACACATGCGTGCTAAAAACTCGGCTGCATTTTTTTTTCTTCATTGTCGTTTGTAAGAGTTACTGTGGCATGTACATATGCATGTAGTTAGTTTAGTGCCCATATGCACTGCTTACTACCTGTCACTTCGGACTAATGCCGCTTCGCCTTCGTGTTGGCTGAGCGTCAATGCTTGGGGCCAGAAGCAGGTCAACTCTATTGCTATTTTCTGCCTCGAGTCCTGCACGCTCGGCGAGCTCCGTGCATAGACTCGATGACTTTTTTTGGGGCTCAGGCGGGTGATGCTATTTTAAAGAATGGCTACTGCTACTAGTAACAGAAAAAAAAAAAATAGGCTGGAAGAAAAGTAAACGAGAAAGGAGCTAATATACAAGTAGGTACTACTAGTAGATATTCTGTTTGCACCTGGGTTAAGCTCCCGATGATACAGTACTGAGGGATATAAAGAAAAGCATGTATCTCGTATGATGGATAAGCAGTAAGCAAAGAGCAAAAGCTACCGCCTCAGAACTTGCTCCGAATCCTGCCCGAAGACGTGGCTTTCTCAAGAGCCTTCTCGATAGGGTTTGTGGATTGGGAGCTTTAGCATCTTGCGCCCCATATAAAAAATAATAATAAAAAATAAAAATAAAAAATAAACCGCCTACCAGGTCTTTATGACATATATGATGCTTGCATGCATGAGCCTCACGTGGCGATAAGAGATAGATAGGTCGCACATACATACATACATACATACATACATACATACATGTCTCAGATGGAGGCGTGGAAGTCGCCGAATCGCAGGTACCGACAGAGATGATGTGCGCAAGATGCGGAATCGTGATGAATCATAATCGTATCGCAGCCCCAGCTTTTTTTGGGGAATGCAGCTGCAGCTTTGGAAGCTCTTGACGGCAGTGGCTTTTTTTTTTTTTTTTTTTTTTTTGGTTGAAACGGAGCTGAGAACGGGGGGCGTGGAAACCGAAGTAAGAGCTCTATTAGCAGTAACTGCTAGTACGGAGCATAAAAGTAGGTACCTTCTACCTAGTATAACGGTGACGCATCCGGCAGCCGCTTCAGCCTTAAGAATCGCAGAATAAGGCAAAACCACAGCAAGGAAAAGGCAAAACCATAAGCCAAAAAAGAGTTCCAACCACAGGCTCAGCTCAGTGCCCAGGCTGACGGGGATTTTGGGGGTGAAAATTAAACGAGAGCCACGTACTTTTTTTGTCTTTCTCTCTCTTTTCTTCACCTTGCATCATCCTTCACTCTTTTTTTTTTTCCAAAGATGCGCCTCATGCGGCCTCGTCCGTCCGCTCTTACATGTCGTCGTTGCCGTTGAGAACAGAAGACACCGAGAGCACATCACCATGTCCAGCCCAGGCAGGGAGGTGCCTGCAGCAGCAGCAGCGTCACCTCCGGCAGTCAACGATGCGACAAGCTTGGCTGCGTCGCCGTCGCCCTCGATAGCTTCGCATCGGCAGCAGCAGCACCCGCAGTTTCAGCCTCACAGCCCGCATCAGCAGACGGCCGCGCCCGACGCAGCAGCATCATCAACAGCTGCCCTGTCGGGACAAGATCAACAGCAGCAGCATCACTACGACCTCGGCCACAGCCACCACAACAGCAACGACAACGTTGACGCGCCCTCGTCGTCCGACCACCTGCCCCCCTTCGAGCCCATCTTCACCCTCCTGACAAACACCACCACAAACACCACCGTCCACCCGCGCGTCCACTACCTCTTCAGCGACGACGACGCCTCCGCCGTCCTCACCGCCCCGCAGACCGACCCTTCGCACCGCGCCCTCATCGTCGACCTCGCCCCGCCGGCCAACCCCAGCGGCAAATGGACCGTCTCCTGGGCGTCCAGCCTGACGCCGGACTTTGCCGTCACGGCGTCGCAGCTCTCCCTGCAGCAGCACGGCAGCGGCAGCGGCAATAACGACGGCGACGAGGGCGAGAACAACGAAGGCGCTTCAACGTCTGTGATGCTCCGCGTCGAGGGCGTTGAGCGCGAAGGCGTCCCTGTCGATACAAAGCCCACCGGTGCAGCAAACCTCCGCAGCTCCTCGAGCAGCGGCGGCTCCGGCGGCAGCATTGTCGGCCGTGAAAACGTGGACCAGCTGACGGAGGAGTTTAAGCGCCGCATGGGCGTGTTGAAGAAGGTCGTCGATGAAGGCGAGAGGAGACGAGAGACTTTGGATAGGCTGAATGAAGAGATGGCCACGACGCACCCTGATGGGAGGGACGATAACACGACGACGACGACAACAACAACTGCTGCTGCGGCTGCGGCTGTGGAAGATGATACCAATGCGGGAGGGAGAGAACCGCAGTAAAGTCGGGATGGGAACGAGACCACCAAGGGAAGGGGTTTCAATGAATTTGTTCTCTCTTTCCTAATTAAACCATGGGATTTTTGCTGTTTTTCATTTATTTGGATACTACCCTCCTAGCGATATCAAGCTACCATGAGATGGACGAACCAACAAATGTCACCCAATTTTTTTCATAACACTTTCGCCCTCCCTCACCACGCCAGAACACACAAGGCACACCGGAAAGCATTGTTTGGCGCACGGTCACATCTACATCATAGGCTTAGATTTGCTCTCTTGCCTCTATTTAATCAGGAATCTTCTCCCTTTTGCTTTTTCTTATCAACGTTTGGCCCAATTTTATGAAGGATAAATTCTCCTCTCCTTAGATCCCGTAGCGAATTGATTACAAGATTCGACAATAATACCACTATTGCTATTTACTGCTCGTGCACTGCGTGTCTTGATCAAACCTGTGTCGAGTCAAAAGAATGAGAAAGAATGAGAATATTTTAATTAAAATTTAATATTAAAAAAAAAGTCTTTCTGCTGAGCGCCTCAAATGCTAAACTCCAAAATATTCTTCCCAAAACCAGCAACCAAAAAAAGCATTGGCGGAAAAAAAAAGTAACTGTAAAGGCGTCTAAACACAATCAATCCAACCAGCCATCCCCTGTGCTTCGAGAAACATAAGAAAACTCAGAGCTCGTTCCCGTTCAACGACCACCGGAATGTCATAGCCCTTGTGTGGTGCCCAAATCCAAAGGCGTAAACAAAAGAAATATGGGCACAAGGTCCTGCCACATGTCGGTAGTTACTTTTATACAATGTCTTCAACAAAAACGGAGTCAAAACGTGTGTGTGTGCGTGTGTGTGTGCGCGTGCCCCTTTTATACCTCTTCTCTCCCGCTCTCTCACTCATCCTTCGTTCAGGCTCGTCTCCACTATCTCGTCAGATACAGCCATTACTGTGGTACAGCAGGCAAGTGGAGTCGTCCCTTTGCTATCCGGCCAAACTGTTGGGCAATCTCATCCTCTGAGGGCATACGAGCCACAAGACGAGCAGCTGGTACAGCAACCTCCTCGAGCAGAGATCGCTTCTTGTTGTTGTTCGTTCCCTTGACAACGAGGAAGTAAACGACGACAATAATGACAACGATGACAATAATGGCAACTATAAAATTAGCCCATGCTCTCAAGCCTCACAGCCGGATACATAATAGACTTACCAACAATACCAAGGCAAATCCACTTCTTCTTCCTGGTGGCTCGGGCAGTAGTGACAGCCACTGCGATTTCCTCATTACCCTTGTCGAGATTCTCGACAATCTCCTCACCCTTCTGCTCAATCTGTACAACAGCAGCGTCTTGCTGGACGACCAGGGTATCGAGATCCTGCATGAGCTGGAACAGCTCTGTCATCTGCTGCTCAATCTTCAGCAGCTCCTTGTGTCGGTCCTGGACTGCGCTCAGTGCAGCTCGGGCACGGCCCTGGCGGTCGCTTTGCATCAGAGCTTGGCTGAAAATCTGGCCGTTGCCGGTGTCGTCAACCGCGGCTTGGACCTCTTCATCTGAAGCATCGGGGCGAACAATACGGTACTGGCGACCCATCTGCTGCTTGACGGCGGCCTGGAACTCGGATTCGACAGTCTGGTATTTGGTAATGACGGCCTTGACCTCTCGATCGACTCGGTCCACATGGCCACTGTTCATGGCGCTTCGGCCCTCGGGCTTAGATTTGACAGTACGGACACGCTCAGCGAGAGAGCGGTAAGTAGCCATGGTCTCGGTTGTCAGGGCGTCCAGCTGACGGTTGGACTGGCTCGACGAGGAGCTGTCAACATCGCTGAGGACTCGGGATTGGAGCACCTTGATCTGTTCCAGGCTGCTCTCGACTTGGCGGACACTGTTGCTGATATCACGGCACTCGTTACGGATCGCATTGGGGTCTTCGCGGGCCATTGAGCCAGCATGTTGCGTTAGAGGAGCCATCTCGACTGCTGAGGCTGTAAGTGTACGGTTAGCCTCCGCATGATGGGCTTAGGGATGCATATTATCAGTCATACCTCCAGTTGGGGCGTAACCACGGCCACCAGCGCCATAGGGGGTATTGTTATAGCTTGGGGGGCTGTCGTAATTGTCCCGTTGGTCGTACGGGTTTTGATTCCCACTGTATCTAAAGAGAGACCGAATGTCAGTCACTGGAATGTGGGTTCGAGGGGCAAAGTATGCAGAGCCCAAGCCGGATAATTGCGATATACTAACCCGTACTGTTTTGACATTGTTAGCAGGCTATTCGGAAAATCATATAATGAAGCGTAATTGGAAACGTGTAAGAGCGTGTATGCAGAAATGGAAATATGAAGAAGAGAAGATTGGATAAACACCAGAGCGCAGCAGATGCTTTTCTTTGACTTCTGGGACGCTGGTGTTGAAACGGCAGCCGTAGGAGACTCGGGGTGAAACACTTACGCTCATGGTGGATTCGGTTAGGAGAAATCCAGGGATATCAGAGGCTGGCGAAACGCTGTAAGCTGCAAAGCTTGGCTAGCAACCGACGGTTGTTTCTCTCTGTTCAAAAACTTGAGACAAAAAAAGGGAGTCAAACACAAGCAACAAGAAAGCAATGGCCTCACTGCCTTTGGTTAAGAATTGTGTAAATGGCAGAAACAACTTTGCTGTTCAACGTTGGAGGAGAATAAAATGGCCCAGGAGCAGAAGAGGCCCAAGCCGGGTTTCCAGACAAGGGTTATAGAGGAAAGCGAGAAGGGGGCAGCTGCACAATAGTGGAGCCGCGACCAGGGAAGGAGCGGCCCTACGAGACTTGGCTTCGTGTGGCGGTACAGGTACGCGCAGTAGCGTAGCGTGTACCAGTGTGCAGCGTGTGGCAGCCGGAAACGTGCTGGGGGGGGAGGCCGCAAATTAGCGAGATACGTGTACTTGGTACCGGTACAAGCGCCCACGCCGTGGCGCCTGGTCTAATCAAATGGAAGGCACTGCAATAATAACCATCACGAGCGTAATTTTGCAGAGGCCGCTAAATAAGGAGATCGACGGACAGGCGAAATCACAGGCAGAGCGCAATAATTGGCCTTGTAATTGTGTTTATTCAATAGCCCGGAGCTCTTATTCGCGTTAACTGTAGCGCATAAAACGTGCTACTCTTACCTGTGGTCGGTAATAGTAGGGCACACGATGATCCTTCAAGTTTGGTCGTTCCTAAACGAAGGAATTGGGGCAAGGCTTTTTTGCCTTTTGCTTTGCGCTGCGTCAGATGGTCTCGACAACCAACGACCCTGATTGGATCAGCGTCTTCAGCACAGCATCAGACTAGTGGAACAACGGCCGGTGGCGCACATTGATTTGCCCTGGTCTAGAGGCCGGGGTGGCATCGGGGACCCTGCTAGGATGTGGGTGAGTCGCAGAGATTGCACTACGGGGTATCAGCTGTAGCGCCTGGAAACGGGGACGAACAGCTCCGTGCCACCACCAAAGTTGGTGTCTTGTCTGGTTTTTATTTTCCTTGGTCACAATTGCGGCGCCTGTTTTGAGCTAGGCCGCTGGAAAAGGGCCTTGCGTGGCGATCAAACAATTCAACCGTCATGTACGGAATACAGAAGCCGAGCAGCGAAGCAGCCATTGGGGGCCCAGACGGCAAGCTGACAATGGCGCCGTAGCTCACCATGCGCCACTACACACGTAGCAGCTTTTCGTAATGGAGTCCGACCTGCGGTCAGCATTTGTACTGGCGTCTAAAAAAAGATCGCCTAAGAATATATATGCTTGTACATGGTACTAGCTTGTTGGGCAACCATTCTCAGCACCGCCTCCATCAAGCTCAGAGGATTGGCGTAGATGCCCAACGACGGATCTGGATAAACATCGACAGCTGCGTGACCCTTCCGATTAGCCGGGAATGCAGATGCAGAGCAACATCTCCAAACAGAAGAGGATTTTTATATATGCGGGATAACTTGCCGTGAGCGATCCCATTTGAATCAACGTGAACCAACATGCATGGCGAAGGAAGGGAGCGAACTGGCAAGCTTCAATAGCGTTGCAAGGCATCGATCCTAGCACCATCAGCTCAACCACATAGCGTTGACAAAGCAATTTCAAAATTAGAACTCTATATTTGATGCTTTAGACAATAATATCGGCGTCTGTGTCTTGTGATGCATGCTACGCAGCGAAATCCCCAATAGCTGGTCCTTGGCTGCTAATGCTACTTCTGATCCCATCTCTTCAGAATGTCGTCCTTTCACAAAACTGCATAAGCAGAAACATAACTAACACTCGAGTCATCGGGCCACACGACTTCACTACTGCGGTCATACTTCACAACTTTAAATCGACTCTTGTTCTCGTCATTGACCTCTTCAGCATAGAGCTCAAGAGCAGCCATGGCAATTCCAATCGGGTGTCTCCCGCACACTGTATTTCCCGTACGTCTGATATTATCGACAAAGGCATCATGACTGCCGCTCTTGACGGCATCCATAGCCGCTTCATCGACTAGCTGAATCGATTCATAGATAGGTGGTCCTGATGGTTTTGAGCTATAAGGTTGAAGATGCTTCAGACTTCCAAGGTCTCCATCAGCGGTGTATGCTGTGTAGTCGAATCGCTCTCCCCAGTGGCAAAAATCTGAACTTATGATGAAAGCATTTTCTTCGTCCTTTATATATGATAGGAGCACTCGACCGATGTCTTTCTCGTTTGTTCGACTAGTGCTTCCGACGATAATGGGAACCACCTTGGGGAAATCTTCTGGCGATTTGAATGTCTGTTGACATCGTTTGTAGAGCAATGGCAAATGCATTTCTAGAGAATGCTCTGCCTCGTCATTCCTACGAGGTACATTTTGCATGCCTGCTGCTTCTTTCACGCGCTCAACGATATCCCTGTCCACAGTGAAATCACCGAAAGGAGTGGCATATTTCGAAAATGTTGTGACAGCACAGCCTAAAAGGCCGTAAGTATGAGATGGTCCCAGAATGAAGACTCGCTTCGCCTTGCTAAGATCCAGGCAGGAATAGGCCCAGGCAGCGGTTTCACCTGAGTATTCATATCCTGCGTGTCTTTAAATCTTCATCAGTGAAGAGCTGGATTCAGGGTCTACTGGGGTCACTCACGGTGCAATGATTATTCGAGCCCCCGGTATGGGCAGTGGAGAGTCGTCAACAGTCTCAGGCACTTCGGCGAGAAACTTGTTAATATCACGCATCAAATCATCTTCAGCCGCTTGATACCACGATCCTGCTTTCTTAGCTAGTCTGGTATCCATGTTCTTTATATAGGTTGTTGAAGAGCCAATTGTACCGTCGCAACCAGTTGTACTCGGAATGTCGTCCGATGTATGTATGTTGGCTCCTCCTGGTAGAGAGCAGGTAATAACCAGGGATGAAGCTGCCCCGCCTTGGCAGTGCGGGGTCGCAGCGGTTTAGCGGGCATCCGTCCAAAGTAAAGAACTACCAAGATACTGCCTGCTCGTACTAATCAGAATCTACGTAATCATGCAAAGTTAAATCTGGCGAGCGTGTGAAACAATGAAATCTCTATCTATTTGCTTGGTGTTTCATCTCATATTTTGGTCAAGAGAAAACATGAAATTCCAGTACATTGCACTCCCTCATCAATCTACCCAAGCCCCAGGCATAGTTGTCTCTTGCTGTTCTATAAGCCTCCAAAATTGCGATGCTGTATGCTCAAATTCTGGAGCCCACTTCAACTTCCAGTCACTGGGATTTGGGCCAACCTCAAGATCTATTATGCGAAAAGGTATCCAATACTGTTCGCCAGACCTGTCAACAACGGTGTATTGTCCCTTGAGTTTAAATTTCTTGTGACACCGCCTTCTGTAACCCATATGATACAGCTTTGGTCTCGGTGTGCCTGCCGTCATAGCGTGTCGCACAATTCCTCTTGAAGCCTCAATTGCATCAGCGTCGAAGGCGCCCTTGGTGTTCTTTTCGGGGTGATGCAGAATCGATACTTCTCGCTGCCCATATTCAACTAAATCAACTCCAGCTAATTGAAGTAATGTGAGCCATTTGAGAAGACACCCGTGAAATAGCTTATCCCAATGATTATAGCTTATTTTAGGACACAGATAGCATAATGCCCCTCCAATGAGTGACATCAAGGGAGTTCCCTCCCATGCTGTAACTTCATGTTTATCCCATGGTACGACGGTCTCTATGCTCGTCAGGTCCTCAAGTGTAGCGACTGAGGTTATTTTGATCACAACGTGATCCCAACATTCGGTGTATGCATGTAGCCAGGGGAAGACCTTTTCATAAGGAACCAGCTTCTCAGGATATCGGCAACCAAATGCCACAGCTGCCGAATGTACGAGAGAGACTTTCTCGCCACTCGACTGCCTGACGTCGTCTTTTGAAAACGTTCCATCTTTCGAAAAAAGGCTTCCAAAAGTTTCCACGTTCAATACATTAAATGCTCCCAGCCGTACAGCTTCAAGCCGGTCCCCCAGCCAACGCAAATAATAGTTTGGCATGAACAGATTTCGAAAATTAGAGACCATCATGTCGTCGGATGCGAAATCTTGTATGAAGTCCAAGAGTCGATGAGCGGGCAAGGAGTCCGGCTCTTGAAGATATGATGCAAACAGGTCCGCTATTCTCTTTGGATCTTTACTGGCTGGCCAAGTCATCTTTCCAACAGTCATGCTTACTATATCACCTGCTATAAACCCAACAGGTGTATTACTGTATCTGCGTCAATCATACGTATATTGTGACTGATTGTTAAATTCAGGACTTACTAGCCACCTCCGCTATCAAGCAATGGCTGGAGGCCCATTTTTAGCAATAACTGACATATCTCATATTGGCGATTTGATGTGGCGTACTAGAAATTATAAATAATTATCTTTTATCATAGATAGGTGTATACATACGGATAAGAGCGATTCTTTTCCCCGGATTTTATCGAATGGAGACGCCTTTCTGCTAGTAAACATCTGTCGGACGCCAACCACATCTCCGTCATGAATTTTCATAATAATTTCCGAGTCATCGGGTATCACATTGTATACACGATAACTATACGTCCAGCCCGCAATAGCCGGTGCAGACATGAATTCATATACTGATCTCGATAGCCAATCCGGCACTTTTACCTCTGCTTGCCAAGCACCAGTGGTTTTCGAGTAAGTCAAGGCAAATCGCACATATTGTGACAGGGTAAAGCGGAATGATTGGGTCTCTTCCGATCTCTTTACCGCATTGTTAGTCGCCGAAATATATTCAATGGATTCAGATGGCATCTGAGGCATCTTCTTTTGTTGCAGTTGATTCTCTTGTAGTAATTGTGGGAGAGGTGGAAAATGTGATCCAACATCCGCATGACGTGGTGGCTGAACTCGTGCTGCGGGAGCTTGAGAGCTTAGTTTCCGAAGCATTGCCCTGATAATCTAATGTTAGAGAGCCGTTATTGTAGGCTAGATGAATGGACACATTCTAATAAAAAGCTGCGACTCACATCTGGTACGCTTGTATTGCCAGCTGCAAGAAATTCATGCACCGAGACAAGCTCTGTTCAAGCCTTTCTACCACAGATTTATTGAGCATAATCTTAACAGTAGCATACTTGCGCTTTATGCTCTTTTTTGCCTGTAGCTGCGTTCGCATATCAGTTACTAATATGCCCAATGAATCATGTGCTTTCTTTGACAAGTCAAGACAGTTTTTGAACGATGCGGAGACATCATCCTGATTGAAGTGGTCCTCAATCTCTGCGAAGATTGGTTCAAGAGCCTTTAGATGCTCTACAAGCCCTGAAATCCCGTCCGGGACACCTCGAAATTCTTGCCATAGCTGGTGAGTCTGGTAAATGAGTGTTGCCACACGTGGCACCGTATTTATCACATCGAGGTTGGTGCTGGTCATGTCTCTCTGCTCTAGAGACTCAAAGTAGACAAAGGCAACGCGGGACGTGCTTGGAAGGAATGCGATGACCGCACAGGAGATCAACCATGAGCAGGGAAAAAGGACGCATAGCAAATAACCGCTTTAAAAAATAGCTGGCAGTCCTAAAAATCACCTGTGGCAGCAAAAGAGAGCACCGCCTCTTTCTAGTGAGAGGCAGCAACGCATTTTACTCTCTCAAAGTAGGCGAAAAGGCTGTGGTGCGGCCTCTTGCAGGGGGTTAGAAGAAGGTGGGCGGCAGGCAGACAGGAAAAGAAACCATCGAATGGCATTGGTTGATAGACATATTGCTGCATGGGCTGTCATGCTGTTGGGCCTTATACCGGGCTTTATGGAGCACAAAGAGGGAACTGGGCGGCTCGGGTCATGTCCTATTCGCTCTTTGGGCGGACAGGGGGTTAGGGCCGCAAGAATGGGCCGGCATGGATATGTTTGGGAACTGGTATCCATCACTGATGGTTTGTTGGATAAAGCTATTGAATGAAAATACACAAAAGTCGGAGTGATATGGTTAAGTGTATGAAAAAGCGTTCTCACGTATGTAATTATAACGTATAAATATATATTGATTTACTAGGTCAAATGTTAGTATCTGATAAGCGGTACTAGCAACAGCAATACAAATAGAAATAGCAGCAGTAGCAGAAACAGCAGTAGCAGTAAAAATAGAAGCGATAATAGAAGCAGTAGTCAACTGCCTACATGTATTCAAGTCAGATGGCCCATATGGCAATGGTAATGCTGCGTGTAAATGTAGAGTTGTGTGCTGGCAGCTATAAAATTCCATACTCTTTTTTGTTCCCACATGGCTGTGTATACTCCATCCCTACATAGCGGGCTTCACCCCTCTCTTTCTACCCATTTTCCGTGATGTTACTTGCTAGGTTTCTGTCTCCTTTGTGACTGGATTTGTAAGTAAAGGAAGCCTCGTTCGAAATTTTCAAGGCGCAGCCTCGCGCCAGCGCTACTGCTGAAAACTGGCGGGATAATCTACGTAGCATGTCTCATATAAGTGGTGTTTCATAATCATCACATCCTCTGCGAACACGAGAGAACATCCCGAGAATATTTTTGCCTGAAAGATGCGATTTGAGCAGCTGCATAGACAAGTAGAGTGTGAAGCTTGAAATATTACTATAACAGAGGCTAGCATAGCATGCTATTCGCCAGCCATGTCTTGGGCCTCTCTGTCTTGCACTTATACAGCAGTTAGTTCAAGTGCCAATTTCAAGTCGTGTAACACAAACAAGTGTTGATTGGCAATAGGGTCCTTGAGCTTTTTTTCCCCTTGCGATATTATTCTCGCCTTCCTCGGGTAAGCACGGCGAGATGGTAAATCACGAGCGCCAGGACTGTGCTGTATGATTGTTCGCGCCATGCTTCGATCATGAAGGATCCTGCACGTTTTGCGGGTACTGTATTATGGCTACCCTGTGATACCATACGATATGCCTCAGTCGTACAGTAGGATCACCTGCAACGGTACACGAGTAGGTAATAATATTTGCTCAGTGGCCATGTACGTAATCGAAACAACGGCGAATTTTGCAGCATTAATAGCCATTTACTGATAAAGCTCAATCTTATCGGCAAAAAAGAAAACCAGACAGTGCGATAGATTCCTAGTATCCAGACCAGCATCTAACCACTACCTAGTTGGACGTGGCGACGGCATTTCAAGAGATAGTAGAGCCACATCTCGGCTTCAACCCAGATCGTCTTCTCCCGCCTGTTCAAGCCGGGTCTTGGCGGCCTGTTGACGTAACATTTTGCCACCAGCCAGATTGATGATGTCTCTGCGGGTGGCCTTTGTGGAGGATTGGCCACTAACAAGCGTGAAAAGCACATACCATGCGTGCCGCCATCTACACAGTATGCAATGCTACGAGATCGCAGCATGCATAGAATATTTGCTAGCGCCGTATATTTCTCTTTGTGCCGACAGTAGCTGCATGAGTTGGAAGCTCGTATAGGGTGCCAGATTAGACTTTTGTTGAGCAAAAGTTACGCGACTTCAACACATATCCTATTAAACACTTGTACCGAAGGTGTACGCCTTTCTCTGTTCTTTTTTTAGAGCATTGCTGGCAGCGCTCAAAGACATGAGTTCAAAGACGATAAGTTCAAAGGCAAGAGTTCAAGGCCAGGAGTTCAAGGACAGCACTCAAAGACAGCATGTGAAAACCCTGAATATAAAAGCGGCGGCAGAACTGCGAGATAATAATGCCAAACTCGACGCAGTCATCCTCCCAGTTCAGGAACAGGATCCAGCAAGTGGCGCCACACTGGCGGCTTAGACAGTATGAGTCCACCGTCGGCGGATTTACTGTGCCCCAGCCTAATGCAACGCTTCGTACATACGAGTAACCTTGGCCACGGCTGCCGGTATTTAATGGGCCACACGCAGCAATAGCGCGCTGGACTAACATCTCGCCTCCCTTGGACTCAGCCCAGTCAATTGACCCCAGTGGCGACGATGCCGTCGTTGCCCTGTTTGCCCTGCAATCAACATCATTATTAACCATCGCCGACGAGTTGCATCCACGTGTTCACTCGAGCGCTGGTTAAAGCCCTAAACACCTGCACGGGCCTGGATTCGTCGGATAGCATTCCAATCACTTCGTGTCAAGGCGTCAATTTAGACTCTGCCACTTCGAATTAGCGGCTTCCAGCGCTGTTGCAGCATTACAGCATCTGGGCGGACGCTATTACGGCGACCCCACCTGCGACCAACAACAATTTGATCTCGGAACCTGCATCAATTGAAATTACAAAAGTACCTACAACTTATCGCAAAATTTTCTCCTCCTCCGTTGTCTCCTCTGTCAAACACCTCTGCGCTCTTCACGACCTCGTCCTTCGATCATCTGAAGCCAATTCTTCACCCGACCAGGCGCGCCAGTTTGGTGCCGCATTCCCGTTCGCCATGCCGAGCACATCCAGCATGGCGTGGTCCAAGAGCACCCGCATCAAGGTCATGATCGCCATCGACACGGCCTTCTTCCTGCTCGAGTTGATATGCGGTTTCCTGGCGCATTCGCTGGCGCTGACCGCCGATGCCTTCCACATGGTATGTTGCGCGATCGCTTTCCACGTAGCGCGGATCCGAAGTTGTTGATACCAGGAGAGCAATCACGGCATGCTAACTGTCTGCAGCTGAACGATATTATCTCTCTGGCCATCGGTCTGTGGGCAGTGATAGCGTCGCAAAAGGCCACAACCGACGAATTTACCTTTGGCGTAAGTCTCAACATACATGTTCCATGCAGACCAAACGTGAGTACGTGCAGCTGACACCCCTTGCCTGCAGTGGGTACGAGCCGAGATCCTGGGTGCCTTCTTCAACGCCGTCTTCTTAATCGCGCTTTGCGTATCCATCATTCTCGAGGCCCTGACACGCTTTGTCGAACCGCCCGAAATCAATAATCCCAAGCTTATTCTTATTGTCGGCTGTGCCGGCCTGTTCTCCAACTTGCTGGGCTTTGTGGTCTTGGGAGGTCACGGACATGACCACGGCCATGAACATGATCATGACCACGAACATGAGCATGACGACCACGACCATGACCACGATCATGAGCACGAGCATAACCATACCCATGGAAGCGGCTGTGATGTCGAAGAGGGACGACACCCTGGCGGTGATTTCGCTGATGAGGAAGGGGCCGTTGGTGATATCCTCCCAGAGGTGATTGTCCAGAGAGCCGTTATGGCAGCCCGTCGAGCTAGTACCGACAGCCCTGAGACGGCTAGACGTATTCACTTTGGCGACGACTCTACAAACCGGGACGAATCCAACGGAGCCAGCCGAATGTCTGTCCAATCCAGAGGGCGGGAACACCAGCGCCGATCGAGTAGAGGTCATTCCCGCTTCACTAGTATCGAAGATATGAGCATTCACCCCGCCAGCTTCCGACAGGAAATTATCGCTGCTAGTAGAGCTGCATCGTCTAATATCCATGCCGAAGGCGGTGATGAGTCTCCCTTTGCCGACTCGGAGACGGAGGCCAATGAGGAATCAGCACTCCTCCAGGATGGAAAGGCACCCAATCTCTCTTATTCTACCGGTTCAGCACCCAAGAAGCAGAGAACACGACGAGATTCTAGCGTGCACCATGGCCACAACCATACTCTCCCAAGAGAGGCTGGCGCTAAAGTCAGTGGCCATAACCATGCCGACATGGGTATGCACGCCATGATGCTTCATGTGATTGGTGATGCGCTGGGAAATGTCGGTGTCATTTTAACAGCACTCATCATCTGGCTCACCAACTGGCCTGGCAAGCTCTATGCTGACCCGGCAGTCTCGCTCGTCATTACAGCCATTATTCTTAAGACATCCATTCCTCTGACTCTTGCTACTTCGCGTGTCTTGCTCCAAGCCACTCCTGAGAATATCCGCATCCCAGAGATCCGCCAGGACATTGAAAAGCTTCCCGGAGTTGTCAGCTGCCATCATATTCACGTCTGGCAGCTTTCCGATACAAAGATCGTCGCAAGCATGCATCTCCAAGTCTCCTTCCCGATCAACACACATAGCGGAGAGAAGTACATGCAGCTGGCGAGGCGCGCCAGGAAATGTCTTCATGGCTATGGCATACACAGTGCTACCATTCAGCCCGAGTTCTGTCTTGATATTAAGCATCAGCACGACGGCGAGGCACCGGCATCTTCACTCGATGGGGCATCTGACGAACAAATTCGACCATGCCTCCTTGAATGTGTTGATAACTGCCGGGCACAAGGCTGCTGTATGGTCGATACCTCGTCAGCTAGCTCGACTCGAAGAGCTAGCGAATCTTCACACAGCGAGGGCTCTCAACATCATCACCAGCATTAAACATTAAGCAAGACCCGTTCTCTCGACCTGTTCGCGTAGGATGACTGGGTTGGATAATGAGTAAAAATAGCCAATAGCGAGCTTACTATGCAACGCTCATCAGCACATACCAGACTTTTCGGTATGAACCTTGTGCTTGATCTAACCCAGCTTACTACTTTCTTTTCCCTACCATTATTTTAATATTTATCATTTGGCTTTACGGTTTTACGCATGGCTGGCGTTGTTGTGTTTTGGGCGATGAAAAGAACCCGAAAGTTGGCTAGATTTTTCTTTTCCTTTTCTTTTCTACAC